AGTATAGAACCTTGGACCTTATGTTGCTCTATCCAAGGCACCTCCGTCACCCGAAGAATATTACGGAACCGTGGTTCATTAACCAAATGCTCGAGAGTTGCCAGGCCAAGGAGATCCTTCCTAGGGCTATCTCGGAACCTATGTGCTTTGGATAATAACGATTCTGTCCAATACTTGGCACTGTGGTTCCAGCTGAAAGGTGGTAGATCAACCAAAAAGTCGTCGGATGGGTTTTGCTCATTGACAGCGTTAATATCCACAGGGTACCCGGACTGGTATAATTTGCCCGCGACGGTAAATGCAGTTTCGCATGCGTTTGAGCCTCTTATAATTACTGATTGGTATGTGTAGCCCGTCGAGTACGATTTGAGTGTATCATGGCTTAGAATCTGATTCAACGGACCTTTAAGGGCGGAATGAGGGCCAAGCTCGATGAAGTTCCTGACAAACCCCTTTTCTGCCCGCCTCCTACTTTTTTCTCCTGAATAAGTAAGCATGCTTTCAACCGCTCCGGTAAAATTGACTTGGCCGACCATATTAGCTACCCAATACGAAGGTCCAAGTTCAGAATTCTTGGCTAGATTTCCGGTCAAAGATGAAAACATCTTCACCGTGCTCTGGCCTTCGGGAAGGAGTGTGATTTTACTGATAGCTCGATAGTACCTGTCCGCAATGACTTGCATGTGTGGCGAGTGGTAAGCAACGTCCACTTTTAGCTTCCTTGCGAAATGACCATCATCCTTCAGTACCTTCTCTAGCTGGGTTATGGCTACGGAGTCTCCTGATAGGGTCACACTCGAGGGACTGTTGATACAGGCAATAGTGGCCTCGCCTTCAGTGACACGGGCGATATATTCTCGTGCATCTTTATATCCGAGCCCAACAGCTAGCATAGAGCCCTGTAGTTGTGGGGCGAAACCCTGAATGCAGTTCGAGAGATGGCCGCGATGGTAGGCGATTGCCCAAGCATCGTCGCGTGTGAGTGCCCCTTTAGCATAAGCTGCTGCAATCTCACCGCTTGAGTGCCCAACTACGGCTGTAGGGAAGATATTCCACATTCTTAGCAAGTCTACTAGTGCCACTTGAAGCGCGGTACATATAGGCTGGCTAAGATCTGGTGAGTCTAACCTCGACGTACTCTCGTCTTTCCAGATCTCAGCTGCACGTATATGTTAACTCAAATCTTCACAGGATCAAGAAAGTAATGAATAAAACTGAGTTGACTTACTCATAAGCGACCATGGTGCTCCTAATTGTACAAAGTATCTCCCTGCTCCCTCAAGACTTTCTCTGAACACAGGAAGCGCTAGAAGCTCACGACCCATGGCGTACCATTGTGCACCTTGACCAGTGAATACGAACGCCAAAGATAGTACGGTCTTGGTATTATTAGATCGGACACTTCTAAGAGGTTTTCTTAATTCTGTAGAAGCTTCTTTACACGATGTTGCGATAATAAATGACTTCCAGGGAAGGATGCTGCGTCGTCCAGCGAGGGTACGTGCAAGTCTACAAAGGAGATTTTTATCATGATTCTCCTCGATTGCTTCAGTAGAGGCCCCCTTAAGTTTAGCATCGAGGTATGCACCATACTCGTTTGTAATTCGCGAAATACCGGCCTGTTCATGTGAACTCCAGACGAGAAGTTTTGGAATTGGGGATAGGCTCGACTCAAACCGACCTCCCAATAGTCCTTCCAGAGATCTCCACTGTTTAGTCCTGTCGCTAAGCTGGCTCATCATGTCAACATCATGGGCTGTGTCAATGCCAGAATCGGGGCTTGAAGCCGGTGATGATCCATTGAGAACCTGGACATTGTGATTTCCAGATAAACCCCGGGTTTTCAAGTAATGGTATGCATCGTCAATTATACAGTGGCCATTGGTTCCACCATAACCGAACGAATTAATACTAATACGACGCAGTCCATCTTTCGGCCAAGGCATAAGCTCTGTTGGAATCGCGAGATTCCAGTCTTCCATCGGAATTCTTGGATTGGGCTTTTCATACCAGATAGTCGGTACAATCTCCCCCTTTTCCAACATCATTATACCCTTTATTACCTGCACAAGACCAGAACCGCCTTCCAAGTGTCCAATATTTGATTTTATAGACCCTATCAAAAGGGGTTCCCCAGGGGGTCGAGCTTTTCCAAAAGTAGCAGAAAGCGCGGATGCCTCAACCGGGTCGCCGGCTGCTGTTCCAGTACCATGAGCTTCGACGTATGTTGTATCCACTAAACTCAGGCCGGCATCCGCATACACCTTTCGAATTAATGTTTCCTGCGCCTCTTCTGACGGCAACGTAATTCCAGGGGTGTTTCCGTCTTGGTTAATCCCCGAGTTACGGATAACGCCTCGAATTACATCATTATCCCTAATTGCCAGGTGAAGTGGCTTTAAGATACAGAATCCAGCTCCTAGTTATCCTATTAGTATGCTGATATGTTGTTATGTCAAACTATAGAGATACCTTCGCCTCTAGAATAGCCATCGGCTTTATGATCGAAAGAATGTGATTTCCCTTTTGGACTCAAGAAATGTAGTCGAGTCAGTCATGATATCTGGCATTATCATTAAATTGGTTCCGCCGACAATAGACTGGGAAGACGCATTAGCTATAATCTATTTCCGTCTTCTATATGACGTACTAGTTTCGATTCGCCTGTACGAAGGCTTTGGCAGCCAAGGTGAAGGGCTGCCATTGACGATGAGCAGGCAGTGTCGACACTAATACTAGGTCCCCTCATATCGAAAAACCAGGAGACTCTGTTTGACATCATAGCAAGGCCTGTTCCAGTAGCCTGGTACGTGGGGACGTTGTCACGATCATGCGATAACATATCGTTATAGTCCTTCGTGAATGTACCAACATAGACCGACGTGTCAGATCCTGCTACATCTTCCATGCGAATTCCGGCTAAATGATATAATTTTAGATTTTGTTTTCAAGTTATATTAGATACGTTGACATACCATTCTCCAGAGCTTCATATGTGCATTCGAGAGCCATACGCTGTTGAGGGTCCATCGCTTTAGCCTCTGAAACGGGGATTTTAAAAAAGGGGGCGTCAAACGCTGATATATCTCTCTTCATGAAATGGGCTTCTTTGAAATTCATTGTCCCATGGCGTTCCGTGCTTGGATGATAGAATGCGTCGATGTTGAATCGGTCCGGTGGAATCCTGGAAGCAGCACTTCTGCCCTGGGATATCATATCCCAGAGTTTCTGAGGGTTTTCTGCATCACAGGAAAGCGCCCGATATCCCAACGATAGCCACTGGCATGATAGCATCTTCGTACGGAGCAGCAGATAACATGCTACTCCTCTGGTTGTGGCTAAGAGAAGGCATAGCTCGACTAAGCTAACAAGGTGGTTTATTTAAACCATTAGGTATTAGGCTTCCAGGTTGATGGGGAAAACCTATTGCAAGCACGATTCCTGATATTCAGTCTTCGATATGATAGTACAATAGGAGTGTGAAACAACCATCAAATTAAGCTAAAAGACTACCTAACTTTATACGCCTAAAATAAATGATGTCTTTTGGTACATACCTAAGTAGACATGGCCACAGCAGCTAATGTGTCTTTCCGACATCGTTCGATCGTCCCTCGTGTTTTAATTACATTTATCCCGTGTGTAATTTAGCTATGGTGCAACTATCTTTGTATTTCATCGATGAGAATTACATATAACTACTACCTCCTAATAGCATGCACTAAGTCTTTGTGGGTTCTTATTATTGTTGGGCTAGGGTAGAAATGTACGGCACTTCGGTTTGCACTTACAAAACTCGACGACTTCATCGCATGTGGCGTTCTTTTCCCGTGCTTGCATTATCATGACCTGTACCTAAGAGGTAGTTAATGTATATGCAAATCCATAACCATATTTGGAGTTTTCTACAGCATATGTATAACTAACGGGTTTTGAGCTATCAATAGCTATGACTAGCTCAGCCTTTACTTTAACTCCAGAGTCTACGCTTGATAAAGCTTTAGAGCTTTTTACTATGTAGGTTAGGTAAATAACTATGCAGAAACACAGTTTGTTAATAGAAAATGATACAAGAGCCAATCAGAAGTTAGAGCTAAAGACTAATTTGAGTGTTACACGAAGTTTTCCTGATAGGGTAAGACACTTAGATTTGATTGGCTTATTACCTCTAAGTACTCAACTCTAAAAAGGTGGTACCTAAAGACCTGCACTTAAATGGAGTTCGGCTATACTTGCGTTTTCATATAACTATCAATTATCTTATTGTTTGCAACTTGATAAGAAATATTCTGGATAATTATATAAAAAAAAAAAAAATCAGATCAATTGTAGACCGCGAAGGTTCTTTCATATGGATCTACCCCACATCAATTCTGCAGTGAGAACTGATCCCTCCATCTCTCAATGCCGGCTTAGAGAATCTCACGGCCGAAACTTCGCGGCCGAGTTTGTAGTGCTGACTACGCGAGAGGTGGGGTTACAGCAAGGGAATCGCATACATCAAAAGTCATGATTGGTCGACGTGGTGGCGAAGCCTGATTGCTAACGCATCCTCCAATCCCGGCGGTCGCATCTCTGGACGGCTTCCGTTGTTGACTATTAGATAGGGTCCTAAGATAGGTCTTAATTTAATCAAGAAATGTTACTAGTCAGACGCTATATCCCGGGAGCTGAGACTATGTTGGCATCCTCATGCGAGTAGGAATAAATAGGAGTAAAATGAGGTAAGCATCTAGACCAACTGAAGTCACCGATTGGCTTGCCTACTACAGTTGCGTACCATTTCTCATGGGGACCCTTATCAGATATGGTCCTAACAGTTAATAAAGTCGTAATCCTATACATATCCATGTTAGATCCGCAGCAGGATGCTCAGAGATACTCCGATATAATATAAGGTGGTAATACACTTGTGCTTTCTTCCAAAGAATCTACGGACTTTGTTTTTCAACTAACCCACCGTTCAACACTTACACGGAGAAAAGAAAATGAGTACTACAATGGTCACAGAAACTAGCACGAAGGGCTTGGGCTCGGGGATTTACACGCAGTCTATCCTAAACTACCTATACCAGCGCTTGGTTCTGGAATTCAACGTCCCTTACGTATGGGGCTGCCCATGCGATGTATTGCTCAACCTCTTTGCCGAACACTTCTCTCAGAACCATCTAGACTGTGGTGTCGCCACAGGTTACTTTCCCGCAACCGTCCTGCAACGCACTAGCCAAGCCAATACGCAACGCCAAGTTACCTTGTTAGATCTCAACCCCAACTGTCTGGAGGCAGCCAAGGCAGCTATACAGGCAGAGGCGCCTCAAGTTCCCGTTCACACTGTTGAGGCAGACATAACAGCACCCGTACCAGCTGCGTTAAAGGGCAAGAAGTTTGATACGATATCCATGTTCAACTTATTCCATTGCGTACCCGGGGGTGCGAGCAAGTTCCAAGCACTTGCCACCTACAAGGACGTCCTTGCGGATGACGGCGTGTTCATCGGGTGTACGGTACTAGGCGAAAAACATACTACCGGCTGGTTTTCTCGGAATTACCTCAGCCTCTACAACTGGGTGGGCGTGTTCAATAACTGGGATGACAAGGCGGAGGACATTGAGAGCGTGCTTCGATCAGCGTACAAGGAGGTTGATACCTGGAAGGTTGGAATGATACTCATGTGGAGGGTAAAGGGCCCCAAGAAGGCCTAAGTACCTACCTGATACTAACAACACCGCATTTATGGAGACATGGGCTGTTCATGGGGATGGGTCTGCTAGGAGTTTGGTTGGCTATCTTTTGTACCACAGCAAGCAGTTTTTTTCTTCATGGGTTAAGTACAGGATAGAATTGGATAAATTCGGAGAAAAGAAATACCTCAATACATCTGATTAAATTACAATTCATGTTAAGCCTATACTATCCGTCTGACTAGAAAGTAACCCTATCAGTCCTGTTGGGTTAGAAGTGATGTATCATACACTTGAGGGCGGACAAGTCTTTTTCACTAGCAATATCGCGTCTAGTTGCCTATCAATACGCTAATCCATGGCGATTCGGCTCTCTGATATATATATTGAGGCGCTTTATTGTGGAAAGGATCGTTAAGTAAGGGTGAATGTATATAATCATTAGTTATACATATAGATGTATGGATACATCCGATGTCCACCATCTCTAGAATGACCAATTAAACAATTACAGTGACAATCTTATTAATTAGGCGAATCGTGATCCCGGAGTTCCTAACGGCGTTCTCCGCATCACCGAGTCAGATTGTAACTTTCGTTGTATAAGTTAGCACCGGGCCGAGGACGTTGCTGTCGATCACAAAGACAAATCACCCATCAAAATGCCACACGTGCAGGTGGCGCTTTCCGCAATGACTCCTCAATGTCAGCCACCAATATATACCAACAATTCAACGATCAAGACCGACTCAAGTCTCCGTATTTCTACTTAAAGTTTTACAATCTCATCATCGTACATGCTTCTAAGGAGATCGATCGGAGGACGAAGGATAAACTACGCTGATATAAAGAACCATCTAACGTCAGATAAATACTCTTGATTGATGCCATACATAGAGTGAATGACAGTATAGCCGAATTGAACTATTACCGCCTGTTCCTCTATTCTCTTTCGTCTCTTATATACCTAATCCTAGCAGGTCTACCCCTAAATTAACCCCCGGTCCACTTATTCCTAGCTTCAAGAGAGGGTTCATAAGAATACGACAGGCAAATGATATTATTTCCATGTAGAAATTCTTAAGTTGACTAGCTAATTTTGATATTATGAAGGATAGCACTACTTAAAGTGTGATCTAAGAAGTAGTTCCAAATTTAGAAGGCGTATTAACGTATGTCATATCTGCAAGATGAGTAGCGCAAAACACGACCCAGCCGATGAATAATCTATGCGGCTTTACATATGGCGTTATCATACGTTAAAGGTACCCGATGCTTATAAAGTAATGTACTCCAAAATCATTGCTAGCCATTAATATAGAAACAATTAAAATAAGAACTGGAGTTATTAGCAAAAAGGAACTTAGGAGACATAGGTATGTAAATTAGACATTGAGCAACATTATTTGTTCCTAGAATATTCCCCGGCTACACCATGTTTAGATACGTTATAGCTTGATCATGGAGGCGGTAAGGGTAAGGGGTGATGTTGGAGCTGAATAGCACAAGCATTTCTCAAAGAGATTCACCCTTAAGATTGTACCTAGGTGTGTTGTTACTTCTTCTTTCTTTATTTCTCTTCGGGCTATACGATTGTTAGATTGTGACTAGTAATAGTTCTTACTAACAATGCACAATTGCGTCTATTCTTACAGGCATACAATCAATAAAGGAACTTTACAATGAGTTCAACCTCATTTTTCAAGATTTTTTGTATGTTACTTATAGGTATCTGGTGGTAATAATAAAAACTGTTCTAGAACATATTGATTATTACTAGTATGTTGATGTTTATCGTTATTGTTATCTGCCACAACACACTCTTTGCTTGCACCATTCTAAAAGCCATTGATGTATGAAACCTCGTTTAAACGGCTAAGGGAAATTATATAAATTATGTACCTAGATCCCATGAGAAACTTTCACATTCTATTCAAGCCATCACATCACATTCAACATTACCTTTACTCTCCAGTAAAAATACTTCATATTTGCCAACATTTTACACATCAAACGCTACATCCATTCCGAAAATGTGTTCTACTACTCAACGTAACCAGCAGCCTGTCCAATACCAGGTTACTGCTGCTAGTTCTATCACTGACAGCCTGCGTCCAGGTTGGACTTGCTGCGTAGACAAGTATAAAAATAACCTTGATGCAAGGACCTGTGGCCAGTGCAGCCACGTGAAATGTTGCGATTGTGCTATTCATAGTATTGAGTAAAGAAGTTGTAAGAATAAGAACGCAAAGCAACAATAGTTATGTAATAGTTAGATAAATGTTTAGTTACTAGTTAACTCTTTTGAATTTATAATAATTACTTTGTTTTAAAATTAACAGGTACCTAACCTAAACTAATTACCTTGTATTTGCTAAGATAGTCATATTTATTAACTAAAGTTTATTCATATTCAGGTAAACTTTGTCCCTAACCGTATTAAGTGAGTAACTGTGATGTTATTGGCTAGAAGAATATGTTTAAATCCTCTAGTGTCAAGTACCTCTTAATGGAATGATGGAACCCCACCTAGCCCCGCGATTGTGGTTCACCTAGAAGCTTCTACTGCACGAAAAGCTTCACCTTCCAGTTGCTTCGGGCTGGAATAAGTGCAGGTGCGCTGCATTCCAATTGCTCCTTCAGCTGCAAACAGTTTCACACTTGCAATATTACATTAATTAAAATTCCAGGCAATCACCTTCTCTCCAATTTTCTCCATCTTTTCATAAATTCTCATACCATCTCGATATCTGGCATCACATTCTCTTTCCCCACTACGACCTCTACCACCGTCAACGACATAGATCCAATTAATTCTATCACCACCTACCACCTACCACCTACCTTAGGCATATAGTAGCCTAATTCGATTGAACGAATCCACAATCACAAATATGGCGACCTCGGAACAACCTAAGAAGCGCAGCTATGTCTTCTTCGACATCACCATTGGCACTAAACCCGCCGGTTCGTGTCACCTTCGAGCTATACGACGATGTTGTGCCCAAGACTGCCGAGAACTTCCGCGCGCTATGCACGGGCGAGAAGGGCCTCGGAAAGTCAGGCAAGCCCCTTCACTACAAGGGTAGCATGTTCCACCGTGTCATCAAGCAATTCATGATCCAGGGTGGTGACTTTACTGCTGGCGACGGAACCGGCGGCGAGAGCATCTACGGCGAAAAATTTGAGGACGAGAACTTTGAGCTCAAACACGAACGTCCTTTCTTGCTTAGCATGGCTAACGCTGGACCTGGTAAGTTATTATGATCGTTTATCTATATACACGCTACTTCAGGACATTTTAGACTTACAATTGCTCTTCCTTATAGGCACCAACGGCTCTCAATTCTTTGTTACGACCGTCCCCACACCGCACCTTGACGGGAAGCACGTTGTCTTCGGCGAAGTTAAGTCAGGAAAATCTATAATAAGGCAGATCGAGAACCTGCGTACCAACAACGACAAGCCTGCGAAGGACGCCATCATCACGGACTGTGGCGAGCTTTCAGGCGCCGCCGCACAGGTATCTGACGTTAAGGCCCCGGATACCTACGGTGATCAGTACGAGGACTTTCCTGAAGATGAGGCTGACCAGCCACTCTCTGCGTCGCTGTGCTCCAAGTAGCTAGCGATTGTAAGACTTCGGCAACAAGGCTTTCAAGGCCGGCGATGTGCTTGGCGGCCTGAGAAGTATCAGAAGGGTCTGCGATACCTAAATGAGGAGCCGGAGGTTAAAGATGATGAGAAGGATCTGCGCCAGAAGCTCGATTCTCTGCGCTTTACACTCAACTGTAACTCAGCGCTGCTTAACCTTAAGCTCGAGGCCTGGGATGACGCCCAGCGCACCGCTGTGGCCGCCCTCGCTGTCTCCGGCGTCTCTGATAAAGAGCGTGCCAAGGCGCTGTACCGCCAAGGTCTCGCGCTCATCAAGTTAAGGGATGAAGATGCAGCCGTTGCAGCCCTAGAGCAGGCTAAGAAACTAGTTCCTAACGATGCTGCCATCACTAAGGAACTCGAAGCAGTCAAGAAGCAGGCTGCAGCTCGCCTGGCCAAAGAGAAGGCTGCGTACAAGAAGTTCTTCTCGTGATCCCGCTAGCTGTTCTTCGAGATGGTGAGGGGCAATTAAAAGAGTTATTCGCAAGGGTCAGGGTAGGTTAGGCACTAAGAAAACAGTGGATAGGAAGAAATGAGAGAATGATAACGTCATACGAGAGAAGCCCTGGTTAATGCGCTTTGACAATCAAGTCCTCGATAATGGTTCCTAGCCTAACGCGGGACAAGGGCTAAGAGTGAGCAAAATGGGAAAAAGCCAAAACCTACCTAGGTATATAATATAGAGGAAAAAGGGGGTTGGTCAGGTGTCAGGTTGGACAATGATCTCTTCCCGCCCTTTGGAGTCTGCATGTTCATAGATAAAGGAACACGGCTGCTAATACGTAAGGTAGGGTTAGATTCTAGGAAGGGTATTTATTTATAAACTAGGAATCCGAATGAATGAATGATAAAATCCATGATATCACATTTCAAATATCACAATCCCAACTACATATTTGGGAACCTAGCGTACTGAATATCTGCATAGGTGCCTACCTAAGCTTGGAGTAATCTTCGATATATTGTATATCCATGTTTTAGCTGGAGAGCTAGACATCGTAGATTTTCTAAAAGCATAAACCACCCCCTTCCCTCCTTTTCTAAATATCGTCTCCCTCTCATCCATGTCGTCTTGTTTGCTTTGGAACAATAATCTTCACGCATTAACATATCTGATGTAGCATGTACGGACACGGTATAATATGGTATGATATGATAAACTATTGTATGATATGGTATAATATGGTATGATGCGATATACGATCCATCCGGATGCTCTGCTTCTCTTCTCACGTAATGTAAAAGCAACACCTAGGTATAGGTATGTAATGTAATATAAAAACAACAAAGTGAAGAGGGGTCTAAAACCAACCCCCGATCAAGAATAGGCCTCTCCTTAAAAGTCTTTTTTTCTTCTACCAAGCCTCCCAAGCCCGCTTGAAAATGCAGAAACATAACTCTTTTCCTGAGGAGCGAGGGAATATAAAACGTCCAAGTCCGAACAAATCCACGCTAGGTAATTTTCTTCGTGACGGAGCTACTCCTTTGGAGCTCCTGCAATCTATTTTTCTAGTAAAAAATCACCCATGCAGCAGCGCGGCAATACTTCCCGGCTGGCTTGCTTTATCTTAATCCCAACACGTCGGCAAGTCCCTTCGCTCCTGGAGGGGATGGCCGCTTCATTAATCGGGTTCGAGAACGTTCCAGCCCCTCCTGCATTCGGTCCCACGATTTGGGATATGGGTATCGTTTTGGGAGTTAAAGCATAACTAGTGCCTTGAGCTCACGTCGCTCTGCCAAGATTCTGAGAAGGTACTAAGAATGCCTTACTACTTCTCTCTCCTCCTTATCTTTACTCTTCTCCTGTGATGTCGATGAACCGGCTAGCTCCCTTTCCCTTTCCCTTTCTCTTTCCTTCTCCTTCCTCTTTTCTCTATCCTTCTTACCACTTATTAGACTGTGTAGAAAGCCGCGAGGATTCTTCCCATGCTTCGCCCGTATGGTATTTGAAGTCGACATCTCTATATTATCAGACACGTGACGAAGCGCTCTACCTTCTCTTCCAAAGTTTCGGAAACCTGAACGGTCACTACCATCCGGCTCGCTTCCAGACGAACCTGGGGGGTTGTACGAGTCATTGTCGAACCATGGTGTCGTATTTCCGTATGCCACGTTGACTGCATCCAATAGAGTTGTCTTTTCCAAAGTCTCGGCCAGTTCGTCCGTAGCTACCGATTCATTCTCAGACGAGCGAAGTGCTTCGACTCTAGCGAGGCACTCATCAGAGCGTCTTTGAAGGTCCAAGCATATTATGTGGAATTCTGCTAGTTCAGCATCGAAATCCGCAGGATCTGTAAATGTAGATTTGTGGCTAGACTCGAGCCAGAGTTTGACTAAAGCTGCAAAATTCCTAGGGTGGTCGATGAGGTACGGTAAAGAGGGGAAGCCCTCTCGAGATGTCGGAGATAGGCGACCGAGGATTGTGACAGGGGTAGAATACGAGGCAGGGACGGTGAATATACTACGCTCGGTCGGTATCGAACACGTTTGGTCAATGTAATCCTTGAAAGGTTGCCTATGAATACCTAAGAATCTGTTCATAGGCTCCATCCAGCTCTCTTTCTTGCCGAACGTGGATAGGTTCGCCAGAGCTTGAAGTCCTTTCGCTATAAGCGTTAGTGTTCGTTGGGCTCGACTTCGTGGATTGTCTCGTAAAAGCCCGAAGAGCTTAGGGTTTAAGATTGCTGGGCAGATAAACCGAAGAAACAAGAATCCCGATACACTTGTGTAGGTAACAGTGCGAAGAAAGTCGCCGTATCGATCTTCCGCGACAGCTCGGACATACTTAAGAATTTGTCGGAGCTCAAAGGGTAGTTTTATTGCGGAATCAGCGATACACTCCCACACCTCAGTCGTCAGTTGCACTAACAAACCCCAGTGTTGTTGCATCTCATCGTTATGATGGATTCTGCTCGGATCCACCTCGCAATCCGGATTTAGCTCATTAATCTCAAAAATCTTGTCCGCCAAGATCTCCTCTAGGAATTCCTTTCCTAGCCGGCGCATATGGAACTCCAAAGCTTGAGTGAGAAGAGAGTTGCCCCGAAAGAGGAGATTGGCCTCCCCAGCTAAAGTTTTCATATCGCGGACAAGCAGGTCCCTGTCACCCGCAGAGTTTGAAGAATCGGTTGACTTGAGTCGTCGGCTGAAGCGTAGTCTCTTCATATTGTTCTGGCTTCCAATTCCGTCTATCTCTTCTTCGACGAGAGCCATAAGCCATTCGGCGGTACTTCCTGTTACCTGGTAAATATTTAAGAGTAGCTCTGCGAGCCGACGCATGGAGGACGGTATAGCTAGGGCAATTTGGCTTGTTAGCCCAACGCTGAACTTGTGGAGAAGTTCAGCTAACGGCTCATAATCTTTCGTTCCAAGGACAACCAGTTCATCATGATTAACTTTGACAAACATGCTCCCAATAGACTCCTGCTTCTCATCATAAACTTGAAACCATTGCTCATGATCCTTTGCACGTTCCAATTTTTCCAAGGGTATATCCACCGCTCCACATATAACTTCTGTCAAATTGCCAGTCTTAGGAAGACCTAAAGACGCTTGTAGCTGATGACTCAAACTTTCCAAATTCCCATCAAGTCGTTTTAGAATAATAGATAAATACGGTAATGTCGTAGGTAATTCGGTAAATTGGGCGAACTCCCGCCAGAATGGGTTCTTTGTATCGGTCTGTGTTGTCGTGCGGGATCGAATTTCGCCGTCTAATATCACCTCGGCGAGATAGTTCCCAGTTAAAGGATCTCGTTCTTTAGAATGGCGGTCGTAATGCTCTGGACTCGGGGTAGCTTTTCTTATTTTTGCTTCGGTAACTCTGATTTGAACGGTTTTCTCTAAGCGGAATAGCTGTCCTTCAAATTCTTTCTCGAAGTCTCGTATTTCAACTACCTGTTCTGTAGATGCCTCAAGACCGTATAGATCAGGCACTGCAAACGCTCGTAAGAGTACAAACCAGACCTCGAAGAGAACCCTAGAATCTAAAGCGAGATATACGGGTCGGAATATCGAAAGCTGCTTGGAAGTAGATGAGTAGATCGGGAAGATTGCTATGCAATATTCTTCGTCTAAGACAGACCTATCAAGTTGCTGTATAGCACAACGGGAAAGCTGTGGCAGCTCAATAATAGAAAGTACTGCCACATCATTCTCTGTCATCAATTTGAATTCGCCATTATCTTGTAGGATGCAAGACACTCTCCTCCACGACGTCGAACCTGAACGGAGATCTCGGGTAGATGGCCGTTTCACGATTGCACGCGGTGACGTTGCGGTGCCTTTGTCCCACAGCATCACCTTACCGACTTTGATAATGGCCGCATCTTTCGAGGACGAGCCACCTACGGCTAGAGATCCTCGCCTCTTCATATCCGGTCGAACGGACCCGGGTGAACTAGCGCTTCTGCCGTTGGCGAATCTTACTGTGGTGGGGCGAAGTTGTTGCCAGCAGAGTAGACTAGCGAGCCATAAGTCGAATTCCGCGGGTGGAAGAGGCCGCAAGAAAAGTTCGACACCCATCTTATTGTTTAAAATTTCCAGGCTCTTTCCTTTGTCATCCAGACCGTCAACGGGCACAACCCTGCACCCTCGAAGGTCAGTAACTAAAGGAATAGGAAACTGTCCGTTCTGGCCCGAATCAAAATATAAGCTGCCTCTATCTTCATCAACCCAAGCCGTTCCACCGTACCAGGGGCCGTTTGTCTCGGCCTGATACTCGATTTCACCTCTCATACGACCGGCCAGAGTTTTCATTAGTAAGAGAATTTTGTTCGCATCGTTCGTAGGGATCGGGAGTGACAGTGAATCAACGGAGGGCGGCGGTGATACTAGAGGAGATGTAGGACGAGAAGAACCACGTTTTATTAGGCGTCGGTTAGAAGGTTTTTTCTCCTTGCTTGATGACAAGGTAATTTTTAGATCCGGGGGCCTAGTTGGTGCGACTGACGGATAGCCAACAGATTCAAGCACGGTCGGCGGGGGACGAACTTCGATATCTACAACTGCTTGAGAGCCTGATGACGAGAAAGATCCTGGCCGATGCCTGCTATCGATTGTGGAAGGAGATGCGGTTTCTTGTCGCAGTGCTACCGCACCATCCATAGTATGCGTGCGTGGTCTGACGGGTGCCTTTTGATTTTGCGACGGCAGGCTAGAGGAGGTACTATCCAAAGAATCATCATATGTATCGTTAAACACAACACCCCGTCTTCTCCTTTCTCCACCGGGTATAGATCTGGGTGAAGCGCTGCCAGATTCCTGGGTCGCCTGTGCAATGCTCCTCGTGTCCGCAGCCTCGTCATTCTCGCATAACTCAGGCGTAGCCGTCCGAATACTATTGCCCTGCATATTGGCATTGGATTCTAAACTTGTACGCACATTACTACTGGTAGTCCATTCCGCACTTGGTGGTAACGTATCTCCCACGGTAGCCAGCGCCCAGTCTGCAAGGTTGTCGATGTGGTGGTCGCTTTGAGTATCTCCCCTTGTCTCTAGCGGTGGGGGGATACCGCGAAGGTGTTGTTTCGAAGGCATAAAGATTGAAAAATAGTAGCATTGAGCGCCGGACAGGTGCCGCGCAGGTGGAAAGGATTAATGTCGCGCTTTGCAGTTACATGTATGATTGTCGCAGCCATCCACCTCTTTCAACAGCAGAATGACGCGAGCCTGATTTGCATAGAAATTTCGTCTGTCATAAATCGATAACGGATGGTATTTCGTTCACAAGCTGCCATCGGGGGATGGACATTCTAGATTGGTAATGTGGTTTTCGAAAAGCTATGTAGGTCGGTAGGTGGATCGGCGCATGGTAAGGCAAATTACGCAAATTCGAGTCGAGTATCTGTGACGTGGATTTTGGAAGAAATTCGCTAGGTAAATGTTTTCCTGCAGATATTATCATAATATCGTGTGCCTATTTTCAGACTTTCCGTCCGGTGGTACCTCTATACGGCACGTGGAGCATTAACCATCAGGGATTGTAGCAACCGGTAAGCTTTCAGAATTTGCTAGTTGAGGTGTGGGCGAGAAGTCGAGTGGTTCAAAGCTGACCGTCTGCCGGGCTCGGCTCGCATTAGAGAACGGTCAGGAGGGCACAGCAGAGTGTGCTGTGTGCTGTTCTACTCGCTCGTTAGGTGGCCAGGGCTATGCAGGAAGAGCAGGCCGGCTTTGGGGTTCTATGGATTCTATGGGTTCTGGAGCTTCTGGATTCGCACAGCGAAGGTCGGAGTATTATCTGCAGGACCACTGCTTGTCCTGAACCATTGGGGCTCGACGATTGGATCCCCGGTCTAGGTTCAGGGTCGAGAGAGGGTCGAGACGGCAAGCTACCAGCCAGGTAATTTGGTGGGGAGAAAGGGTGCGACGACAAATAAGGAAGAGGTGTTGCCGTTAAGGAATAGCTCTAATTAAACCACGTAGAAATGATTGTCTCAGATGCAAACTGCGGGCGAAAGGCTCGTTAAGGTGCGTTGTGCATCGATCACTTGTTGACTTGTTGTGCCCTGTGTGCCTAGCTGGTCCCTCAGTAGGACGGAGATAGAAAAGAAATAAATGGGGCTGAAGAGGATCCGATTTATTATTTGAGCAAAAAAGAAGAGGTCATAGCAGATAACTTGAGATGGAAAAGTCAATTCCAGTCCAGCTTCCATGCTCCTTCCTTCGCCTGATTTGGTGCTAGGGATGCCTGTAAAGATGGTGGGAAGGAAACGGCTTCTACTTAAGGTTACTGCCATTTACCGCTATTACCTTAGACAGCTAGAGATAGCTAGACCACCTAGGCTACCTAGGCTACCTAGACTTACAGAGGTAGAACACAGCTAAAAAGTTAATTGCGCTTACAAGGACCCTAGTTACGCCTAGTCGCCCTAGTTATCCCCCTTGTCAAGACCAGTAACGGCCGCTATAATTGATCTTATTAGGTACCTAGAGTTGACCTGGTTTAACTCCAACATCTATCACGCTATTTTGAAGTTAAGAGATTTCATCTTTACTCAATTGTGACTTGTTACTATTGATTAAGACAAGGGACCATAACGCCAATATTACGCCAACGAAGTAATATGGAACTCGTACATGGGTAACGGGACATTTCTAACCGATCCCCGTTCGAACATTCGCACCTAATCTGTAACCTGGTTGTCCTACCGATTATTTTCGGTCATGATAGGGACAATCAAGGGGGCGACAGTCCTTGAATTAAGTACCTAGTTTACCTAATGTATACATATATGCTGGGTACTTAGCTCCTAAGTAGGTATTATAGTTTATATGTAAGGATAGAAAAAGAATTTATCATACAAATTCATCATAATACCTAGTAATCTAAGCAAGCTATTAGAAATAAGAACGATAGCGAGCGCGGTGATGATAGAATCTGCGACAAGCTACCAAGCGCCCTGGTAGTATACTACTACTAACACGGCCTGGCTATTGCTAATAACAGGGCACCTGTAATAGGTAATACGGAGTTACGGACTAAAATGTCCTGAAAATCTATTTGATATTTGATAAGCAAAGACGCCTGCAAATAGTAGGCGAAGCTTCCCCGTCAACCACTAAGCTAGCTCATCATCCTGTTCGCTTACATGCTTCAATTCTTCTTATTTTTCTCATCTTCCTACGGCATCCAAGTGTGGGGGTCGACTGCTCTGAACGAATAGTGTCCAAGGACATTCCAATTATCGAACCTTCTTGTCCTAAATCTCGATTCTCGGTTGGGTTCCGAATGGTCATGAATCCTATCTCGCTTGGGAGAGAGAGAACATCTTAGTCAGTGACGGAAATCAGTGACGGGAATCAGTGAACAAGGTTTACCATAGTATTGGTTACAAACAATGCTACACAACATGCCCGTCGATATGAGTTAACTACAAGTCTCTCAAGGTCAAATTTGAGAAGAAATGCATGTTTCTCGTGGCTCATCTCGGCAAAGCCTATCACGGAGCCGAAGCCTCGCGTTTGGGGTATGACTGAATACCACCGAATTCTCTTTGCGTCTTGAGGCGTTCATAGCCTGCCCGTCTTGTGTCGCCCTATCCAGATTCCCGGATCACCTACGTTGGTTCCATGAAACCTAAATGCACACAACATGCATACAATTCCATATCAAGGCTTGTGATGTACGTACGACGAATTCCCAATTGGCCCTGTCTAGATTACCTAGGCAAATTTTCAGGAACATTTACGTATAAGTGGGTTACATATCATGCATTCTCATGCATACAATATACTCAATAATATAAGTCGACATCCGACATTTAATCCTATGTAGGGGAGGGATTCGCGGGAATTGGTTTATCACTAAAACGGAAATTCCTCTGAATATTCTCGAACGATTGTGACGAACATATCGGTGAAGTCTGGGTGGAAAGTTACGAATCGGTCAGGAAAATACGAAATCCACTTCAATAATTACCTGGACCCTACCAGAACAAAGTTAAAATGGTCCGTTCCGCAATGATCAGCCGAAGCCACATATTTCTAATTACATACCTACATGTATATAAGTATGTATGTATGTATGTATGTACGTACGTATATAAGTAATCAGATAATATGAGATATATGCACAAGCCTGTTCCAAGGATAATTATCCAATGTAACATGTTTTGTTGTTGATTCCCCCCCGTGGCGTCTTTCGATTCCGCATATTCTCGAAAGAGACGAAAATCGAGCATCGCTGAGGTCTTACGAGTAATTCGAATTGCAGACACGTCCATGTATGTTGTTTGGTATGTAGGTACCTACACTACCTACACTTCTGCCAAGTCAGCGAAACAGAGGTCCGTGTCTTGCATCTCTGGCGTCCTTTTCCCCGCTGTCCCATGTCTCTCTATTCTTCGCTTAGCCCGACTCAGCAAAGCTGGAAAGCCAAGTGCCTAGGCAACCACTAAGCTGCCGTCCAGCTCAAAAGCAACGGTAGCGATGAAGAACGAACAACAGCAACAGAGAAAAAGAAAAATTGGGGCTGGGAGGATCAGAAGATCCGGGGACGACCCATTCTTAAAACGTTCGATTTGTTTTCTTCATATCCTTCTACCAGCAGGGAACAAAAGTCATGAAACAAGATTATGTTGATTACGAGACGGGGGGCCTCTCGGCTTCTGCAAATGATCCCCACAAGATTATAGTGTGCATATGTACACTAAAGCGCTCAAAGGAACGAGAGCCTTGCCGGCAGCTTACATACGGCAGTCCCAGAGCTAGGTCTAGCAAATACCTATAATACCTGCCTAGGTATATACATGTGTACAATAAGACCGGACAGGTGGTTTGGACGGGCTCCTATTCGACAACCAAACCAGGTAATATCTCGTACAAATGCGCCCTGGCCGTGACGTATTTTGACAGCTCAGCTCGCTGCGGTTCGCACACGTATCCCACGAATCAGCCCTATCCAAAGGATGGAACACGCGGGTAAAGAAATACTGTAAAGGGGCAGTCTCTCCGACCCAGCAGTACGGGACGTGGACACCCTCAGCTTCACTTCATAAGATTACTATTGATGGGATAGGCATTACTAAAATGTGCTAAGAGCGACATATAGGATAGATTTTCAGGGTCTTGCAGCTGTACGTTATACCCGCCCAATTATCCGGTCTCCCTATGTAGTCTCGGCAGTATACACATGTATGATTGGGTACCTTAGGTAGTTCTATATATATACACTGTGACTCGATGGCTGAGTTTCCGAGCTTCTGACCGACAAAGAAAATCATGCAAGGACGCCACGGCCTGTAAGGTCCTATGCACGTAGAACCGGTACAACATGACAAAAATCATCTCGAGAATATTAAAGCGGCGGTAGAGTTGGTTTGATGACAAGGGTTGCATAAAACAATCCGGAGCAGGTATTCTACTATGTACAACTTTCGTCCCATCTCTTGTTGTTTTTGCGAAATGCTCAATAGGGGGAATATAACTCGGGATATCAAAGGCGAACAAACCCCTACTACCAGCTCCCTCATTTACCCGGAATCGATAATCCGTGACTATTCACATCACCATCCTGCCCCCCTAAAAACCTAGCGAGCTTTGCTGGCCTAGTAACGAGAAACGACTTATCGAGGATGGTATCACCTTCTCCTATGCGGCTCGTAAGAAAATAAGATAAACGTCCTTGCCCTAAACCACATATCTGCCAACTCCATTTGCCCAAACTCTGCCTCCCCCCTCTCTGTCGTCCCAAAAAGTATCAAACGGTATCCATGAGTTGCAGTTCCAAAAAATCGAGGTATAAGTAAACGCGTCCAAAAATTGAAGTCTGCCCAGAAGAGGCGCGACCTTTTAAATATCGAAGTCTCATAATGTGTTATCTTCCAATCAGGAGAGATAGGCGTGTGCGTAGATGTGTTCTCTTACTCGTTTAGCGAGAAAGGCCCTCAATCGGGCTAATGGGGAGACTCCGAGCAATGCTGAGGTCGGTGCTACCAGTACGTCTCAGGGCTTGCGACATGGTCTCTATGTTGAGATCTCCATTTACCGAAAGACTGTGCTCTGCGGAGGTAGGACTTCCAAGAGGTTTCCGGACAGGTGACATGCTTAGCCCCTTAATAGATCCTGAGATGCTGTTCGGTGGCGAGGTCTCCGGTCCCTGCGAGGAGACAGGTGATCTTATTGGGGAGGGAGAACGATTGACTCCTCTCGATCCAATAGAGGTCAAACCAGCAAGATGCATAGAATCTCGGCTGCTATTCGGAGGTACCTGCTCTGCCTGGACCACATCCGCAAATGAAATGAAGCTCAGACGTCTAACATCAGCCGAGTCGAGTGATCCGTAGTTCGAGGCTGCCTCCTCCTTGTCGGAGAAAGCAGCAAGATCCTCAGCCCATGAACTTGACGCGGTTTCAAATTGGGAAGCACCAGTCACCGTCACACTAGCAGGTTGGTGCGCGTTATGAGTTACGATCTCGACGGAGTCGGGGTTGAGGCGATCATCGGTAATAGCTTCGGAGGATGCGTCGAGGACAGGTGGGATATAGTTTTCAGTCTGGATATGGGACGGGATAGCCGGCGAATTAGGTATAACGGTGGTACTTTCTTGAACGTCTCGCTCGAAGATTTGCGAACCTGCAGGAGAACTTAATCGTGGAGACGACGAATATAATCCGCGACTAGGTGAGGACGGTGTCATATTGGGACTACCAGCTGGAATTGGCGAACTAGTCACCGAACGTTTCGTTGATGTATGAGGGACATCTTTCGCAGATGGCGAATTCGGGAGTCCCGAAGAGGATTGAGGGGAAGGTTTAGCACCAGGTTTAGAGTCGCCCTTCTTCTTCCCAAACCCAAACAAACTTCGCTTCTTCGACTTTGGATCGGTTTTAGTTGAATCACTCTCCATCTCCTTCTCGTTGTTATCTGTGATAGTTGAAGTTGAATCACCTTTAGTGTTACGGTTCTTTTCTCTCGATTCTGGAGCTAAATCCTTTTCCGTTGGGTTTTATAGAAACTGCCGGTGCAAGACTCATAGTGGATCGGTACCGCGGTTTTAGAATGGGGTGATTAACGGGTAACCTTCAATGAGTGATATTTAATTCTGGAAGATGCCAAGACAACCGTTAGCACGAGACCAAAAAAAATGACGGGACCAAAAGCGACGGAGCGTATAAGCCAAATAGGAATCCCCGTCTTGTATGTAGTAGAATTAGTGCAAACGTTGTTGTTGCTACTATTGTTGCAAAGGGGGGAAACCTAGTGTTTGGTAAATTGATGGGGAGGCCTTATGACTCGAGTAGAGAGAGAAGAAGAAAAGGTAGCCCAGATCTGTCATTCTCGCGTATAATAAATTATCGGGGTATTTTAATATAGATTTAAGTAAACTGCCACTTACCCTCCGTTAGTGCACCTGCGAGTAAGTGGAAATTGACCAAGTTCGACCAGGCAGATTTCAGTTATTCTTTCTTATTTTCTCACTATTATGATAGGAGAATGTCTTGCGTCTGCCTGCCCTATAGCTTGTTCCTGCTAAGTGTTATGTAAGTGTTGTTGGTACGGCTACAACTATGCAGATGCGGTTGCAGATGTAGGTATAAGTGGTATAAGTGGAAGGGTAAAAATCCGGTACAGCACGATGCAAAAGGATGCAAGTGTGCAGTTTGGGGTAGGAAGCCTTGGGAGAGACCCTGTTGACGATCGCTTCTTGTCCTAATACGTAACAAGTCTAAACAAGGTCTAAACCAGGAAGACCAGGGAGAGGATGAAGCAGGTGACAGGCAGCGACGATCAGCAATTTGCTCGTGTGGATTAATGACGCTGATGGATCGTGGCTAATAAGTTAAGTAGCCTTGGAAACCATGTCTTTATAGAATAGTGAAGATGACGACGATAGAGAAGGGATGGATTTCGTGTAAGTGCCTTAAGTGCCTTAAGTGCCTGGCGTGCCTTGAGTATATTAGCTATGCTGGCCAACTAGTGTTATTTAGGTACAGTCATCCAGGATCATGGGACGGGTCGCCGGTCATTAATTGAGCCCGAAAATATCAGCCTTGAGGCGAAGGGCAAGGGCAAGGGGATAGTTATGCGAAGACGGAAAAGTAGAAGAAAAATAAAGAATAATGTGCTAAAGGTGGGATGTTAATTAATAAAAATAGAGGTAGACCTATGCAGGGTTTTTTATTTTTGCTTGTCACGATCAAGGTTCATAGATGGAAGCGATCAAATTATTATGCTTGCTTGCTTCAGCTTGCTTTTTCACTTTTTTTTTTTTTCTTTTCTTCTTACAAGCAAGCTTTGCATTGATATGCTATGAGCCCACTTGGCGTTCCCAAAAAGTTCATGAGTACGCGTTTGTGTATGTAATGTCAGACATAAGATCAATACAGCTAATAGATAAGAGAGATGACAAGAAGAAATTTCTTGCTTCGACACCGGAAACTTGGGTGTGATACGGTATCACGTAAACATAGTTGATATCAGAAACACGAGGGGATATTGGAGACTCTTGGGTATTCTGCTCATCAGGTTCTAAAAAAGGGGGCCGCAATAGGCGACGTCACTCGTGGTGACAGAATCCAATGATCGTCAAGGATGCGAACAGGCCAGGATGAGGGAATGCCCCCTCCATCAGAGGCACGGCTTTCGATCGTTTTTTTCCCAGGCCCGATTTCCCAACCTTGTTAAAGTTCTTACATAGTACTCCAGGTACAATATATTGTTATTTATGTAACGATCACGGTCATGACCGATAGTGAACCCCTCGAGACGAAACTGGTGATGAACCAGGACAAGTCTCGAAGGAGGGACATCGAAGGCCATCTATTGGGCCTTTTACAGTCCCGCAGTTTGTCGCATTAACATCAATGCAATCCCACGAGCTGAAAATAGGCGAGAGGACCAGTTGAGACGACCATGGCCCAACAACCACAATGCTGGCTGACACAGCCTGCCTACGACTTGCAGCACGCCACTGGAGACCAATTCTCATAACCTGGAAAAATTACTGTAGAACATACCACCACGTCCCGTTGTCCTGAGCCTAGGTCGCCCTGAGCCTAGATCGGGAAATACCATCTATCTATGTGTCTTGGGTGGTTTAGAGTAGTACCATCGAAGCCATGTCTTGTAACACCCAAGCAGCCAAGTAGGGCAAAACCCCCCTCCCTTAAGAAATTGATACGCAATGATAGTTATTTTCGTCGCAATCTCCAATATTTGCCTCCCCGTCTCTCTCGTAGCTCGTGGGGGGGCAAGGGCATTACCGTTGAGGGTACCAGTCAAGCATGTAGGCTGAATCGATTGGATGAACCTAGAGATACCAAGGCCTGGGCCGTCTGGCACATGAAACCTCGAATTCGACCTAACGTAGGTACGTCACTTATCATGAGGGGTTGTCGTCTCGATTGGCCCGAAGAGTGGGTTTAATTGATTAGAGGGTGTTGAATCGACGGAGTTCAAAGAGAAACCTGTCCGCGTGAAGGTCAGATAAGTGCATAAATATTTACGTACCTGCATATTCGATTCAACACACGGACCACTTATACTAGAAGCGATCACCTGCAGCTCCATTGCCTTAGGTAATAGTACTTTATTACACCTCCAATAAAATGTCACATGACTTACTCTATCCCACTCGGCCCGCGGGATCCTCCGACAAAATTTCACTTGCACTTGGCCTAGGGAAGTAATCGATTAAATTCATAGAAGAATTCGAGGGCTACTCCCGGAGGAGAGGGAACGAGACAGCATTCTCCCAATTAAGCAGTCTTCCCTCTCTCAGGCGCGATATACTTCTTTATACTCACTCAAAGTCTTCAACACTCTCCCACAAGCTAGAATGGAGGCTCGACCCCTCCTGCAGCCTCTGCTGCGCTCCATCAGCACATCTACCTCGACGAATACAAGAGTAGCAGTAACAATAGCCTCCATCCCACGACACACCAATCCTCGACATCCCGCACAAAGCGCGCCTTGAAAATCGCCCCTCACCCCTCCTTCTTCCCCACCTCGGCCTCCTCCTCGGGCGAATCCACGCAGGTAATCTACAACCCGCCGTCCTCTACGCCCTCCGTCTACCACACACGCCCTTCAAGTTCCTGCCTCCGAGACGACCCCCGGCGGAAAGCCAATCTAGCCCAGCTCTTCCGGACCTCCGCCGACGTGTCTTCTTCCAAGTCGGTCCTCCCCCCCGAGCTCAAGGACCCCGAGCGCAAGTACAACGTGACGCGGGAGCAGGTGGAGGAGATGCGGTCGCTGCGGGCCACGGACCCGGAACGTTGGAGCGTGCTGAAGCTAGCGGAACGCTTTGGTTGCGCCCCGTATTTCGTCATGATGTGCTGCCGCTCACCGACCGAGCATCGCGAGCGCGAACGCGCGCGTCTGGGCGCTGTTAAGGACCGGTGGGGTGCGATTCGCACGGCCGCTCGCGAGGAGCGGAAGAAGCGCAAGGACTTGCTGCATAAGGGTCTATTATAGGCGTGCTAAGCTATCTATCTATGCGTCTACCTATTCACCTATACATATCCCTCCCTAGTATCCAGTTGCCTCAACCTGCCATAATGCAAGGGAGTTAGTGGGGTATCTTAGCTTTCTATCCTCTGTGAGAAGTGGAACGGAACGGGAAGGGTGGTCAATTCTCGCCTGCTAAGATGAGATAGAGGCCGGGATCTGGTTACGTAGGAAATCTGCTATATACCATCGGTCCCAAGTGAGGTGTCTTGTGTATCTACACGCATGTATATAGTAAGAGGGGATTGGGGACGAGGCGGACGACTAACGAGTGAAACCGGATGGATACAAAGATCAGATCACAGCTCTAGGCTAGGAAGCAGACCTACATGTATCACCAGACCTTAAAAAAACAATAAAGTTGTACATCACCAACGATCCAATGTAAGATATGTCATCATCAACTTTGAATTGACGCATCTCATAAACACCCAATAAGAACCAATAACTTATATCCGAGAGCTACTTTCTCTTTTTCTTGAGCGCATAAATCTTATTTATACCTCTATTTTTCGTGATAATATTCATAAGACGCGTCTTATACAGGTATATTTAGAGCATTCGTCAATTAAGCTTCAATTATTCCGTTCATATTCCTCTATTTGCTATTTACACCCAAGGAACCCTTTTATATTTCCCATTTACGTAGCTCATTTAACCCTGGAATATGCAAAATTTAGCATGATCTAAGTATATCGGTAGCTCACTACCGTATTTACTAAATACGTAGTGTTTGCCCGGGTGGGAGCCTTATTGCTTCCCGTTTGTACTGGCGTTTGTGCTATGAGCTTTTGCGGTCTCCCAGTCTTTCTTCCCCGGAATCACTCTCCAGCACCAGCCGCACCAACTACGACTGCGTCCCGAGACCTCTCGGCCCAGGATCTCACCCTTGTTCTTTTCATCTTCCCACTCGGGGACGCAGGCGCCAACGCGCACGATCCGCACGAGCTTCGTCTTGACTACGCCGCCGATACCCTCAATTTCGTGACGGGCGTATCCGGGCCTCAACTGCGGGCTCGGCGTCCGGCGTTCGGACGGTGGCGAGCCGGAGATAGAAGATGCCGGCGACGGCGTAGTCCAGGGCGACAGGGTACCATTATTCTCATCCTGTTCTCGGGCATCCGCGGCGTCGCAGTCAGTTTCCTGTTCCCGCTCCTTGGAGCCGCAACACGCTGCCTCTCGGCCGCAAATCACCCCCCGGTCACCTTCGCCGATACCGGTGCCGAGACCCCCGAGAACCTCGCCGTATTGGTTACGCCATTTCCAGATGCTACATCCGGTTAGCTTAGATGAATAGACGAAAAAAGGTGGTGATCAAATGATGATCAGGAGACACGTACGACTTATAGTCGTGATCCGCTCCGCGAATACTCCTCCCGCAAGGTTGGCATAGCCAAACTCCCTTTGTGACACAAGTGCAGATTGCTTGCTGCATTTCCTCAGCGTCTGCGAGAGTGTCTGGTGATAATGACGGTTTAACAAGACTTCCGAGAGGAGCCTTACTACATGGAAAGCATAGTCGGCGATGCCTGTCGCGAAGCACAACGGGGGCTGGCGGCTTGATGGCGCAGTTCTAGCACGTATCTCGTTAGATGCACTGCTAGAATGATTCATTGAGCAGTAAAATGCTTACCCGGCATACAGCCGTTGCGCATCGCCTGCATTCGGCTACCATATCTCTCGCGCAATTCCCGCTTTTACCATTATAGTCCCCAGTTCGACCGTCTTCCATATAATACCAATTCCCTGCTCGGGCACGGTAACGGAAAGTGTCTTCAGGGTCGACGGGTACATCTTCGTTGACACAATGGAGGGTATGCGCAAGAAGGGCGCTTCGATACTGCAGGAGGGCCTGATGGACCTGGCGACAGGTACGAGACAGGTTGTCGAGTGTGTTCAGGTCGATAGACGACGCAATCGCCATAACGATACTGGTGGTCGAGTCAGCCTTATCTCCCCCGGCTTCACACGATGAGTATGACAACCAAGGGGAGGTTCTGCTAATAGAAATGCCATAAGTGAGGTTGCGTCTGCCTACGGATAACATCCGAGAGCCTCCGCCATCCCATTATGCTCGTTGAGGTTCTCTGGTTCTCGATCTATCGTAGTCTCTTGGCTCTCTCCTCCATGTAACCCATTCAGCTGCTGCTTGACGCGCTCGCCATTCCACTCGGGCTTTAAGCCATAATATTGTGTCTGCGGTGGCTCGGCCTCCTCGTCGAGGTCTACGAAAAGTGCCATCTTTGGTGATGCTGAGGGAAGGCCAGCGTGGCGGGTAAAGGGGGGGGGAGATAAGAAAATAAGACGGAAGGTCAGGGACCCGAGTTGAATGTTAGAGGTTAGAGGTTAGAGTGAAGAAGAATGACGAATAAGAAAAAAATCGGAGACTTTGAAGTTAAATATATAAAAATGTTCCCGGAAGGTCTCAACGACATGGGAACAACTCCCGAGTCGGTAAACCCCAACCGTTGCGATTCGTGTTTAAATGAAGTATATGTGATGTATGTAGAATGTAATTATATTCTATAATTGACATATTGTAGGTACGAATATAGACATGTATGAATACTTACATGTACATCATATGTAGGATTGATTCATCAATACCGCAAACTGCCACATCACAATCCACGATATAATAATAATAACAGGTAACTATTGAATAAAAAGTATAGCCAGTTTTTAGGTACCTAATGCACCTAATAGCGTCCCCATCTTTACTCGAGTAAATATTACGTGTGCGAATGTACGCGAATGTACCTTCTTCGTATTGTCTTTATCAGATCCGTCACCGCGCACCGGTACGCATATTTGCACGTCTTTAGCAGGTTTAACAGAGTTACCAGCTTGCCTATAGTAGGCAGGTGGGGTCGGAATTGGGACAAATAATTCGCTACGGCTCCGCGCATTGATCAGCGCTACGAGACACTAGCATCGCAACGGGGGGAGGCTATGATCCGCCCTTTACCTAACAACCCTAACTGTATTTGCAGCACGCCATCTACAAACTCAGCGCTGTCATCAGGGGCAGAAACTGTAATTCCTTACCCTTTAGGTCTAGATCGCTCCTTAAGTCGCGTTCAAAGACCCTCTACTTCATATTATACGTTCACGTGTCCTGCAGCTATCGTGAGACCTCAACGGCGTACATATTTTAGTTTTTTCACCGATGCTAATATTTTGTAGTATATGTATACTGCAGTACCTGTCTAGGTACCTAACATATATATAATGTTGCACACCGCTCATGAATACAAAGATAGAACGGACGAATAGCTACCGCTTATCTTAAACGTGTCCGGATCTTCCGTTACGTTCCCCCCCTTTTTTTATAGGAGCTCACACTTACACCGACATAATTCCCCCCTTATTACAATCCTCGATTTTCGTTGTTCGTCATCTGTTATTCATATGCTGGATGGGCGGAATACCGTCAAAATAATGGCCCATATTATGGTAGCTAGGTAGTATTAGATATCTTTTTTTGACGCTATTCTAATAAAACAGTAGTCTTAGAGAAAAGTATCATGGTTGTTGCGTAAGTTCCATGTTTTCTATTTTCAATGCCAAGCCGGTCTCAGCTCCCCAAGAATATCATTAGTAATAATTATGTATGAGCGCTGCCCCTGTTCGCGCGAGGCGCGTGACGATAGAATCTAGGGGAGTTTTACCCAATGTTACCACCAAGAAGGGAATTCAGGTCGTCCATCTCAATCCTCCTCAAACTAACGATAATATCCGTTTCCCTCCACTCTATCCAGTAAGCTAGGAATTCCCTATACCTACTTATTACCTTAGTTATATATACCATACGCTCGTTTCCACATTATTAAACCACCATATACAATTCACCATGAAAATACCATGAGTGCTGGATTCAGTACGACGGGTAGCAAAAAGTGGCAGCCGACGGTCCAAGCGAGCGGCCAGATAGACGCCAAGTGCACGATTCTCCACTGGCTAGGGAATGCGAAATAGCCACATATGATAAGTGCAGTCATGAGGATGCACCAGACAAAGGTGCCCTTGAAACGCCGGAGCAATCGCGGTATCTCTTCGAGAAAATTGACGTCTTCGATTTCTTTGGCTGTTGCACCCCAGACCATGTCGATACTAAAGAAATGGCATAGCAGCGCCTGCGAGACGTGTAGAGATAAGCCACCCAAGAAGATAGTCATCAGCGGGATCCATTTGATGTTGTTCCAGACTAAACATATATGTTAAAAATCAGCCTCTCATCTTTAGATAATCATGCGTGTAGTATAAAACTCACAGGCCCCCAGGAGCGACATCTCGCTCAGGCGATACCTCAAGATAGCCAGTGAGAAGTTCCCAAGCCCCGTAAAGACTACGATGACCGAGATGTATATGGCAAAAGAGTCAATATAAAACTTGTCGTAAAACCCAAAGAACCATCCTGACAGAAGATAGTTCATAAGGGTTAGTATCCAGCAAGCTCCAATAGCATAGTACGTGCCGATGTAGGCGCAAATAGTCATTTTCTTGGGCAAGTGTATACCGGAGAATATAAATTTTCGAAATAGAGGCGTAATGGGACCTTGCGTGAACCAAAATCTTAAGGGGTGAAATAACAATTCATTGCAACCGTATGCGTATTTCTCCCATCGTGCTAATTCGTCATATACCGTCAGGGAGACACCCTCCTGAAAACCATCTCCGGTATAAGACGCGAACCTGAGCTCATACCCGGCACACTGGAGCTTAGAGACATTTCAAAGTCTTCCGACACATGAGTCTCAGACCAGTACTTTTCATAGCCGTCTTCGTCTTGGTACGCGGTGGCATCCTGGATGGCAGACCATCGTAGAATAGCGTTGTGGCCTACAAAGGGGCAAGCATCGCCATTTGCCACTACAAAAGTGATAGCTGAATAGATAAGGTTCGTGAACCATTTGACCCTGTGGCGGTGTTAGTGCGTATATATATATTTGTGTATGTGTAGCCGAACTTACCCTCCCTCGAAAAAAGACGGCGATACTTGCATAACTCCAGATGTGAATTGAAGTATTGCTACCTGAGGAGACTGCTCCATTTCGCTAACAGCATCTAACAAGCAGTCCATTGGCACACGGGTATCTGAGTCGACTATTAGGATGTAGTCGCCCATGCGGACATTGCCCTCGGCCCAAGTGCGGCCCTGATCTTCCCGCAAGACTTCGGAGAGACAATGATTATACACAGCTTGTTCATCGGTCTCGGTCCAATCCGGGGATCTGGGTATTTGAACTAGCTTATCTTCCACGCGATTACTTACCATCAAAGCGTAGTTCATATTTGATGCCTTTTTGAATTTGCCCCGCCTAAGAAAGGGTTGGCTACCATCATCTGGCTTCGGATCGTGCTTTGGTCGAGCGACCCAGCCGATGTTATTCTCCTCATAAAACTCCTGCCGAGCATAGGCATCTTCTTCGGAAATTAGCTGCATCCCGTCATCGTTTATGAAAATATTGGCGGAACCGCCTTGTAACGCGTATGTCGAGATGCATTTCTTGAGCGATTGGATTGAGGGACCGATAACTGCCTTCAGGCCTTCTTTGTACACAGGCATTTGAATAGTTACATGAGGCAGACGGTTGACCTCCCGTCTAAGTCGCATCGGGGGCTTTCCGGAGTAGAACCTCGAGTTTTTGTCAACAGCAGATATCGGTCCTATTATTTGGAAAAGGTTCGTGATCAGCGACTGAAAAAAGAAGAAGGCCACCCACATTTCGACCGGAATGGCGGCAATAAGTGCCAGTCGAGTATACGAGCCATCGGTTTGAATTTCGAATGCTAAAGCCCTTAGTCCAAGGCCCATGCAGCTTACGCAAAGAGCCACCGTCACGGCTACGATGCCCGAACTGCTAAGCTTGGTTGGTCTCGGTTCCTCCTTGCCTTCGTCCTCTAAGTCTACCGCTGTTATATTCACTTCAGCAGCTTGGCTCTTTTCGCCCTTCTCTTCTTTCCCTTCGTCTTGTTCGTCATCATTTACTCCAGAACCCCAAATAACTTTCATTAATTCTCCTTCTAAGGCCTCTGCCCTAGCCAAAAGTTTCTTCGGGTTATCGTCCCAGATGACGAGAATCTTGAGATCATCGATGAATGCAGCGAAATGATGCTTCTGACATTGTGGCAGGTCACGCATGGAGGAGAGAACCTGCAAGCGGAGACCATCGGAAAGTGGGATATAGTCATGCGTCGTCCGCCTCGAGTTAAGCATAACGGTGATGACCCTGGTATTGACTGTCATGGCACACTATAGACATATTAGTTTCTTATATATTTCAACATTTAAGAGACTTACTGACTCGGACATTCAGCTCCATCGCCATTTGATACAATCCGTAGGGTACTTCTCGAAGATCTGGCGGATAGCATGCAAAATTTTTCTTGCTTCTCTTTATAACGACGCCTTCCCCGGGCATCAGGCCGGTAGCATATTGCTTTTCCAATTGTTGCTGATATAACCAACTGCACATAACATCTAGTTTTAAACCATGACCGTTTTCCAGATTGTTTTGTGAATCTGTAGAATCAATAGCAGGACTTTCGAATATAGATAGCGACAGTGGTGTTTGTGATGTTTGATAAGGGGGTTTAGGTATCGCTATCGCTGGATCTAAATCGGTAAACAAATTTGCTACCGGGATATTGGATCTTGAGTTGCTTGGGCCAGCATCGTTCCCCCTGACGGCTGACCTCTCGCTATAATCATCTTCCCATCTTTCCCCCCTATTATGACCAGGAGTGGTATACGTCCTGAGGGGGTTCATCTCGCATGCCTCAGTAGTAAAAGGCGAGAGCTACCATCCTCAGCGGCGAAAGACTACCAGACATAAAATAATTATAGCATGAATTATTATTTTCTTTTTACTTCCTAAAAGTATAAGAAGGGCTCCAAAATCCGAAAGGAGCGACGCATCCAAGAGAAAACGATAAGCGACAAGGTACCCTTTAATTCTATTGTGCGTTGGGCACAAGGCTATTTCTAGTAAAACACGGATTCTATTAAGACGTAATGGACGTTACTTCCAGTCCAACAGTGCGGCCAGAGTTTGCTAGGTATTACTTGAAGCCAGTTGATGGTAACGTCAGGACTGACATACATATTGGAGAGCTGAGCCAAGCCCGAAGCCACCAGACGCACTATATGATAAAACGGGCAAGGCTATTGGTGTTTGAACTTGTCGGGAAATTCTCCACTTGGGAGGTCGATGTGTAACCCCGTATCGATGTTGATACGGGTTTCTATGCGCATGCGATGGTTGGAAAACATATAGTGGGTAGCAATAAGGACGGAGCTGTGTGCAAGGGCGTTATATTCGTTGGAGCCTAGACTCGATAGTTTGAAGCTTCGAGACCGGCCGACCAATCCTTATGCCACTAATGATGGAAGAAGGCGCGAGAAACTGAAAGTAAGCCTGCATCATGTCAAGCAGGGGCGATAAGCACGAACGGTTGAGAGAAACTCTAGGCGCTCGAAGACCGGGCATGATTGCCCGGGTGTATGTACAGATTTGGGAGCGAACTTCTTTCCTCGGCTCGGTTGCTTAGTTGATAGCTTTCGAGTTCCCAGCTTATTGGCTACCTCTTGGGAATTATCGACGCAGGGCTGAGGGCCTTATCGTCCACAGCATTATCTATTGCGTGCCACAAACGGGCCAAGGACAAAGGAGGAATATCCAGGTATCACGAACCGAGAAGCTGAAGACTTAACTATTGCTTCGTGTATCGGCCAGGGCTGGCGGAAAGATATTATAAAAGTAATATTGAACCTACTAGGATACTGTGGCTGGATTCAAGATTAAATCTATTGATGTTTTAGCACATAGGTCTTTTAAAGCAGCTGTTGAAGGAATGAAAGTGCGAGTAATCCATGACTTGAGATGGGACTGATGGGCATTCAATCAAAATCCGAACGTAAGATATCTAGCCGTGAATAGTGACTATTGACTATTGAGTATTGGTTATTGGTTATTGGCTAGATAACCGCTCTGTGGGTTGACCCGTGAAATTTAACCTCATATGCAGCTCTCGGCCCTTCAACAAAGTTTTGGGGTGTAAGAGTCGCAATCAAAATGTTGGATCGGAAGGAAGTTATCTGATAAGTCACAGTATCATATTAGTATTTCATACTGTTAAACTGATACGAGTTGTTGGCCAAATTCTTACTTACATCCGAATAGCTACCCTCTCTCGGAGCCATATAGCCATATGGCCATCCCAAGCATTTGCCACATCAGCCGCATATACTACCTTTCATGCATGCAGCTATGTAGGCATCATGAGGAAGACCGGTTTGGCATCCAACTCTGGGCATGTCAAGCTAGGGTCGGGAATGACCCTCTGTTCTTATTTTAGCAAAGTAGCACCAATAGTGCCTCTTCAGAAACTGATCCGAATCTTGACATTACTAAATATACCTGAGTAGAAGAGATAATAAGGATATATGTATCCGTAAACTCGAGGTTGAGTGAATCTACCTTGGGCTGTTCAATAGATATGGTATATCTACCTAGGTGATGTATTAGTTCAACTAATCAGAGGGTTAGGTATAATCAAGCGAAAGAATATAGATTATATACTAAATTGTACGCCCCACATATCTCATAAGAGTCTAAAGTTAAGGTTAAGGTTAGGTACTATCCGTGAAACATTACCGGTCTGTCTGTTGATAATTTCTAGTATTTAATGAGAGGCGCCCCCAAGTTGCCGACTCAATATTTACCTACCTAGTAATTTAGGTATTGGCACCCCAATGCTTACCAATCCTTACATATTTATATAGTTGTATATTTTAGCAACCTCTAAAAGGCAACGATACCGGTTCATACTTCTGTTTGTGAAACACTCTATCATGACCATTGTCAGTCTATCATTAACCAAAGTTACCATCTCACTCCTCCTCACATCCTTTGCTTTTGTACCACGTATGCCGGTATGTGGTAAATAAACATGAAAGCAATTGCTAATAAATTAAGATAACGAGAAACGTTTCAATTCGTGTAATTAGGTAACTTGAATATTGTATGGTATGTGGTGGGTTTCAGTTGCATGAACAACTGTCAAAGACAACGAGGTTTTCTGCCCTACCTAAACGGTAGTAATTTAAGCGTGAGCTGAGCTACGCTTAGGCATCACAACTCAGCTCCACAAGGTGAGCCGCGAAAAGCTGCAAAAACTTTAAGGGCGGTAAATGTGGGAATATCTGCAAGGGCGCTAATGATAAAAAATGATATGGCGTCATATAGTGGCGATGTTCTGATAAATTCTGATAAATTCTAAGATTTTTGCTTAAAGAATAAAAGATAAGTGCGGTGTCGGATGCAGGTAGAATTCTATATGATGGGTCTTACAGAGATAATGCTGGGTATTCGCAATCATTTTTTGGGTAACTGATTTCATACACCTCATTGTTATTTCATGTGACATCATGCGTGCGTGCCCCAGTGTTTGTCGGGCCTTCTCAACTGAATTTTTTTTTTGAAGTCGCTACATCTTGTAATTCATTATCTGTGGAAAACTAGAAGAAGTTCCTTGGGATGGGATTAGGCGTGTGAAACATACCATCCCAACATCCAATAGCCATATCGTGACTCTACTCGTCGTACAAATGGGGTATTCCTTAGAAAACAATCGGAACACTACCGACGTGAAAGATTTAATAACTACCCCATTGGATACTGGGGAAGTTAATATATTTCGACTTGGTGGGGTTGTAATCCAAGCGGGGCTGATGCTTTCATTGTGCAGCTGGTTGAGCCTAGTCAAAAGACCCTGATATTCGATAGGTGAATGGAAAATGGAAAATGGAAAATAGAAAATGCCAGAAATAATATTGAATTCTAAAGGCCGGTAAACGGGATCGAAATATAGGTATTTGTGTTATGAAATAACAGGTAGTTTCTATTAATTCCATTTAGAATATAGGTAGGTAGGCCACCTATATTATATAATATCAATAAGCTCATTCAAATGCAAGCTTATATAATACTTGAATTGGTCAATTGAATGAAGCAGGTCCGACTATTATTTTACTGTTCCCGCAACCTTACATATATTGGCAATAACGTCTAAGGTACAGGTACCTAACTAAGTTGGCTACTCTAACACCTCTCATCTGACATCATACCCCTTTGCCAACTGTTCTCGTCAACATTTCTTATCTAAGAGAATAAACTTACCTTACCCTACTAACCACTTTGCACTTTGCACTTTGCCCGCACTTCTAACATAAGAGTTATTTCTAGGTATTTACCTTCTTACAACTCCAATCAAAACCAAGATCAATTCCGGCTTGGCCTTGACCATTGAGTTGTTTTCCCTCCCGGTCCTGGTCGATTGTTTTATGTTCTTTTTCCTTGTGACGTGCGCAAGGACCTGTGATTGATCCGATCGTGGTAGCTACCAAACAACGCTTTACCTAGAATCGTCCCACGATCCCCTCGCCCCTCCCCCGTGCGCCGTAATACGTACAAGTATATAATCCCACGATTTCGACCCTTTCGTCTCGCCAAATCTTACTTTGGTTAAACGGCTGGTCACGGGGACATATAGTTAGGGAATTCTAGCCTATTTAAGAGAAGAGAAGGCCGTTGATTCCGACGAGATAAAAAAGAAAACCTCCGGAATACCCCCACCGGCCACATTTAAAGCACCCTCGTCAATTGAACGAGTGTCCTGTCATTTAAGACTCCGTACCGCTTTTAGTTGTACTCCTTTCTCCTTGACCCCTTTTTTACTTCCCACAACGCCTGCGAATTGCTATTACCAACTCGCCATGGCCGATTTACTGACTCCGGGTTTTGCGAAAGCCCGACGCGATGCCAGAGACGGAATTCGCGCGAGTGACGATTGGGGCGTCTACGATGACGCGAGAACGTATTACACCTCCGACGCTCGGCACGGTGATCGATCACACAAACGCAATCGTACATATTCTCAAGTATGACATACCGTATTTTATCGCATTTCCACATAAGATTGGTTCGGAACACTAGCTAAGATCATTTAGAATGGCATCATCCAAGAGATTGAGCGTATGGGACTTCACGAACCACACAGACGAGGTAGTCATGGTACGATAACACCTCTACGGAACAAAATAGAAGAAAACTAATTCCTATTATCTAGATGAAGCAAGCAGACCACACTCCCGCCAATTCCTCGTCGATGTCGACCATACCCTAGAAAGTTTACAGGCGCAAGAAGATACAGATGGTAACAAGCAAATTACGATTGAGGACGCTGGTCCGAAGGTAAGTCTTTTACTAAGAATTATTCGATGATGATAGGTTCTAAGGCGTCATACCTAGGTCATGGCTCTTCGAACTGCTGCATCTGGTGGCCACAATCGATTCGATATCCGGGGCACATACATGCTTTCGAATCTCTTGCAAGAATTATACATGGCAAAAGAGTTTGGGCGAAAGCGGATCATCCTTGATATCGGACGTCTTAACGAAAACCCGGTCAGCAGACTGTCGAGGCTTATCAAAAATCAATTCTGGGAGGGGTTGACCCGTCGTATCGACGCTTCAAGTATCGAAATTGCGGCAAAAGATCCTAAGGATTGGACAGCCGATCCGCGACCCCTCTATGTCCCGCCAGGGGCCCCAGAGCAATATGAGTATTATCAAAAATTGGCTGCTGAGCGGCCGGAGATGCGACTGGATGTTCTATACCTTCCCGAGAAGATTACCCCCGAAGTGCTCCGAGACATGACCGATAAGCCCGGCCTTCTCGCTGTTGCTATGGAGGAAGTCAATGATCCTAAAACCGGAGAGAAGACATTACGCGGGCTTCCGTTTGTTGTCCCAGGAGGAAGATTCAATGAATTATATGGGTGGGATAGCTATATGGAATCCCTCGGGCTTTTAGTCAATGATAAGGTGTACCTAGCAAAGTCGATGGTACAGAACTTCTGCTTCTGTATTAAACACTACGGCAAGATCCTCAACGCAACCAGATCATACTACCTATTACGATCACAGCCACCTTTCTTGACAGATATGGCCCTTCGGGTCTACGAAAAAATTCAGCACGAACCTGGCGCAGTTGATTTTCTTCGGACGGCTTTCCTTGCCGCAATTAAAGAGTACTACTGTGTATGGACGGCGGAACCGCGTTTGGATCCAAAATCTGGTTTGTCGAGATACCGGCCGGAAGGGTTAGGTGTGCCACCGGAGACGGAGGCTTCCCACTTTGTTCATATCCTTGAGCCTTATGCCAAGAAACATAACATGACTTTCGAACAATTCGTGAAAGCTTATAACCACCAAGAGGTTCACGAGCCAGAACTAGACGAGTATTTCCTTCACGACAGGGCAGTACGAGAGTCGGGTCACGATACCTCGTACAGACTTGAAAAAGTCTGCGCTAATCTCGCGACCATTGATCTTAACTCATTGATATACAAGTACGAAATGGATATCGCCCGCACCATCCGGAACGTCTTTGGCGATAAGCTAGAAATTCCGGCCGAGTGGTGTGCTGGCGACATGGTACCCGGCCAGATTGAAACGTCGGCTACCTGGGACCGCCGCTGGAAGAGACGACGTGCGGCTATTCACAAGTACTGCTGGAACGAGGAGAAAGGTATGTACTTCGACTACGACACGGTGAAACAGGAGCAATGTACCTACGAGTCGTGCACGACGTTCTGGCCTCTCTGGGCAGGCGTTCCGGATCCCGAGCGCGCGGCCAAAGTGGTCAAGTGTGCCGTGCCCAAATTCGAAGCCTATGGCGGTCTCCTGTCTGGAACGGAAGAGTCTCGTGGTGTAGTTAGCCTCGAGCGTCCGAATCGGCAATGGGATTATCCTTACGGCTGGGCGCCCCAGCAGATGCTGGCCTGGACGGGGCTGTACCGCTATGGGTATGCGGATCTCGCACAGAAGTTGGCATACAAGTGGCTATTTATGGTTACTAAAGCGTTCTTTGACTTCAACGGCGTTGTCGTGGAGAAGTACGACGTCACGAGGCCAGTCGATCCGCACCGTGTGGATGCCGAATATGGAAATCAGGGGCTCGATTTCAAGGGTGTCGCTAAAGAAGGGTAAGTTGAAGATATAAATCATATCTAAAGTTGGAAATCGTGCTTACATTATTGCGCTATCTAGGTTCGGCTGGGTCAACGCCAGCTACGTCTACGGCTTACAGTTCATTAACACGGAGATGAAGAGAGCGTTAGGCACGCTTACACCCTACGAGACATACGAGAGGGCCCAGCAGATTAAGGAGGAGAAGCTACTCCAAGAGTTAGCATGAGATATAACTGCTGCACGAAATGAAAATAGGTGATGGCGGTGCCAATTTCTTTCGTTCGGTACTTGGGCATTGCATCGGCATCTTTATTCGTCGATAATATTGTCGACATACCGGTCACAGATAGGCATGCATCTTGTTTTTGCATTGGTTTGGCTGGGTTAGAGGAACTCAAGTTACATTGCGCATACTGATCTAACGTTAGTATCTTTAAGGCAGGCAAGTTCTATTTAGTAACGCTGTGCGAAGTTGACGATAAATTTATCGCTGATAAAGTTTGACCAAGCTTCTGTTTTTTAAGGGACTAGTCCATCAAGTTAGGTAAATCACAAATAAGGAAATATAATGTTAGCTTTATTCTTACCTAGGTACTTTTACCCATTAAGGGGGCATGTGATTAGACTTTTTTTTTTTTAATAAATAATAGGCCTGACGAACGATCTATAGAGGTATGTAAGCTTACTCGAGTTATAGAATTCGGACAGAAGTTTCAAGAGGTTAAGTATAGTAGATGGAGATAAATATTATCCTTGAAGGAATAAAATCATAAATAGTTAATCTTTCACGTGTAACTATTATAAAGTTTAAGAGTCATAGGAGAATATAGTTGGATGATGCGAGGTCTTAATTAAGCTTCCGCAGCCGAGGTCCGGGGCAAGGTGAGGCTAGAGATATGGTGTCGGGTGTAAACGGGGCATGGGATGTCTTCCCTTTATCTAGGGAGTGTGTTGTACAGTGTAAGTTTAATTCTTCATTATTGCTTGTTACCCATCCCAGTCTCCATCCTAGTTTTGTCTTAATTGGGGCGATTAGATAGATCTTCACATGCTAGTGTTTTGTTCAGACGTGCAAGTATTATATTCCAGAACAGATTATTAGTATATATAAACATATTTTAAATTTATCTAGTCTATTTTATAAGATTCCATTCCATATAGCTGGACTAAAAAAAAAAATAGAAACTATAATTACTCCTGTATTGAACATTTATTAGTCCCGTCTGATGCTATTTCACATCTTTCATCTTTCATCAAGACGACTCCTACATAAACTACCTAAGACAACGTCATTATCAAATGCTAAATACCAAACTTAAATCCCCAAACCCGGGGCTGGCTCTCCAATTGCGGGGGACTAGGGGTTCGTGTCTCGATGGATCGACCTGGATCGTTCTCCATCTTCGGCAATTCGACCAATCACGGCAAACCAAACTCACATCCACATGTCTTGGAGACACTCTCGTCCCTTAAACCGAGAAGCCGTAGCGTCTTCCTTTCAGACGTCCAAGATAGCTCTAACTGCTGGTCGCCCATATGCTTTGTCTCGTTCCGAGGCGCCCCGGTCAAAGAATGCTGAGTAGCGGCCAATGGCCTGGCGTCGCCGGTACATTGACTGGTGGGAGTCACCCTATGACGGAATCATCCATAGCCGCTTGACCGATTGCTGCCGAGAATGCGTATCCGTGGGAGTCATGGTTCTAAGCCGGTTACTCCCCTTTTGTAGCTCAGATCAGATGAGTTTCTTGCGTTAGGTTATGTACTATTACTATAGGTTCGCTTACTTGTAACCGTAGCTTGGAATCTTCTTCTTCCTTTAATAGTAGCCCTACCCCCTAATCATTCGTTGTTAGTTTATTACAACTTTCTCTTTGCTTTAGTTCTTGTATCAACGAGTCCACGTGCTTCGATAGCAAGTATATACGTATATTAACTCTTTGAAGAGAAGCTCTTTGTACCGAGGCCCCCCGCACATCACATTGGAGAGTCTTAACAACATCGAATATCACCACTAGATCCTGTTGCCGTAGTATAGTTAACCTGTTTTGCCCATTATGGCGTCAAACAACATGATCAACCCGGCCGTGGACCCGAACATCGAGGACGAGCTGTTCCTACAAGAAATTGAGGCTGTCAAGAAGTGGTGGAGCGATCCGAGATGGAGATACACGAGGCGACCTTTCACAGCCGAGCAAATTGTTTCCAAGAGAGGTCACCTTAAGATTGACTACCCAAGCAATGCACAGTCTAAGAAGTTATGGAAGATCCTCGAGGGTCGCTTCCAGAATCATGATGCCAGTTACACATACGGCTGCTTAGAGCCTACAATGGTCACGCAAATGGCCAAATATCTAGATACCGTCTACGTCTCGGGTTGGCAATCATCATCAACAGCCTCGTCATCCGACGAGCCTGGACCTGATCTAGCAGATTACCCTTACGTGAGTCAAGACATTCCTTGCCCCTTTATATCTATTCCAGGTCTATATACTAATACAAGGGAAAGACCACCGTCCCGAACAAAGTCAAGCACCTCTTCATGGCACAGCTATTTCACGACCGCAAGCAGCGACAAGAACGCTTAAGCGCACCTAAAGCCGAGCGCGCGAAGCTAGCAAATATCGACTACCTACGACCCATCATTGCTGATGCTGACACAGGTCATGGTGGACTAACAGCCGTCATGAAGTTGACGAAGCTGTTCATCGAGCAGGGCGCCGCCGGCATTCATATCGAAGACCAGGCGCCCGGTACCAAGAAGTGTGGGCATATGGCAGGCAAAGTCCTTGTGCCCATCAGCGAACACATCAACCGTCTAGTCGCGATCCGCGCGCAAGCCGATATTATGGGTACAGATTTAGTAGCCATCGCGCGTACAGATGCCGAAGCCGCAACGCTCATCACCACGAGCATCGACCCACGGGACCACCCGTTCATCCTCGGGAGCACAAATCCGCAGCTAAAGCCCCTAAACGATCTAATGATCGCCGCGGAGCGCGAGGGTAAGACGGGCGAGCAACTACAGGCCATCGAGGACGCATGGCTAAAGCAAGCCAACCTGCGACGCTTCGACGAAGCCGTTGCCGACACGATTAACTCAGCACCCTCGCTATCGAACAAAAACGATCTGGTAAAAAAGTATCTGGAACAGGTCAAGGGCAAGAGCCTGTTGGAGGCGCGCGCCATTGCGCATGGAATCACAGGCGTAGATATCTACTTCGATTGGGACGCGCCGCGCACGAGGGAAGGTTTCTATCGGCTCAAGGGCGGATGTGATTGTGCGATCAACCGTGCGATTGCGTATGCACCGTACTGCGATGCTATTTGGATGGAGAGCAAGTTGCCCGATTACAAACAGGCCGAAGAGTTTGCCGCTGGCGTACACGCCGTATGGCCGGAACAGAAGTATGTCTGTTCCTCTTACATCTATCTATTACCCCCTAACTCCCCTCCCCCCTTTTCCAATTTCCTGTGTAAGAAAAAAAAAAAAAAAAAAAAAGCTAACAGCCCTGCACAGACTCGCATATAACCTCTCCCCGTCCTTCAACTGGAAAACCGCGATGCCGCGCGACGATCAAGAAACATACATCCGACGGCTGGCGAAGCTCGGGTACTGCTGGCAGTTCATCACGCTGGCGGGTCTACACACGACGGCGCTCATCAGCGACCGGTTCGCGCGGGCGTACGCGGCCAACGGCATGCGGGCCTACGGCGAGCTAGTCCAGGAGCCGGAGATGGAGGGCGGCGTCGACGTCGTCAAGCATCAGAAGTGGAGCGGCGCGTCGTACGTCGACGAGCTGCAGAAGATGGTGACCGGGGGCGTGAGCAGCACTGCTGCGATGGGTAAGGGGGTTACGGAGGATCAGTTCCATTAGGTGGTAGTGGAGGCTTAAGCGAAGGGTAGGTAGATAGACAGAAGAGTCTGTGGGGAGTTCAATGAAGGTGGAGAGGCTTGTTGTTGAAAATCACGGCATTATACATAAGTATAGCATAGTTTGCCGCGATGGGATGTCGGCGGCTTGGTTTAGGCTGTTTAATCGAATTGGATATAAATATCGTTTTGCCTGTCCTCTTCTTTGGATAAGTCGTTTGCCTCGAGACCTAAATTGTATTCTTCCGGAAGGGAGTCAACTAATATTTGTAAATCGTTCCTCTTTTATATAGGTGGACGGTCGTTGTGTCGTGATTTGAATGAGTGGTATTGACGTAAAAGAGCTAGCATCCCTACTCCTTACGTCGGAAAGGCTATGCCGGATTCTCAGTTCTAGCAGAAGTAATGGTAATTAAGAAGGAGAAATAAAATTGGGCAGTATACCACATTTCTCATTGGCTTTTTAAGTTCCAGTGGTAGATGTCAATGCCTCCTTAATCGGCATACAACTGCACCCTATTAGAGTAATTACCGGCGGGATTTCTAGACATGTTTCCTAATTCTATTATTACACACTTATACCATTATTTCGTAGGTGGCATGGTGATAAATTCTGTAACTGTCTACCTCAGGTACATAATAAGACATCAAGATCCACTAGCTAGACAAGTTTAACCCACGGTATACTCAAAGGCATCAAGTAGGTAGGTATCATGTAAACCATAATACGATTATTACACCATTACCTCCATAGCAATTCCAACATATTTTAAGCGTCCAATAAAGGACCTTGAATAGACGCAGTAGAGCGTTTAAAGATGCGCCGGTAGAGGGGACCATAGACTACAACAGAAGTCGCGATAAACCCCGTCATACATTCGACGGTAGAGAGGTAATTAGGGTACATACGATCCCCTATGGCGATGAGTAAAGATAATCAATGTTTAGTTTATTAGATTGGACGATTTGTAGACTCACAGCTACCATCTATTATTACCGCACTGGAACCGCCGAAATACTTGATCTGAACGAGACATACTATACAAGTGCTGTGATATATAAGCAAAGTGACGCAAAAACAAAGTGTTTAACTAACCAGCCACCTATGGTAAATGGGAAGAGTAATCCCCATTTCTTCCGCTTGCTCATTTGTAGCCTCCGTATTAGTGGAAGAGGCATACTTAGGATCATGACATCAGTGACGATATTTACAACATATCCCGCCACCCCCGCGATGCTTGAGTTTATACATGTCGCAGGCAATGTTGGGTCCCATAAATGGGCAAGTGGTATGCAATCGAGGAAGATCGTCAGGGTGTTTTGGATCGCGAAAGCAGCTACCAGTGCCGCTACTACCCATATCATGCGACTAAACCAACGCGAGGCTCCAAAAATATTACTGTATAAGCTGAGGATGCTGAGCTTGAGGAAAGTTACGACCGGGACGTAAAAGAAACGAAAAAGGAGGTCCATCTACCAAGAGACATGCACAATTAGCTACTGTTCACTCGGCAATTGATATTCCATGATACTTCAACGTATTGTAGTGCTTTTACCCTTGCATATAAAATCGTAAGATAGATAGAATGTAAAGATATAACTCACAATAGCATAGAGACGATGATCGGAAATAAATAACATGACGTCCTGCTCCGTATCTGGTTGCGAGGCAGCCGCAGACAGCATATCCCATTAACGACACCTTGGAAGATTAGTCGTATAACATCAGGATCAGGAAGAGACACACACCCACGCAGCCACTGCGAACCAGTCGCTTGCCATAAGATGCATGCGACCGTGCTGAATATGTCGTGACCAGAGACGCAATGCAACGCAGAGGGTACCTATGACCGCAGCGACGGTAGCACAAGCAATAAACTAGGACCGCGATTATCATCAGCATGCTCAAGCATCCATTTTATCTCCTCAGCATTGGGAGGTCGTGGTCCGGCCATCTTCTTCAAGATCGAGAGATAAATCAAGACACGTATAAACGAATAAGATAACTACGACTAGTATCGGTGTAATTAGGTTTATTATTATACCTGGCCATGAACAGCATACTTCTAAAGCTAGAGGATTGCAGATAATCAAGAGTTAAATATTGAAGCTATGAAGCTTCTATTCTATCAGGCGCAATACACGGATCAATCGGTATACTCTGTTCCTTAAGACATTGAATCAGTTGAGTGGCTTTGTTTCCCCCTCATAGCATGGCTGGACCTGTTTTTGGTTTAGCATAATTGGTGATAAAGAGTTGAATAAGGATCCCCTCGGAGGAGGAAACTGCAAGATTTGAGACAACGACGACGGATAAGTATATAATGTAGATCGCTCTCAAGAAAGTAATTATAAACGATCACTTATATAAGGGACTCCAATCGGATTTAAGAAATATCAGCTAGTTATCGATTCGCATTGATTCGTTTTTCGCTTGTCTATCATTTTTACCAAATTTCTATTTACGAAATAAACCTTATGGTCCGTGAGATATCACGGAAGAAGAAAGACTTCTCTATTACTTAGTCATTAGAATAGAAAAATGTGTAGTCGAAAAACTTCCTCCGGGTATAATACAACACTATCTTAGTGTAGGTATACGGGCTTCTCGGATCATATCTAGGTAAGGTAGGTTATCTACTAGACTCCAAGATTTGCAGGTGGCCTCGCTTAATCCAAGTCTTGTTTCTAAGCCTCATTCTTATCTATACCGAGTCAAATGTTGACGATGCTATATATTAGTAATAATAAAGACATAATGGCAAGTAGAAAAAAAAAACAAAAAACAAAAAAAAGAAGCTCGACTTATCGGATAGTTATGCATAATCTTTATTAGTCTATGTCCTGATTAAGAAGTATCCCGAACGAACGGTCAAGCACGCGATTTCGCGGTGAATGTGCGATGGGCCATGGTTACCGTCCCTTGCATAGGCCCGCGCTCAGCACCAATCATATCCCATTTAGGTCATAGATTTATCTCGCGAGAGTGGAGAATAATCATTAAGAATTTGGAGTCGACAAGGGTCTTTGATATTGGTCCAACGTCAGCAATCCAGGTCCTAGGCGAGATCTCCGCATCATTCCACCTATTCCAACCACGAATCAAAATTATCCAAGCTCGGGAGCTATCTGCCTATTAGAGACTGATTAAGACCCAAATGACGGATTGCGAGCCTAGCCGGTCAAATAGACACGAGAACGCCAAGTTCTCACCTGCCTTTTTCATATAGAAAGCTCTTAGTGCTGAGCTCTTTTTCCGCCGCGTCGTTCGGTTCATGCGATAGAAGATAGAAGATGGCAGGATTCTAGCTCTTAGACATGGTCCAGGTCTATGGAAATTACGGAATGGTGCAATCCCAAGAGATACCGATGTAATCTGTATGCGTGATGTTGATGTTGATGTTTTCCCCTGGTAATACCCCGCCTCGCTTTCCAGCCCTAGCTTCTTCTTTGTTCGTAGCTATTTGATGGTGACCTGGGCCTTCTCTTTCGTAGAGCTTCTTGTTCAACCTTACCCACCTGCCTCGGTCAAGCTACCATAAGGTTATAGGTCAACGTGAAGATGAGGTTTCAATCGCCAGCAGTGGTAGCATTAGCTGCCCTGCCTACCGTCTTCGGCATCACGCCCGAGTCTATGCTCGCTGCGAATCGTTATGGCGCTGCTGCACCAAACCCCAGCGGTGTACGTATCGAATGTTTCACAACGACCTTCACGTAAACACTGACCACTTGTATAGGACTTCGCTCTCTACACCGTATCGAATTACACATTCGAGACTAAGAAGAGGTCATCGCACTGGAATAAACTTGACCTGAAGACCGGCGAAATCTCCGTTTGGTATGAGGGTTCTGATATTTCAGAAGTTGTCTTTGTCGGGTCCAAACCCACAAGTATTATCTACGTCAATGGCACGAACGCGGAAGACGACGGCGGCATAAGTTTGTACTCTGCCGATGCCGACTCCCTAGAAGATGCCAAATTGATTACTTCTCTACCCACCCGCACCATACTCGGGTCTCAAGGCTGTCCAGACCGCATCCGGCGATATTCACTTCCTCGTATATACTAAGGCGTATCCTAACGGCACCGCATACAATGAGGCATATGCAAGCACACCAGCCAGCACGGCTAGGATCTACACAGAGACTTACGTTCGACATTGGGTGAGTACTTTATCAGAAATATTTATCAGTGTAGGTAACCTTAGGTAACTAACAATGATCCTTAGGACACATGGCTTGATGATAAGAAAAACGCTGTTTTTGGCGGTGTGCTGAAGGGAGGCAATGGCTCCTACTCATTCTCCGGGGATCTCACGAACTACGTCTCCGGCATTGCTAATGTCACCCGTGCCGAGAGCCCCTACGATCAGAGTGACGAGAGCGATTACGATATTTCGCCTGACGGCTGCGGTGTTGTCTTCCTGACCAAGGATCCCTCGCTCCCATTGGCTAACAATACCGCCGACGTGATTTACTACGTGCCGTTCGATGGCACTTCGAAGGACGCCGTTCCGATCAATGCTAGAGGTACGACGAAGTATCTTGAAGCCCAAGGCGCAGCCACGAGCCCCAGATTCTCGCCTTCTGGAAAGAAAATCGCGTACTTCCAGATGAACGATATTTCCTACGAGTCAGACCGTAATATCGTCTACGTTGCCAACGCGGACTCGGAAGATTTTAACGTGACTGCCCTTGCACTAGACTGGGACAGGTCGCCAGACAGCTTAGCATGGTCCAAGGACTCAGAGACCCTCTTTGTCGCCGCTCCAGACCTAGGCCGGGAACGTATCTTCCCTCTCCCTCTTACCGCCGGTGATTCGTATGTACCCAAGAACATCACCAACGAAGGAGTGCCTTCTGCATTCTACGTCCTGCCTGACGATTCTATCCTCGTATCCGATTCCAAGATCTGGACGAGTCGGGATATCTACACCGTTTCGCCGGAAGGTGATGTTATCAAGACATATTTCCAAGCTAATCTGGTCGACCCTGCTCTTGCCGGCCTTGGACCGGAGGATGTATCCGAGTTCTATTATTCGACCAACACTTCTGAAATCGAGCAGCAAGCCTGGATTGTCTACCCAGAAGGCTTCGATGAAAGCAAAACTTACCCGTTAGCTTTCATTACGCACGGCGGTCCCCAGGGTGCCCACTTCAACTCGTGGAGTACACGATGGAACTTCAAGGTTTGGGCAGACCAGGGCTACGTCGTCATTGCACCAAACCCGACGGCGAGTTCAGGTTGGGGTCAGAACTTGACAGATGCCATCCAAGGCCGATGGGGGCTATACCCTTACTGGGACCTCGTACACGTCTGGGATTACGTCAATAGCACTCTGAAGTATGTCGATACGGAGAATGGTATCGAAGCCGGTGCATCCTTTGGCGGATATATGACAAACTGGTAAGCTTTTAACTTTCAAAAAGTTAAATGGGCCGCATAAATACTAACGAGAACCCCCCCTTTTAGGATTCAAGGACATGAGCTTGGAAGGCGATTTAAGGCTCTCGTGACGCATGATGGCAGCACATCAACACTGAACCAGTACGCTAGCGAGGAGCTGTGGTTCATGAACCACGATTTTAGCGGTCAATTCAACTCGACCAGTTTCGTTCAGGGCTCGCCGTACTATGAATGGAACCCCTTGTTGTATGTGGATAATTGGGCGACGCCTCACTTCGTGGTCCACAACTCGCTAGACTACCGACTACCTGTTAGTGAAGGCATCCTCCTCTTCAACCTACTTCAAACGAAGGGCGTGCCGAGCAAGCTACTCAACTTCCCAGACGAGAACCATTGGGTTTTGAACCAAGAGAACAGTTTGGTCTGGCACACCGAAATATTCAAATGGATTAATCACTATAGTGGTATCAGTAATTCATCGAGTCCTTATTAGGGCGAGATGTGATTCATCTGGGGTTGAGACAATTTCAAAAATCCCGTAATACCTAATTAAATTAGACATTATTGTTTGATGAAGCGACATTGTGTGTGTGTATGTGTGTGTGTATGTGTATGTGACTCGTTACAAAAGTACCTAACTCATATAAAATGTCCAGTATGTCTCCAGTAGCACATCATGTCTAGAGCAGAGCTCATCTAAAATGTGTTGTTACATATACGGACAACGGAATAGAGTTTAATGTTTTTGTATTAGTTATAATTTTAAAGTTTGCTATCATAACACCAGGTGCGAATCACATGGTTCCAATGTAGTATAAGTACAAGTACATGTACCTATTAGTGAAGGTAAGAGTGCCCGAAATAAATAGAAATAGTAAACTTTTAGTTGCTGTTTCGTAGTCACTGCCAACTTTCATTTCTCACCAACAATTCATTTGTCGTAGACATTAGCTGTTTCAACTGCTACAAACGAACCTTAGAGTTCCCCCCACGTTCGCCAACACTCCTTGTAAATTAGCGGGTCCCCCAATCGCCAAGGGAAAGGATCACCAAGCTTTTGTCCCTGTAAATATCCCCTGTAGATCAAACGACGGAATACTCCACGACTCCACTTCACCCAGAACTTCCAGAGCACAATCTCATCGCCAAGACGAAACTGGTAAAGCATGGCTAAGGGGAAAGATGGCGTTCGTCTAAACCTCAGCTGTCGCATTCTACAATGCACGGTAATGATCTTCAATCCACTTAGAACCAACAACCCGTAATCAGAAGAGAATGACGACTTTCTTCCCTGTTGGACCACTAAAATATCCCCTTATGTTTGTCCATTGGCCGGGGAGTAACGGAGCCGATACAACACACCTGGGCAGTCTCTTGGATTCCTGTTCATTCACACACGTTACTTCGACTTCTGAACCGTACTCGAATATTTTCACTGTGACTGACTTCGTTCCACGCGTGGTCCTACGTACGATCCAACATAGCCCCCTCCATCCTACCTTGGCTTTTATTCAAGCTGACCAAGTAGATCATAGAATACGATGGGATAGGCTCTTAGTTGCGATCGAGTATTACCGTACACTTCTTCGGCTTCGCCGTCATCAGAATCATGTCTAGATTATTCACTCCACATTCGACGCTATGGATCGAGCGAGCGCCAGCAATAATCTTATATGTAACAAAGCCAACCGCATATCTTTCTTTCTACGTCAAGTGACATTACGGAGGAACTGTTTCGGATGCTCGTAATCTGCATGACTAGTCATGAAAGTAAAGAATAACAGGATTAGATCACATATGTACATATGTCAGCCGCTTTCCCTCGACGATCGGTATCCTTCGAGGCCGGGGTACGCAACATGATCTTCATCACAAGTGGTCCGTGACAGCTACGGCTTGAGGTGGACAAACAGAAACGACTCGGTGTAATGATTTCTTATTTTCGTTGCTGTATACTCAGGGGCTTGGTGACTTGTCGAAAATCCCTACTTCGTAACTGCGAGCGGTACTCCCACCTAAAACTTCTTCACTTCTTTTACTACATTGCCGGACAATGAATGGTTATGCGGTATCGAGGGCCTCGCTCTCCCACGAGGAGAAGCTGTCTCTCATCGACGATAGAGCTCTCTCAGATGTAGACAGTGAAAGTGCTCGCGCGGATCTCGACGGTCGTTTCTCGGGTATACAATGGGCTGCCACAGCAAAGGCCTACTGCAACGGCCTACGCTTATCATCATGGAGCTCGTCGATACTTCGAACAGGCATATTTCTACTACCTAGCTTTGTTCACCACCGGTGTGCTCGCGAGCGGTTTCGAATAGAGAAGCTTCACCCAACCGCGTACCTCGACGGAATGCGAGGCCTAGCCGCCTTATTTGTCTTTTTTTGCCATTACTTTTACACTGCTTTCAGGATAGCAGAAGGCTGGGGCCATGGCGACGCCAACTACGAAATATGGCGACTACCGTTCATCAGACTCCTCTACAGCGGACCGTCCATGGTCTGCATATTTTTTGTCATTTCAGGATACGCCCTTTCATTAAAACCTCTTAAACAAATCCGAAGTCGCTCTTTCGATGGGTTCTCACAAACTATGACCTCATTCGTCTTCCGTCGCTTCTTTCGTTTGTACCTCCCGCCGATGATCTCGACCTTCGGCGTGTTGATCCTACTTCGCTTTGGCTTCTACGAGATCACTAGAGGCTATTCCGGTGATCGGAAATACATACACAATGTGATAGAGCATCATCCCATTTTGGAAGAGACTACCCGGAAACAACTACAACATTGGATGAAGGAGATGTACAATTTCGTTCACATCTGGGGTTGGGAAAAATTTGGTGGCGCCACCGGGTACGATGTCCACCTTTGGACGATTCCAGTGGAGTTCCGGTGTTCAATGATGCTCTTCCTAATAATATTTGGCGTAGCTAGACTACGGACTGGCGTACGATTTCTCTGCCTTTCCTTCCTTATGTGGTTTATGCTTCGTAGCGATCGATGGGAAATGGTTCTATTCCTCTCGGGGACGGTGATCGCCGAATTAGACCTAATCCGCGGAGCCCACGATCCGAACACTCAATCGTCTTCTCCTCCCTTGACGTTACTCCCACTCGAAAAGACACCAGACACTGTCCCTGAAAAACGGGGCCCGTGTAATTACCTATGGATTTTACTTTCCATACCGGCTCTCTATCTGATGTCGGGTCCGGATGCTGGACCCGCCGGCGTCCCCGGGTGGAAATACCTCGGGACGCACATTCCGGAGTGGTTCTCGGATAAGTACCGGTACTACCAGATGATCGGATCGATCGCTTTCGTGTTTTGCACAGCGCGATCAATCTCTTGGCAGCGCTTCTTCAACTCGCCCGCCGTACAGTACTTCGGGCGCATCAGCTATGCGCTCTATCTCATGCACGGTCCTGTCACACATACTATCGGCTTCATGATACAGAAGCGCGCCTGGGATTTCACGGGCACAGACGGTTCCATGTATAACTGGGGCTGCGTGCTCGCGGCTACTTTCAACATCCCGCTCGTTATCTGGGCTGCGGATGTCTTCTGGCGCGCTGTAGACGCGCCGACGGTTAGATTTACGAAGTGGCTCGAGACTAAGCTATCTATCGAGTAAAGGAGGGTTATATGTGACACGTGGGAGTGCCGCGGGTACGGTTTGCTTTGGGTTTATGTGTAAATAGGTCATTGGGCATTTAATAAATCTTGTAGTAATAGAGCCTTGCTACTTTTTATGTGCTGTGGTCTTGTTATTCGTTCCATAGTTAGACTGCCTACAGATATTCTGGTAACGGCTAGCTATTGGATTACATCGTAGACTAACCTATTTGATATGTTTATTTTTTTGGGGCCTGCAGCTGAGTATGTATTAGAAGATGTGAAGACTGAACGTGCTATCCCCGGCCAGGATAAATGGGAGGGGGGGGGTAGAGTACTTGCAGTTATGTTATGCGCTGTGTATTCTGGTCACATTATTGAGCTAGTATTGATTATTATGAGTTGAGATACACATCCTACCAAAGCAGCAACGTTGATCAATTACACGTCTCGTCATAGCTATTTTCTATCTTAAGGTATTCGTATTTATTAAAGGGTATTGAAACATCGGTATCATTACTAGTCTGTAACTAAAAAATGTAGGGTGAATGAGTAATGAGTAGCAAAAGAGAGTATATAAATTAGGTGCCTAAACCAAGTGAGTACTCGTATAAGCTGATAGAGGCTAGACAGAACGATGGCAACAATATGCTAGAAATTTACCGTTGTAGTGACTACTAACAACACAATGTTTGAGCTAGAGCTAAGCCACTGAGTTCAAACGATCTAATTATGGTTAGATCTTCCGGGTAAGGCGGCTTCCATTTCTACGCACAGAAGTGTCTGAGAGTACCATCGGTAATACTTTTAACTACGCTTAAGGACGCCGGTTTTCGAGGTTAGACTCCCGGGACGGATCGGGGAGTATACTTGTATTATTGAGCTTAATTAGACTTAATTTCCCGCCACTTTCCGTTAAATAAGTAGAAGAAAACTACCAGCTGCCAGTGATAATCTCGGACTGAACGAGCGTGTTATTATCATTAACTAGTGATTGTCATATCAAACATGAATGCCGGAGAAATAGGGACTCTTGATTACACGTGAATGCTTCTAGTGTTTACCACATTGGACAAATAATCTAGTTATCTATATATATAAACCCCATCGCACTGCTATTGCTCATCCAAGTGACTAGAAATACATTGGACTTGACCTAAAGCCCATTGATTATCCACGAGGAGAAATTATCGCGGATACGACGGAATCGTGAGATTCGAACAATGGGTTTTATATTGATTGACCTTGGTCTATAGGAAAGCAAGTAGCAAAAGTTCCAGGACGCCCTCTCAGGACAACAACGAACCGGTGTCATAGTACTCAACGCCTCAAAATGCTTGCCAGTGCTACCATGCAATGCCCCCCTCCCTTCCAATCCTAATTTGAACCCCATTAACTTCGTCAAGCGTCGTAGCTGCTGTGCTGCGTATCTCGTATCCCTATCCGAGGAGTAAGAGGAGTGAAGTAGGCATATCAAGAAATGTGTGGTGGATGTTCTTGATTAATTATGCCGACTCCTCTTCCCTTCCCTTCCGAACATGTCTTTTCCGAATGGTATGTCGCCCACGTTGAATAGCTCGGCGAAGTTGATCGTTCGCTTCTGACCAGCTCCCTTTCCGAGGTGATTCGTAGGCCTCGGCCTGGGACCTCGCTTGTTGGTGCGCGAGCGAGTCGGGTGAGCGATGGGGACGGCGGAAGATCCCGGGCTAGCGCCGTCATTCGTCCGGGTAGAATCTGAGAGGTCTAGGTTCTCCAAATTTAGGTATGGTTCTTGAGGATATGGGTGTGACGCCCGAAAGGTGAAACTGTCCTGAGTCGGAACGGAAATCATTTGCTGTTCCCCCGCAGGAGAATTGACGGTTGACTGATGGGCAGACGCGGGGATGGACTCTGGTTGCAGGTGGGGTTCGTTCCGCATCGCGGACAGATGCGTTTGGTTACCGGAATGGTGGATTTCGGGCGATGATGCTGGTTCGGGCTTTTCTACTTCGTCTTCGCTCTCCACCGTTTGGGGCGATATGTCTCGTCCGTCCAGGCGCTCAGTTGCCCACTTCCGGATTAACCACCCTTCGCCGTCGCTGACACCAATGTTCGATTTATCGAGAAAGGCTAGGAGGTCATCCAAGCAATCTTGGTATCCATCGGCCCGGGCTTTTGTCTGAGCGGCGACCGAGGTTTTATAGAGCTTTGTAACGGATAATGCTGCGGCTTTGAAGGAATCGAGTAGTTGTTCGGGTGACTCGCAACCCGCCCCGTTCTTGGCTGGCGAAGACCCCCTCAATGCGTCCATTATAGAATTATGATGTATGGCTGATCGGCCGGTCGGACGGTTTGATGTAGATGTGCTCGAGCAAAAGGAAGTCGGCGTTGATTCTAGCAAAAGTATAGCGGTGGAATGGGATAGTAGTCAAAAGGACTCAAGTTAGATCTTGCTTGGTCTTGGTCTTTTTCTTCGTTGGGTTTGGTGGGGGTGTGGATTAGTTTGTGGGTCGAAGCCGGCAACAAATGAAAGATGCAGGTTACGTCGTATTGCCTGGACTGACTTTGACGACTTGACGACTTGTGATGACCTTATTAGAGCAATAAAACAATGAAATAGACGAGTAGAATATTTGTAGCAAAGATGATAGGCGTATATTGGTATATTAAAGACAGCAAGTTTGTGAAATTTGAGATGCTACGTGTTACGGTTATCATGTGCAGTTCGTTGTTGTTGTTGTTGGGTCCTTATTCCTTAAGCCTTAGAGCCTTAGAACCTTTGTGTCAGATGATTCCGGATTGATGACGAACAGGCTAAGTTAATAAAAGCATGGATCTTAGGACTGGCTGACTCCCTCCTAGACATTTAAAAGAACTACATGACCTAATTTACGTAAGGTTACCTACATTAGATACATATGTGACCTAAGATGTTAGGTAGGTCATGTAGTTTTGTAACACCTACATGTATGTACTCTAATTAAGTACGTAGTGGACCTACCTATCACGTACATGTAGGTACGAGCTTACCTTGTATGTGATCTTATATAAGCATGTCCGGAGGTGGATTGGAAAAATGTACCTACTAACATACTGATATTTTTTGCAGGCAAACCCCCGGGTACTGCACCAGTTGCTGTCTGAAAATGGCACCGGCCCGTCAGGAACCCAACCAATCAATATTACGAAAATATTTAACTAGAGGATAGGTAAGATAGGTTATTACATCCTATGTTTAAGTACATAATAGCATATAAGTGCATAGATGATATTACATATTGAAAAGTTGTGGGGTGAAGTATCCGTGGGGTTGGAGGAATACTTTCATGTAGATTCCATATTGTCCTCAAGGTAAGTTTGATACTTATGTCCCTAAGCTACTCCTTATGAATTGCAAACTCTTTTCGTAATCGTTCCTACTACAATTGATACTACATAATAGGAAATTTACTACAAAAAGATCCGGGAAAAGATTGTAAATTTACCCAAGAAGTTGTCCCTACAAAGAGTACCTACCTAAGTTCATCCTTGTCCGTTGCGGCTACCTTAAAAATCAATTTGTCGAAGCTTAGGTATCGTCGCCCCACTATTGACCCACTTTTAACAAGAAGATACTCTTGCCTGTGATCTAATTTCTATTTGACGGCTCTTTTCAAACCTTCACTACATTCACACAATCTTTTCAACTCCAATCCAGCCTCAAGTATATTTGGCCTTGTCTCTGGCTGCTTTATCGCCGAGGCTATACTTTGAAAGCCCACATATCAAAGGATTTAGCAGACTTGAGCTACGCTGCTTTATAACATTAGTTTCACTTTAACACCAGGCGTCATCTTAATTTGTCGCGTCGCAGTCGCGTAGAGCACTTATCGCGACACATCTCCCAATATGGCTCCGCCTCGCCCTCGGGCCAGTGCTGCCGATACAGACGCGTCAATGTCTGATGCGCAAGAGCCTGTGTCTAATCATGCTGGGGAAATGGTGAGTTTCAAGTCTATAAAATTCCAATAATATTCCAGCTACTCTATTAGGCTGCTACTTATCATCCGTCGTCAGCGCCGATACTAACTAGCCTATAGGATGTTGATGAAACACCAGATCAGACTGACACAGATACCAATCCCAACACCACTGCAAGTAGTGTTGCCGGTGATCAGATTGCCGACGGGCGTAAGAAGCGCTCAGAAGTCAATCAGCTTCGAAGAAGCATATTTGGCAAGAAACATGACTTGTTAGGCGAGTCTAAGGTATGAATCAATCTGAACGTATTAATTAAGATAGTAGTAATTCCTAATCACTTCGCTAATTACAACACAATAGGAGGATGACAGCATCCGAAGATTTCGTTACTTGTTAGGATTGACCGACCTCTTCCGACATTTCATCGAAACAAACCCTAACCCCAAAATCCGCGACATTATTCACGAGATCGATCGTCAGAACGAAGAAGCCGATAAAATAAAGAAGAAAGGTATTCGTCAGGGTGGTGCAGAGACCGGTCGAGCCCGTCGTACAGAAGCTGAGGAAGATGAAGAGCTACTGAAAGATGAAAGACAAGGTGGATCGGCAGAAACTGTGTTCCGTGAATCGCCAGCTTTCATTCAGGGCCTAATGAGAGACTATCAAATTGCTGGGTTGAATTGGCTCATTTCTCTGCATGAGAACGGAATCTCGGGTATTCTTGCGGACGAGATGGGTTTGGGCAAGACACTCCAAACCATTTCCTTCCTAGGATACCTTCGTCATATCATGGATACCAAAGGTCCTCACCTGGTCATAGTACCCAAGTCTACTCTCGATAACTGGAAGCGCGAGTTCGCCAAATGGACACCCGAAGTCAATGTCCTGGTCTTACAAGGTGCTAAAGAAGAGCGACATAACCTGATTAACGAACGCTTAATTGACGAGAAGTTTGATGTCTGTATCACGAGTTACGAGATGATTCTTCGTGAGAAAGCGCATTTGAAGAAATTCGCCTGGGAGTACATTATCATCGACGAAGCCCATCGCATCAAGAACGAAGAGTCGTCTCTTTCCCAAGTCATCCGTTTATTCAACTCTCGAAACCGACTTCTTATTACTGGAACGCCCCTTCAAAACAACCTTCACGAGCTTTGGGCGCTTCTAAACTTCTTGTTACCTGACGTCTTTGGTGACAGTGAAGCTTTTGACCAATGGTTCTCCGGACAAGATGCAGATTCGGAAGTGGTAGTTGAGCAACTTCACAAGGTCCTACGGCCCTTCCTCCTACGTCGAGTTAAGGCGGATGTCGAGAAAAGCTTGTTGCCGAAGAAGGAGATCAATCTCTATCTCGGCATGTCGGAAATGCAAGTGAAATGGTACCAGAAAATCTTAGAAAAGGATATCGATGCTGTCAATGGCGCCGGTGGCAAGCGGGAATCTAAGACTCGACTACTTAATATTGTCATGCAGCTAAGAAAGTGTTGCAATCATCCCTATCTTTTTGAGGGAGCTGAGCCTGGCCCGCCTTATACGACCGACGAGCATCTAGTATACAATTCGGGCAAGATGGCTCTACTCGACAGGCTCTTGCGAAGACTACAGAAACAGGGCAGTCGCGTTCTTATCTTCTCACAGATGAGTCGTCTTTTAGATATTCTTGAGGACTACTGTGTATTCCGTGATTACAAGTACTGCCGAATCGATGGAGGTACTGCTCACGAAGATCGTATTGCAGCAATCGATGACTACAACAAACCGGACTCAGAGAAGTTCATTTTCCTCCTCACGACTCGAGCTGGCGGTCTTGGAATCAATCTGACGAGTGCCGATATCGTTATTCTCTATGATAGCGATTGGAACCCCCAGGCTGATCTGCAAGCTATGGATCGTGCCCACAGAATTGGACAAACAAAGCAAGTAGTTGTTTACAGGTTTGTCACGGAGAACGCTATTGAAGAGAAAGTTCTCGAGCGAGCAGCGCAGAAGCTCCGCCTTGACCAATTGGTTATTCAGCAAGGACGTGCTCATCCTGGAGCCAAGGGTCCAGCAGCTAAAGATGAGCTCCTCGATATGATTCAGCATGGTGCAGAGAAAGTTTTCCAGCAAAAGGGAGCTACGGGAATAGCTGCTAAGGGTACAGAGCTTAACGACGAGGATATTGATGAGATCTTGACCAAGGGCGAGAACCGCACCAAAGAACTCAATGCCAAGTATGAGAAGCTTGGTATTGATGACCTACAGAAATTCTCTTCGGAGTCAGCCTATGAATGGAATGGCGAAGTGTTCGGGAAGAAGAAGGACATTGGCGTGAATTGGATCAACCCCGCAAAGCGGGAACGCAAGGAGCAATCCTATTCCGTCGATAAGTTCTACAGGCAGGCCATCTATGGTACTAGCAAGGCAGAAGCTAAGCCTAAAGCTCCCCGAGCGCCAAAGCAGGTCGCAGTCCATGATTACCAGTTCTACCCCCCACGACTCCGTGACCTCCAGGATCGAGAAACCGCGTTTTATCGTAAAGAAATTGGGTACAAGGTCCCCTTACCTGACGGCGACGAAGATAATCTATCGGAACGAGAAGCTGAACGTGCCTTGGATCAACAGGAGATTGATAACGCTACTGCCCTCACTGAGGAGGAACAGGAAGAGAAGCAGACACTATCGCTTCAAGGTTTCGGCGAATGGAACAAGCGTGACTTCCAACAGTTTATCAATGGCTCTGGCCGCTACGGACGCCATGACTATGAACGAATTGCGGAAGAAGTTGACAGCAAGACTGCCCCTGAAGTTAAGGCTTACGCCAAGGTCTTCTGGCAACGATATACCGAAATCGCGGATTATAACAAGTACTTGCAGGTGATCGAATCTGGAGAGGAGCGTATGCGCAAGACGGAGCATCAGCGCAAGATGCTTAGGAAGAAGATGCAATTATATCGAGTTCCACTCCAGCAGATGAAGATTAATTATTCCGTGTCTACGACGAACAAGAAGGTCTACACCGAGGAAGAGGACAGATTCCTTCTAGTGATGCTGGATCGATATGGTATCGATTCTGAGGGTATCTATGAGCGAATTCGAGATGAGATTAGAGAAAGTCCTCTGTTCCGATTCGATTGGTTCTTTCTTAGCAGGACGCCTATCGAGATCAGCCGCCGTTGTACTACACTGCTCACTACGATTGTGAAGGAGTTCGAGGATGCACACCCGATCAAGACAAATGGGGCCAACGGCAAGGGAAAGAGAGAGCCCGATGACGAGGAGAATGATGAGGACAGCATCCTTGGAATGGCCCCCGCCAAGAAGAAGTCAAAGACCGGTGTCAAGGTATGTTGTTAATCAATTATCAATTGTTAACCAACTTAATTTGAACCAGCTACTAACACAGAAGCAGAACAAAGCCCTCGACAACGTTAAAGGCGGCGGCAGTAAGACTACTTCTGCTACGCCATCCACTCGCGCGTCCAGTGTGGCTTCTACCAACTCAACACCCGCGGCCAAGTCCAAGGCCAAGGGAAAGAAGAAGTAAGCGGCTGTCGCTGATTAATAAAGGAGCGGACAAGATGTTTTTTGGTCCGCACTAAATTTCCCTTCGGTCTGAGTTGGCACTTCTTGCGTAGACCTTGTTCTCACAATGGCATCATCGGACTATGGAATTGGCAGGAGGAGTAAGTGTACAGGCGTTTTTATTGGTTGCTTTTGCCACAGGACGATAGAGTCCACAAAGTTGAGCTGTCTCGATAGATAGTCTAAATGCCGTCTAGTTCCCGATATAGGGTCTGGCAAAAATGAGAGTCTAGGGGGTATTTTTACCAAAGCTTAACAGCGGCGGTCAAGCATGGACAGAGATAGCATCATGTTGCACTTCCAATGTAAAGAACGAGCTACGACATAGCTATGAATGTGCTTTTCGAGAAGTTTGCCTTGTGCACCTACGTAGCTAGTCCTTATGTGATATTGCGAACCGCTTGCAGTGTTGTTACTGACAAGTTGCCCCATTCCTACACATAATTCAATTTTGTCATTTTAGGATGGTGACCACCTCGCTACGCTAGACTAATAATCAAAAGCAATATTGTGTCTTAATCAAGTATATTGATTAGAAGCCTCGAGCTACTTCCCTGCCTCCCTATACCTAATCCGGAGCTCTCATTTATTTTTCTCTTTCCTACCTAAGTGACGAACAAAAATTGTCGGATAAAACCCTCAAACGCCGAAGCCTTTCCCGGATGGATGGATGGGTGGATAGATGCAAGTTCTGGCTAGGAGAACGCGGAATAATAAAAACGAGGACACAACGCCGGATATCTTCCATCCCTCCCTTCCTCCCGCTTTCTACCGCTTTCTACCTCGTAGCGACGACCAACGCGTGTACGTATATACGCCACGATGGAATGGCGGGATGATTCGGGGAGGAAGAATAGGCGGGGGCTAGAAGAGTTATACGCTACGCGCGTGTTCTTATTATAGCCTGTTGTCACGCTCGCGCTCGACCTCGTACCGGAAGTCGAAGTATCCCTTATCGAAGTGGTGGATACGCACATAACCGTCTTCTCCGCCGCTGGCATAGCCCTTGCCTGTGGGGTCCGCTGCCACGGTGTTCTGTTGCGTTGTTAGACGTGGGTTATGAGTACTCTAGGCTGGGGAAAATTTTAAACGTACCAAAGGTCCGAAATGGCCCCTTACACGACCGATCTCATCCTCGAAAACTTTGTGGTAGAAGCGCGCTTCGAACTTTCCTTGGCGAGCTGCGGTCGTGGTGACGTCCATAGCGGCCTGCCCACCACCCAGGATAACGTAGTCCTTATTCGGAGTAATGCATGCGCTGTTAAGGGGGGTGTCCGTCACGTAGGTCTTCAGGGGTTCGAGGTCGCGCGCGGCTATCAGTCGGGCGGTCTTGTCCTTGGAGGCTGTGATGAAGTAGGTGCGGTCGGGCGACCATTGGAGGTCTGTTACTTGCATATTGAGCTCGTGGATGGGGACATTATCGAGTAGCTCTCCAGTCTGTCAAGATAGCATTTGTTAGATCTCATCATCCATCTCTTTACATATAATAGCTGGCTTCGCGGCTTACCTTAGCGTCGTACTGCGATACGGAACCATCCTCATGTCCTGCGATGATGTACTTGTTCAGGTAACTCCAGCCGGCAACGGTAGCTTTGCTCTCATCGCACACGATGGTCAAGACGCGCTCGTCGCTCTGCTCGGCATCAACTTCCAACACGACATCTAGAACCACAATAGTTCCGAGATGACCCATGCGCTTCTCAGTGACACCCAGCAGCTGGCGGCCATCATCGCTGAACTCAACGCGCTTGACAGCAGTGGGGAATTCCCAAGTCTTTAGGCAACGGCCGGTCTTAATTTCCCACAGGCGGATGGTGTTGTCGGCGCTACCGCTTGCGATGAAGGTCGATGTTGGGTCTACATCTACGGTCCAGATAGCACCCTGGTGACCCTTATATGTACCTAACCGCTCGCCATTATGCGAAAACCACACGCAGATCTGCTGGTCCTTTGATACGGAGAATAGTAGGTCGCCATCGGGATTATATCTGTAGAGGGGAAAAATGATTTAGTTAGTCTAACGAACTTGTCGCGGGGCAAGGTTCTTTTTATGCTGAGAGAAACATATGAGAAGCATACCTAATTTGGGTCAAGGCCCTTTCCTATAAAAAACTGTTAGATTATATTATCTATGATATCAGGAAAAGTGTTCTCTCTTACGTGGCCTGACAACAGAATAGGTCTCATATTGGCGGTGTTCTGGTCTATATCTCGTCACCAATCTTGAGGTTGGTTGTATGGAGTTTTTGAATGATTTGTGCGTGGGGCAAGATTTCGCGGATTTTCTGATAACCTATCAGCATCTGGACCCCACCAACGTTACTCATCATCACGTGAAAGGCTATACAAAGGCTTGAGGTTTATGGTAGCCAATCATAATTTATAACACAGTACTATCCTAGTAAGTACCTCGCCTAACCCTGACAAGTCTATCATGTACCTAAATTTAATCTCATCTATGCATATAGATGTACCTGTCTACCAAGCACCTTCCCATGTTGCAATAAGAATTAGATGAGCAGAATATCAGGTTCAGTGGATTGCTGCTTCCGTATGAGAAACAGGTTAGACTACGCGATCAGGACAACGTTTGAGTCATCTCAGATAAAGAAATATTTTTTAAGTTTTGGAGCTTGGAAGAGGGAAAATGAACTTCTCGCTAAACAAGAAAATTTCTGATGAGCCATAAAAATAACCTATCATACATATTTACGCAACATGAACATGAATTTATAGAAGATGGAAGCTTTATCCTACTACTTCTATTTTATTTCGAATATATCATATTATCTATTTTATAGATAATCTTCGTTTTATTTCTATTATGGTTTATTTACCTGACTGTATTTTTTTTTTTTTTCAAACTCGATGTTGCGGACATTAACAATATTCGATTCTATGACTGTTCCTTCAAATCCTTCTAGATTACTGACACTGGCATTGTAGTAATTGTATAATACAATACCTAGCAGCAAACCTTATCGTATAGCGTGCTAGCTTTGGAACTAGCAGCTATGACTCTAGCCATTGCAAGCATCAGTCGATGCCACCACAATTTTCATCCTCTTTCAAATCCATCCGTACAATTCATACTTCGGCCGGTCACACGCGTTACCACTAGATTCGTTGTAACCTGGCCGACTAATACTCCGCTTTGCGGGTCTCGAAAAGCCTGCAGCTTGTCAAATTGCTTGTCTAATAACAGTTGCGAGCTTCCGTTTGCGATCCCGGTCCAAGCGAATCGTTCATATTTCGCTCCCCGGATTTCAGCTTACTCTCAACAACGTGCCCGACTCACCACGTCTGCAAATACCCGTCGAGGGTTGTATCAGCTGTGTTGCACAAGAACAGGCTCATCTACCTATTATCCCTCAATAGAAACGGTGCAACGGCATTGGTCACTTGTCTCATTGTCGCATTTGTCGCGTGCCTCTAATAGACATTTTTCAACGAGCTACCCCACTATGACTGCTATTAGGTTAGATGGCACTGCCATCGCGAAGAAGATCCGCGAGAGACTGGCTGCTGAGATAGTCGAAAAGCAAAAGTCCAACCCTAAATATCAGCCATGTCTCAAGATCATCCAAGGTTTGTAATTATTATAACCCCATAATACTCCATACTCCGTACTTCTATAATTCGGATATAATAGGTACTAACTTTGTTACCTCGTATAGTCGGTGATCGATCTGATTCTTGTATGTCTTAATTCGGGTTCTCTGACTCAACCACCGTAAGCAACCTGTGCCGCAGCTAATTCTCTCACCAGCAACTTATGTTCGTATGAAGCTTAAGGCCGCTCGAGAGGTAGGAATTCGAATTTTTAGCATAATGTCCCACATCTAATACCCCTAACCTAACTATTGTGACTCATAAAAGGCCAATATTACCTGCGATCTCCTGCATTTCCCTGAGGATATTACCGAGGCCGAGCTCTTGGCGCAGCTACACGTCCTAAATAATGACTCTACCGTGTCCGGCGTCCTTGTTCAGCTGCCCCTGCCCAAGCATGTCGATGAGTACACCATTACTTCCGCCGTCGCAGATGAAAAAGATGTCGATGGTTTCGGTACCACAAACATTGGCGAGCTCGCCAAGAAAGGTGGCCACCCATTCTTTATCCCCTGCACTCCAAAGGGAGTCATGGTCCTCTTAGAGGAAGCTGGTGTAGACCTGAAAGGAAAGGATGCTGTGGTTCTTGGCCGAAGCGATATTGTCGGTAGCCCGGTCAGTTACTTGTTGAGAACGCCGACGCAACCGTCACTGTCTGCCATTCCAAAACTAAAGGCATCGAGGAGAAATTAAAGAAGGCAGATATCGTCGTTGCCGCTATTGGCCAGCCGGCCTTCGTAAAGGGAGAATGGCTCAAACAAGGTGCCGTGGTTATCGATGTAGGAACCAACTACATCCCTGACGCATCTAAGAAGTCAGGCCAACGGCTGGTAGGTGATGTAGAATTTGAGTCGGCTTCCCAGGTTGCTTCCTATATCACACCAGTTCCGGGTGGTGTAGGGCCTATGACGGTTGCTATGCTATTGCAAAATGTTGTTAATGCAACCACCATGTATTTCGATCGACAAAAGCAGAGGCGTATCGTCCCGCTTCCTCTCAACCTGCGTACTCCAGTCCCCTCTGATATCGAGGTTTCAAGGTCACAACCACCGAAACCCATCACGCGAGTCGCAGAAGAGATTGGTATTGCGCATCATGAGTTGGAACCCTATGGCGCATATAAGGCCAAGGTGGACCTCACCCTTTTAAAGCGTCTGGAACACCGTCAAAATGGTCGATACGTCGTAGTTACAGGTATCACTCCCACGCCGTTAGGTGAAGGGAAGTCCACCACGACTATGGGCTTGGCCCAAGCACTAGGTGCGCATTTAGGTCGAATTACCTTTGCCAATGTCCGACAGCCAAGTCAAGGTCCTACCTTTGGTATCAAGGGCGGTGCAGCTGGCGGTGGGTACAGTCAAGTCATACCCATGGATGAATTTAACTTGCACTTAACTGGTGATATCCACGCCATCACCGCAGCGAACAACCTTCTTGCCGCTGCTATCGAGACTCGTATATTCCACGAGAACACGCAGAAGGATGGCCCCCTTTATCGAAGATTGACACCGGCAAAGAACGGAAAGAGGACTTTTGCACCCGTCATGTTCCGCCGATTGAAGAAGCTAGGAATTGACAAGACTGACCCTGAGGAGCTCACCGAAGATGAGATCCACCGGTTCGCTAGACTAGACATCGACCCGGAGACTATCACCTGGAGACGTGTACTAGATGTAAATGATCGCCACTTGCGTGGTGTCACTGTTGGCACTGCGCCGACTGAAAAGGGGCAGAAACGAGATACCGGGTTTGATATTTCTGTTGCCAGCGAGTGTATGGCTATTCTAGCAATGAGCACGAGTCTTGGCGATATGCGAGAAAGACTAGGTCGAATGGTCGTCGCTACGTCGAGGTCAGGAGATCCGGTCACTTGTGATGACATAGGAGCCGGCGGTGCATTGACGGCCCTCATGAAGGACGCTATCAAGCCAAACTTGATGCAAACATTAGAGGGAACTCCCGTATTTGTGCATGCCGGTCCTTTTGCCAATATTAGTATTGGGAATAGCTCTATCCTTGCCGACAAGATGGCGCTCAAGTTAGCAGGTACAGAGCCCGATGAGGATCACAACGCCAAGGCAGGATTCGCTGTCACTGAAGCTGGTTTTGACTTCACTATGGGAGGCGAGCGATTTTTCAACATCAAGTGCCGTGGCCTCTGGCCTAGTACCTGACGTAGTTGTCATAGTTGCTACGGTTCGCGCCTTGAAGGTGCATGGTGGTGGCCCACCCATTGCTCCCGGTGCGCCGTTAGACCCTGTGTACAAGCAGGAGAATGTCGAGATCCTCCGAAATGGTTGCGTGAATCTCAAGAAGCATATCGAAAATGCCAAGGCCTATGGTTGCCCCGTTGTGGTTGCTATAAATAAGTTTGCTACTGACACCGATGCTGAGATTGCTGCCCTACGAGAGGAAGCTATTGCTGCTGGTGCCGAGGACGCCATCTTAGCAAACCATTGGGCCGAAGGAGGTAAGGGCGAGTAGATCTTGCCAAGGGAGTTATTGCCGCTTCTGAAAGGCCAAAGGACTTCAAGCTACTGTATGATGTGGATGAGGGTACTATCGAGCAACGCATGGAGAGTATCTGCCAGAAAATGTACGGCGCATCCGCTGTTGAATTTAGCGAGCTTGCCCAAAAGAAGATCGACACATACACGAAACAGGGCTTTGGAAACCTCCCAATCTGCATCGCTAAGACGCAATATTCACTCTCCCATGACCCGAATCTTAAGGGCGCACCGACTGGCTTCACCGTTCCAATTAGGGATGTGAGGATGGCCGCAGGTGCAGGATATCTGTAAGTACCTTATTGGCATGTCTCTGTATAAATCATGAACTAAGTGTGAATAGGTATGCGCTTGCTGCTGACATCCAGACAATTCCTGGTTTACCCACTGCCCCAGGATACCTCAATGTCGATGTTGATACCGAGACAGGCGAGATTGATGGACTCTTTTAGATGCTAGACAGCCATCAGTGTATTCTTATACACATTCGTTATAAACAAGAACTAGCGTATATGCGGTGCGAATAGATATCAACTAGCTAGACAGGGAACTCTATGCATTTAGGTAGCTTCAACGGATTCAACCACGTAGGAGCATCGGGACAGGGGGAATATACTAGATACGGCGGCTCGAGGGCCGGCGTTTATTATACATGATACCTTCAACAGTAGTGTATGCCGCAGGACTATCTACTACGGTCATACGCGCCCAAAATAGGTGTGTAGGATACTTATAAATAAATGCGATGAATTAGGTACCTCTCATCGAACTTGATTTGCATGTTGATTGTAGACACTACGAGCTAATATTAGCTCTGTTGCTCCGTTATAACTTGTCTTTAGGCATAACATATATATACACTAAGACTTTCCAAACATCCTCCCTCACATATCCTAGGTTCCTCGCTGACGAATATTAGGTATAGTATTCACCCTAAGTTAGACAGGTTAGGAGTAATAAAGATCATTGATTCGCTATCCTCGGCTGACTACCTTCCTAGTGATTAGCATTATTATGCCTCCTACTCTATTCGACTCACTTCGCATTCGCACTCCATCCAAATGCTTTCCCACTTCCTCATCCCACTTCTTGCATCCATATTTCTCTTCCTAATCCTACGTCGTCGCCGTAGTTCTGTGGATTATACATACATCAAGTATGGTATCGCCTATCTCTCTCTCTCTCTCTCTACCCTGCGCCCTTTTCTTCTCCTTCCTAGGAGGTATCTTTCCAATATCGAAAACTCGACTTTCCGACAGTTTTTTTTCTACATAAGTAGATAGAATAGATATAACAGGTAGCAATGATGTTGGTAACTTAGTAGTCCCCGCTAAAAACAAGGGAAGAAAAAATATGCTTGCTTGCTTGTAGATAGAAGCCTCCTCCATGCAGGGTATTGGCACGCTTGCCGACCTGTCTGTTCCATTTTGCAACATCGAATTCTCGCCAGTATTAAATAAATAGGTAAGTATGAACGCCTTATCCCGTATTGGTGCCCATCCATCTATACTGCGCTTCCTAGAAGAAGAAGAAAGAGAATATGACAATGATATTGATAGTCGAGTTCGTATCTCATGAATCATTCGAGACTTCATCTGCCTAGTATAGACTGGTTTTTATCTTCTCTGCCTGCTGTCCATGCCGCTGCGAGTTTTGGGTCCGAGTATGCCAAAAATCGAGCAAAGGGGTCGAGTAGTTTCAGAAGAAGTGGTGTGTAAGGGTAGAGAAATGGGGAAGCTAAAGCCAAAGAGATCTAGCTTTCCAACAGGTATCCATTTCCATCGTACAACCATCGCTCTAAGTCAATAGTAAGGGACCGTATAACGGTCACACCTAGTTGTCTACTTTGTATATCAGGTTGACACCGACGAGATGGCTGGCTTCTTAGCATCGGGTTGCTCTGAGCCCGTGCTCCCAGGCCCTTCGTCCAAGTTCCTCTTTTGACCAGCGATTTGGTCGACTACACCTGCACTGGGTGGTGCAGGACTACATATATCGGGTACTGGCGCAGGAGTGGATACAGGAGCGACGACTTTACTATGTTGCTCGTGTTGCCCGATACCTCCGTTGCTATTAATAGGCCCGTCCTCTCGCAATCTCTTCTGTCCGATTTGATCAACGACACCTGCGCTAGGTGGTGCTGGAGTAGACATGTTAGGTGTGGGGGCTTTAACCGGCTCCGGTCTGTCGGCAGTTCCTTGACTATGGCTGAACGCATCGTCGTGTGGTCGCTTTTGCCCCACGATTTGATCAACAACGCCTGCGCTTGGTAGCGCTGGACTAGAAACATTGTGCATTGGCGCTGCCGGTGCGCTTGGACTTGGCAAACTCGGTGTGCCTATTGACTCCTTGCGGATAATAGAAGGTCGACTTATTGAGTTTACCCCTGGGCGCGAGATACCCATTGGGGTTGGACGCTGGATTGAAACACCAGGGCGGGTAACTGATGGGGTTGGCCTTGTACTGTTTGCCGGGATAGTTTGTGAAGGTATATTTGGTGCTATTCCTTGACTACCTGTTTGAATGGTCCCCGTTGTGGGAGTAGGGGGCTGAGTTGGAGCCGGTGATGCGGATGGAGCTTGTCGCGGAACTTGTTGCGGAGCTTGAATTACCCCTGAAGGCGGGGGTTGTACCTGGAGGCTATGCGCCCTGCGCGCATCTGCAATTATCTGCGTGACAGACTTAACCATTAATCTGTCTGCCTCCTCCCAGCCTTGAATCGGTCCAGTATTTGGCAAACCTTGGGCTCGGTTAATAGCCAAGTCCACGATAGCCTCTGCTTGGTCTGTCTTCTTCCTAAGAGCGACAACCATAGTGCCCCTAAAGTTCCTGATTCTGCGCTGTATTTCGGCTTCGAGCGTGGCCGCGGGTGCTGGACTTGGCGTTGGCGCGCTCGGGGTCGGCGTTGACTTCGTAGCATTCGCTAAGGCTGAGGCGGGAGCGGGAGAAGCAGAAGTTGTCTGCTGTTGTCGCTTCGCTTGCATTTCGGTAATCATATTTTGTACCGCGTTAAAAAGTGTTTTTTCAACTGATTCAAACCCAGGAGGCACACTGGTCTGGACTGATAACCCCCGCGCACGACATATAGCCGAGTCAATAATTTGTGCAGCATGGGGTGTCTGCTTCGAAATAACGTTTAACATATTTCCCCTAAACTGAGCAATGGCTCTCTCGATTTCTGGTGATAGCGGTGATCGGACTGTGTTCTCAGGAATACTCGACACCTGTTGCGGTTGCTGGTGCTGTGAGGGAGGTTGCGCTAGGGGTTGTTGCACTGGAGCTGCAGGTAGTGCCTGAGGGGTTTGTACTGCAGGAGCTTCTGATTTGACGGGAATATTAGTTTGGGGGGCCGGTTTCGCGTAAGGCGAGCTGTAAGTACTTTGCTGGGCGTTATGAGATTGCCTAGCCAGATATCCGGGGGGCAATTGTGCAGGTGCAGGGGATTGCGTCGAGTAAACTGGCTGGACGACTGGTTGGGAAGATTGTGCTGAAAGGGGCTGAGGAGGTGGGTTTGTAGGAGGGTGGTATCCCGTTGGTATCTGCTTTGTGTCATTGGTATAGTGTGATACATTATGGCCGTAATTGTAGTTGCCCGCGGGTAAGTAAGAACCGTTTTGGTAATACTGTGCTGATAGCTGCGAGTGAAGGTGAGCTGATCCAAGCTGTCGGTCTGGTGAGCTTGCTTTGCGCTTCTTTCCAGCATCAAGCTCAACGCCGGGGACACGAGACCAAAGTCCGGTTTCCTCGGCCTTCTTGAAGGCTTCATTCCCAATTAGATTATGCCGAACACTACTTTCCCATCCTTTTGTCTCAGCAGAGAAGTAGAACCATGGATATTTTGACATGATTCTCTTGTAGATCTGTTTCAAAGTTAGACCATCTGGAGGTCCATTTGTTAAGGCCTCATCAATCAGAACACCATAATTCTTTGTAGGTTTCTGTAGCTGCTCTTCGGTGAAGTCCTCCTTTCGGAGCTCCAAAGGCGGCGACTTCGGTCGGACCTTCTTCTCTTTCTTTTCCCTTGCCCGTCTCTCAGCATCGGAACCTTCTTCGCCTTCTTCCTTTGGCCTTCGTTTGTTATACTTTCTCTTCTCCGGCTTATCCCCATCCTCGGTAGCAGGATTCTTCCTAGGTCGCCCTACCGGCCGTTTAATCTTCTCGTTTTGTTCTTGCTGGTCTTGGGGAATAGTCTTCTTAGAGGTTTCTTGCATCTGCTTCTTAAGCAGTCGCCGTTCCCTCTTTGACATTATCCCATCTTTAGGCGGTCGCCCTGGACCACGCCGCTTCGGCATATCAGAATTCATAAATTGAGACTGATGCATGTCCTGAAGTTCAGTAGAGTTGATCATGCCAATATTCGACTCGTCTACTTCGTCAGATTGTAGCTCCGTAACTCCTTGATCGTCACCTTCTTCGTCTTCGCCGTCATTTTCGCCTTCGCCCTCCCCATCGCCATCGCCGTCGCCGTCGCCGTCACCCTCGGCATCTCTTTCCACATCACCTTCGTCAGACCCAACGACAGGGGTTGGTACATTCTCAATCTCTGATAGCTCTTCGCTTGTGTCCCGGAAGTTCTCATGGTCGGAATGTTCAAAGTCAAAGCTCATCTCTTTTCCTCCAATAGACATACGTTTACTCGAAGTTTCTTCCTCATGATACTCCTCGCCACCTGTCTTACCCAGTTGAACACCGTTGAGGACAAATGTGAACTCCACGTCTTTGATTTGAAGTCGATCTCCGCTCCTGAGAGTAACTGGATCGTCAAGACCGTAATGTGTGTCATCGCAGAAAAAGCCATTCTTGTGTAGGGCAACAGCCTCAAATACGCCTCTTTTCTCATTAAATTCGATCTTAAGATGTTGTCTCGATATACCGCGAGTTTTACTTGCGATATCCGGCCCGGGAGAATGAATACCCACGAATGGAATATGAGAGGGCGACGGTTGTAAGGTGCCTAAATCTACAGCGGCGGCTCCGGGGGTGTGGGAAACATATTGCCTGTTGGACTTGACATGGTCACTTTGAGCGTCTTCGTCACCGTTATGAGACCTATTCGCAGAACTTGGGCGACGCTTCTTCACAGGTCGTACATTATCTTCACCATCCGACTCAGGGCCTAGCATGCCACCTTCTTCGCTCACATAGGATTTACTAAACTTCCCGCGGTCGACATTGAGGGGCGTCGGGGGAGGCAATCCATTTCTCGCATTCTCTTCCACTTTGCGTCTGTAGCTCAATTCCCTCTTCTCATCCCTCCTGGCTTGATCCATAGCCCGTTGATCGCGACCAATAATGACAGCGTAAGTAGTCATCTGAAAAACACTATCGGCAAATTCTATCCTGGCAAAAGATTCTAACTTTTGGCTGGCGCTAGTCGATGTGCGGTCGCCGCTTGTCGTCACAGCATCGCTTTCCTGAGGAGTAAACGAGGCCTGCAAGGAGACCTCAGAGGGGGCTACAATGGAGGGCCCCTGATTCTGGAAGAGAGCGGAACTAGCCTGGGCGATATTCATAATGTAGGCATTGGGTTGTACAGTACCCTGAGTGTGTCGCAAGCTGGAAGACATATTTCGAGACGAGAAGTCTATGCCTGCAGGTTCGGGGTCAGTAGTCGCGACAGCTTCTACCTGGTTGCGCGATCGTTGTGTATTTTCTAGTATTTGAGTTCGATCGAGTTTCATAGAAAAGGTATCTGTAGCTTTGCCCAAGTTGGCAGAAGCTAGATGGACGGCCGAGGTGAGTTCAGAGGCTCCATTCGTAGCTGATAGAGGCCCGGTAGAGAGGTCGGGAACATCATCATTATCGCCAATGTTCACTTGAGTCGCCGCCGGTGTAAAAGGGGGAGACGGTAGGGGGCGAGGGCATTGAATGCATCTCTTGAATATCATCGCGGTAGGTATCTTGTTGAGCCGAAAAAGGTATCGGCGCATTCGCATCGGCAGTGGCAGTGGCAGTGGCAGTGGCAATAGATGCGGGATCTGGATCGGATGCGGGCGGCACGCTTGGCGGCGGAGAGGCATGATGTACTACTGGTTGGCGACCAGGATAGGTCGCGGCAGCTATGGACGAAGTCATCGCTGTTGAATTGAATACAGCTCCTTCGTCTACGGCGTGCCGGTTTGGGGTTTGTTAAGGAAAATAGTATGGAGAGTTGAAGGTGGGTGTACTGCCAGTAGAAAGGAACGGGATTGTTGTGACCGCCTTCCCGCAACGTAAAAAAAATACAGCAAATGCTAATGGCTTCCAATGGCTCTAATGGCTCTAATGGCTCTAATGGTCTGACAGTGCCAAATTTCTGATTTGATTTCCCCGCCAAGGCACTTTTTACAGCCACTAAAAGCCACTAATCTATAAAGGTACTGGTGCTTTTTCTGTGCATGTTCGGGTAGAGCTTGTTGGCTAACTGTGATTGGTTGTAATTGGTTGGTAGGGGGTGAACTAATCGGCGCTTTAAAGCTGCTAACTTGGTTAGGCTGTTTAGCTTCTGCAGCAGTGAAGCAATGGAGCTTCTCCTCGAACTCTATGGTCAACTGCGCTTTATTTTTTACAGCTGTTTCCAGTCTCACACCTATACGTGTGTAACAGATAGATTATGATAAGAAAGTTTCCCATCAATCATCGCGGACATCTTTCCGAAAGATTGCCAAATATATCCATACTTATACCATCCTTGGTCAATTGACACGAGACTAATGCAGATGCCCAATATGTGCTGCTTGAATGTACATATCGGGCTTCAAGGCACATCGAGTCAGTTTATATGCATAGACAGATGAGATCAAACTTGGGCAGTCGTAAGACTAAGTTCATATTCACATTACATGCTCCTAGTAATTTGAGTAAGTAGATTCGAAATATAGACATTGCTAGTAAATTTGTATGAACCTTGTAGTATCTTACAAAGGTATAACATTAGTATTTACCATAGTATTGAATACACGTATAATACTCATTCAGCTTTCCTTTATGAATCACATACTATGGGGATATTTATCACAAAGGTTGAGCATAGGTAAATCATACTTAGAGTAGTACAACGAAAAGGAACCTCTACGCTATAAGTCGTATAGCGGTCTTAAGTTATATATTTGTTAAACAAGCTTTCATATTCTTAATAATAAAATCATACATATTCCTCAAGCGTGTAAGAGTGGTCTTCTTTCACTTGACCGGTGATTGCTCTCTTCTCTATCCAATTCGCAAACTTGTAGGCCCAGTGGCAGAGCATCCCAGCTACAAAACCAACAGCGTCGTTCTTGAAAGCCAAGATGCCTGCCGTAGTCATGAGCATAACAGTCCACCTCTCTGACCTTTCCTGATCCGAGATGTCTTTATGCCTCTTCTGTTGACCCTGATCTACTGATGACTCCCATAGATCCGAGGCGCCGTGGTTTAGGCTCTGGCCCACCTTTGCCAGTTCTAGACCGGCAGCGATGACCATGATACCCAGAAGGCTCTTCGGAAACCCCTTTAGAAGATCCCAGTAACGTCTCGCCGAAGACAATACCGAGTATCATCTTAAATAGACCCAGCAAGATGATGCTTGCACCGCTCCGCGCACCAAATCTGTACTGTGCCGCAAGCCCCCCGGCCCCATGACAGACAGGCATAGCACCAAACCAACATCCCAAAAGGTTCATAACGGCAACGCTAATGCCGAGAGCAGTGACGCTGGGCGCCGGCAGATCAGGTAGCAGATCCGTTGCGAGGGCACTCGCGGCAATGATCGAATTTAACGTCGTCAGTGGCAGCTGCGCGATGCCCATGCCGATAGCATCAGCACTCCACCGCGGAAGTGTAAACCAGGGGCGCCAGACATGGAAATGCGGTAGGTGGTAGGAGCTCGTAGCAACAAATATTATAGCGAGGACTAGGCCGGTAACGAATATAATTAGGGCGTACGGAAACCGAGATGCTCTCTGGGTCAATATGAGCAGCAAGAAGGCGGCTAAGGACCAGACGAGGTTGTCGAGAGCGAAAGCCCAATTATGGATAAAGGGCTGGAGCAAAGAAGTACCCGCGGAGATGACGAGGGAGAGACCAGCGCCGAATTGAATTCCTTTAACTACAGGAATGGGTATTATACGCGTGACCCAGTGCAATAAACCTGTGATGCTCAGGAGCAACACGATAATAGCTACCACGCTTCCCGCTGCTACGGTTTCGCGTTCCGAGGCGCGAGAGGCTATGGCTGCCGCTGCGATAGCCTTCATAGGCTGTACCGGTAAGGGAATACCGAATACGACACCGGTTACGAGGTTGAAGAAGCCGGAAAATACAAGCGTCGTCGATAGCGAGATTGAGCCGTTGACCGCGAGGGTGATCATAAGAGGCAGAAGGGTACCAAGATCGCCGAGCGCGCCCGAGATCTCAGCAAGCGACGAGTTACGTACAGTTGCGACATTGTTGCGATGGAATCGCTTAATGTTTGAAATGAAAGTCATGATCCTTGTAGGCTTTGGCCATATGTATATATTGGCGACTTCAAGATCATGTTATGGAAGCTATACACTTTACATAATCTGACTTTACAATCATCAGGATGTGAGATCGGAAAGGTTTCAGCGCCAACTACGTCAGCGCGGAGATACCTTGCAATTCCGCAGCCTCTTCGGAGCTACCCGAGACACGAGCCCCATGATTTTTTTTTTTGCTTCTCGCAGTTACACATCATATCGCTATTTTCGACATGTACTACTTTAAGTAATTAATTGCATACATTTGTGTAAGACAAACTCAGGAGGTATAAATAACATTAGAGTTGATGAGCAGGTAACTTTAAACGTTACTACCTAGTTATGTATACATGGGAGTACCTAAACATCGATAAATTATACACTTGTGCAAGCCTTAAACGGTATTAACGGATCTATCCACTAGAGGTAACACTACCGTACGTAACAAAATAATTGTTAAATAAAGGACTTTGGAATATTTTTCTTTCAACCTCGGTAACATAGCTACCTAATTATGCACGTAACGATCCAGTCTTGATGCGGAGTTAGCTCTGTAAGAGGCGAACAGGTAAAAGTTCTAGAATGGGTGTAACAACGGAAGCTGAGTAGGTATTTCACGGGTCACATTCCAAATCCAGCAAACAGCTGTTGACTCGAGACTTATAACGTCCACACCTAGTTACATCGCTACCAAGGATTTAGCCCACCATATGTTTTCCTAAAGACGAATGGGGTTCGCTTGATTAATTTAGTTCGTATAGATATACTCATACTACTTTTACACTTAACTAATGGAATTTTTCTCTCTCATAGTTTAGGTAGGTACCTAACTTACCCAAGTATAATAGTTAATTGTATAAGTCGTTCACGCAGAATGTTGTCATAGTACTTGAAACATAAACCTTGAAACAAGGGAAATTGCGGGGTTCCAACGACATGAAGGCTATTAATAATGAGACCAAAAAGATAGCCGTTTTCCGAGCCTCTAAGAATGGAAGTCAACCGGGGAACTCGCCATCGGACGGAAACGCAGTTGGAAGGATCTTGGAATAGCGCTCGGGATGTCAGGGTCCCGAAACGTTAGGGCCGAACAATCAATCGCGTATATCCATCACTCGCCCCCTAAATCTAGATACTTATTCCAGTTATAATATTCAAGTAGACTGCGCGAAATATTTTTCTTGTCTTATTTTGTTAAATTGTTTCTTTTATTCATTTAACATTTTTAACAGCTTGTTTTTTTTGTCAACCCCTGTTTGACAAAGTCCTCTTTAATCTTAAGTATAACTAGGTATTCTTCTATTTAGGTATAGGTCGAATACTTTATTATAGTGTATATACATATACTTGCATAGTCTTGCCCCGGCGGGCAGAACGCTCGAAAGTATTGGCGGGGGTCAATAAGTCGTTATCATGGTTTCAACAATATTATTGCTGCTAGGTGCAGCGGTTATATACTTCATATTCAATACCGTATCGGGGCTTAGAGCCAACATTGCTGCTGCCAAACGATCCGGCTTCCCTTACTTCGTTGTTCGTAAGTTGATTCAATTTCAACTCTTTCAACCCTTAGTTACTCTTTTACATACTCCTAAATATTTTTAAACCGCAAAGCTAACCTTTATCATAGCTATTAGCCCATGGAACCGATTAGGTCAAATATTTCATAAATTTTGGTCCCGTTTGTTCAGACTTCTTCCACGCAAATATTGGGAAGACATTGAACCGTGAGCAATCTAACCAACTCCTAGTGTTATTACTCAGTAATCTAATGCATGTAATATTAGTGTTTTGAATCCTAACTGGCAGTATGTGGAAAACCATAAACTATTTGCTAAACTCGGAGATACCTTTTTGGTTGTTTCCCCAGGGAGAATCATATGCTTTACGGAAAATGCAGAGGCTATTCACCAGATAACATCAAAGCGAGAGGCGTTCCCAAAGCCGACAAAGTCCTATGCTATTCTTGCTCAATATGGCCAGAATGTAGTGACGCTTGAGGGCGCTGCTTGGCGCATGCACCGCAAGATTACCTCGGCTTCCTTCAACGAGAGGAATGCCGCGTTGGTCTTCAGGGAGTGTATTAGCCAGACCCAGGGGTTATTAACATCTGGCTCGGCTCCGATGGTTTAGGAAACAAGACATTTAAGACTCTTGAGCACGATACGGCATCTCTCATGTTAAATATCATCGCAAACATCGGATTCGGCCTCAAGATCCTCTGGCCCGGCCAAGAGTTCCCACCTGATGCCGATCCAAGATTAACCAAGTACGGAACTCACGAACCTCCTCCAGGACATACGTTGAGTTTCGTAGAAGCATTGGCTCGCACCCTGAAATATCTCATCCTCCTTCTGATCGCGCCGAAATGGATACTCAGAATTATCCCTAACAAGCACGCAAAACAGGCTCTGGAAGGAGAAGCGAACTTTTTAGGCTACATGAACGAGTTCCTGCAGGAAAAGATTGAAGACGTGCAGAAAGGAAATAACGCGGAACAGGGTCTTGATATAATGGGCTCGTTAGTCCGCACAAGCTACGGAGATGTGCCAGCCAATGGATCAACTAAAAAAGGAGCCCAAGTTGCACGATTATCGGACTCGGAAATCATAGGCAACGCATTTGTGAATATAGTAGCAGGACATGAGACTACAGCTAACGTTCTCCATTTCACACTCGCCTACCTAGCATCCAGTCCGGCTTCTCAAAGGAGATTGCAACGGGATATCGATAATCTTCTAGGAAATACGGACGCAGAAACATGGGATTATGAGGCGTGTCTGAATCCTCTCCTCGGTTCGATGGTTGGTGCTGTTATTAACGAAACACTCCGTTTACTACCGCCTGTAGTGGATATACCGAAGATGGTAACCCCGGCGCAAGACCAATCCGTTACGATACAAGGAGTGGGACACGTACTTCCTCGGGACTCGTCTATTGGCGTGGTGATCGCAGCCGCACAACGCAATCCGAGATACTGGCCGACTAAGCCAAGTAAGATCACCAGTGCTGAGACGGACATTGATGAGTTCGTTCCTGAGCGATGGTTCCAAACGGATTCAACGAAGGGTAGTAGCACCACAATCGAGAGCGGGGACACGGAAGACTTTGGTGGTTATACTGGATCCGATACCAGCGCACAGCTGTACCGTCCGCCACGGGGTTCGTTCATCCCTTTCTCAGATGGCGCACGAGCGTGCTTGGGCCGCCGCGTAGCAATCGTGGAGCTAGTCGCGGCATTAGCCGTCATCTTCCAGAAGTATAGCATTGAACTCGCAGTAGACGAGTGGGCGAGCGATGAAAAGGTCGCCAATATGAGCCAAGACGAGAAGACGAACTTATACAAGCTAGCGCAAGGGAAATCGAGGGATACAGTGAAAGAAGCTAGAAGCTATATTACATTAAAGTTACACGGAGATAAGTATATCCCTATAAGATTGGTTAAGAGAGGCAACGAGAGGTTTGTCAATTGTATCGATTTATGAATCGTGTAAGAGGGAAGAGCTCTATATTCGACATTGGTTGGATGCCTACCTATTGTATATGAGAACATCTCGTCTCTAGAAAGCATAAGTCATACATCAGGGACATTACATAGCAGAGACCCTGTAGCATATAGATTAGGATACACGAACAAACATAAAATAAAAAGAATTATCTTCAAGAATTCGAGGATCCTTATTGACACGTCCGACGCCCCAATTTTTGAAAAATTCAAACTTCTTTAAGACGTGGCAGCGCGTTTTTCATTGATGAGAGCTCCGTCTCCACAGTGAGTAAACAAGTAAAATGGGACGATGACACCTCGATATAGCAAATCACAACGTTGGATTTCCCAATCGGTGCACCGTGCATTGATATCCCGTTTTCCTATTATTGACGTATTAGCTAACCTACCTGCTAGGTACCTAAGGTACATGTACCTACCGGGTTAGGTACTAAAAATACTAGTGAGAAATACCGTATTCTGGGGGGTCAAGAACGAACCACAGCGGATCCTAGTAGCCCGCTGCCCCCAAAGCAAGGTCAGGCAGGAAAGCGGCAGCTTGATTAGCAGGTAGACCTTGGGCGCTCCCGCACCTGCACCTGCACGTCAATAGACAAGACAGAATAAGAAAACATAAACAACTCAAGCGCACCACCGCGGGAAATCCTCCCTATCTTTTTTCCCACCCATCACACTACCGCTACCGCTACCGCTACGTACACACGCACGCGCCCCTGCGCAACACGGCGCAATCTCATATCTCTCATATCTCATTATCATCACACACCATCAATACAAGCCTCGTCTCAGCAACTTAAAACCCCCCCTTAGCTACGTCACGGACCACCAGCTACTAATTTCTTCAAAAATTATTGCATCTTAATCGCCTACCCTGCGCGACACCGCTTATACCAATTCAAGCAAACCTATAAGCTCGTACCCAACAATGTCCGGCGCAAACAGTTGGCTGCAGAGGCAGCGAAAGACTGATTTGGCTGAGCTTGCCCAGTACACAGGTCTCAGGAAGTATGTATTATTTTATTAGAATACCAATCCCTTAATAATGTCCACAATTCGAAGCTTGTTGTATTTGTGTTATCATGAAGTTTGTTCGCAACTCGGCGTTAGTACGTCCTAAGACAGCACTTATATAGGTAGATTATTACATCACCATCTCCGTCCCGTCTGGAATGCGGAATGCGGAATGCGGAATGATGAGATTACATTCTTCGGCCCCACGTGCCGATCCGAGACAAGAATAACATGGCTAACACGTTTTCCCTTTGTTTGCGAAAAATAGTTACGAATCGTTCAAGAAATCTGAGCTCGAACTTGCCCTTGACGAGTATTTGGCCGAGAACTCGTCTACCTTTTCGTCCGACCCCAAACTCGCCAACTACTTCTCCAGCCGCGCCCGAACTACTGGGTCACCAGTCAAAAGGGATGCTCCCGAGGGCGCTGTAGAGAGGCTAAAGGCTACTAAACGACGAGTAACCAAGGCTGCCGAAGAGATTCTTGCTCCAGAGTAAGTTACGTCGTGGTTCGCAATAACCGTGTGCCGTCCGTCTCAGACATCTCGATCGGTCTACTAACATTAACTTATAGATCTGATGATGATGATGAGCCTACAAGCACTGCCACCGCTCTTGCGCGTACTCCTGGCCGTGCTCTGTCTCTTGCAAGCCGTATCCCGCTTCCTGCCACTCCCGCGGATGTTGCCGAAGCCGTCGACCGCTCTACCGTTGCTGTTAGGACGCACGTCGTGTCTCTATACAGGGAGTCAGGAATTACAGAAGCCACCCAAGCAACGCGTGAAAGCTTATCGACCGTAGCCTCGGTGCTCTTCGCTATATCCGCGTTTGAGCTCTATTTCTTGCGTCCCGAAATACTAGCTGACCGATATGCGTTTACCGTCCCCGCCATCACCTTTCTCGGCACAAGGGACTTCCCAGTCTTCGTTCCCGACATGTTCCTGCTCTTGACCTCGTCCTTCTGGTCTCCTGCACTTCTCTGGGGTTTCACGAGCGCTGTCCTGCCTAGCATTGCCGGCTACTTTTTCAATTTAACTGTCAACTCCAACCACGGTCGCCCGGGTCGCCGCTCGCACGCGTCGGACTCGGTTGTAGACCCATTGACCTTTAGCATCGCCAAGGCTCTGATTTCTTATGTGGTCTACGGCCAGGGGATTACATTTGGTGGCTGGATAGACGAGACGTCTATTGCTCGCATCAACACGGCCATATATGGCGGCTATAGGGGTATCCTGACCGGCACTGCCATCACTGGCGTCTTGAGCATCTACGACGCGGTCCTCAAGAAGTAAGGGAGAGCGTATTCGAATTCAACTGCTGGCGGCTGTGACAGCTGAAGATTTCCAATCATAGCCTCACTTTCTATATATCACTCCCAGTCTTACTGTTAAAACGTCGCTTTCATCCGGTTGATCACTTTAATTTTCTGTTTAGGAGTCCCGGAGGCTGGTGGCTGGTGGCGTTCTACGGCGTTGACGGGTTCTATAGCGTTCGGCTCCCTTATTTACGCCCCGATACCAGCCGATTTCCGGCCCCATCACATACCTTAACTACCCCCTTATATACCTACCCCTACCCCTATCCATCCCATCTCAAGATCCCGCTCTTCCCGAGGTCGGAGTGCTTCCGACTGGCCCCCAGATCGGGCTAGGTCGGGACCAACCTATCTGGCAATTCTGGGCAACTAACTACCCCGGATGTCCCGGTTAGGCGTCTTTATTTTGATATAGACTCCTGGATTTCATCATCTCATCATCTCGCAATAGGGGTGTTTGCTTGCTTGTTTATATGAAGTATTTGACGTTGGCTACTCGTCTTTTTTTCTCTCCCTGCGGCGCGTGCGCTGCTTTGGAAACCCTTTTCAAGGGTCTCGCATCGAGGGATTGAGTTGAGTAGCTATTTCCCACGTTTCTTGTTTATATATTCCGTTCTGGTTATTCTCGAGGGGGAGGAAGGATTTCGGATGGTCGGATTGATATATTGATATTCTCTTCCATGCGTGTATGCCGGAGACCGGTCTCTTCTCTTTGTCTCGCTGTGTCCTCCGTGAACTACCGAAGAGACGGCGGGGCGGGAATTCGAGAAGCTGTAGGCGGACGTTGGGTATCCGTCATGTCATGTCATGAGTCGATGAGGCGTCGGAACGAGGAATGGAGGGTAGGGATAGGTCGATATGTTACGATAGAAATATATTGCAACTGCTTTTTTTCCATTGTTCAAACTATGTATAAGTTTCCAAGTCTTTGTTAAGATGTTACGTAATTGTGCTTAACTAAGCATTATTACTTGATAATTCGTAAAAAATGCTCTCCAGTGCTGTCTTATCTAGAGTAACTCGAGATGAGGAAAACAAGATGGACATCTAAAGATGATGATAATAGTAAGTTGCTATGTTAGGTACTTGGTCTAACACCCATCATATGGTTTTAACGACTCGAGACAGTATAGTACGCTCTATTACTAGAAGCCAGACTACTTCTGTTTACCATATACTAGTTTCCATTAACATCCTCTCTAGTTTAGTAGCTAGGTATCAACCCATTCGCTCAACCTTCATGTCTAAAAACACTCCATATACATGAGTATATATTGAAGTGTCTGTCATACAATCTTCCAAGCTAGTCCTTAGCACTAATACTGTGACGAGAAGTAGTATCTACGGAGGGGAAGCGACTCTATACTTGGATATATAAGCACAATGTTGGTTTCGATAGAAACATGCATATATCGTAATGTAGACCACTTCATCGTTTATTCTTATTGAATTTCCTTTATTATTCTTGGGCAAATCAGGAATGTAGCAGCATATTATGGACTGGCTTCCTACTTGATAATCTCATATCTTAATTTCATTTGAATAACTGCGTCATCGGCACTATCCCTCAGGCAATCTGATACATGCAATCACGAGAAGCTAGTTACATAGCAAAAGCTCTTTTCTGATATTACATTATATACATACATTGAGCAACTTCACATCTCCGCCATGTTAGACACTTAACTCTGCGCCGTGTAGGTTCCTCCTAGCTTCTGGCCTCGACTATAATAGGTTCGCGCAAATGGGCCATGCTTAGTACCAGTGTCGTATGAATGTACAAAATGGGCTATACGCCGAACCCAAAAAACAACATGGCAGGTGTCTTGCTCAAACGGGGTCGAGTTCTATTCTCGGGCAAGCCTAGTAACACCGACTAAATGACGATGGAAGCAGTGAAATTGAAAAACCGGACTCCTCATATGCGAACGCCCGTAAAATGCCGTTGCTCGTGGTACCCTGTACCAGGCATGATGAATGGTTCTTCGTAGGTCTTTACTCCTCTGATGTCCTAATTCCGGTTGCCTCATTCTATATTTCCGTTCGGTTGACAGTTGTCGTACATCGACAAGTTCCTCTACTCGCACAAAAGAAACCGGGTTCCTCTCACATTATTATTAGTTTTACTCCTGCTCGGCAGGGTTTTCCCACTTGATGGGATGTACGAGCATGCTCCGTAGGCATAGTCGGCCAGAGTTCTTTGGGTTCTCTTCCTCCTTCCGTCCGCCTCTCTTGGTACCTTCGCCGGCACGACCACCATTATTGCCTCTGCCATCCATCTGAGCATAACCAAGCCAGCGACGCCACAACAAACCGGCGAATTCACTATTGTAGTACCAGCTCGTCCCCTTATGGTTATGCTCGTTTGTTAGATCGAATGGGGAGCCATGGCCGCCTGAAGTGTGGTCTTGGCCACCATTGAAAGCCTTTTCAATTTCCTCCTGAGGCCACTTTCGGTCCAAGTAAACCGGGTGAGGGGCATATACAGCTTTGAGACCATGGTGCAATGCCATCGAAGGCGGGAACATCTCGCTAAACATACTATGGTGTAGGCGCCATGTTTCCTCATGCATCACTCTCAACAGGCGACGCGACAATCGAGAAGCAGTTACAATAGCGCACCTTCGCGGAGGCTTCTCATACTGCGTGTCGTAGCCGGTCACATCCCCAGCGAACACCCAACCAGAGTTGTCGGTATCAAAAAGCGGGTTAAGTGTGATGAGGTCCGCGTCCTCGCCAACTCCGCATTTGCGACATATCTGATCCACTCGCACAGCTTGATGGTAAGAATACTTCTCCTTGTTCGAGGCCGGATTTACCAGTGAAAACGACTGGACCTAAGATTGGTCGTTTTCCAGATTGCTTAGTTTCATGATGGACGAGCTCCGTGAAGTTGTCCCAGTTGCCGTGCAATCCGGGAATATAATACTTGCTTGCCCGTTCCCACATACCTTCTCGGCTTTGGTCCGCACCCCACTTGCCAAGCCTATCGAATAACTCGTAATACGATCCGGTCCAGCGCATATCCATCTCCCAGTTCCAAAAGTGGGCATACTCAGGATGCATCATCGCAAAATGCTGAAGCGGCATGTGTGCAGATCTGTAAACCCCATGGATATCACCGTTGGATGGGTTTTCAAAGGTATCGCCAAAGTTACCCGGATAGTACAGTTTCATCTGAGCTTCAGACCAAAGAGTACAGAGTCCGTGGAACTCGGGAGGAACGTTGATATCGAGGATGTTCTGGACCGTGGTCGGATCCGCCCAGATAGGTGCGTTGTTGTCACGAACATGTAAAAGAAAGTGAATATCATACTCACCACCAGATCGTAGGCTAAGCTCATTGATCATGGCACGGAAATTGAGTAAAGCATGACTTGTCCACTGGAATCCGACGTAAGTTCGCACAACTATCGCAATGCGATCGAGTCTCTTACGGCCAGCCTGAGCCAGTTCGAAATCTCTAGTTTCGTTACCAGTGAAAAATCGGTCTTCATTCGCCGCGTAGCAACGCTCTTGTGCTGATCCCCAGTCGACGCCTTCATAGTTGATCTGTCCGGTCTTCTCCCAGACCGCCTCGCTACCCTCGTGCTCGGTGTCGAGGGCTTCACCCGTCCCGCCAGCCTCCAAGTCATATCCAAGGCCATATGGTCCGTACCGGCCAAAGCGATCGAAGCAGACATCTTCTCGCAAGCCTAGGAGATCGTAAGACCCAATAGCTGCTTTAGGCTGACCTTGAGGGACACCGCTGTATGCGTATAAGTCCGGAGCGGGAACTTTATCATCCTCGTCAATGTAGCATCGCTTCACAGGAACATATGTCTTCTGATACTCGTCGGAATCATAGTCTGGATGAGGACGATATACACTGGGCTTGGGTTGTTTAGAATGGTGAACAGTAGGTGTAGGTGAAGGTTCAGATGCTCTGCCTGTAGATGATACTTCAGGGTACTCTGGCTTGTAGTCCGAGAATGACACAAGCGACCTCAGACCATTGTAATAACCATCGAGACTATAGATTCATTATTAGTAATCCAGTTCTTCAATTCCCTTAGACAAGTCCGCCCATAACTTACTGTTTGTATCTGAGCCAATGCGGACTGTTGGAGTTATCCTCGGTTTCCTCTTCCTTTTCATCCTCTGGCTTCTCTTCTTCCTTCTCTTCTTCTTGCTCCTGCACCTCCTCGACTGGCACCTTTTCCTCCTCTACTGGGTCCTGCATATGGACATCATCTTGACTATCCTGTGTTTGCAAGACTATGTTTTCGGTGGCTTGAGGCGCTTCGTTAACCCCATTTCTACTCCCATGTACTAAGTCAAGTACGTCCCGTGGCCTTCCAGCTAATCCAGGGTTAAAGAGGGTATATGATAACAGGACAATGACGATGAAAGTCCATATAACTACTCTCCGATAAAGACAATTACCGAGTAAAGCTTTGACCCTGAATTTGGACTTTGGCTTCGTGGACATTGGTAGGTAGGCCTCGCTTTTTCGGGCCATGAAGTTGGGAAATGAACCCGATTTCCGGGACACATAGTCAGATACCCTACCCATATTCCGTAGGCGAGGTTTGAGAAGAGATCTCAGAAAATATCAATGCTCAGCATCGAAAATATTAAGCTTCCAACTTAGCACATTAATGGAATCTCCGGGGCTCTTGTCTTGCGCGCCGTCCGCTCAACTATTAGTGTTAAACGGCGAGAATGGCGAGGTCGCAAATTACCGATGCTATCGTGAATTGAGGGCACTGGAGACCTAATAAATTTGACTTAATTCTTCTTTTTCTTTGCGACCGAGACGTCGTACTCCAAAGTAGGAGTGTTAAAAACCAGCTAGGTGCAAACGCAGAGGCTGCAGGAGTAATAAGGTTGCACACAGCTGGAGGTAACAAGTTACGGCTGGATTGAGGAAAAAAGAGGATTCTGTGTGAATTATCAAGTGAGTGAATGAATGGAAAGGAACAGTGTACTATAATAGGATGGGAGAAAAAGAGTGATCTTCCCAAACAGAGAGTGTATCGCGATCAGTAGGTTGTTAGGAATGATGAAGTTGGCGTGAGAGAGCGATGTTGCGGTTGTCGAAGTTGTGATGAAACACGCCGCTTAGAGAGTGATTGGATGGATGGAGGAAAAAGTCTGCAGTAGGCAATAAAGCAGAAAGAAGTCAAAAAATAAAAAATTGGAAAGAAAATAAAAATGGCGGTCGTTCTTGAGTAGGAGGTTTGCTTTGACTTGTTTGGCAGCTGCCAGCTGGATAGGTAAGGAGAAAAACAGGGAAACTACGGATTGTAAGAACAAGTACTTTCTACCGTACCGCCGCACTTTCGCACCTTGTAAAGAAAAAGGGGAAGGCAAGACTTGGGATGTCGATCTTCTTAGGATTATCTTTTGCTCTTTTGCTCTGATTGAATTTTAGAAAACGTGGATCGAATGTGGGCACAGCTGAATAGAATACAAATACAGTATAACTAATAGAGTACATGTGTGATACATATGATACATAGTGTATGATTCCGCATATGATTCCGGTTGTGTTTAGACAACGATTATTACCTAGGGTCTCAGCAAGATTCCGGGACTCCTAATGCACTGCATCTACATACGTAGAAACTTTTTCGGCTTCACCAAGGATCCTACATACATACATACTGCACATCTAAGCCTTTTTCTTTGAGAAATGATGTGCAGCTTGGTGGTATGACGAGTCCACAAACGTGTAGCCTTGTACCCTTAGTACGCATATAAGTCTTACCAAATATAATCATCTTCAAGAGTGAGCAGGGCCCGGGATACCGTTAATGGAGAAGATAGAAACTTTAATGATTACTGCCTTCGTAATCCTGATAAAAGTGTGGTAATTAATGTATGTACATTCTTGCCTTGAATACTTACCTAACCTAATCTAAGGTAAGTAGTAATAACTCACTCGAAATATGTATGTTCTGATATTTCATTCCAACTAAAAAATGAATGTAGATTTAATGTACCTAGGTGTTATTATAGAAATGAGATGATTGAATATGATGATGATTGATGAGGCTCCATTACCGAGAATAGGAACTGTACAGGGGTATAGGGGAATAGGGGGTTACCGCTATCAAGGCTGTCAAGGGCTCTTATGCGGGTTAGTGGGTCCAGCTCATGTCTCCCATGTCCCCCCATGTTTTATCATCGCGGCTAGCGTTACAGGCGGTGGATTCTCATCAAATAACCTTCGCCAAATTCATCATTGAACTCTTAGGGTAGGTCATCGGAAACGCGTATTGAAAGAAGAAAGGCTGCACTGCCCCAGCCAGTCCTTTCCGTTCTTCTACCGAATTCCCTAGAAACACCCACTAGAGAAATAGCTCTTAGTTTTTCGTTTCAAAAAAGCTAAGATCTACGTCATTGCCATTAAAGCAATCTCTCTCTTTTTTTTTTCTTCACATGCTATCTCCCTGTCTCTTAGCTAACTAGCGGCCAGATTTTTATTGTGTCACAAGTCGGTGAGACATGGAGGTACATGTGCTACCTTTGCTACCTTTGATTGCATCATATCTTTAATTGTGCAACTATTGTGTGAGCCTCAATTTTGATCATATTGTTACACTACTTTCTTCCCCGCCTGGGGCAACAAACCGGATTGTTTTTTTTATATTGTAGAATTGTCAAACATTACCAGATAACTATGTTATACCAGAAGAGCAGAGGTTCTACATAACAAAGACTTTCCGAAGCATACGGTGTTGCGAAGGAATAAAACCCCCAACTACAGAAGCAGGGTCTAGGCATGTAACGATCGACATTATCGTGGGATTTGGTGAAATTGCACGATAACCAGTCGAGTACCGACGATCTTTTTAGTTGGAGATGTTCCCGCAATTGCCAAGCAATAAAACAATCGCCAGGGGAAATCAATCGCCAAGGACGCACAACGTGAGATCCGACTTGAAACGCGCATAACGGTTCGGCCGCTTAAACTACATCACAACCCACCATAACCTAACTTGGATTAGGCCTGTACGACGACATCACCTTTTAAGGTGTTAAGACCTGCGTATAGATAATGGTATGTACGGTTTAGGGCAGTAAGGCCCCTTTTTTGGGCCAATCTAGAAGAATCACTTCTAGAAGTGGCTTTACGCTAATGACGCCGCACACCCGTTCCTCTGTCTTACACTTTCAACGTTGTGTAAGTCAGCAGCCATAATTGATGGTGCCATTCTTCAGCTAGTTATCATATACAATTAACATATCGAATGCGACACGTGGGCTACTTTACCGCAAGTTGCCATAGAATTTGCTTTCGTCACGCACTCCATAATCGAACCAAGCATAAACCTATAGAACTTTAAGGATAAATCCTGAAAGATCTCTGTTGCTGCGTAAACAAGGCGTCTTGGCGCTTACTGTAGTGTCTGCGGCCTCGTTGGTTGCTGATGAATTACTCGTAAATCTGTTAACTATCGTATTTTGAAGACGGAATAACCAGCCACAAATAATTAATTTTATCGTCGGACCCAACGCGCGGATGGCGGATCAAAAGATGATCGGCGGCCGCGGTCAGACCGAACGTCAAACGGCCATGTCTGAACAGCCTATTTCATCATGGTCGTCAATCTATCCGATGTGATTTCCACAGGGAAATGATAATACATACATACATATCCGTCTCACAGATCAGACCAACGGCTACAAGGCGACTGTGCGCCGATCTTGGAAAAGGTATGCAGCGCTTCCGTACCGTCTGATCATGTTAGTGGACCGTAGAATCCGGACCGGTCCAAGGTGAAACGATGGGTGTGCCGCATCCCGGGGTGTTTCATGCAAACGTCGGGATGGTGTAGAGCTAGATATGCTGTCATCATTCTTTTTTTATTTCCTTTGCGTTACAATCCAATCATCTCCCGTGTAAAGTCGAATCACAAAGAGTAGTCGGAAGCGTTACTTACACAGAACTAACAAATAATGCTCAATTGATAGGAAGAGGGGGGGTTACTATAGCGAAAGGTTTATGACTCTATTCGCGTCTTGCTACCAAAAGCAGACATACAACTTGAGTATATTACTGTATAACTAAGGTTTATAACTCTCTTTGTTCGCTTACATTTACCAGTCAAACATGAGTAGTACAGCCGGCTGTACGATCGCAACAAACTACTACTGCTCTCTTATTATCGCTCATTGGTCTGTAGAACTTTACAATAATATTTGATATATCTGTGTATAACAATTAGAACCGAGAGCCTAAGATATCTAACCTAGTGGGTTCCCGAGAGCTATCAGAAACCTATAGGAATCCTGCTGTGGCTGTTGGATGGTGCCGCGAGATTATGTAGGGATCCGGCAAACCCGCGAGACATAAGCATCTCGCAATAATAACCTAAATCGGGAGAATATTAGATAGATACCTCCTACGAAACCTACTTACTATCGGAGCAGCGGAGATAATTAAGAATCGTGAGTTGCTTATAACGTGAGGAGATCATCATCAACTAGCCCAAATGAGAACCAGCACACGCCATCTTATTCCTGTGTGTATTCCTAATTACTTTAACCTACCTAGATTGGAAGCCAGGTAAAAGAACTCACTCGGTAAACTCTATTTTCGTAACTTCGTTGCTATGTCTACGTATACTCATGCTGAGAAGAGCACACCTTTGCATTATACCTCTTCTTTGTTCTGCTCCGCCCCGCGTGTCGTCGTCAGCGGTTTTTGACGGGTACCAGTAGCCGGGCCACCCTTGATCTTCCCGGCCTTTTCCCGCATATTACCATTATTCTCATCTGGCATCTTCCCTCTAGCCCTTCTCCTCCTTCTAGCGTCTACACTCAGCCTCCATTCATTGCCCCATTTGATAGACACGTACACGCAGACCGTGCCCATGAAGACGAACAACGCGCTGATGGTTGAGAACCACCCAACTCCAATGCCTTCGATAGCTGGGAGAACCACTGCCATACCGGCACAGCCGAATAGATAGCGAATCGCGTAGTTACCCGCTGTCACCTCTGCCCCACGTCCTGGCATCACGTCTAAGCAATATGTGTTTAAGCTGGGAAAACAAAACAGTTGTGCCACGCCTTGCAAGAATAACACTATCACCGTCAAGGGAATTCCACCGACGTCTTTCTCCACGCTCCAGCCGTAGATCAGGACGCAGCCAGGGATAACGATGCCCATAAATGGTAAAGCCGAATACAGGCGGTCTTCTGGAATGCGCATGCCCCGTTTCCTAATGTACTTCTTCACGACGTAGTCCGCATACCGTCCTCCGATGAACGTGCCGAGGAGATAGCCACAGCCGGGCGCGAGATAGAACAGGCCGCCCTGCATTGGCGTCGTAAGGTTGTATCTTGGGTTCAATACGTACCGGATGGGCGTAAGTAGAGAATACATATTCCAAACCAGAGAGGCACTAGCTATACCAGTGAGGAATAGATTCGGATACTCCCATAGTCGTATAACCCGCCACGGATTGATCATGGTGAGCAAGACCTTGACCTTCGCCGAACCGCTGTACCCTACTAGGTCGTCGATCTTCTTGTGGTAGATAGTCTCCGGGAGTAGGAAGTAAGATCCGACGGCTGCGATGCCCGCCAGACCTGTTTGGAGCCAGAATATCACGCGCCACGACGTGTATGTGACGATGATGCCGCCTATGAAGGGTCCTAGGGCCGGTCCTACTAGTGTCCCGGTAAGGAACCAGCCTAGAGCCGTTGCACGCTCTGTCGGTCGGTACATGTCACTACGTATTCAGTAAGTGATCTAGTCCATAGCCCATTGTGTGGTTTAAGGATAAAGGGATGATGCTAACCCAATGACAGATGCGCCGACCAAAATGAAGGAAGTGCCTTCAAATGCCGTCAAGAGACGGAACACAAAGAAAGCCCCTAGATTCGGCGCCAATGCCGTACCAATGCTACACCCAAGGAATCCTATAGCCGTTGTGATGGTGATCTATAATAGAAATAATGTTAGTTATTATAGATTACTACTATATCCATCTACTCTCCCAATGGTTTCAGTTATAGTGTCAATGAAAGGTCCTTACTATTTTCCTGCCATAGACCTGGCTTAGCGGTCCCCAGAAAATAGGCGACAAGCCCATGAACAGCATGTATAGAGCGTTGATCATGTTGATAATGGATCCCGTTGTGCCATACTCTGCCGCTACTTCGGGCGTAGCTGCCAACACCGACGTACTGGATATAGGTGCTAGGAATGAGCAGAACGATAAGAGGAACACGATGACTAGCTTCCGGTGAGGTGGTAGACGGTCGTATACCTCATCAGGGACCTCGATCACCGAGTTCATTGGCTCAATGGGCATATCCGGGCCGAGAGAATGGTGCGTCGAGCACCGGTCGAGCACCCCGTCGTCGGCATTAGAGTGGGCCGCCGGCCGGATAGATTCTATCGTGTCATCGGAGCGGGTCGAGGAGTTACTAGACGGCGGACGGGAGGGAGTATCCGGGACCTGGCCATTATGGCCAATGGTCTTCGAACTAGAGTCATTAGATTCGAACATTAGGAGGAGTTTCGGTTTTAAATTTATTATATCCGTTCGATAATTTGCGTGTCATCGTAGGCAAAAGGACTAATATTAGAGAGAGTTGTGGGCTTCACAACCAACTAATAATAACAGAGTGACTGAGTAAAGGTACATTCGTCTTTATTATAGATTATCTTATGTGAAATTAAGCAAGACTCATCGAGCTATGAAGAGTAGCAGACACGGAGAGTATATGAATGACTCTATTCCAAGCTGGTAAGGGGGAAGCACCTCCTATTTACACGGAGCCGAACCAATGGCCTGGAGGATAATAGTGGCATAACCTGTTGGATTCTTGATATCTTTTCCCTTTGCTGACATTGGCCCTCTTTGTCCAGGAACCACATAGCTGCCATGCCGAGTATCGGTGGGAACTTGGACCGAACTTGTCTCGTTAGGGCATACCAATACGAGGCTAAATGGCGGTTGGAGGTGGATACTAAACCGGCTACAATGCCGAATGCGTTCCCTTATTGGTGCATTATCGGGAGTTGTCTGCAGGTTTCTCAATTTAAAAATTCGAAGCTTTTGCCAAGGAATCCGTAGATACGCCAACAGTATACGACCTTCGAAATAGGGAAGTAGGAATGTGTTGGCGCGATTATTTTTTCTTCTTCTTCGCCTTCGAGAAGTCAGCGGCTTTCTATAGCGGTGAGAGCCTGATCCGAACATTGCTGATAGGTAGCCCCGTAATGATGCCGTGGACTCCCGATGGAAACCAATGACGACGCTAGGAAGTTAGTTTGCTAGAAATTGTGCGATAAGAAATCTTGAGAATATCCCTGCACGATATCGACGCTGATCTATTATTGCAACTCCAAATCGGTGCTTATTCCCGGCGTTGCATTAACTTATCCGACGCGGGATCGGCACACAAGTGCATAGACGAGGTTCGTGAGCTCCGACTGCCGCTGCGATAGTCGCTCCGAATGGAGTCATTGCGGCTTGCATTACGGCTTGATGACTGTTTGACATGTGCTATGTATTTTAGATGAGGACTTATGACAAATTGGTGGCTTTTAAGCAAACCTCATCTTTGATCTGACTGCATAAAGCTTATGGAGATCGCCATAGGTGTCGGGAAAGGCACCAGAGTTACTCTATCCGGTCCAGTAGATTTGAAGTGGAAGTCAGATGTTTGTAGTATCGAGGGACAAGCGGTGATCTTTCTCTCGGAGAGGAACTATTTTGGGTATATTGCCAAGATCTATTTCTACGTACGTTAGACATAATATAGGCTATTATTGCTGACTTGAGTAACTGTTAAAAATTTTTGTTCCTTGAATTTTGATGGCTACCTGGCTTGGTACATATGAACAGATTAATAGGAGGTTTTTGGAATCTTCACATTGGTGGTACGTACCGGACATAGGTTTTGAATTTGGACAATGATGTGGCTAGCTCAATAACTAGCCACAATCTTAGCCGAGGAAATGTGGCTGGCGTCTTAGACGAGAAATGGTGGGTACCTAGGTAGCTTACTTACCTAATCTTAACCCCCTCATGGAATTTAACCGTAGTTTACCCCAATCACGCACACATCTCTCAATTCAGCGCAAAAATCGATTTGACTAACTGGAGCTCTACGAAACATTCCGCAACATTCAACCACCGACAACTTTCGACAGCGTAATCTCTATACCCGCCGTCAAAATGGTACGTGATTTGAATATTTCATTTAATTCTTCATACGCAGGTATTGCATCGTTAAGTCGCTCTCCCGCTGGTCCGGACCGTTAAGCGACATTCGTGAGGAAGGAAATTCTCAATATCGATTTGGTGGAGAGGATACGACACGACGACACGACACGAATAGACCGACTATCATCACATTGATTTCTATCGACCGGCATTTCTAGCGCGAACGATCATGGAGGGCGACGATGCTTTAATACCTTGCGGCCGATGATATATTTCGGATCGAGAATAGTTACATTTTATACGCGATAGTGGGCTGACGGGAAACTTCATCTAGGTCAACATTCCCAAAACCCGTAAGACCTACTGCAAGGGCAAGGACTGCCGCAAGCACACCCAACATAAGGTCACTCAGTACAAGGCTGGCAAGGTACGTTCATCTTCGATTTCATGTCGTTGTCTCTTCTGGGTTGCGACGTCATAGACGATATCTTTCTCGACTAGTTTCTAATGTACACCTAGGCTTCTCTATTCGCGCAAGGAAAGAGACGTTACGACCGAAAGCAGTCCGGTTACGGTGGTCAGACCAAGCCTGTGTTCCACAAGAAGGCTAAGACAACGAAGAAGGTTGTGCTAAGATTGGAGTGCGTCGCCTGCAAGACCAAGCTACAATTGGCACTGAAGCGATGCAAGCACTTCGAACTTGGGTACGTTTCGATTAAGTGTCTCTATCGACAGAACCATACTAACAAGCTTCTAGTGGTGATAAGAAGACAAAGGGTGCCGCTCTGGTGTTCTAAACGCGTTTCCTACTCGAGTCATTGTGCACGTTCTTCATTCATGGCAATAGGGTGGTTCATTACGGCCGGGCATTCACTGGCGACGGGAGTCTTTGATACTCGGAATGGGAGCAGCACATAGGTCAGAATAGAACCGAATCTGCTCTTCTGAACTTCATTATGCCGTATGTGATAAAATGCTAGGAGTGGAGAGGTAGCGAGAAGTCAATGGGCTTGTTGCTCTTGACAGTAGGGATGCTGGCTTGATGCCTTCTCTACGATTACGATATTTGATGCCATCACGCGTGGGAATACCCGGTATCTGAGCTTAGAATCGTTAATCGATCGCATTCTGTGACCCGAATGTTCTTGTCCAACTTTGACTTTGATTATTCTCTGGGACATGTATCCAATCCTTCATCTTGGCTAAATCGTCTACAATTGCTACTGCCATCTCATCCTACCCATCTGCTTTCCTTGTGATATGCAAACCTATTTTTACTGTTCTGCCCCCTGGTATTTGCCGCTGGTATAACATTATGTGCCTAAGTTATATTTACTTTACCCCTTGAATATGGTCAGTATGAACGGCGCCCTTTGCTGCCCCTCCCATAGGCTTAAATGATATAATTTCCTGTCTTTAAACCCTGCTAAGTACTTTTAGACCCTGCATCGATGAATATTTGTTAAGTCCATGGAGGGATCTTTCGAGACTAATCCGCTATATTGATTCTAAAGACTAATTTCATGAAGAACGGGATCTTCCTTAATCTAATGTCTAATTGAATACCTAGAACCCCTCACCCATCTGGACCGTCCGACCGCCACCATACCACAGCGTCCCGACCCGCACGTCCAAGCCCTTCTCCTGACCGATGACCCATTCTCCAATCAGCTTCGAATCGGCATTATCCCACACCTCCGCCTCCAACCACGCATTGATCTCGTCAATTGCATCAACCCACTTCCGCCTCTGCTCAGGCGTCGCGTGGTCCGCTTCCGTTAGATATCGACCAAGCGTGATATGCGCGCTCGGCACCACATACCGCGAGCTGACCGTCACGCCGGCATCCTTGGCCTGCTCCCACACGTCCCGCCGCAGGTGGTGGTACGTGTATGAGTCGCCTTGCCGCAGCACCTCGACGCTGTCGGGTGCCATTGGGGCGGGCGAGAGTGGCGGCTCGCTGGCAGCTGGAAGGAACGATAGCGCGAATGCGGACAGGTCGTACGATATCATGGGCTTGACGAGCCGCGACCGGTGGCGGTGCGTGTAGCTCGCTATGTGTGGGATGGCCGGCTTTAGCGTCTCCTTGAGCGCTTCGATCTCGGCAGCTGTGCGGGAGAAAGCTACTTCTAGCGTGGTGATGTGCATGCGGTGGAGGGGCATAAGCCAGATTGCTAGGGTTTTTGTTAGTGTGATATTTGCGGTTTGGATAGAAAATAACGAGAGGGAGTAGGTAGTGTGATATGCTGGAGAATTTGCTCTTTTTATTATCGCCTATTATTGATAATTAATCGACTAAGGGAGAAATTTGAATTACCTGGCGCAACAGCTTTGAGTCTATTCTGAATTGCTTCTGCGAGTTCTAGTGCGTGGATTGGAGGTCGGCCCCAGAAGGTCATGCAGTATCTTGGGTCTTTCTACTATCTGTTAATAAACCGAGCGAGGAACTAATGTCCCGGTCTATTTTGAAGTCGCTCCGACTTGGCGAGAATATTGATCTGAATATGTTGACGCAAAAGGGAAGAGTGATAACATACTATCTACTTGTTAGCATTCATTGACTGAGTAAAAGAACCATACCAAACTCGAGTAATGAATACACTCAGTCTCGCTAGGCTTATTCTTGTACTCACCAAAGCCAGGCTCTATCTGGGGATTTTCCAATCGCAGCAGATACTGATCTATGATCAGCCCCGTGTAGTCAGAGGCGAGAAACTTGGCTCTCTGTTGTGCGTTACGCTTGACGCGGTGGGCGGCATATAGCTTCTGGATTTTCGCCTGGACTTGCTATTAGCTTCTAGTGCGAGTGATTTACGTGGTAAATATTCTTCATGCGAAGGTATATTCTAATTCATCAGGCAAGAACTTCTTTTACTAAGTTAAGCAAAGTTGCTTATGTTCAGGTACACAGGTAGGTGCGTATCCTCCTAAATAAGACCGGACAAGTATTAAACATAGTAACGAGAGGGCTCACTCAACTGGCTCATCATCGCAGGCTTCTATCAAGGCATTGTAAGGATTCTCTCCTGGCTTCAGAACTACCCCGGACAAGTCCACCAGCTTGTTTTCGATATCTGTAGACTGAAGAATCGACCCCATTTTGGAATGCTGGTTAAAATTAGAGATATGTTTCCTTTAGCGAGAATGAAATGAAGTATTCTCTAGAGTACCTCTTATATAGTGTCGAGTATCCGATAATCGGATGTTGGAAGTAGAGTAGCGTGCGGCTGAGAGGACACTGTACAAGTTCACCCTTCTGATTTGTTTTTATAAATGAAGGACAATAGAATTTATAGTACTCTTTACGAAAAACTTAACCGAATTTAGATTTATATATAGATAATTAATAATAATGTGTTGCTATTGCTCCTTCTGTTTGAGCTGCTCTCCCTCCTAGAATAAGGAATAAGGGGAATATTAATAAGCCAAGACTTCAGTGTATGAACAATTATGCTTACTAACCAATCACGTGCTATAAAGCATATCCTAACTTCACTTAAGCTCTTGAGCTTTCTTTCCTTCATTTTCCTCTTGAAATTCACCAATTCTAATATTCCTAAACAAATATTAATATGAATGTACAATGAGTATGATTAATTGCCCACTTAATTAGTTTGTATAAACTTCACTTCCCGATTAAATTAGTTGCCGGCCTATCTCAATAGCATAAACTCCCGTAATTTTGAGCTCGCGTTTCCGACTTAACCAAGGTGTGTTTTAATCAACATTAGGAATACTAGCACTAATATTTTATTTATTATATAGAAACTGTTATTATCGTAATAGATTTCGAGTTGGATTTATCCCTCAAATGAGGACATCTCATTTCTGGCTCATATACTACCACTACTCGGCAAGTTTCCGAGCATCTATGCGATGCTAGATTTCATAGAATCATCTCACTCTAAGTCTCGAGGAAAGTTGAACATTATTCAGAATGATCTTTATTTATGTGCGAGCTGCTTTCATTCCATCTTTTACTAGCAAGTTATTCTCCTTTCTTATGTCTTTAGGGTTTTGTAAGATAGCAAAGCAGTTTTTGGCACAAATCTTAACCTCTTCCATATTTATCTACGGCTATTGATTTTCTACCCTCATTCATAATACCTCCTTCTCGGCTAGTGCTACCATTACACTTCCTACATACCACCTCCTTGTGTTCGCAACAATGGACTGGCATATGTTACTCAAATATCATGACTAAATAACTAAAGTGTGTAAGCCTCTCAATACATCCTGCATTTCATGAAATATCTAAATTACCATATTCTCTTAATTATTTCATGGACCTAGCCTATATCGACCGGACAGGCATCCATAGCTCGTAGGCTTTTTAATACAGTCAGCAAGTATATCTTATTTAGTCAAACTATTCTCTAGCATTGCTCCAATCTTTCTTTAACTGCATCTTCTCCCTTCATTTTACTTGACCTCCTATTTCAGGCTACCCAGAAAGCTTATACGGCACACCGCCTGCACCGATGAAGCCCAGCCGGGGATCTGGTAATATTAATACGTCTGAGGGGAAAATCGTGTAATATCATTGTATGAATTCTGTTAATGAAACGCACTTTGACGATGACTACGGGGTCATCTCTGTTCAGTGTACAGGGATTCTGCGTGTTTCCAGTTGGCCTTTTGCACGGCCCTGTTAAAGAAAAGGCTCGAAAGCAGTAACTCACTGTTCAGCTATCATTCTCAACAGGCCATATATTTCACGAAGCCTAGGGGTCAACAAACTTAGTCTCTTTAGTTTTGCGATATCTCGGACTCTGACCTTGAGACAGCTACACCCCAAAGCGAACCACTGGAAGATGTGTGAGTGGCTAGTGTCAATATCTTTTCGATAGATGCTCGACTACTATCTACCGTCTTGATGTTCTTTGAAATTCTATGAAATACGTGGCTTTTATGTGAGGTCGATGATAAGTCTCAAGACCTTCCAGGCGCTTAGATATCTTCTTATGATATCCTAACAGACGTCGTCTTGTGTTTACCACCCTAATACGCTGTATAGTCGAATACTAACCATAGCTCTCGTCTCAAAGGGCCTCGTTATACGATTGATCCTTTTCTAGAAAGTGCTGCCTCTTGCGTCTTCGGGGGCTTGTTGGATACTGATGAACGTCTAGTCCTACTACTCTCCTGAGTAGGTCCTAGTCGATTGTAGTCTAGCATAGTCTCTGTCGAGTATTGGGTCCGTCCCTGTTTGATAATCTAACATAACCGTTAACCTCATAGCCTATGATGATCCTCTAATTCCTCCCCTATTTCTCAGCCAGACTCGGCCTCTTAGTTTACTGTCGTGCTATCCTCTATATTCTCCAAGGGGTCACAAGTGACCTTATTCATACACTTGGTACTACCCCTAGTGCTACTCCATGTCTAGTGGTGTATGGTGATGCCCATCTCCTTTACCCCTTAGCTGATCGCCGCCTGCATCCTCTTCCTTAGGTGGTCGCCGCTTGCACTCTCTTCTTTAGCTGATCGCCGCCTGCACCCCCGACATCCCCCGGCGACCCCCCGGCGACCCCCCGGCATCCCCCGGCACCCCCCCGGCATCCCCCCGGCATCCCCCTGCGCCCCTCCGACTGTCTGCCAGGCGAAGATACAAAGCTAGGACCGCCCAGCTAGGCCCTAGGGTTGTGAAGTAGGGCAAGTACGCAAAGCTGTAACCCTAGAGACCTAGGGTTTCTAGTCAAGTGTGCAACATTCTTTCCTTCCCTGCCCTAGTTCTGCCCTTAAATTCAGCCACTGTTGCTGTTTGTTTCCAAAACAAATTCATCCATCTTCCCACAATCACCAATCCTTCAAAACTTTTCCTCTTCCTCTTCCACTTCCACTCCCACTTCCACTTCCACTTCCACTTTTCTCACACTTGCACATCCAAGTTCAGATTTGCAACAGCACATTGGTTTCATCAAACCTCTTCTCAAATTGCGAATCGTGCTTTGCAAGTTCCAGAACATCATCACCTTTCCTTTCCCTCTCTATTCCCTCTCTATCCCCTCTCTACACGTTGCCTTCTCAAAACATCCGCCCGAGGCGAACTTTCCTTCTTACCGCGTTCGAACTGAACACTAGCATATCTTCTCTTTTCCTTTACTACACTTATAAGTATCGCGCTTTAATCAACGTTGATTTACACCCGTGGCTATGCCGCCGAAACGCTCTGGCGCGCCACGCAAAGTGGCTGCCAGCAGCTCTCGGGCGCGAAAACGCGCCAATGAAGACCCTCCTGAAGAAGAAGTAAGTCCTAACCAAGACCAAACTGGCGGTCGAGGTAAGCGACAGAAAGTTACTCCCAAGAAGCAAGCCAAGAAACAAGCTTCAAAAAAGCTTGCTCATCCCGAGGATCCTGACGATTTTGAGGATTCTGAAAATGACGAATATTATGACGATGAGGATAATTGTTCCGATCCCAGTAATGGGTTGGATCAAAGCTTACCTCCAGTTTCGAATGTCTATGCTGCTTTTCAAGAAATTGCACGCCGATCGCATGAGTTGCTCAAGGATGATAGCCAAATTCACCTTCGGGTCGCAACCATGTGTTCTGGCACGGAAGCTCCGATATTTTCATTGAAGATGATTCAAGAATCATTCGATCGAATGCAACTCGGAAGACAGTTCTTGAAGTTTTCTCATATCTTCAGCGTTGAAATCGACCCGGTCAAGCAAGCATATATCGCGCGAAACACAGAAGGGGCTATCATATTCAAAGATGTTCGAGATTTCATCGAACCTAAAGACCTCAAAGCGTAAGTCTATTTGTCCCTCATAAGTGGTTATCTACATAACTAATAGTATGCTTAGGCCTACTGCAATGGGTGCAATGGAAAAGATTCCCGGGGGCATCGATCTTCTTGTTGCCGGTTGTTCTTGTTTGGACTTTTCCACGCTTAACTCACAGAAACACAAGGACTACGCAGAGAATGTCATTGCGACTGGGAACAAGTTGGGGGACTACTTCAAGCAAAATTGTCAAGGAAGTGGCTACAACGAATCGCATTTTGAAGTTATCAATGATGGATTCAACAGCCTTCTCATGAACATAAATGACATGGGTACTTCAGGCCAGACATTCTTCTCGATGCTGAAGTACGTCAAGGATCGACGACCTAAGGTTGTTATCCTAGAGAATGTCATGGGAGCTCCCTGGAAGACCACCGCAGATATATGGTTCCCTTTTGTCGGATATAAAGCTGCCTTCGTTAGGGCAGATACAAAGAATTTCTACATCCCTCAAACCCGTAACCGCGGCTATCTTATTGCTGTCGATAAGACCATTTTTGAGGGCAAAGTTGCAGACAACATTATCGACCGATGGTCTAGTTTGATGACAAGAGATCTTGTGAGACGCGCATCTACCCCTATAAATTCGTGGCTACTTCCTTCAGCTCACCACCCATTGACCGAACGAGCCCGCCAGGATGATTCGGAGAAGGCATTAGCTCCAGTCGCGAAGGCCGCCGACTGGGAACGCAGCAAGGCTCGCCATCTACTAGTTCGCGAAAAGGAAGAACTAGGCGAATCTCATCCACTCACAAATTGGAGTCTGACTCAACCAGGGCAGCTTTATGATCGCATGGATCGACTTGTGACTCTCACACAACCGAAGCGTGTCTTAGACTGCATCGACATCAATCACTTGCGAGCGTTGAAAAAAGGTTATGACTCGAGGTTCAAGAACCGTATCCATGATCTCAGTCAGAACGTAGACCGAACCCATATCAACACTCCATTTGGAATAACTGGGTGCATCACTCCTAACGGTATACATTGGGTAACAGACCAGTGCAGGATTCTCTCTGGCTTTGAGATGCTAGGCTTACAAGGACTACCACTCAACCGACTCGAATTCGCAACTGAGAGTCAGGATGATCTTCGGAATCTCGCTGGCAATGCGATGAGCACGACAGTGGTTGGTGCCGCTATGGTGGCCGCCTTGAGAGCGATTCAAGAAAGTTCTCACAGTCTTAATGACTTTTTCGCGATGCCATTGAAGAAGGCCCAGGTGAAAATTGATCGGCAGGTCACAGATTCTAAATTGGAAGAATTTCCAAACTTCAGCACAACGACTGTTCAATCTTTTCAGATGTCATCTTTAACAGAACTTTTGAAAAGATGTCGAAGATATTGCTTTTGCAATGGATCAGCAAAATATAGTACTGATGATTTCTTGGAGTGTGTGATATGTTCCACCATTCGCTGCAAGTGGTGCGCTGGAAATCCACCACACAGATTCGTCTCAACAAGGCGGCCCTCGAACTTCTTACTCCTAGGAGAAGTAGAGCAAGAGGTCATGCAATTCTTACCGAGCGTAATTACGAATCTGGTCGCCTTGGAGTACCAGGTACCGACCAATCTTGCTCCAAGGACAGCTATCACAGCTTATCCTTCTATTATGAAGCATCTCGCACATACAACCTTTTACTACCAAAGCACCCGCGTCACAGAGGTAGTGGTCGTCTGTTACGCCAACCAAAAGGGATTCGAACTTCGAGCAGTGTTGTCGGAGAAAGGAATTACTTGGTACTTGTACCTCGATGCGTAGAGTGCATATGGGGGAGAGTTTCGAGAGCAGTTGGGTTTGGACCATATTCGACTAAGCCAACCAATCGCAAAGGCCACGATCTATGAAGGCGCGCTTAGTATTCTTCCTACGCCTGATTCTTGGAAGTTCTGGAGTTTCAAATCAGAACGGCTCCAAGTGGAAATCATGAAGACTGGTGGTACTCTGCAGGTCATGGCAATTAACGCAGAAACCCCTCTCGCACTTCCAGCGGACTTGCAGAAAGATTTATGCCAGCTTATGGAAAGTACTACCACCAACCTGACTGTGACGCTCCCGAGAATAGTCTTCATGTCCTTGGTGGGAGGAAGCTATTTCTCTTCAAGGAATCTACCCGAACTGGAACACCCGATCGAGATGGCTATGTCATTTCGGAAGAGTGTCGTTTATTGGAATCCCATGAATATCGGGAGGTCTTACTTAAGTTCAAGGCCTGTGTGGACCTCCAGAAGCTGGACCTAGGCAGAGGAATTCTCGATGCCCGAGTGGATGGGTTTTGGGTGAGCCCACAGGCCATATACTACGGGCTTTCTTCCACCGTTACAAGCCACAAGCGCCTGGAGTGTTTCAAGGTTCCTAATTCACAGATATTCATCGTTCACGAAGAAGACCCGGAACAGCAAGTTCTGGCTGAAGCGCTATTCGCGAAAGATAAGCATTGCGATCAATATGGGATCATCGGTAAATATGAGTCTCTAAGCGGGATTACAGGAAATTGGGTCACGATTGAAAAATTTGAGCTTCCTCAATTTCATGATTTTGTTTCCCATATTAATGTCAAGCTCGCGAGCCTTGGATCTCTCGAAGTTGTATTTCAGATAGCGGACATCAAGCCTTGGATTAAGAGACTTGAACATTGGAAGACTAGAGTTGATATCCAGGACTCTCCTTTCGGACAGCTACCGCGAGCCCAATGGCTCCAAGTCAGTTTTAACCCTGGTGGTAAACGCAAACCTGCTACCAGATGGATTCAACACCACCATTCTGATGCGATAGCGGCATTCGAAAGCCACGCGAAGAAACAGATCCCGCCCTTTGAAGTAAGGGTAAAGGTTCATCCAACCTTATTGGAAGACGTACAGTTGGGATATCAAGACAAGCTGGCATACGACGGCCAGTTCGTCGCCGTGGTACAATACTTAATCAATCATAAGACTCTTGCGCGTATGGCAACAGCATATTTGCCACCAACTAAAAACCCTTACGCCGAAGTAACTGCATATACCCGGGTCGAGCGCAATGCTATCCTATCCGAGAACATGCAAGTGAATTCTAGTTCTGGGAAGCACAGCTTCGTGCCCTTCCGGGAGTCGTTGAAAAGCTTGGCAGGGTCGCTTCATCCAGTGAGCAGGTTGTATATGGATTTGGAAATGAGATCGTTCCGAACGAAGCTGAGCAAGTCTCAGTTGCTATCTCTTGGTTGGACGCTTTGGCGTGAGCTGCTTCCGTCGCCATTCACGGAACGAGAGATCGAAGAGGAAATTGTGTCCGATCTTAAGCTTCGGCTTATTGGTTGTGCTGAACGCAAAGCTGGTCACAGTGGAGGTATACTTGCCGACGACGTCGGGTATGGTAAAACTATTATTATGTTGGCACTCATGCACTGCCTACGGGAGTGGGACGAAAAGTATTTACCGCTACGTACCGACAAGAACCCGTGCCGTATACATCTAAATGCCAGTCTTGTGTTGGTACCTTCACATCTAGTCGATCAATGGGCCGACGAAGCAAAGAAATTTCTCCCTATCGAGCCTGCAGAAATAGTCAAAATCAAGAATCTCGGAGACCTAAGGGATAATTCATCTTGGCGTATCCTTAAGAAGCTTCAACGGGCGAGGCTTATTATTGTGAATGTTCAATGCATTGCAAGCATTGGATATTACCAAAACCTTGCTAAGTTGGCAGGATCTCTTGATCCACCCTGTCATGGGGAGAATTTCAGAAAGGGTGCCAGCACTGTTCCATTCCAGTCTCGCGCCTTTGAAGATTGGTATAAGGATGCTACGTCTGTAGTTGGGGACTATGTCGGAAAGCTATTGAGAATGGGCATAGCAGACTACTTCGATGTTCAAGAACTCGTGGCCTTGTATAGTGAAATTGAGGACCGCCGAAATGCGCATAGAGAAGTGTATAAAGAATTCTCAAAGAACTATGAAAATTCGGTTATAAACTCGGCTACACCAGTGCAGCCAGAAGCATCTCAAAGATTCAACTCACCTTGGCAGATGATTCCGCAACTACGCTCCGAGCGTGCAGGTAAAAAGTTTTCGTTTATACCAAAAACTTTCAATCATGTGTTGGAAGCTTTTACCTTCTCTCGAGTAATATACGACGAATTCTCCTACGAAGGACTCACATCGACCCTGTTCGTAGCCAACTTGGAAGCTACTTCGAAGTGGGTTCTATCGGCAACGCCTCCTACGAGAGACTTAGCAGCTGTATGCTATACCGCGAAGCACTTTAATGTACACGTTGCACGCCCAATTCACCGCCGGCAGGGGATGCCTCGGATCACTTATGGGCCGGAGTTGGAGGATAGAAGTAGTGCGGAAGATCTACAGATTCTAAAGTTCTCATCGGACCAGGCCATTCGTGAGAGACATGAACAGGGAATGAAGTTCCTGGAGAAATTTGCGACTTCTAATCCCCTCGACCGAGATCTTGCTGGTGGAATTGAGGTGGAAGAAAAAGTTGTGGTATGCGAGATGAATCCTCACGAATTCGTCCACTATCACGACCTAGAGCAAGATCTACGTGCTCATAACTTTGACGCGAATATGCTGCCAAAGGAATCTCGTGTCTTCTTGGAGCCATTAGTTAGTAACGAATGGGGTGCGGACGGGAAGCAAGTCGGCACCAGGGCATTAATTCACCGCTCTTCTCAGGGAAACTGGCAGAGGGAAGGATATTCTATGTCATCTCTTATAGAACAGCGACGTTCTGTGTGCCTCAATGCCCTCCAAGTTTTCAAGATCACAGCCGAGAAAGCCATCTGGCTCTCCAAGCGTATCTGGGACAATGAGGAAGAGAAGAAGTTCGTTAATGGTAGAAATGCCACCACTGATATCTATATGCTTCTTAGAGATATCTGGAAGAAAAATCTCGTCGACTGTGGCGGACTTGATGCCTGGCGTGAGTTATCACGCGAAGTCGTCACCAAGGAGGGAATGCAATATGAAGAAATGGTGAGAGTTGTCGAAACCAGCCACCCTAACTTCTGCATGAACGAAGAGACATTTTTTGATGCTCTCAATACATTGACCGCAAACACCTGGGTTGACTATTACAACTTGGAATCCAAAAATCTCAAAGCCATAGGTGAACAGGAAGCTACTACTCTACTACAGGACCTAAGTCGCGTCAATGATGGCGAAGGTAAAGATCTGATAAGGGGCAATATGAAAACCTCTCTAAGCATACTTATCAAAAAAGGTCTAGAACAATATAGGAGACCTAAGGAGACTATAAAGTCCCTGGAGACGAAGATCACACATGAACAAGTGGAGGAAGCCGACAAGAAGAACAAGTCATGCCTTGAAAGCCTATGCCGTTCCACCGGTCTCTCTTTCGGAACCAGTGCTAAGAAGGGTGACCTCAAGAAACTCTTGATATCTCATGTGAATGGAGAGCTTGAAGAATCCAGTTATGTTGGATACCTCAAATGTGAGGCGATGAATACTTATAGGTATCCCCTACTCGGTGAAACGACCAAGATTCGAGGTGGGAAGTATACGCTCACTGGAAACGATGTAAGCAATACGTCGGTTGAATTGCGCCAGACTTTTGAGAAAGTCATTTATGCCATCAAACAAGAGCGAATTACCAAGAATCTTATGTCAGACAAGAGAGAAACGAACTGCGATCTTTGCGGACAAATGGTACCCAGAGAAGATCTACACATCGTTTGTCAATGTGGCCACCTACTTTGCAAAAAGCATCTCAACTCGGTTTACTGTGGCGGAGATGATAGTGAGCGTTGCTCATCTTTGCTGAAAGACGCAACTATGTCATTGAAGATGATCAACAACCCTCAACGGTGTCTCGACCTCGATTTTGGCACGCAGATGGATGCCCCGTGCCCTAAAATCAGCTCCAAGTTCCAGATGTTGGCCAACGTAGCCAAGGCAATTCCTGATGATGAGTTTGGTCTTGTATTCTTCCAATACAACAGCCAGCTCGAAGAACTCAAGTATACCCTGAGAAAAAATGGAATTGGATTTTACCATATCACTGATACCGAGCTCAAGAGTCTCAGTAAAGTTAACGACAAAATGAGACCTCTTGACAAATTGAACAGTTTGGGTCAATCCAGCCTTCGCGATCGATGCGACGAGCGTGGCCTTCAATGGTCGGAGAAAGAAAGTGTCGCAGAATTAAGAAGAAAGATCAGAGGCTGGATGGGGCGGTTTGGAAATGGTGTAAAGCATCCTAAGCTTCGACTCTTGCAGATCAACGACGTTACGTCCGCAGGCTCGAACTTTCAATATGCCAATCATGTCATGTTCATAAACCCGTTTGTAGTAGATCTACAGGAGACCTACGATTCCTGTATGAAACAAGCGGTTGGAAGATGCGTTCGTTACGGACAGAAGAAGAAGGTGAAGGTTTACCACTTCGTCACTGCCAATACCATAGAGGTCGACATCTTGGAGTTACGAACAAAGAGCCATGTTCTTGTTCGTCCCGGAAAAGCCATTGGTAGACTCCAACCCGCCCCGATCGGCGAGGATACCCTCATGCCAGACGCGCCCGGAATTTCTCAGCCTGGCAATGATGATTCTGAAGAGAGGATCAGATCAAACCTGACCACCCAAGATATTTGGAAAGCCATGAATGAGCAGAACTGGCTGACCACTGTGGGCATTGAGTACTGATTCTCAACTACGAAAGACACTTGACTACGAAGAGTATTTGACTACAAAGGGTACTTGACTACCCAGGAAAGGTATTCGACTACTAAAGGTAGTTAACTACGAAGAGTAAGCTCAATCTGTTCCTACACTCCCTACTAAACCTGTTTTAATAATGTCGGTCAAACTAACTAGTAACCTAGGGAAAGGAAAGAATGATTCATAGATAGCTAGTGAGGCTATCTTGCCTGTACGACTACGTACGGAGGACAAAAAGATTGCGATGGTTTATCCACTCGAGGCAGAAACGCGAGCAGAAAATGACCCAGAAATCAGAAAAAAGGAGTAAAACAAGAAAAATCTCAAAAAAAAAAAAAGCCAACAACCACTAATTTTGCAACTTTGAGCACGGATCGGTTTCCTATCTTCTGTTTCTTTAATACAGTCTCCACGCCACGAATCATACTGCGACGCCAAACAGACAAGAGGGACCTTATGATCGCATGTACAGGCAGTGGATGGACGGTTTTCTTTTTTGGACTTGAGGAGTAGCCTCCTTTTAATTACTTGTCAGACTGTTTTAGCTGTTTAGCTTGCTAATGAATTGCCGTTTCCTAAGAAATGACGACGCAGAGTGCGTATTTGAATTATCCCAATGTGACATGCTTCGTAGACGAGGAATCTCTCTGAAATAGGGGTGTCTAGATTCTTTGCCCCTGAGATGATTCTTTAAGTAACCATTAGAGCCTTAACAAAGACTAACAACTAATCTAGTAGCCCTCTTCTCCGTACTAATAGGGCGGTACTAACATACATACATAGGTATGTACCTTAGAGTCGCATACCCATACCCATACCCTCCCTCCCCCCCTTCAAACTCCCTAAACTTCCTAACCCTAAGCCCCCCCTACAGTTTCGAAACCTCCCCCTTCCGCCCTAGCACCCTCACCCTTATCCTCGCCCCACCCTCCCCTCCCCCCTCAAGAGCCACCTCCTGGCAATCCTCAACCGGCTCGTCGTTAGCGAACTGCACGACGACGAAATCAACCGCGGAGCCAGGCGGACCGAGCGCCACCATCGGCGCGTGCCACGTCCCCGCGCCGTAGGTCACGGCCTGCGAGCCCGTCGCTAGGAACGCGCGGATGCGGCTTAGGTCCGGCATGCCGCGGCCCGGGAGCGTGGCTTGCGCTCTGTCTTCGGGCACGGGGAAGTCGTTGTCTGCGCTGGTGGGGGGTAAGGTCGGCGCTACGATGACTAGGTATTGTACTGATGACGAAGAGGAATGGGAGGAGGAGGAGCTGAGAGGTATGAAGGTCTGCGTGGTGAAGGGGTGGCGCTCGAGGACTTGCACGGTAAATAGCCCCGCGCTGTTACTCCCGCCGGCACTAGCATTGCCATTGCCATTCTCCCTTCCCGACTCAGGCTCCAACTCCCGCGCGCCGCACACAAACATAGTAGTCCGCGGCGTGGCCCTCTTGCCGCTCGGAGCCTGGGCGTATAGGTCCCGCAGCGGCGGTGCCAAACCCCGGTACTGGATGGGGTGCCCTGGTTGGCGGACACGGCGCCGTGCCTTGAGGTAAGAGGGATGAAGATGATGCGGCTGCGGAGGGCCGGGGTCGGGGGCTGGGTTGGTTAAGACGGCGCCGAAGGGGGCGAAGGAGCTGGGGGTTAGGGGCTCGGTTGGGATTGTGAGGGGGGTGGGGAGGGGGAGGGTGCGGATGAGCATTTTTTCTATGGGTTATGAATGTTTTTATTAGTTACTAAGGTAGGTCGGTGGTTATTGATTATTATATTTTACTTATTTTCTCTTTAGTATTTTTATATCTGCGCAAGGGTTATTTGCTGAGATGTGTCTGGAGGTGAGAGGTGAGGTGAGGTGAATATACATAGGAGGTACCTTTCAAGATTGGGGGCGGTTGACATGGGTGTAGGTGTTGGTACTAGGATGGGTATAGGTTTAATGCGGAGAGGGAAATTGTTAGTATTTTGGTGATATAACAACTATGATTATATCAGCTACTAACAATTAAGAAAAATTATCTTGTCGGGTGGGTCTAAGTACCGTCCAATCAACAGCTATAGTTGTCTTTTAGGTTGGTGTTTGCCTACATTTGCGACATCTTTTTTTTCTTCTCTCCAATAAGTTTGCTTTACTTTTAACATCTTTTAACTAGTCCATTTCAATTTCATCCATCTTGTTTGTCTCTTGTTATTCGTGCTCGTGTAGCGTGTTTTTTTAGTTGAGCGCGTTGAGTCTGTTATTGATACCCTTGTACCTGTGAGTTTCTCAATTCTAGGTAGTAGGGCGCTAAGACTAACAAGGATTTAGGCTACTATTGTTGTATTGAATTGTGGAATTGAATTGGCACTGGGAATAAGTCAAAATGGCAAATGAGTCAAGGTCCTACCTTTGTGGTTTATTCCGCACCAGACCAAGGTCTGCTCCAAGGCCGACTGAGGATAATGGACTACGAGGAGTCGAATTCTCTCCGAGGTCCTCCACCGCAAGTTCCGTGGCTCCTGCTGCTGTCCTCGATAACCCGGAATTGGCTGGATATTACTCGCCTCCAGAACCTCGACCGATACCACCACCAAACCCGTCCCAGGAATTAAGGGGCTACTATGCCCCTGAGCCGGCTCTTGCTCCCACTATACAGCCAAGGGTTCTTCCTACGAAGGTGTCATATTCGTGAACTTATAGGCGTTCTTCTATCTCGCGGACATACGATCGTCATATCCCTATTTATCAGATCCTTATGCTTTCTTATTGAGAAGGAAGGTAGTGCCACATGTACTACACATATATCATATATATGGGACAAGAAACTGGTTTGGTAGTTTATTTAGCGTTGCAATTTACATCATAAGAAAGCCCCCCAGGGGATTGTTCGTCTCATTAATAGGCTAGGTACTCATGGCCTTACAATGTAGGTTAAGCTCTCCACAGTGACGAGCCACTTCAAATATTTACGCTAGGTATTCTGTATGGTTTAGGTTACGCAGCTAATGATTTATTAAATTCCCGAATTAAATATACCATGTAGGAACTACGGGGTTTATTACGATGAGATGAAAGATGTAAATTTTCAAGTAAATACGTGCAAGGACATAGGACAGGTGAGTAGATGTATTCTTCTCTTGTTTGCTTTACATATTACCTTAGTAAGAGGTACTATATCTACTCAGACCCTGATGGCAATAGATATTTGAAGCTACTTTAACTTGGTTAGTGGTTACACTGTTACCTCTCCTAATTTTCATTTCTTATAGGTTTATAACTTATTTGATGTAGCTGCGAAAACTATATGATCCAATTGCGGCCGATTTAATCCCATCTTCCTAGATCAGAGGAAACCAATCACCTCCAAACGAAGTTTATCTCAACCAGCTAGTATGCTACTCACTTACGCACTTGTTTATTTCCTCTAATAAAGTAACAGCTCTACGATTAGTCTAAAACATTTTCATTGTGGTGTGGAGATAGAGTATCTAGGGGTACTGTTATTGAATGATACATTATATCTCTAGCTTGGCTGTATCACGGGTCGTTGTCACAATTTTATTAATCAGATAGGTACCTACACCTATCTATCAGAACTGCTACGTCGACACAATGGACCCCATAGATGCGAATGAGGAATCTATACAAGACCTCGACAACGAAATTGATAATGCTGAAAACGAAACGGCTGCACAGGAGTTTAGCAGTACTAACGAGCTAGCCACTGACAACTTTACTTCTACACCTCTTAATCCGGGACATAGTGATACTATAACAGCCGAGAACGAGTCAAACCAATCAACCGAAAATATAACTGTTTCTCTTTCTTCTAGCATAGAGGTCAATGCCCCTGTATCCCCTGAACCAGAAGAGCTAGAAGATAGTGCTCAGGTAGTCGGGGAATCGCATCAAACGGAAATCAACACGTCTGTACTTACTTCTCCTAATTCGCCCAGTTCGCCGGCCAGCGATTCTTCGTCCAACACGCTAGTGAACAGTGATGACTTATATCAATCATCTGTCGACGCGTCTATTTTGACCCCTCCAAATTTTGCGTCGATTTCTGCTAGATCGGATGTCAATTCACTTGAATGTGCGCCAATATCTGCGCAATCTTCTTCTGATACCTCAGGTTCCACTGACACTTCCACAACATATACTGTGACCACGGAATCCTCCGCATCAGTATTTTTCTTGTTTCGAGAACCCTCACAGTATGAACAATTTTTCCGCGTCCGCGAACGCTACGACAAGAACAGGTTCAGTCAGATTTTCGAACATTGCCGCCGTCCAACATCCCGACGGCACCACGTCCCAACAACCTGCAAATCTTCCTCCGTTTTCTCCCCCTCAAGTCTCGATGTCAGATCCAACTCAACCGGAACCCGATCCTGAAGCCGATGCTGCTGCACCACCTCCTGGCGGACCGCCCCCGGCTCCTCCTGTGGTACCGGCTGCAGCTGCAGCACCAGATCCCAACCAGAATGTCGCTTTCCCCCCTTTTGTTCCCCCTTTTCCAGCTTCCGCGCAGCCCGCAGCTACCGCGTATCCCCCGTTTAATCCTCCTCGTGTCGTATCAAATATCGTCCCTCCGATCGGACCCAGCGCTAGTCCCGCCATACCGAATTTCAGCGGCCTATCATTATCCTGAACGGGTGAGTGCTTCCTTACAAGGCGAAACCCGTCTTCACAAAACAAGAAACAGGCCTAGCTAATTGAAGCACAGCACTCCTACTCCCGTCCCTATTCAGGCAGTCCCCTTTGGTAATAGGAATGTCAACCCCCAGCAACAGCAGCAGCAGCAACAACACAGCAACAACAGCCTTATCTCTGGATCAACCCACCGATGGTAGCTCCTTCAGTACCTGCCCCACAGCCTGGTACTCAAGGTTCGTGGAGTAAGTTCCTAGAAAGACAAAATCCTATTTTTGAGCCTATCTCCTAGTAGATATTCATATACCAATAGACGAACCAAGCTGACATTAATCCAGGCTACCCCAGTCAATCGCCCTTCTGGGCCGGTGCGATGGCCAACCAGACAAACCCTCCTCCGCAGTTCTACACGGCGGAGCAAGCATACGTCGCGGAACCTGCTTACATTGTGGGCGCACCGCCGCAGCCGCCGCCTGCCCCGAGCCCGCAAGTACAGTATTATGTTAATGGTACGACGGGGCCGTTTGTGTATTACATGCAGTAAATACAGCGGTATTTTTATAGCATAAATATGGTGCTGATGGAATTCTAAATAAGAGAGAAAGAAAGTCGAGGACATACCAAGCGCGAAAAATTAGGTAACTGTTACAATGGAGATGAAAGTAGCATGCGATGGTTTATTTTTCAGACGAGAGTGTATCTCTTAATGAGCGAAAATAGCGACATTCTACAGTTAATACGATGGATATAGCCAGATGGGAGAGGCAGAAATATACTGCCATTTTTACCCCAGATCGGACACATAATAAGTAATCGCCTATTCTACTTTCTACTCCCCCCTTTTTCAATGTTAGGGATAGAAAGTTATGCTTCGTTGTATTTGGTAATTTTAGAGTAAACAGTACTATTTAAATCGACTGAACTACCGCCATAAAAGCGGCGTTCGCTAGTTTATAATCGAATCACGTCGTTCCAGGTCGACTATAGTAGATAGGGGTATAAATAGGGGTAAGATATACAGTGTTGTATTACGAATAGCACTGTGGTATGATACTCAGCTGCCCCTTAACTCCGCGGCTGGAACACTCTTCCACGACAAGTATGTTGGCAAGATAGGCGGCGGATTCATCCCCACTAAATTACATGAGATCTCATCGTCCCTACGGTAGACATAGCAAGAGGTGTCATAGAATCTGCTGCCGGAACCTGTGAAGATAATTCTGTAATTTATTTTCAGCCATCAGACCCATGCTTTTTTTTTTTCGAAGGAAAACGAGAGTAAAAGGGGCAGGGCAAGAGAGATAAAACTTACGGATTCTCAGGGTCCTTGTCATCGCAGAACCACGTGTGGTTAATCGCAATATACCCCGTCGCGAGATCGAGCTGCCACTTGCAATCCAGGGACTGGCGCGCCCACGCACCAGACGACTGGTCCCCCGCAACATAATCCTTGCACTCGTACCAGCGCGCGGGATCGCTCGTAGGTAGATACGGGGTCGTCTCCAAACCCTCGTACTTGACGGATTGGTACCCGTCAATCGCTATGAACTGGATGCCGAACCGCACGGTCGTTTTTAACGAGTCCCCGAATGTAGGCGCCGCGTACAGCGCGTCCGAGGAAAACCCCATCTGCCATTGCGTCGAGAGCGCGGAGGCTATCGTGCAGCTGTACCCCGAGGGGGCGAGCTCGAAGAAGACGTCTGGAGCTAAGTTGGTGCGCTCGGTCACGGCACCGTGGACGGTTAGGGGGAGCTGGGTTTGGTGGCAGGTTCGGATGGAGGTGTTAGTTGCGGTGTTGTTGTTCCACGAGCACTCTAGGCTCGTGTCTACGTCTCCGACTGCGCGGAACTTGGCCGGGGGGCTGTCGTTGTTCCCGTTGCAGTACCATCTCTGGTCTATTGAGAAGACGCCTGTCAGCGGGTTTAGCTTGATCATGGAGATGATGCGGTAGTCGTCGAAGGGCGAACGTGATAGGGCGCAGCCCCACCAGCGCTCGTAGCCGTATCGTCCGTCGCGGTTGAGTTCTTCGCCGTCGCCGGTGCATGTTAGGTTGAAGCCTGTCGAGGGGTTGTGGAAGGTCGCCGTTAGGTCCCCGGCGTTGTATCCGTTGCGCCATCTCTCGTTCCATAGCCAAGAAGTCACTATCCAAGTAGGCGCCTCGGAAGTTTCGAGGCAGCCGGGGTGGTTTACGCCTTCGGGGGCGACGTTTGGACTTAGTTCGATTGGCTCGGTTAGTGACCCTTTAATGTAGGTTGGCTTGTCAGATTTGATGTCGATGGATGCAGTGCCAAATGCTCGAAATGTAACGCTGGAGCAGTTAGCTTAAGACCTTTCCCCGGGATCGGCTAGGCGTACTCTTTTGGATACTTTTCTCCTCCGTTGCAAATCCATGTTTGGTTAATCGAGAGCTGACTCGTCTCTTCAGTGAACCTTACTTCCGTTGAACTACCATCGCAGGTAGACCAATATCCCCCTTTAGTGATACACGCCACCGTCTGATTGTTAGCATGGTTGCTCAAGCTGAAACTCAAAATCGTCCCATCATCGCCCTTCTCATGAGTAACGTTCTGCACGTCCCAGTTAGGATAACTGAAAGACGTGCCAATACAGGGAGTGGGATTCCACGGCGTGCCTAAGGCTTCCTTCTCAGAAGGTGGGATTATATCCATAGTGTCAGAGTTCCAGACCGGGGTTACATAGTCCCCATCGAATGACGATATCTTGTTGTCTGCCGCTGTACATCTTGTCTGTGTAGGATCGTCAACGCAATCCAAAAGCCCGGTAAGGTCAGTCCTCGCCGATGAAAAGTAAGATAGGCTGCCAAATATATCAGCTCTCTGTCATATTAAACCCGCTTAAGGGGTACACTATGGGACCTACGGATGCGTCTTGTTTTCGACATCACATATCCACATCTGGTTAATCTCGACCTCGCTAGCGGACGCTGTATATTTGAATATGGTCTTCGGGGTTACCGCATCCTTATCACCAGCACATCTGTTCCACATCGGCTCGTTCGGATCCTGCAAGTAGGGCGTCGTACACGAAGTCGTCTCGTTATTCGCAATGTCGTGTAGGATGAAGTGTGCCATGCTCCTGTCACCTGCTTCTATACTCGTTCTGTTGAACTGGAAGGCGGAAAGTTTATAGGTGGGTTTCTTGAAGCCCCCTTTGCATGGGCTTGCGATTGCATGCGTGCCGTTTTGACTCTGCCAAGTGCTCCTCGCTCGGTTCAGATTTTCAAATGCTCGGAGTTGTGCATTTGAAAGATTGTTCAGTTTTGCTTTTCCTCTAAGATATGTTTAGCGAATCAAACCTAATTGGGATTTCCTTCGAGAATTTTACATACGGTTTAGTATTAGAGCCCCCATGGACACTACATAATACTGGTAGAACCAATTGCAGAACAATCAGGCCAACTAGATGTAAGAAATGCATGACTATCTCTCCTGAACAGCTTATGACTAGCGCTTCGTCTTGAGGGACGAGTTGATAGAATATTCACCAACTAGGTCCGCTATACTATTATCGAACTGGCATTGTGGAAGAACATGTTGGCTCCTAGTAAGAATATAGTATGCAGGTAGATAAGTAGGTATTTCTGGAACGCTACAATCATTTTCACATAAGCTATTAGCTATACGGAGTGTTTATCAGCTATTTTTATTGATACTACAGTAATATATAGCCGACATGCGAGAAGGTAGCATCCCAGGAAACCAATATGAGAGATGGATAAATCAAGCTAGGATCAGCAGGCTGAATCATAAGTGATCTGATTAAAATTCGTGTTCTAGATGCCGTGATACTAATTAATTAACCTAAGAGAAATATGGTTTATCCTATAATTAGTTAGACTAAGATCTACGTCTAAAAGTTGCTTGAGAAGATGTATTAGGTAGTTAGTTGAAAATTCCACATAGTTGAGGTGGGGCCATTTTCAAAGGGGTATAAAACTACCACAGACAAAAATAAATAGATTAATGTTGAACATCTTGTTGTTGATTATAGATAATCATAAATACCTGAAGATTATTAAATTGCTTGGTTAGCAATTAATATGGATTTTCGGTGATGTTGATGAAAGACTATGTACCTGGTACTTTACTATTGAAGTCCCACGATCTTAGAAGTTGAATGTCCAGTACAATACTTACAGCAACTTCTTCAATTATATACCTAATATATAACATGCAAATGTGCCTTATGCACTTCCCAGTATAGGTACCTACATGTATGTATGGTCGTTACCCCGCAGACGGGTTCGGAGCTGCCTCGTGGAACGTCCAGTACTTCATCGTTTGGAAACAGGCACCAAGCAACTGCTGTGTTGTCAGGTATCGCTAACAGCCATTTGGTCAAGTTAAAATTCCTTAAAAATCTTAATAAGTTCCCTCTCTAATCCCTTTTTTGAACCAACTTCTTCGCTCCCTCTACATCTCAAACCCACCTGTCTTCAGTCATGACTGATACTAAACCCACAATCTTGGTGTTCTGCTGCGGAGAGCTAGAAGGCGGCCTTAAGAAGATCAAGGAGAAAGCTAATATCTACCAAGCCTCCTACTCAAAGCACAATGCCCCGGCGAAGCTTCTAAGCGAACATCCGTCAGCTCGGGCCATCTGGATCGTTGACCCCGATATTGCAACCCCGAAATATAAAGATCTGTCCAGCAAAGTTGTCAACTATGTCCGAAATGGAGGGACCGTTATCTTAGGTGGCTTCTTCTCAACGGGCATTACACCTCCCGACTTCAACAAGTGGATGAAAGACGTGTGGGACTTGCCTTGGCGATATGGCCAATATGAGACAACTACAGTTGTCTTCCAAAGCTCTGCCGTTGGCCCTCGGACCTTCTGGCGGGACGGTCTAGCAGCTGCATATACTCAGAAAGGAGTTTTCCTCAAAAATGTATCTCCTGCCGACTCGTGGTATGCTTCGCCCCCGGGATCGACCAGCGAGTCTCGTGTTTTCGGTCCCGTTCCCATCGAGGCCCAGACATCTATCGCGTTTGGCAGGGTTGGCAAGGGTTGGCTGGGATGGACAGGCGATATCCATAACCGAGAGGAGACTGCTTCCGCTGTGCGAGCAATGATGGGACTGAATATGGGAGAGGAGGAAGACCACCTATATCTCCCTGGTATTTTACACCAAATGGTTTTGGAAGGATAGACTGATAGGGTGAGAATTGGTTTGACCCGAATGTATTATTGTCAGGGGTAAATTTTTGGACTTTCATGTATGCCAATGACACTAGGTAATTCACTATATATTTCTAGTGAAATCTAGTTCTTTGTTTTTGTTTCTTTTTAGTCCTGATATTCTCGAAGGTTTAAATGACGTAGGTGATGTCGTCGCGTCCATTACACGATGTACTACCGAATAGCCGCTGTAGTGTTACAGATGAAAGCATATCGACGGCTCAAGCTTCATAAAAGTATTACAAATTCTAATATTGCGTAGGGTGCGCCAGGTACTTGAATTTGATATCTGTCCAATCAAATACTTACACAACCGAAATGAATAGCTTATGTCCCGTTATTACATGCATGGAAACAGCAAAGAAGTACAATGCCGTTGCTCGAAAAATAGGTAAGGTAGCTTCGTACATTTGGAAGGTGTGTATGTACCTATGGAATTCACTACTTCCGCCAGGTAGCTGTGCTACCTACCTCATGTAAGACCTACATGTAAGCAGGTGCTAATGTTGGAACTTAGAACTGTTGTTCTTACCTGTACGTTCCATCAACATCTACTTTAGGATTTTCCAAACTAAGATTAGTTGAGATTCTATCAAATCAATGCCAATTCAAAAAAGAGGCAAGACTGTCATAATTCTGATACATCGTCTTTCGTTTCCACCTAGTTTTATGAAGAGCTGCCGGTATCCATGTCCACACTGTGAATATTGTGCCAATTTACCTGATGTAAGGGAGTACTCAGGGACAGAGGAAAATTTGGAGACAAACTACTAAAAATTCACTTACCAATAATCCAGGACAACACATCAAGAAGGGAAGTATCGTGGAAACAGAAAAAGAGTATTTAAAGGTTATGGTATCGAGCTATCCTGCTGCATGAATCGCGGCCTAGATCTACGATCTGATGGAGTAACCAAAGGTCACCAACGGTCGGATAACTTGATTAATGGTCCTGCTAACCCACTCTATCTTTATTCCATACCGAATCCCTACATCCTTTCAGAGCGAAAAAAGTAGTAGAAAATTCTATCCCAATATGCCACGTTCGGGGTTGGGTCCAGGAGATCTCATGGCAGTGAACCCGGAATATTCTCATGGAAACGCCAACGCGCAGCAAGGTGAGGGCACGCAATCACACCTTCCAGCAGCCGCTTTACATCCTAGAGACAGCCTACCAATTTGGAAATGGAGAGCATTGCTTGTGGCCAATGGTTTCCTAACCATAATGCATGGTAAGTTCCCGTTCCATTACTCTTCTCCATTCTGCCCCTATCACAGGTAGATACTTACCTACGAGATAATTAGGATACGATGTCAGCAATGTCGCCAATATCCAGTCATCTATTTACAAAGCTTTCGGGCATATCGAACTACTGTCTTGGGTTGCACTCAGCTATTCGGTTTGCAATATCGCCTTGATTCCCCTGGGTCGTAAACTTTTCAAGTTCGGAGACTTCAAGACGCTGTGTCTAGCATCTATGATGTTCGTCATTGGAGGCTCCGCCCTCTCCGGTGCTGCTCCTAATATCGAGTGTATCATCGCTGGACGTGCTGTGATGGCCTTGGGCTCAAGCATCATATACCAAGGGTATAGTCTAATCCTTTGATAGGTTTTAATTATAACTTTCTAACAACTATCATAGGATCCTGAGTTTTAATATCATCTTTACCTACCCTCATGAACTTGGCCTCGTACAGGGTTTTATCGGTGCTTGCTTTGCCATGGGTCTAGTACTAGGTCCGATTATCGGTTCGTCTCATTATAATTCTTAAAACTCCATGGTTCCTATCTTTCAGCATGCGATAACTGACACGTATTTTAGGGGGCGCCTTTGCCAACAATTACCATACTACATGGCGATGGGTAATTATGTCCCATACTCTATAATTAAGTGGAAAGGACTAACTAATACCACCAGGCATTTTATTTAGTAATACCACTCTGTGTCATTAGTTTGGTACTTCAAGTTCTCTTCTACCCTCGTTATAGTATGCCGACTACTAAAGCAACATGGACGCATATCAAGGAGGTCGACTGGATAGGGAATCTACTGCATATAGGATCCTGTCTCCTCTTTGCAATCAGCTGTACATTTATCGGGTCGACAGGGACCTGGGGCATTAACTCCGGCATCGCCACCTGGATCCTTTTCACCTTCTTTGTGATCACATATGTTCTGCAACAGGCATATAATCTTGGTACAACACCCGAGAATCGCTTGTTATCCCCTAGCTCACTCCTTCGCAACCGGACTATCCTTCTCACTTGGATCTGCACGTTCTGTGCCGCCGCGTCGTACGGCGCTACATTATATTATGTGCCCATATACTTCGCCTTTAGGCACGGGTTAGATCCGCTTGCGGCTGCAACCCGATTACTGCCTTTTATTGGCGTTTTCATATTTACTATCATGCTATGCGGCCGTCTACTCCCTACACTTCGATTTTATAAATCCTTCTTCGTCGTCGGATCTGCTCTTCTTCTAGTGGGCGGAGGTCTATTCCAGATGTTAAGCACCAATATGTCTGAGTCAGCTGTCATGGGCTTCGAAAGCGTTGTCGCCGCTGGGCTCGGCATCATCTGGCAGTTAGGAGTACCAGTATGCACAACCTTCCTACCCAGCACCGAGGACCGCCTGGATCTTGCTCTACTAAGCAACATGGCGCAATTAGGCGGCATTGCGGCCTCGCTTTCTATCGCAGGGATGGTCTATCAGAGTACGGGCTTCCAGTCACTAAAAGATTCCGTCGGAGGCATGGGGTTCTCCGATGGGAGTATCCGCGAGCTACTCTCGGGCGTTGAGTCACCAATTCTAAAGGATGCCGATCCGAGGGTGCTACGATTGGCTGTAAGAGCCATCGTCGACGCCATTAGGGCATGCTTCATCATTCCGCTCACTGCCGGTTGTATATCGTTCCTTGCAGCTTGGAGCATGAACTGGGAAGCTCTCGAGTTCAATCAGCCTACTAGGCAACGACATGTACGGCAATCAGGGGATACCCAGCTTCGCCATCAAAGATCTGATGCCGAATTTCTACTGGATGATCTGAATACTCGAGGCGAGGGTGCAGGTGGTGTGTTGAATTCGCTCGCCGCAGTGCATATTGATAAGAGATAAGTAGCAACCCGTCCCCAAGTCGAACTTCGATGGTGTTATAAACTAAAGTCTATACGTGAAGAAACGAAAGTTCTCACGAGCTATCATGTCTACTTCGAGATGTAGCATTCACTTATTGGAGAAGCTTTATAATTGGAAGAAGTTAAGCATTAAATGATAGCTTAGAGCTGCAGTTCTGTCTCTAACCAGAGCATTTTACTATACGCACACAGTTTACGACTTTTTCTTATTGTACACGCTGCATACGCTTAGTCCTCAAGCTAACTACTTCCATAGAGTTTACATAGCCTATCACCCCATTCCATGATATATGTCCGTCTTTAGATTACAGAATTACAATAATTAATGCGTCGTAAGATCTATCCGACCTATTCCATCGGAATAGCGGCACCATCCACCCAGCTAGAAGATGTAAGTCGCTTCTCGCGAATTAGGCCTTTATATTGGTAATAACAACGCCTCATATCAGTCTGGTCCGCCAGGTTTATCTGCGAAGGCTGATCGCCGGCCTGCTCGGTCAAGCACGCAATGTCCGTGCCGACGTCGGCGTCACCCACCTCTTGGGGACCCTGCCATTCATTATCGTCTCCCTGCCAGACCGATTGGATTTTGTTGCTTGCGTCTTGGTACAGGATCCACGTGTTCGTCGTGTTGCTATTCAGCCGCGCAATTGCGAATGCTGCGATAGACGTTCCCACGGGAATCATGACGCCGGGCGTCCCTACATGGTCGTTAATACACGAAGAAGCTAACATCGGGGTTAAAGACGTTGAAAGGGTTCTACATACCGAAATACCAAGCTACGCCCGTATCGAAGCCGCCGAATGGAAATAGAGAGAGAAGGCCCTTTGAATCGCGGTATGCAAGGCCTGCTGTATATGGGGTTTGAAAGCTATTCAGCATGGGCACTAGACCGATGCCAGAGTTGGCATCACCCAGCGGAATATCATCCGGGTTATCCCAGCCGTGCACAGTGTCGTTGAACCAGCCGCTGCCATGTCCGTCGTAAACTAGGCGATGGAACGAAGTGTTCGTGTTCTGATAAATCACGTACGGCCAATAGGCGGTCATCCGAGAGCCACTCGGGACGGTGAAAGGCGTCCGATCCGAATTAATGCTATCGATCTTGGGCACCGTCTCATCTTCAAAGAAGTTGACTCCTTGGAACGTCGATGATGGATCTAAGTAAAAGAACTCAAACTGTGGGAACTGCAGGTAAATTGTCGCAGCAATAGGCGTTCCGGGCTTTGCATCTAGGTCGTCGAAGACTAGCGGGGTTGACCATTGACTGCTGCTGCTGCTGTACCGCGATGTGCGAATTTTGTTATCGCCTCCTTGCCAGAATAGCCGCGAGGTGAAGCCGTTGCCTTGTATGCGCCGGCCCGTCACAGTGAGCCTTGTATTGGGCCGTACTGCTGTTGTGTTCACGCTTTGGCTGCTGCTGCCGCTTGATGTGGACGTTGGGTTTGGCGAAGATGAGCTTGAAGATGCCGGTTCTGAGGATATATCTGACTTATCGTTTGAAGTTGCTTTGCTTCCTAAGACACCGCCGACTACCGCACCCACGATCACAGCCAGAACAACTAAACCTCCGATTAATAAGTATAGCTTCCTCCGTTCACCATTTTCTCTCTGGACTGGCGGCTGCGGTGGTAGTTCTTTCGGACTATACGCTCCATAGACCTGGGGTTGGTTGTACGGACTGGGATTGCCCTTGAAAGGTATAATTCCCGGATCAGATACGAGAGCGGGATATGTCTCCCTCTGTGAATATACGACTTCCGGGTCACTGGGATAGACGATTTCGAGTCCGGGCTGCGAGACCCTATGGTCTAGAGGCTCATTCATGGCCCGCCTTCTTTATCCTTTTACGATTAATTTGTGGCAGCCTCAAATTTTGTGCCACTTCGCGATTGCTATCGAGTAGGACAAGAAGATATCGACAGTCGTCCCAGCATTATGACATAATGCGAACAAATAATTTCTAACAAACAAAAAAAAACGAAGATGAGGAAAGCAGTTGTACGACCTGATGTACCTATACACACCTAGCAAGCTAGTGAAGAGAATAGATGTGCAGCCCAATTAAGGATGATACAGGGGGATTAAACCAACGTAGGACTACCAGGGGTTTGCCAATGATGGCATCCGCATAGGGCTCAATCTCTCCCATTTAGGAAGTAAGGGAGCGGCGCAGCAAGCTTCTCCAATCAAGACTGCAGTCGACGCCAAGCTACCTCTATGTAAGAATTTAAAACATTCGGCTTTAGGCGAATCGTCTACGATGATTTGGCTCCACCTAGACAGATCGCGCTTATATTCGATCTTTTTCTGTTTAGAATTGCTTGGTTGAGTTTAGAAATCTGGCACAGCAATATTTCTCCATAGGGCTATACTAATTCCATAGCCACACGGACTTGACTACCTAATAACTCGGATGGTCTACGGTTAATCAGACCGGAATAGCCAAGATCAGCTGAATTAGCTGAAGGATATATTTGGTAAGCAGTGTTTCATATATGCAGCAGAGCCTCTTAACTTAAGAGTCTTAAGTAAAGCCACCACCACAGGAGAGAGTATTTAGACCGGTTGCTCGACCGATAGGAAATCGTTGCGACTGTAAAAAATCTTATGGACCTTGGTTTGATTCCATTTGGCTCGACGGCTATGGATAGATGAAAAAAAAAAACAAGGAGTGAAATGTTCTACATGTTTGGATTAGGTAGTTGAATCCTGCATGAAGACTTGGCAAATCCACCAAGTTATTATTACACTATGCCCGCTAGAATGAAGCCATAAACCTATGGCCTCTATTAACTCGAAAGTTAATACAGACAATAGAGATGTAAGTGTGTATACATTTAACTTCTTAAGGCCAGTGTACGTAAGTATGCATATCTGTAGATATACTCATACAAACGATATCAATTCTTACTAACTATGTGTATTCTACTAGGTAACCCCATTTCGGTAAACTTAGATACCTGTCAAGCTCAAGTAACCTTACATAGGTTGGGTACCCAAGGTGGTATTTTGGCAGGGGTCTACGAGCAAACATGGCAAGTAAATGCGAGATGATTGAAACCCACCCAAGAGAGACTTATCCTATCCATCATTGGCCTGTGGATTTATTCTAGAATAATTGGGGTTGGGTGGCGATGGGCATTTAAAACATAACCCAACCCATCGAGCGAGTTAGTTGACATTTAACATCAGCGGCAGGTAGGTACATCATGTTTTATAGTCGAAATCTGAGTTTTTAAGTCGTCTAAGAATTATCTGCGTCTCTGATATGTAGGCATACATAAGACAACTCCTTGAAGCTGCGATGCACAGTAAGTATGTGTTTTGAAGTATCCCATATCCCCTGTAGCTTGGAGCGAGTAGTCGGTCGGCCTTTGTGAACGACACAAAAGGGCTGTATCACATACCTAACGTAGTCCTGGAGGCAAGGGGGAAAGGGTAGGCTGGGTAGGAGCTTCACGTAACGAAAATGTTTAATGGATGCTGCAAGACATACAATCAGTCTGTCTAATGAATCTAACACTGACATAGTAAGAAAATTGGTATGAATCACTAATAGGAAATACAATGCAAGGCATATGCACAGAAGCACATTACAAATCAACAGCAGACCAAATTATCCACATGGTATTATCATAATATTTTCCAGCCAAATTGCAAATTGCAAGAGCATTAGCTAGCCTAAAGATCTAAAACATATACATAAAAAACAGCAAAAGGGGTATCCGTAGTCTTGATTCGCGGAATTCCAACGAACATCATCGTCATTATGCATAGGTAGGTATATAGCAGAACTCATCAACGTCAGCATCAACCTATAAGCGCGAATTGGTATCATCAATCATCAAAGCCAAGGTATCTTGCCTCCGTAGACGCCGGACCGTAAGAAAAGTTAGTTAGGCGGGTAGACCATACTTGGTCAAACCGCATCGTAGCTCCTGAACTCCAATTTTTGTATAGTTATCGGTAAGACCATCATCTACCCCTATAATCCGGTTTCCTCGCCATGTTTACAACTGGTGGGGGACCGTCTTCATCAGGGTATGGCGGCAGGGGACTCTCGGCTCTGGTAGGACGTCGGCTACCTGAAATCTGCTTTTCGGGCAGCGGAGTCTTGGGAGGTAGAGGGGGTGGCTCGATTCGGTGCGGCTGGTATGGTTTTATCATAGGCTGTGCAATATGATCTCTTTGTCTTCGTGGATACTCGTCAGCTCCCATAATCGCTATTTTATCGGTGCCAGCAGCATTCCGGTATTGTGCTGGCGTGGGGGCTGTCACCACAAACGATCCGGCTCGTCGTCTGGGGGAGGTCTGATCGCCGATAATGAGGCAGGAGGGGACGGCACCTTCTGCGGGCGGGCGGCTATTTGAGGTGGAGATGAATGGCTGGTTGCGGGCCGGAAGCGATCATCGGAACTACGAGGCGATGGCGGGTTGGCAGGACCGAGTGAAAGGTGGTCAAGGTTGTCTATGCCCGATTCGTATGATTGCCGACCCGACGGACTGTTTCGGATCGGTAATGATGTAGGGAAGTCTCCTGGAAGCTCAACCGCCAATGGCATACTTATTGATCCCATGGTCGGCTGAGACACGATGTTGGGTATGCGACCGAGCCTCTCATATCTCTGCTTTGCTTTGTGGATCTTTGCCAATTTTGTCGACGATTCCTGCACCATTTTCTGCTCGGCATCTCTAGACAGATACCTTTTCGTGCCTGTGCTGATATCGCCCAATCGATCCCACTCGTTCATAGCGAACTCTCCAACGCCGACTTCGACGTTAAATCGGTAGTAATTCTCGATATTGACACCCCTTTTCATCAATAATTCATTCTTCATACGCTCGTGAATCTTTTCGCAGCCTTCCACCTTGGAGATTAACTTTCTTCTAGCTTCTCCCCATTCGCCCATAAAGCCTTCATACCACAGGTGCTGATTTTGCTCGGTACCCTTTGGCCGTTTTCCGGTTCCTATGCTGATAAAGACGCCCACATCACGTCCCGGCCATTCGTTAACCGTAGCCTCTTCGAGAGCAACGGGGGATGGGTTAAAAGTCCCAGAACCGTCGTCATGAAATACCGTCTGCCCAATTTTAACCGGTTTGAACGCCAACCCAATCGCGCACGTTGCCCGACCGGCCTCCCAGATTCTGCAGTCGTATTCAGGGGCAGGCTCTTTTCTTGAGTCATATGAACGGAGGAGTGCAGGAGCACCGCCCCTAACTGTTCCTTTATACATAGCCGTTACAGCACTGCAAAACATTAGCGATTATACTGCAAAATTAAAAAAAAATAGTACCCACGTCTTTGTCCTATTTTCTCTCGTATCATATAATTGCGCATCGGGGTTACCCTGCCCACCGCGGAATGTTGATTTGGCCTGGCTCGCTGGACTACGTCCACTGAAACTGATGGTGCTCGCGTTGCTTTGGTGCCGTCGCGGGAAAGCACTCGAGGCCGCGCTTGTCCGCGACACGGCAGATATCGGACTGACAATATCTGCTCCAAAGTCGTTCCCCTCATCATCAGACCAAGTGTGTTCCCTTACAGCTTCCTTGATCGCGCGCTCAAGCATAGATGCCTTAAATAATGTCGAACGATATGGTATACCAGCAAAAGTCTTATCGCTCTCGAAAACCATTCTGGTCATCCGGACGTATAGTTCTTTGCACTGCTCCAGATTTAATCGGAGTCGCCCTAACATCAAAGCGATTAGGCCGCCAGTGCCGGTTCCAACTATTAAATCGAAATGATCGCATGGCTTCGGGATTTGATCTCGTTTTGGTGCTTTCCCTTCAATTTCGACGTAGGTTCGAAGCATTATTTCTTGTATGATAATAAACATAGAATAGCCGCGAACTCCTCCACCATCTGTAATCGCGCAAAGCGCCTGAGTTAGTCTTCATGTATGCCCGACATATAGTCAAGGTGGTGGGGTAAATAACTTACCCAAGCTAAGTATCCTCAACGGAGGACCTTTGGTGGTGTCTTTCCTCTTTAGATGTCCCTCCGAATCCATCTTCGTCGCGATGGAATAGAAAACTCGATCTTTAGATATGTTGACGATAAATGTGTAGATGTAGCGAAATTGTAAGTTTGACAGAAAAATATGTTGAGACCACCGCCCCGCTAAGTTCGCTACGCTCGTCTGGTGACGACGTCAGTTTACAAGGTAAATGAATTGAATGTGACTTGGGACGCCACAATCTTGTCGCAAAAGTACGTATTAATTGTCGCGTAGAAGTAATAGGAAGTGCGATAGTATAAAAAATCAATCTTTTCTTTTTAGTTAACGCTCAGTTAAATTGTATTAGAATAAGAGAGCTGAACAAGCGCTTACGATATTGACAATGTCTTTGAAGAGTGAATTGTTATTGATGGCTAAGATTCAGAGTTCTATCAAAGGCGCAAAACAGTACCTAATCTTTGTCCCGTGTGGCTGAGCATTTCAATTCATGGAAGTCCCGTCACTGTAAGGATTAGGTGCATACCTCACAAAAGACGTCACATGTACTTCGTTTAGCACAGCCAAGCCCGTAATATCCAGATATTGCTCAGAAGTGATCAGAGGTATCCACTACTTGTAGGTACCTACTAAAGATCCTCGGAAGATACGGAAGATACGGCATTGTACCTGAGTTTATGATTACATATGACTTGCTATCTGACGCTAGAGGGCTGAGTCTAAATCGAAGTTATAAACCACGTGCAGCTGCAAAAAAAAATCTTTGCATTTCCCTATATCTTGTCATCAGCTGGAGTTGTAAATTAGTTGCGATTGAGAGAAGCTATAAAAACAAATTAAATACTTATCCGTAAGTAAACGAGGATGCTCGACTTGGAAGTATCCATCTGAATCTATGCATGGATAGCATGGATACATAGCGGCAAAAGTGTATGACGTCCAATTCTTTAGCTGTTTAGCTTTTTGGCTCCCTCTTATTTAGTCACCAAATTAACGAGCTCATTGGTTGGTATCTCTTATTAGCCTACATGAATCGACGGATACATGTTGACGAAATACCCAAGATTCAAATATTGTGGCTCAGTCATAATGGTGTAATTTCATTGGCAGGAGTGAGCGAACTGAGGAGATATCATTGCCACCATGACTCTAGGTTGCATTTATTCATTAGTTTTTGGGAACTCAAGAGCTCCACTGACAAAAAAATCCTAAGAAGCTTTCTAGAAGACTTCTATGCAGGAGAATTTGATTATCCGCGCCGTAGATGAGATCGGGAAGATTATGACCTCCATCAAAAGTAGATCGCTGATATTTTCGCTAGTGATCATTCGAGGGGAACGATCTACTATATATCCCATCCAAAAGGTACGTTCCATAAAGAAGAAGGCTTTCGCATAAAAGACTAGGACTTTGCCACGTCCTATTATCGATCCTTGCATGTTTGTGTCCTAGATATCTAGAAGTTGATCATGGCTCTCCATCCCTTTTCCTTACGTGCCTATGTTTAATGTGTTCTCAAGTGGCGTTAGGTTTGTAAAGCCCGTTTGCTCAGTGCTATCCGATCACCCATTGTTAATGCGGTGAACCCAGAGGTTCCGAGAAAGGGATAGAATCTATCTTCGGCGTCTACCTAAGCATAGACATCTCATGATCACATTTTAGTTGATGTCTGTTCCTCTGTTTGATTCTGCCTGTGGGTATAAGCGTCAAACTTAAACTTCTGCTTTGTTTGCGAGGTATGCCGTAGGTAGGATTAATCTCATGTTGAACATGAGATGAGCAGATTCATGTTAACAATAGACACATACTCGACATTATCGTAGAATACTCGGTGTTGTAAATGTGAGCTATCGAAATGTTTAGCTTGACTTAGACAGTTTATAAACCGCTAAAATTGGTATAACGGCTTTCCGTAGTCTCGGGAAATACGAAATTAGTGACATTTCAATAGTGACACAGCATGGTTTGTCCCAACCAGAAACCAACAAATACCGCTAGCTCTAGGCGGCAATGCGCATTATCACCCGTTTTCGAACTTATTGGTGTGAGTGTGACTTCTAAGAGCAGGCGATACGTCGTTAGTTAGTGGATAGGATTTTGATGTTCGGCATGCACCGTTTTGACAAGACGAAGGACCTAAAAGTCCGGAAGGATTCGATAGCCCTTTTCCAGAAAGAAACGACTGGGCGGCTTTCGACAAAGTCGTCTGATATTTCTAAATTTTTGATCTCGAATCAAACGTTCACATGACTTGGATCCTATAGCATTTTCTTATTTTTCTTTCTTCTTTCCATGTATGTATTTCTCTCGCATCAACGAAATACTGTAGAAATCACCTGGAGTGTTGGCATACTTCGTATACCTGACCTAGGTAACTAAAGAGGTAAGGTGGTTCTCATTTCCAGCTTAATATTAAGGCCAGTACCTCATTAGTGATGCCGGACGAAACGTAGGGCTGCTACGTGGTTGTACAATGGTACCTTACCGCTCATTAAAGCTGAAGGAAGCGCGCTAACGTTGAGAAGGAAGGTCGTGCTCTGATTCTGGCGTGAGTAAAACCGGGAGGATTCAGGTTGTGCGACGTCGCGTCGCACTCCGCGTTGTCGAAGAACGAATCCAAATTCCTTCCCTTCACTTCCCACGTGGACAATAGATTTAGTTTGGTCTCGGCCATATCTCTGCAAGTACGGCTGAGCTATGAATAAGTTTGGTGGCGATACTTTCTTTCAACTGACTATGAAAGCGGTTACATACGGACTTGATAGAGATATCCTATCAAAGAACGGTAATCTTGCACTTCGTAAAACCTCTAGTTAATTAGCCTAGAAAGATGCAAACGTCCTAGTTTTACGGCCGGGTTAATTAAGACCGACTTGCGTGTCTTTACTCCTTTCCGGCTACGGCTACGGCTCGGTTCCGATCATATTGAATGCGTTATACCCAATTCAATGTTAGCTAAAATGTCAATCGAGTACCTAAGTGAACAAGATTTTTCTTAGCTTATGTTAGGTAGGTAGGTAAGGGACTAGCTGTCGGGATCCGTAGGCTAGTATTTCATTGACAGACCGCTAATACGTCGTGTAACTAAGTATTATCACGAACTGCTTAGGTGTATTACGGTGAGATAATTAAATTGGTTACGCAGAATCCGCTGAGTCACACTCGTAAAAAAAAAATGAATAAAAAAACATATGAATACGCGCAATAAAATCGTATCGGTATACGGAAGATCCGAGGCTTATATGAAAAGTAAGATACCTAGGTAAGCCGGGCTGGGCTCGTATGTAACGAGGATTGAAAACTGATGATTAATCTTTAGACTCATTGAGATTGAGAAGACCCGTGGACGGATTGAAACTTGAAAAAGCGGATTAAAAAGTTCGAATGGATTACCCCGAGCCTTTCCCCAGGGGGTTTGGGGAATAGCCAGGGTCCCTAGCTCTCCCCGAATTCTATTCGGCCCGTAGTGGAGATGCATAAATGGATTAGGAGGGAAGGGGCGTCACCATCAACTTCTCTTCATAGGACATTGACATCATTCCATAATCATGTACCTATCATAATTGTACATTATAGGTACTAATATCGGGTATTGTCTATTACCTAAGACACGTATTCTCTAATCTTGTATCTTACCGTCTTCATCGTTGTCGAAAAATTGACTAAGACAAGAATTCGACAGCAAGATGAATGCCATTGATATGTTCGAGACAACTACCTACATAAGCGGACCAATTTTAGATTCTTAAACTTTACCCCGGAATTCTAGATTTGGTTGCATCCAAAAAGATGGAATTAAGTCATCCCTTTCCCTCGACTTCTGCATACTATGTATGTACCTAGCGAGCTTGCATTTTATCTGGGTTCGTTGATCAGACGGGCGGTGACTATTCGCGTGTAGAAATGATTATCCAAAATTCTGGGATGCTGTTGGTTCAATGTTAAAATGCTAAAAGCCTAAGACAGCTGTACATCCATGCAACCCTCTTCCCGACTGAACATTCCAACAACCAATAAACGCTGCCACAAGAAAGTCCCTCTACCCGTGGATTAGTTTGTTACCCGCATATGGCACGACGGGGAGAGCTAGCACGCGTGTGACCTCCAGAATTTTGTGGGCAAGTCCCACTGCCCTGGGAAGACCACTGTCACCTCCTCCATTTTTTGGCCTCCCAGTTGGGAACACACATTACGAGCTCGGGCATTGTTGTAGTTGTGGGAAAAATCTAACGAGATCCGAACAAGGATAGAATTGCTTGCTTGCTCCATGCTTTTTTTTCTGGTATGCCTTGATTCATCCCATCCCGTGACGATCTCGTAGCTTAGCTTTAACAGGCTTGATAGGTCTGGACCAATTACCTCAAAACGTTAATTCACCGAAAAGCGAGAGAGCAAAAGATTGGGTGGGCCAATACAAATTCGTGGGATCAATGAATCTGGGGATCCGCATGCTATGTTAGGTACATAGAACCCGCCTATCCATCTGTAACGTCTCCCCGGCCGGGGCGCCACACAAGTAGACAACCTACCTAACCTAACCTAAACCTAGTAGGCAGGCTGACAGGGCAATAGAGTAGGTCCAGTGACCAAAAGCGCCTTTGTTGCCAGATCAAAGCAACTGGGGTCCTGGGGTCCTGGGGTCGTAACTATACCTTGCTACCACCTGTTTGTAAACCTTAGGTATCTGTTTGTATGCATGTACCAACCTTAAAAAACTTACACCACTCTAATCCTGGCCGCCCCAGCAACAACCCGTGGGCGCTCCTTCTGCATATAATAATGGATCGTCCCCTCTCATCTTTCAGTCTTACCTTTTTAACATCGCTCTTCTTGCACACTTCCGCACCTAAACAACCTAGCAAGCCATATGTGCCGCTAATAGACCACGCGGGGTCTTAGACAACCATGAAGAAGTTTGGCAATATTTATCTTATCGCGGCCACGTCCGTCATAGGTAAGCTTTTCACCGATATGCCGTCGCTGCCTCTTGTTACTTGAGGCTTTGCCATTATGGGATAACTAATAATCTGGTTAGGGGCGCGCTATTCGGTTTCGATATTTCGTCTATGAGTGCTATTATCTCAACTGCCCCCTACAAGTGCCAGTTTAATCAGCAAGTTAGTCTCGAGCTAGGAATCTCGTTTGTTATATAGTTAAGCTGACAATTGCAGGGCAACAAACCTGGAACGAATGAATGCCAGGGTCCAGATGCTGTCGTACAAGGTGGCATTACCGCCGCCATGCCCGGAGGTTCCTGGCTTGGCGCTCTCATCTCCGGTGTCCTTACGGATATGTTTGGTCGAAAGACGTCTATTCAGATTGGTGCTATTATTTGGTACGTTCTCCGTGATGTGATTCGCTCGCAAACGGATTTCTTCTAACAGTGAATCTTGCAGGATAATCGGTTCTATCATTATTTGCGCTGCCCAAAACATCCCAATGCTTATCGTCGGTCGTATCATCAACGGTATCAGCGTGGGTATCTGCTCGGCTCAGGTTCCGGTTTACATCTCCGAGTTGTCGCCGCCGTCTAAGCGAGGTCGATTCATTGGAATGCAACAATGGGCCATCACCTGGGGTATTGCGATCATGTTCTTCGTATGCTACGGTTCCAGCTTCATTGACGGAGCCGCCGCTTTCCGTCTCCCGTGGGGTCTGCAAATGATTCCAGCTATTCTACTCTTCTTCGGCTTAACAGTTCTCCCCGAATCGCCTCGTTGGTTAGCGAAGCACGATCGTTGGGAGGAGGCTAAAGAAGTGCTCATTCTAGTCCACGGCCAAGGAAACCCCGATTCTCAATTGGTCGCCAAGGAGATGGCTGAAATTAAGGAAGCAGTCGACTTTGAGCGCCAGAATGCAGATGTGTCTTACCTAGAGTTGTTCCGTCCCAAGATGATCAACCGAACTCACATTGGTATCTTCACTCAGATCTGGTCGCAGCTTACCGGCATGAACGTCATGATGTACTACATTTCCTACATCTTTACGATGACGGGCTCGGGTGATGATGTACTACTACCTAGCGGTATCCAGTTCATATCAACGTCGTCATGACCGTTCCGGCTCTTATCTGGCTTGATAGGTGGGGTCGTCGTCCGACTATGCTTATCGGTGCGTTCTTCATGTGCCTCTGGCTCTGCATCAACGCTGGTTTGTTTGCCGTGTATTCGCACGCACCTGCCCCTCACCAGTTCGATACTGCTGCCATCTCTATGGTCATTAGTGGAAGACCCGCCAAGGCTGTGATCGCCAGTACCTACCTATTCGTGGCATCCTACGCGCCGACATGGGGACCTTGCTCTTGGACTTACCCAGCTGAGCTTTACCCGCTTCGCGTGCGTGGCAAGGCTGTTGCTCTTGCTACGTCTGCTAACTGGGCCTTCAACTTTGCGCTCGCGTACTTCGTCCCCCCCGCGTTCGCTAACATCACCTTGGCAGACGTATGTTCTGTTTGCCGTATTCTGTTTCGCCATGTTTTTCCACACGTTCTTCCTGTTCCCCGAGACCTCCAACAAGACTCTTGAGGAAGTCGCCGCTACCTTTGAGGATGACGGCCCCGGTTCTATCAAATATATTGGTGTCCCGGCTTGGAAGACCCACAACGATCGTTCCATTCTCCGTATCGAACGCAACCTCGTCAGCTCCGAAGAAAAGATCGGCATTGAACATTCAACTTCGGCTAAGATCTAGAGTTGAGAAAGAGTTGTAACGGAACGCCGTTTACTTGGTTAGGAGGGAAGTGGACAGGAGCGTAGGGTGTCGTAGGACATCGTAATGGAAAGCATGTTTTTGTGAAAAGTTAAGAGGGGCGTGTTTGATAGGAAATATCAGGACATAGGTTGTTCCTTATAAGCTTTTAAACCCACGGGCTGATGAAAAGCTCAAGGCTATATACCCCAAAATGAATACAAGACATTGATTAGATCACATGGTTCATATTTGCGACTAGCTGCGATTAGCTATGTGCATTTGTATTGGAGCCAAGTAAAAATCTCAAGCTATAAGACATACATGTAGGTAGTTAGTTATCTATGCAACGTGAAAAGGTAAGTTCAATTGTTATATTTAATTTCACGAATTCTACTTCACATAATATAACTAATTGCTCAACTCTATTATTTTCACTTCTTCATCTTGGTCTTTGAATCATTCTATAACAACGCGTAACTGTTGAAGAGTACATCTCAACAATTGTACCAGCCAATGAAAGGCCTTGGAGCCAAATTGTTTATCTATCTAGGGCTCTTACCTAAAAAGTTCAAGTGGGAGGCAGCCCTGAAGCTTTCGTTGGAGCTAGTCCCCTGCATCTTCGGATCTTCAAAGATGAATAATATGTTTAGATGCATTATAGATATTAGTGCTTACTAGTATACGTGCTTACACGATAGCGAGGCTTTAAACTTCACAGCATTAATCTGTATAATCTGTATAGACAAATTCTTTAGTGGATATATACTTCTTTGGTAGATAAAAACTGCGGGGGCTTGGTTCAACAAAAATATGTATCTAAAGAAGACTTGGCATAGCAGGGGGTCTATAGAACATGGACTTAAACATCGAGGCCAAGCAACTCCCCCGAATCAGCCTCGCCCGTAGCCTGATCATTCCCAATTTCTTCCCATCTCGCCCTTCATGGTCTTTCTTTAATACCATCGGGGTTTTTATCGTAGTGTAGATGACTTCCAATATTTGAGGTGTTGCAATTTATATATATATATTTACAATTGCTGCTGAGAGCCCCCGTCGTCGTGTTACTCGTTCAATTGACATCCGATGGATCAGCCGGCGGCAAAGAAGAGAAGGCTGGCTCCTAAGACCGAGGTTCAAGCCAGTCCTCCGCATCCGCCTCCATTCCCCCACGAGCCTGTAGGTATAATTCAAGATGTACCCATCAACTCGTGGACTCACATCAATAGGCGCCGCCCGCACAGCTTTACCAGGTCCAAGAAGCGCCCCCACCGCCCCCAGAAAGACATGAGTTCGAGTCATTCGCGAGGCATCTGCAAGATGCCGCTATGCTTATATATCGTCAAACCCAAAAATCACCTTACACAAAGACTTCTGTCCTTATTCTACGATGGGAAGAAGATAATGCTGTCGAACACGACCTTGCCTCCCTCGATCAAGTCCTCTGCGATCGGTATAATTACCGCACCGAACGTTTCAACATACCTACAGGTTTAAATCCCAGTGTTAAACTCGGCGTCTGTATGGCATCATTTCTTGAAAATGCAGCACCCGATCATCTATTAATAATATACTACGCGGGCATGGCTATGTTGATGCGGATAATCAACTCTACTGGGCAAGGTAGGTCACTACACGGTAGCATGGAAGGCGCTCTAACATATGATCAGTAATCCGGAGGGGGGTTCGAAACTAAGATGGAGTGGAGTTCGTTGCCTCTTCGAAGATATTCAGTCTGATATGCTTCTGCTTCTTGATACATGTGCCGTCAAAGAAGAGCAGAAGGTAGCAGTGTCAAACAGATCATTGCAGCTAACTCACCAGAGCACTATTCCCGAGATCACGGCTTACGGTCGTTTACATCCTATGTATAGAAGCATTGTCTAAATTCAGCGGCGGGCGACCTTTTACTGTCGAGCATCTATATCAGGAAGTGGCTATTCAGAGACAGCAAGAATTAATACAGGCGTCTGGGTTAACTAACGGGGCCAGCAAAAGCATAGCGCTCACTGAAAAGCTACCGGTTCTATATACTCTAAGTTCTATCAAAGGTCAAGTTATCTCTATATCTCCTCTCCCATCTCACGCCGAAATGCAATTACGATCCCCGCAAGCTGGAATTGACGGAGATGCCCAACTGTTGAGGACGTCCCGGGAAGATCCAATTATTCATCCAAACGCGGTTGCAGACTTGACGTTTGATGAGCCGAGAGTATTAGTTTGTACAACTTTTGTCGGCGAAGCCAGTCCGGACATGTCTTCGTTCAACCACTGGCTTCACAACGCCCCTGCTATTGCCTCTAAAATTGCTGTTGAGGGCATGTTTCTAGGGCCGCCTACAATGCTACTCATTTCAATGCCGGTTCCTGTCTGGAATGTTGTCCAACACGATAAAGTCTGCTGCTTCTTAGGATGTGAATTCCCATAATATGACACATCTTTACAATCGATTAGTCGGATCCGTTTCCGTTAATAAGGCATCGGCGAAGGACGTGGAAGACGGCCGGATGCTCCTCGAAGCCCGAGAAGTGGCTGCAAGTACGCCGGTCGTCCGCCGGCATGAACTTCCTAGCCATTCTCAGCTACGACCGGAGACACCCATTCGTCTGGAGAGCATGGGCCGGCTTGATCCCATGACCCTACCGCAGCCATCTGGTACCCCTGGTATAGCATATGCTAGCTCTAGGCCGGGCACCGCCATATCCAAAAATGACGTCGAAGATTCAGCTGAGATGCAGGAAGCTGCTGAACAGTTGAAGGCTTTAAGCCATGTTCGGCCCTTGAGCAGCGATAACGTATCTTCAACTCACGTACAAGCTACGCCTACAGAAAATACGACGACCACTCGTCGTGATGAAGTCTCGCCCATGAGGCAAATGAATCTGGCGCAGATGAGACTCTATACAATCCCGAATTCACACCGCCATCCGCACGACCTAAACAGCAACGGCGATCGCTTCAAAAGCAAGCGCCAAAGCAGGAGACGCGCTGTAATCACTGTAGTCATCCCCCCTTTAAAGACTATTCATCGCTACGTAAGCACATTGCTGCGGCTCATACTCGACCATTCCCTTGTGCCTTTACCTTCGCTGGTTGTACTAGCACTTTTGGGTCTAAGAATGAATGGAAGAGACATATTGCTTCGCAACACTTGTGTCTCCAATATTATCGATGTTCATCTTGCCCACAGAGCACGGTTGAAGGCAAGGGAAATGAGTTCAACCGCAAAGATCTCTTTACACAACATCTTCGTCGTATGCACGCCCCTTTCGCAATCAAAAAGGCTCTCGCGAAGGGTGATAGTAAATTACAACTAGATTGGGAAACGCACGTGAAAGATATGCAGCAAACATGTCTCGTGACTCGGAGACAACCTCCACAGAGATCCTCTTGCCCCAAGTCGGATTGTGCGAGTGTTTTCGAGGGGCCTACTTCTTGGGATGAATGGACGGAGCACGTCGGTAGGCATATGGAGAAGGGTGAAGCGGGACGACTCGGTGTTGATCGCCTTTTAGCAAAATGGGCTTTGGAAGAAGGTATTATTGAACGTCGGGATGACGGCGAATATCGACTGTGTAGCGGATCTAACAATAACCCCGAACGGGAATCTGCCGGCAACAACCTCGAATATCAGTCCGACGGAAACAAACGAGACAGAGACAGAGATCGAGACAGAGATCGAGATCGAGATCGAGATCGTGACCAGGAACAGGACAGGGACCAAGAAGACCGCACCATAATAGCAGCGAGTACGATGGTGGACAAAATGGACGTGGACGAATAACGCTGAGCTATATATTATACAGAATGCTACCCAAAGCGAAGCATTCGGAGGGAAGTTTTTTTTTGTTTTTGAGGGCGTAGGGATCGGATGAAAATTACGTGCCTCGCGAGGTTTAACGGGGCAGGCTTACGAATTTCCTTTGCTCATTTTATCGGGTGTATCCCAACTAGATGTGGCACGATCACCTGACGTTTCTATTTTGTTCAGCGCAGACTACAGGGACGACTGTACGACTATATACCACTTTTGAGCATGCTCTTGCTAATGTCCATCGGGTCGGTTGTTTGAGATAGACATTAGGAGGGGGAGGGAGGCCTGCATAATTTGGTTCGGTATATTTTTCGGTATATTTTTTTTTATCTAGATCACTTTAAGCGTTGCACAGTTTAGCACGCATCTAGTGATCATATTGCGGCTCCGGATTGACTTGGGAGTCGGGTGTTTATATTTAACATGATGCGAATTCATCTTGGGCCGTTCTTGTAGAGTATCTAAGCTTCAGCTTATAGTTCGGTATTAGGAATCTTTTTTAGAATAGTTGCTGTGTTATTATGGCCGTGACGAGTGGTGATGACTAGATAATTTTTCCATGTTAGCATCTCTGTAAAGGTAGGGGTTATATTACATGATGTCTTCATAAGTATTACCAAGAGAACTAGTCCTCTTGGCGACTGACTTTTCAACATTCCATCTTTCTTTCATCGAATAGATACCTATGTATATACTGCTAGGACACCATTCTTTATTATGCGGTCACGCCTCATACTTACATTTGGGTATCTACTTCATAGCCTCGGTTTACTCGGCGAAATTACATGCTTGCCTAGGTCTTTTTGCTGTTCATAGTCTTGCGGAGAGTCGGAGACAAGCCCAACTCGGTGTTTTTCCCCACATGGTCATCTTAGACAGAACGAACAAGCTTATAAAAGGGGAACTTATATAGGATGAACCGGGTTCTAGCTCGCTCTCTCATTGGTGGTCAAGGCAAACTGATATGGAGCCCCTGCGGGGAAGCTCTTTGGTAGCTCTTTGGTAGCTCGGTGCGGAGATGAGAAGCTGCGGAGAACAGCGCTTGACCGCGCTTAGTCGCCTTGACCATTCTCTTGTCCTTACCAAAAAAAGGTCCGGGGAAGCTCCGTGAAAGCGCCGCCATCATAAGAAATAAGAGCCTCCGATTTGATTTCACTCCGCTCTCTTTAGCTAGGCATTCTAAAATACGTACAAATCAATGCTAAGAGAACTGCTTAGCCCGCCTTATAAAACATCACGTGGACCGAAGGAACGCCGAAGCCGGTATTAACATCCTCCACTGTTGTTGTATTTGATGTTTTTCATTAATTATGGCCTTATACACAAGCCTTAAGCCTTAGACCGCTAGACCGCTAGACCAGAACTATTACTCTTGCTAAGAGCTATGATGACATGGGACATCGTGGAGCGGAGTAGCAGTAGGAATGTTGGGGTATATGCGGGGGGCGGAGTCTAATTGATCACGATTCTACGTTATTACCATGGGACGACTCTTACGTAGTAGACTAGGTATTGTAAATATGGATGTATTATAAGTTCTAGGGTAACACCACGGTACATGGAAAATATGATCCTTTGTGTCGGGTCACTCAATATTCCACGTGAATATTGGCGTTTTAAGACAACCTCCTAATATCTGGCACATTCGATCAGAATGGCAAGCCTTCTGTCGCTTATTACGGTGGCGACAGCGGCCTCGGCTGCCGCTCTCGTACGACGAGACTATCCAACCGACGATCCTCTCACTTCCTGCCCGGGTTATACCGCTTCGAATGTTGTTAGCACGACATCAGGATTGACTGCGGATTTGAAGTTAGCCGGTGAGGCTTGCAATGTGTATGGGACGGATCTGAAAGACTTGACTCTCGAGGTCTCATATGACACTGGTATGACGAGTTACTGTAAATGATAATTAATATATGAGCATCTCACTAATGTTGCGTAGAGACGAGGCTTCACGTCAAGATCCAAGATGCTGCTAATAACGTCTATCAAATTCCCGAGTCCGTTTTCCCTCGGCCAGAAGCCAAGGGTTCCGAAGAAGCGCAGTCGGCATTGAAGTTCGACTATACAGAAAGCCCATTCTCCTTCTCCGTATCTCGTTCGGACTCGGGCGAGGTCCTCTTCGACACATCAGCTGCCAACATAGTGTTTGAGTCACAGTACCTGCGTTTAAGGACAAAGTTACCCGAAAACCCAAGTCTATATGGCCTCGGCGAGCATTCAGACCCTTTTATGTTAAACACGACTGACTACATCCGCACATTTTGGTCGCAGGATTCATTCGGCGTCCCCGAAGGTGCGAATCTATACGGAAACCATCCCGTGTATTACGAGCATCGAGAATCGGGTACTCATGGCGTGTTCTTCTTGAACTCCAACGGTATGGATATCTTGATCAACAACACGGCTGAATCCGGACAGTATCTCGAGTACAACACCCTCGGTGGAGTATTAGACTTCTACTTCGTCTCTGGCCCGAGCCCGGTCCAAGTTGCGCAACAGTATGCCGAAATCGTGGGCCTGCCCGTGATGCAGCCGTACTGGGGATTAGGGTTCCAGAACTGTCGGTACGGATACCAGGACATTTTCGAAGTAGCTGAGGTAGTCTACAATTATAGTCAAGCTAGCATCCCGCTCGAGACTATGTGGAATGATATCGACTACATGTACCGTCGAAGAGTGAGCTTACATTATCGTCTACGAATATTACCCGTCAAACTAACAGCCATTAGGTATTCTCCTTAGATCCGGAAAGATATCCTCTACACAAGACGCGCGAATTAGTTGACTACCTGCACGCGCACGACCAGCATTATATCGTTATGGTGGATCCAGCCTTGGCCTACCAGGACTTCCCAACTGCTTTCCAACGCGGTGTTGATGACAACATCTTCATGCTTCGTGAAAACGGAACTGCGTGGAAGGGTGTTGTCTGGCCCGGAGTCACGGCCTTCCCTGACTGGTTCTCTCCTAACATCTCCAAGTATTGGAACAACGAGTTTTCTCTCTTCTTCTCTCCTGAGAATGGAGTAGATATTGATGCTCTCTGGATTGATATGAACGAACCTTCTAACTTCCCGTGCTTCTTCCCTTGCGATAACCCTGACGCTTCTGCTGAGGGATACCCGCCAGACCCACCTCCTGTCCGAACTCCTCCTCGAGCTCTGCCCGGCTTTTCTTGCGACTTCCAGCCCGAAGGAACTGACTGTACGAAGACCGAAGTGACGTCCTTAGAAATCCGTGATGGTATACCCCCAGCACACTTTGACAGCCTCTTCCTCGCGCAGGTCCAGATAGAGGGTCAGCAACTTGGATTACCAGACCGTGATCTTCTCTTCCCGAAGTACGCGATCCACAACAAGGCCGCGAACACTGACAGCGCGAACGCAGCTGAGGGTGGTATCTCGAACAAGACGGTCAACACAGATCTGGTTCACCATAATGGCCTGACCATGTACGATACACATAATTTGTATGGCACCATGATGTCTATTGCATCTCAGGAAGCTATGCTCCATAGACGTCCTACCGTGAGGCCCATGATCATCACCCGCTCGACGTTTGCCGGAGCTGGCACCAAAGTTGGGCACTGGCTAGGAGACAACGCATCAACATGGCACCATTACCGTCTTGCTATCAGGAGCATGATGGCCTTTGCTTCCGTGTATCAGATCCCGATGGTAGGCGCCGATACATGCGGATTCGACGGCAACACCACCGAGCAGCTGTGTTCACGCTGGGCCGCCCTCGGCGCCTTTGCACCATTCTTCCGTGTGCACAACGGCCTCGAAGCCATCTCGCAGGAACTATACCGCTGGGAGACCGTAACGCAGTCTGCGCGCAAGTTCATCGACATCCGCTATCGTCTACTCGACTACATGTACACGGCGCTACATGTTCAGACCCTCGACGGCACGCCCATGATCAACCCGCTATTCTACCTCTACCCGCACGACAAGAACACATATCCCCTCGACCTTCAGTATTTCCTCGGCCCGGGCCTACTTGTCGCCCCCGTGACCGAGGAAAATAGCACGAGCGTCGACGTGTACCTCCCCGACGATATCTTTTACGACTTCTTCACGCACGAGCGCATCGTGGGCGAGGGCAAGGCTATTACCGTCACGGACCAGGAGTGGTCGGATCTACCGCTATACCTGCGCGGTGGTGTAATCATTCCCTTGCGCACCGAATCCGCCATGACGACCACCGAAGTGCGCACCAAGCCCTTCGAGATCATCGTCCCCGTAGGTAAGGACGGCAAGGCAAGCGGTCGCTTGTACCTCGACGACGGCGTGAGTATCGAACAACCTGCCACGAGTGATATCTTGTTCGAGTACGCAGACGGCGTGCTGACTGTCAACGGCACGTTTGGGTACAAGCCAGAGGAGCTCAGGATAAGCAAGGTTACATTCTTGGGTATCGGGGGTGGGAATAGCAAGTGCAAGAAGCGCGCTGCGAAAGACGTGGTTACGGTGGATGTAGATAGGACGCTTAAGGAGGCCTTTACTGTTGAGGTTGGGAAGGCTTAATAAAATGTAAAATGCCCAGCAAAAGGAAAAGGGGGGATAAAAGTATATTAGGAAATACATATAAAATCTATTTATGTATAATGTATATATAAATAATAATAAGTACATTGTCTAGGTAACTATGCCTGTTTATTTATCTGTGATAAAAAATAAAAATAAAAATAAAAAAAGCTCAGCCCCAGATTCGAATCCCCTCGGATAGGGGCAGAGGATTCGAACCCAAGACCTACGAAAAACCGGCTTCGTTAGGCATCTGCTGTCAAGTCACGTTCTTTGGGAAGAACGGTTCAGCATAAGACACCACAGTGGGGTTTTCTCTAACCTCAAGTCGCCCGGTCGAGGGGCGTCGGTTGAAGGTTGGTTTGCAATTAGGATATATAACCTTTATTTCATGGGCAGGTACTTTGGCAGATGTATCTCGTTGCCTGGGTATCTGCCAGCTGCAGGACGGTGACTTATAATATCTGTACATTCTACTCTCTATTCGGATTCTGACAGTAATATCAGTAGAGCGCTAATTTACCGGCGACATATTCTACGAGTCGTTATAAAACACCAAAGATAAAGGTCATCCGGAATGTCCTCCGAGATTTACGTATTAAATATACCGCTTAGACGGCGGCGTCTCGGTCGCTGAAACCGGACTAGACGGGACCGGCCTATCGGTGCTCGATGCTACAATCAGAAATTTACTCCCCATGGGGTGTTGCGCGCGATATTCCTGGGGAAGTCCTGCTTCGATACCGAGGCCGGTAGTACGTGGTCGCATGATCTTCCGCCACCGAGCATGTTTAGGGGTTTTCTAGTTCTGAGCTGGTTTTATGTTAGCCTATGGCGTTACACGCTGGGCGAGGCGCAATTATATACGGGAGTCTAGAGCGGGTTTGGATATGGGTCGTCAGAAATATCATAGGGAGAAACCGGGTAGGAGAATGGGGAGATGGATAGATATGGAATCAGGTCGTGTGCGTATAAGTTTAGGGAAATAGAGATAACGAATAAATGATAAAATAGATAAATTAATGAATAATAAAAATACGTAGAAATATTAGTAGAAGAAATAATCATCTAGCTTGTAGACTTGACACTTGACACTTGAAATAATAAAAACCGATGAGGTGTGATAAGTGAAACGAAGCTGTCGTACATTTTCACTAGTTATCTTCAAACTGAAAGACGATACATTAGGGGTACTAATATATCTTTTATCTTTTCTTCACCGACCCATAAAATTTTTATTGTCACAACGACACCATACAATAATCCAACCGGTGGATATGATTGGATCTAGCGTTGCCCATCTGTGGTTGACAAACAAACTTGACGGCTGTCTTCTGCAAGTACCCTAACTATTCGAACCCTTCCTCTTCTTCTTAAATACGCCAAACATTTTAGAAGAGCCCTCGAGTGTCACATTACAGAAAAAAAAGGCACTGACTATTTTTTTTTTTTTTTTTTTGCACTTTCCCACCACATCTTTCAAATCCGCTTTTTTAATTCCAATTTTCAAACATTCGTCCCTTGTTTTTTTTTTTTTTTACGTTGTACCGTCAACTTCCAACACCCACAATTACACTACGGCACCATGGAGACAGACGATCCCTTAGATATATCTAATGGCACCTGCTATTATGCCGTCAACACGGAAGCTAAGAAGGATTATATCCCTTGCGGCAATGTCGACGTCGGTTTGGACTGGCACTGCTGCGTTGCTGGCGATATCTGTCTAGAAGACAGTGCATGCTTTCATAGAAACTGTAAGTAGTTTATCTCAAACTACATCCCTTCATTCTTCGAGAGATAAAAAAAAACCCTATTGTTCTAACAAATATCCTCCGCATCGTTAGATGGTATCACCTACCTAGCAGGCTGCACCGACCAAAGATACAGTGCGCCTAGTTGCCCGTACAAGGGGAAGTACGGCAGCCAGCAGTGGACCGGACTTCAGCGCTGCGATGACAATCCCGATATTGATGATGGCGACGATATATGGGCAGCATGCAAAGAAGCTGGAGACGTGCCAGGTTCGAAGCCGCCTGCTCGCTGCAAATGCTCCAGCGACACCCAGGTCATCTCTGACAAGCCGAAACTCGACAATGTCGCGTCACTTCCAACAAGTCTAGGAGAGACTATATCCTGGTATGCCGGCAAGAAGCCATCTATAGATCCAACTACAGAGACCACTACAATAACAGTGCCCCCGACTAAGACATCATCATTGGCATCCTCAACATCATCCGCCACGTCGTCTTCAGACCCGTCAGACACCCCAACCCCGGTACCCCTAGGACCAGGTGACGGCAGTCCCGTCACGCCTCCCACCGACGTACCCAACGCGTCCACAAACACCGGCACAGGCCCAACCCTCTCCACAGCAGCACAAGCCGGCATCGGCGTCGGCGCAGGCGTCGGGGCCCTGCTAATCGGATGTCTCATATATCTAGCGCTCCTACTACGCAAGCGCCGCAAAGCGAAGGCCCACGGCTCCAGCCTCGACTCCGCGTCCACGGCGCGACAGGATCTCCCCAGCACCAACAACCCGCCGAGCTCCCTCGCACCACCACCGATCGGCCAGACGCATCCCAGCTTCCAGTCAGAGCTAGCAGCAGACGAGCCCAAGAGCGCAGTCACCGCAACCGCCACGACACCTGTCCCGTACTCCCCATCCGCAGCCTCGATCCCGTTCTCGTCCATCGCAGCTTCTTTCTCCTCCTCGCAGCACAGGCGATATACAGCGTACAACCCGACACTCCACGGGAACTACGCCGAGAAGAGCGAGGCGGCAGCATCAGCGGCGGCAGGCCAGATGCCCGTTTCGCCGATGAGTCCGGAGCCGCAGATGAGTTCTGCGAAGGAAGAAGACGTGCCTGGGGTGCATGTGCATGAGTTGGAGGGATAAGGGGGTAGATGCGAATGTGATTGTGATAAGGGGGCGGGATAGGGGAATGATGCCGGAAGCGTTATCTGGAGTTAGGGGTTACATACATCCATGGTACTAAATTTTTTTCTGATTGCTCTGCGTTTAACTGCGCGTCGGCTTGGTATCGAGGCTGTGTATCCTAGGACAGACGGTGTAGTTGTTGTCGTTGGAGGGCGCGCGCGTAATGAAAATGAATGATACCTATAATTTGATGATTGGTCGATGAGGGTAATGTGGTTTAATTATATACCTAGCTTAAATGAATAAGTGCCTCGGTTATTAGTATATGCGTCTAGTCGTCATTATGTCTCCGTCTCCGTCTCCTCATGGTCGCTGACTTGCATCCGATGTAAATACGCTGATGGCGGAGGATGTCTTATTGTAGTCTTTACATCCATACCTAGGTCGGATAGCTATGGAAAGTAATACTGAAGCAAATTTTTCCACTCTCCATCGACGAGAAGTCTTCTATGTGGGTGGCGAATATGTGCCAGATGATGCTGGAAACCATACGCGGCAAGGACAAATGTATGTTGAGAGACTTATTCCAGCAGAATCAGATAGTAGTCCAAGCAGACCTTTCCCTATAATTTTTATCCACGGCGCAACAAGATCCGGCGCGGTAAGCTTGTCTTAGCATCAACCCCTTTAATCATCCTGTTCAGTCATGCGTATATATATACGCTAACATTAACCAGGACTGGCTTACAAAACCCGACGGACAACCAGGCTGGGCCTCGTACTTCCTATCCCAAGGCTTCGAGTGCTACCTCGTCGACCTACCCTTCTGCGGCAGAAGCCCCTGGCATCCCAGTAACGGAGCCATGCTCGCCCACCCAGCCGAAGCTATCCAGACCATGTTCACAGCAAGCCGGGATCTCGGGACATGGCCCCAAGCCAAGCTTCATACGCAATGGCCTAGCACCGGTCGAATCGGCGATCCCATCTTCGACCAGTTCTTCGCCTCGGCACAGCCCATCCTAAGCGACCCCGTGGCGCGGGAAAAGGCATCGCAGAAAGCCTGCGCCGCGCTCCTGGACCGCATCGGTAAACCTGCTATTCTCATCGGACACTCGGCCGGGAGCTCCATGCTGTGGCTAGTCGCGGACGTCCGGCCGGCCGCGGTCAAGATGATCGTTGCGCTCGAGCCTACCGGCCCGCCGTTCTACAAAGTCGGTATTGCGTCCGGGTCTAGCGCCCCCTACGGCATCGCCAACGCGCCGTTAACTTACGCGCCGCCCGTCGCCGATCCAGATGCCGACTTCACGAGGGTTCTTGTCCCAGCGCCGGGTCCGGGGATGATGGATTGCATGGGACAGGCAGAGGGGGAAGGGGAGATGAGGCCTCGGCAGCTGGTTAATCTGACGCACGCGAGGGTCCTCGTTGTCACGGCGCAGGCGTCGTATCATGCGCAGTATGACTGGGGGACCGTGCGGTACTTGCGGCAGGCGGGAGTTGGGAGGGTGGAGCACTGGAGGTTGGAGGAGAGGGGGGTTTGTGGGAATGGGCATATGATGTTTATGGAGAGGAATAGCGATGCGGTGGCTGCGGAGGTGGTGAGGTGGATTGAGAAGGATCAGGCAGTGGAGGCAGTGGTGTGAAGGACATCGGTGTTGGTGCTTTCTGCCCAGGGCTCGGTCTATATTACGTAGTGAGAATTGTATACTCGATGAGCTTAAGAGGGGGCTTTTTTTCGATAGATGTGGTCTAGTTAGGAACGGTTTCCCTTGTCATAATATCTGGAGTTCCCTTTTTTCTTATTGATAAAGACTATGAAATAGGGGTAGCGTTGGTTTTCCTAACCGTTGAAGGAGGCAAAATACGTAGTGAGTTTTCATTTATTTTAGAAGATACTTATGCCGTGTAACTGCACCACGAAGTATTGTCTTAGATCTAGCCAGTATCTCGTAAGCTAGTTTACCCCGATGGCGCGGGAAGTATTAGAGCCGTTATCTAGTTGTCATCATGTAGATGAATGATCGGCGGTCTTAATTGGGGGGGTTTCCAATGGGATACTCTCAGTCTATTCAAAATAAGAGAAAAAAAAGGGGGGGGGGGAGTATGAGAACATATATATCTATGCAAGACGACCCAGATATCTATGTCCTACTTATCAAAACTCTCTGGGGCATTTGAAGTAACTCGACCGGGATGTGTTGAGGTGGTCGGACGTCGCGAGACTCTTTCCTCAGATGCTCATGATAATCTATATCGACTGATGCAATTTCTCTATAAGTAGAGATATCGTTTACTCGTCTGGACTGAGAAAGGTGCACCTTGCGTACCCAAGACCTTAACCCCGTCCATGAGCTTTTAGGTATTTGCGGCAGCTGCCCAAGTTGTGTCATCATCCCAGGATCGCTAGGATCATGTGGGGATTCCCTATTGTTGTGCTTTCGATAAGTCGAAATGAATTTGAGTAAGGAATTCCGCAGGGTGATTCGAGTCAATCTGCGAAATGGGACGAAGACCATCGGCATACAGCTACAGGCAATCCCTACGTTGAGCTCGGCCGCTCTAGAGAAATAGTGTTAGTTCGCCTGTAAAAATGCAAAGAACAAAACACCAGTGATGGTCATTGTAGCGCTTACGTGAACGCAGATATCAAGTGTCCAATCCAAGTGACATCAAGAGATCGTATCGCCTTCACGCGATACACCGCGCAAAGGAAAGAAAAGATACAGGCTCTACGACGGCGTTAGAAATAGGCGCGTAACTTTAGGAAATAGGAAAGCCTACATCAATCCCGTAAGGAAAATACAGCACACGCCAATCTTCCGTTTCGGTGGAAGCCGGATTCTAAGAGTAAGAGCTATGGGTATCGCAAGTAAATGCAAATCCGATACAGCGTTAAATACACTCGTGGCCATCCAAAGAGGCTCCTGTGGTACGGAACAATTGATTTCAGCATCGGTGTTGAATATCTGCGCTGTTGGAGTGTATCCGTTACAGGTGACCTGGATTGTTATGACGACGACCAAATAAAAGAGTATCACTACAGCTAGCGTTACCCAAATGAGAATCCTGGCACTCTTCACCGGGTTAAAAATGCGAAGATAAAATGCCAGAAGTGTCGCTTTGATAAAGACCGCAGCAGTCGAATAAACGTAGCTTGGTGCAAAGCTATACTAGGTAGCATTAAAATTAGTCAATGAAGACCACGATTGTCTTCTAATCTAGTGCTTGGAAAAGTCATCTATACTTTCAGAACAACTCTCTGATGAAATTCAGACACCGGTATGTCCCATTGATGGCGGCCCATAGTATTATCAAAAGCTATTGCTTATAGTAAGCCTCGAGGCGTGTGGGTATGGGTACATATATACTAGTTGTGACGAACCCTTAAGGATAAGACCAGAGTAACAAGTGGCACCTATCTAAAATAAAATCAGCTTCTTCTAATGGGTTACAGATATAGACACTACTGACCGCCGAGATGAGACAGAGATCTTATAGCTACCACATTAGCATGTTCCTCTAGAAAATATAAAGGGAGAAAAACTTACAGTCTTCTATCCCAAAGTTGCATGTTACCCGCGCTCGAGTATAAACCCGCAGGGTTAAAAAGCAGTACATGATTGCTAGCGTCAAGCCTGTGAGTATTCTAGAAGTCGGAGCTATCGTCGGCGGGTCGATAAAGTTGGGCGTCACCCCTGATGGAGGTGGCAAGCTAGGTATTTGAGAATCGTCAAGGTTAGGCATATTCGCTCCAAACATGATTTCATATGCATGCAATGCTTGGGTGTGACCCCTTTCTTGCTATAGAATGGCGAGATGTGTCAAATTACAAGATGCAACCATACTCAATAGATAGAAATATACTGAGGGTTAGCCAAGGCTTTATGGTACCTTATAAGTTTGAAAGCATAATGCGTAACCTTGCTGCCTACCGCTGCCTACCGCCTCGGTAACATGTAAGTATTCGGATAATTTAATAGTAGTCATTGCTGACATGCTCGCGAGTTCCGAGTCGAGACACATATAATGAGTTAACGTAATACTAGAGCCGAGGCTTTTTGGCGTATACGACGTATCCATATCCTGTTCATTGGGTATCTCCCTTCGAAGTCTTATTCGTACAGATCTGGGCTGAAGCATAGCCCGCTGAAATGATAAGACCTATGTAGTCCTAAGAAGGGAGGCTGTTTCTAAGACATCTTGTCTCTGGAAAAACGGCGAGACACGACGAAGGGCCATAGATTTTCCGAAGTTCTACAAGGCAAACGTCTTTAGTTCGTCTATAACATTTACTGATTATACTAGAGCGGCTTTTACGGACCACGCGGTGAGAAGATGTCCGGATTAGAATAATAAGACGAAAAGGCGTTAGAAAACGGGGCCCTCTTCTCGGGAGCACTGGCTGAATACCTGCCAAGAGATCAGTGTATCCCTAATGATTCCCATCGTAGGCCTACGGGGCGGAGCTGAGAGCATTAGGCTATGGATCCATGAAATGTGGCTTCGGTGAATTAGAAAGTACCTAATGCAGTGACGTTAGGAATTCGGTGAGTAAAAATAATTTCAACGTCGAAGATGTCCGGAGAGAAACCCGATGGCTTGCGCTTAAGTCCTAGATTGGTGGTCCAGGATATGATTATAAATTATTGCAAAGGTTAGATATAAAGAAACCTATTAGTCCTATGCGATAGACTTATTAGTCCAGCTACTCCTATCAAAGCTCCCCGAGTATGTAATTCTTTCGTTATTACTAAGCACCAATATCGGTAAAGCCTTTCAATTCTGTTATCAGATTCGGCTTTGTTTCTTATGCACCTATCAGAGGTCTTATCCTTTCCAGCAAAGGGCGCGTTTGCTATTTTCTATTATGTCATTCAACATTCCATTCAGTCTTCTATATTATGTACTTGGATCTAATCATACCGTATGTTCAATTACCTAATACTAACATGTCTGTGGTAACCCGTTTCTTAAACTTTTCGCCGCTAAGGACTTTTTCTTTGGTGTTAAAAAAAAAAATAAAATAAGAAAAGGTGCCATCGTATCTACCATGTCTGCCATGTCTACCCGAAGAACAGGGGTTTATCATTACAACCCTTGGTAAGAGGTAGGTAAATTTATACGACGAACCACTAATACCATCCTAAAATTATCAGCAGCACCATTTGATCCATGGCCGTGGTATTATCCGGCCTTGTCTAGACGCAATGCAGATGGCGAGATGCGCCGAGATATAACCCACACGCCGCGAAACGTTTATATTCGCTGCGATTGCGTGATTGGTGCTAACTCTTTTCGATGATCGGCTACATGGTTATAGACCATCAACACGAACTATGTCGCTATGTACATAAAACAATCGGCCCTGCGGTTGGATCTATATCTGTGTTGGTAATACCACCCTAAGATAAATAAAAAACTTAATATATGGTGTGTTCCTCACGATTTTCACTCATTCTACAGCGTGACCTTCGTTGATGCGTTGAGTCAACACGCCGTCAAGTTAAAGGGAAGTCTTGAAGCTTTACAATTAAAAGTGGTTTATAATCGCCAAGTATTCAAGTTTCTCCTTGGCGTCGATATATTCCAGGAAACTTAAGCCGCCGAGATGTCTTCCCGCCTTTCGGGCGATGCCAAGGACGAAGCCAAGTTCTCTAGTGCAACACCTGCAGCTGAGCCTCCAACTAACCAACGACCTCCTTCGATAAAGCATATAACTAAGGACAGCAGCCCAAGCAAAGAAAAGCTTCCTGTTGAAGACGCCGTCGAAGTTGATGCCGATCTTGAGGATGAAAATGACCCCGAGATCAGCCAGATCCCTCCAGAGGTGAGGCGAGTCGTCAGTCTTCACGATGATACGACTTTGCCCACCTTAACATTTCGTTATTTTGTCCTCTCCATTCTCTTCGTCATCCCGGGAGCTTTTCTATCTTCGATGAATAGCTACCGAACCACGTATGCGCCCTACTCAGTTTTCTTCGTCCAGATCGCCTCCAATTATGTCGGCCTCTGGCTTGCCCGCGTGCTTCCTAATCGCCAATTCCGCATTCCCTTCACCCGTTGGTCTTTCAACATGAACCCAGGTCCATGGTCGGTCAAGGAGCATGTCTTAATCACCTTAACAGCAGCCTCTGGTGCGACAGGCAATGGAGGCACTACGCCTATCGCGCTTGGCGACCTCTATTTTAACGAACGGCTTCATCCCGCAGCGGCCATCTTTTTCATGTGGTCCATCGATGCTACCGGGTACGCCTTTGCTGCTCTCGCACGTCAAATTCTGCTATACGAACCGGCATACCCTTGGTTCCAGGCCCTTTGCCAAGCTGCGCTTTTCGAAACCCAGAGTCGACAGAACAAGAATCCGACTCCGACCGCGCGCAAGCAGATGCGCGTGTTCTGGTGGGTGCTCCTCGGTATCACGCTCTGGCAGTTCTTACCAGAATACGCATTCCCAATGCTGAACTCGATGGCCTTTTTGTGCTGGGTTGCTCCTCATAATCCTGTTGCCAACTTTATCGGATCTGGTCTTGGTGGAATGGGATTTCTCAATTTATCCTTTGATTGGGCTAATATCGTGAGTCTTCTTATGAAATCCAACAAGGCATATAAATGAAATCATACTAATTGATTTTAAAGTCCAACTATCTCGCCGGAGTTCCGCTATTTTTGAGTCCTTGGTGGTCGCAGGTCGTACTTTTCTGTTCCTTCGTTATGTCGTGGGGTGTTACTGCCCGCTGCAAAATGGGGACACCTTGGAAGTTATCCTCATTGCTTGATGACGAACCGAGCTTGTACTGCTGATGGGAGCAGATATCCTGTCACCGATCTAGTCACGCCGCAAAACACCTTCAACCAAACGGCTTACGAAGAAAATGGCCCATTGTACCTTGGCGTTCATTACCTATGGTCCATTTTCTTTGATTACGCCTCTTACATTTCAGCTTACTCTTGGATCGTGTTCTTTGGGGCCGGCCAAATCAGAGACGGGTACAGGAAATTCCGCGCCCGCCAAAAAACCCGGGCCAAGGAATCAATCATCAATGGTATGTCTTAAGAATAATATATCCTGATGTATCCACTGAAACTAATATGTTCACAGTACGTTAATATACCTCGTCATATCACCGGCCTACCCAACCTCCATACATACTTCGTATGAACTAACAGAAGCAGATTCGGACAGGTTGAACGTCCTGATGAGATCTTATAAGGAGGTTCCTCTGTGGTGGTACCTAACGCTGTTCCTCGCCTCGTTTACTTGTGTCATGACGATGGTTGGAATGGACATCCTATTTATTCCTTGGTGGACTTACTTAGTAGCACTTGCGACAGGAGCTGCTATTGTCGTGCCTCTCGGCTGGCTTTATGCCATTAGCAACTTCCAGCTACCCATCGGAACGTTCAACGAATTGCTATACGGTACAATGGTTCAAAATCTAAGCACTAATCGCAATCCCATTGGAGCTAGTGTAAGTCTACCATCCTAATGAATATTTCGTATGCTAATGTTGCTCTTCAGGGTATGGTGCTCTGGCTGGTGGCGGTATGATACCCTCATCCTATCGATTACTCATTTCCAATCAACTTCCTCCTCGTAATGAATACTAACAATAATAATAGCCTGGTATAGGGCCCAGTATATGTTGCAAGATCAGAAAATAGGACATTACATGCACGTCCCCCAACGTACAGTTTTCTTCTCTCGAGATCTTTGGAATCACTATGGGTGTACCGATCAATTATGCAGCAATGCGCTGGATCATGGATTCTAAGCGCGACTATCTAACCGGAGCCGTTGATGATCCAGCCCATATCTGGACGGGTCAGAGTCTAGCCGGCTCTTTGACTATGGGGGTTCAATATGTTTTACTAGTAAGTTGGCTTGATTTCTAGTCTTCAAGTACCACACATGAACATTAGACACTGACGCTATTTAAAAGGGGCCAACCCGACTCTTCCAACAAGAACAGTTCCGTCCTCTCCCTATGCTTTCCTCGTCGGCGCGGCCTGTCCGGCTATCATATACACGCTCCACCGGCTATTCCCTCGAGCTAAATTCCACCTTTTCAACACCACCATCTTTTTCAGCGGCGCGTCTATCTTCTACGGCAACGTGTCGACAGGGTACTTCTCACGTTTCATAGGAGGATTCGTTGTTATGTTTTGGGCGTATAGGTACCGCTACCAGCTATGGGCCAAGTACAACTTCATCCTGGCGGCTGCGTTCGACGCAGGGTTCAACCTGAACATGCTCTTGATATTCTTAATATTCGGCAGCGCAAAGGTCATTGGCATGCCGAATTGGTGGGGGAATGATGCGGCCAGCGTGGAGAAATGCTATGCGCTTGAGTAGAGTTGCTGTCTTGCTAGGCATTTTGTTTTGAAGTATATATCTTACGGAGATACTAGTGCTAGATTTAAATTAAATAGGCGGATATTATTCGAATGAACAAATATTTAACCTAATCACTACCTAGGTACCTAATGTTTCGTAGACTTAGACGATTGGAGAGCCTTCGGTCGGACTAGGAATCCAAGGTATTAGCAGAATCAATTGATATCGATCGCCTAGTTTCAGCGAAGAATTTACTATCCTTCTTGACACATCGCTTCAAGTCACCAATATATACCTATATAATAAATACATTAGCCATATGGAGCTATCTCGCCCCGGGGGATAGCTAGGACATGAAAGTGTGTTTAAGAGATAGAAGCACAGGGGTCAAGCGGCTCGTTAAAACTGGTCGACGTGACCAGGCCTACGACTCCAATCCGTATGTTGAGCCAGGTTGAGCCAAGTTGTAACTAGATGGTGGTCTTGTTTCCTCATGGCTTACAAGAGCAGAGGAGCTCAATGTATTATAGATAGGACATCTACATATAATAAAGGATACTCTCAGCATGTCTTATCACGGGCTTCTATAGTTAAGTGCCTAAGGTTAGGTTCTTTGCGGAACATGGAAGACCTCTTTCATACTTTCTAGCTCCGCTTCATGATACGAGGTGAAGATTTAAATTCTTAGTTTCCTTTTTGGTTGCGTACGTCGAGTTAATTACGGGTTACATAGCACTAGCATAAAAGTAATAGATTTTAAGTTAAGCCAGTTGGTTCCATTGCCAAACTATGAAAAAGGTCTAGGTGTATGTTATCGAGTTTGGGTGTTAGAGCCAGTTGTCTTGTTAACTTACCATAATGCCGCAGGACCTACCAGATGTAGGTTTGTTTCTTGGATTACATTTAATCATTTACGAGGTTTTTTTTTAAAAAAAAAGAGAGAGCTAGGTGAGTTATATGAGACTTGGTACCTAATAACTCGGTCAACTCAGGTTTATGAGCGGTATAAGGCCCATTAATATATACATTGTCTATGAACCAACCTAAGTAGCTGTTAAATAGCGAGACCTATCACAGCCGGTCACTACGAGGCTAAAACGACGACACGTATATCAAAATTCTGATGAGTTTTGGTCTCTAGTATACCTCCCTATATTGTCACAGCCTTAGAATAAGCTAATCCATAATTAATGGCATTGCTTCTTTTTTATAGGGGCTTATATTTTCCAACGTTCTAGAACACCTCCTATACTATACCTATGAAGAGGTATATTTGGTGATTTCTTAAATGTTTCCCGCATGAGAAAAGCCTCTTGACTTAAAAATATGAAAAATGCTACGGCCTTCGTTTACCTACTGTAGACACCCGAGGGTTAATATTACCATAAAACACATACAGATTGTAAGGTTATATATAATACCAGGTAGTGCTCTGTTTTGACGCCGAGGGAAACAATGTTGAATCATATCTCGTTAACTCATCTGCTTCGTAAACTTACCTAGGCACCTTGGGAATATGATAACTTAGAAAACTACACATAAGACCACTGTGACTTTCAACTTATAGGGTACTACCTATGATGATGGTTTCTATACGTATAGGTAACGGGAATAGTTGTCATTAAATAAGCTACAAGGAGATTCTATCAGGTAATTATTTTTAGCGACGAGCTAGACAGTAAAAAGTATAACTTGAAGGAAATGGTGTTAGTGTCTAGCGCATATGGTACTTTCATGATGTCTCAAACCGGCGGGCTGTGCAAGCCGCTAAGCATGAAGGTAAACATAATACAACACACGATGCAAATATAGCAATATTGTGGATAGTGACAGACTGGGGGATAAATCTATTTAGTTAACACCGGCGTATTTTGGCCCACCATGTATAGAGGAGGTTATTATAGGCAACCCGCTGAATATGTACATTGAGTCCGTAGTCTTCATGTCTATTCGCTGCACCAACAGCAGCTATCCACTTAGTATACTACATATAGGCGCTACCGACTTCAGAATCCATCGTCACATATGTACTGTACATAGGAGCTTGTTGGCAGTCAGTATACTCGAAAACTATTTATTTGGGCCAAACCGTCGCTTTTCTAGGTGAGGAACCGGGGAGCTCATTGAGCTATCCTTTACCCCTCTTCTATGAAGCACTCTACTCTCCTCGAATTGTATCATTTTGTCTTACAAATAGTCTTCAAAAATGTATGACGTTGGTTCAAAGTCCGTGAGTTTTAGACGGGATCGTTGATCTACCGGCGGAGAATACGGGAGATCCCTGAGGAGTCCAATCTTTTCGTCTATCGGACACCGTGAAGATGGCGTCACTTAGCACCTAACTAGTTATAATGTCTCTATATTGCTTTTCACGTAAGGGTCAAACGCGATATGTGGGAAGCAACTCGATTCCTATTTTTGTGACTCAAGAGGACTACGAAGCGAAGATGCCCAAACAACACGATGCTTACCCACCTACGCACTTGGTAAGACGACATAAGCGAATGTCCGGAGATCGAATAATACTTTGGTCTCTAGACGTGACCCCTCAATTTATGGGAACGGACTCGAAGCGGCGTCGACGACAGAGGAGAAATGAAGGGTTGGAAGTTAGCGTGGCACCAGTCAATTGCGTCGCTAAAGATACTAATGCAGCTTAGAGAGTTGTTAAGACCAAAAACGCTTGAAGGTGCAGAATGGAGTCGGTGCTGTAGAACTGCCCGATTTCACGGCGGAGGAAACTCAATTTTGTATTAGGTACTTGCCGAAGTGATGCAAACGAAGGAAGGGAGTTTTCCATCTCCATTTGCACCTCCACAGATGTTGTACGTGGCACGTAAAGTTGAGACTTACGTGGAAGAAGCTTAAAGCTGAACGTTGCGGTTATAAAATAACGTTTCTTCATACGCTGGACCGACTTAAAAGAAATATTTTTTAAGTTACCTCACTACCTAACCTAACACATTAACACATATGCGCCCAATGAAGAATGTGGGTTCAACTTAGGGTATATGACCTTTTTTGGTAGTTCATATTGCGCAAAATGGGGTAACGGACTTTTAAATCATGTACGTATGTGGCGCATATTTCCTTATCGGTAGTTTGAAGCTATTTTAGAATAGAGGATTGGATGGTATGTTGGAATAGTCTTCTCTTAATGCTAGTGGACAACAATGGGGAATAGACGATTAAGCATAAGGTCCTTATCGTTAAGATTGCGAGGAGACTTATTGCACTATTATCAATCACTGACTATCAAATCTGTTCAATCAAATCTATGTAATCTCTACCTAATCTCTAATCTTGATGCCCCGCGATGGGGTACTGAAACGGAGAAAGACGATTAGATTCATGATAAGAAATAACTACATAAAAAGAAGGACGAATGTCGGATCTCGGAAAACGTTATCTTAACGAACGGGTAGATCCTCTTTTTATTAAGACACTCGGACTCCAATATGCTTGCCCACTCTCTGCCGCTGCCACGGACGGTTGTTAGTGTTACAGTGGAGGACCCCGAAACATTAATAGACAAAATAATGGTTAGGTTACCTATCTTAGGTATCTTAGGTACCTAACCTAACCTAAACCACAATTGACATAATACCCTGTTAACCATAATGCAATTGACAAACGCCCAACTGTCAAACCTGTCAAACTCGAGTAATACAATTCGCGCGAACTTGAGTCAAATCAACATTGACTGAGACTGCGGCGGCAGTGCCGAGACTTTTTGTTTGCAACCTGTCGCGGAAAGTCTAGAATGTTACCTAATTCGTAACACGGAAGCGATGCGACTTGGGAAAATCATGATTTACCCCGGACTCTCCTTGTGATGATTGAACGCTTATAGACACCGGTAATTTTGGGGGGGCTGATCCCATTGCGGCTTGGGGTTATCAGATATCAATTTAATCTTATTTTTAAAGTATTAACCTTAATGCTGCGAAAAAAGCAAGCTGCTTACATCTGTTATTGCGGTTGTGGTTCGCAGTTGCGGCACGTGTGGACTAGAGCAAAGATGCCGCATGTGCATGTGATGATGTGAGATGATCTTAAAAAAAGAAGCAAAAGGAATCACAACCATGTGGCCCAAGCTTTTTCAACAGGGGAACCTTGAAGTTGGGGGGAGTTGCAGGTTCCGAAAAAGGATGCCCATCCAACCCTCCACCCTCCCTCCACCCTCCAACTTTTCTAACGCCTCCAATGCCTCCAACTGTGCATGAATCTCAATAATGAGATCATAATAATTGATCCGTCGTATTAAGATTATTGTTTACTTTTTGACTATTTGTTTATTTCCCTTTCTGGCCAATATTATCTCTTGGACCGTATATCTCTTACAACCTAAAAAACGCTTGATAAGGGGAAATGTGACGGGTTTCGGTAGGGGCGATCAGTTCTAGAATTCTCCGACCCTAACTCGTAAGACAAGTGGGAGAAAAAATAAAAAGAGGAAAAAGGAGAAAATAGGAGAGGCTACAATTGATGGTCCCTATTTATGGCTGGCGCCGTGTCTGAACAATTCGACGATGCGGGCTGATAACTGGTGGGGGTTGTTTGAGGCTACGGCTAACGTCGCCCGCAGCTGGGGGGGCTGCAGATGGGCAAGGCGGGATGACATTGGTACCTAGCACGGGTACCTTTATAGGGTAGGATAGGGTAGGGTCCCGGATCAGCGCGCGCATCAGTTGACAGGATATCCATGTGGCCATGTATATTTTAGCTATTATTTTTTTGCCCACAAGATCAGTTGAACAGTGAATACAAAGTACACCAGCACACCAAATAATTATTATTGCATGAGCTGGGACCTCATGTTGAACAATGGAATTTAAGTCAATACAGGGCGAACACGAAGGAGGTAGCCCACCATCTTCATGTTGATTATTTCCAACGCGTGCATGATTCATGAGTGTAGAAGACTTGAGTAACCTCACAAGCAATATTGAAGAGAAAAAAAAACTTCCTTACCTTGGAAACTATTAATTAGAAAGGGGGAATGCATCTGTAGTTTTAGTATGTAGAAATTCCCGAGGTCAAAAGAAGGCGGTCAGCAAACAATGAATACCTTGAGTTAGGTAGGCGCGTGTGAGGTATTGAGAGAGTACATATTACGGAAGGTACCTAATTACTTATTGTACAAATACGACAATACATCGGTACTTCCATATTACTTTTAAGTCCAAAGTACTATGTATATAGTATTATCCCTGCAAAACGCACAGTCTCGATTGTGACAAGGATCAAGGACGTACCTGCTTAGTGGCGTCCCTGCCTCCACACGCGCGTCACGAAATAAACAAAACGCGCTTTTCACGACCCCGACTACCCCTGTTTAGTTTAGTCTCTGTCTTTCTGCTGCACGATTTAGTGAACTCTAGGGAACGACAAGTACTATACTTTCCGCTTGGCAACGTGCCGACCGCTCCTTTTCTAATAGTGTAAATCTCCAGATCCAACCTCCCGTTAACTCCTCCCCCATCTCCATCTTTTTCGTCGCATTCGCCACAATCAACCAGTTGATCTGTCAGGAGTTGCGCGCGCGCCTACTTACATACCTGCATACTTACATACTTACCGTGGGACTCATCTACTGCTGCTTGTCCTCTCCTTCTTGACGCTTCTTCTATATCCAATAACCTATGACCAATAGCTCAGTTCGACATTGCGCCGGACCAGACTGAATGGCGGTTTCCTGTATACTTTGTGCGTGTGACTGCTGGGAGAATTGAGAACCGAGAACTGAGAACTGAGAATTACGAACCGAGAACCTCAGTATTTGGCAAGAAAGCAAGAAAGCAAGAAAAGATATCAAGGGACGGAAGTGGTGAATCGATAGTCTCACCTCGAACCCCAAAAACTTTGTCCTAGAATGAAGCGTTGAAGAAACGTCTTCATAACCCCCCTTGCTTGGTCTAACATTCCACATGTCCTGGACTGATTAATAGTACTGCTCTTTTGCATTCCTGACCTACGAAGCATATATCCTAACTAGCGGGTTATACGATTATTGCCGTTGTCGCTAGTTGCAGTATCTAAATCGGAACCCCTGTCCCAGTTCCATTGACGCGCCTTTCCTTGACGGCATACCCTCAACTTCTTATCAGTTTCTCTCGTCTCGATCGCCAACCTACTTGTCGTCAACTATTTCGTCGCCGACGTCTACATAGACAAAATAATATTTTTTTTTAGACAGGTTTTGCCAGTGCACTGTCACATGATCTCGAACTGGCAAAATGTCAAATAGTGGTGGTACTCTGACTCTGCCTTCACCAACTCATCCACATCATCACCATGTGGATGTGCAAGCAGGTTTAAGGACATTCAGGCGCTCACTTTCACGCTCGCCCTCAAAATTTTCTCTTGTTCGAACTACATCCCAGAGCAGTTCTGACGCGAGCTCCCCTTCATCTCCGTGCATTAGACGCGTTCAGTCCCAATATTTTGGACAGAACACTTCCATTAATTCGCCTCCTGGAAACCAGCCGCATACCCAGTCGCCACTTGCAACACCTTTCCGGCCGAGTGTTAAATTATCGTTGCGATCCGCGAAATCGACGAAGAGCCCCGTTTCAGCTTCATCAAACAAACAATTTCTCGGCATCGCACATCACCAAGAAGGCCCCTCTCGAAGAGCATTATCCCAAGCTTCTGTCTCTGGCAATTCATATCCGCCTCTAACACCAACTCCATTACTTGAACCAATTCTCTCCGGACAGGAAAATACAAATATTTTCTACACTCGCAGCCCGGGACCGCGCAAAGCTGCCGAGAGAACCGCAAATCGGCATAGCGTGCATCTCGATATGACTGGCTCTTCGCAGTTTGGTACGTCGCGTTTTGGCGACGCAAACAATAATACCACTACGACTTCTGTTACAAGCCCGCTGAAGCGAAGCGACGCGACGATGAACCTTGACCAAACCCTCACGGGAAGCCCGAAACCCAAACGTCGCAGCTATGGTCCCACAAGTTTGGGTGTCGATTTCAATGTCTATGATCATGGTCCTGGCTCTCCAAACGCTGAAGTTCAAGATGACTCCCCTCGTGAATATGATTGGACAAGCACTGTCTCTCCTAATGTTTCTGAGCCGTTAGCATCTCTAGCATCTCATGCTGCGATGCGTAGGGCTGGGTCTCTTCGAAAGTCTACTCTTCAGCAGCGAGAGCGAACATCATGGGGCAAGCGCCATGCAGCTCAGCAATTATCTCAGAGCTCCGGCGAAGCTACTACCCCCCAACGAGAGCGAACCTCGTGGGGAAGACGAGGCGCACCGCAGTTAGCCCAGTCTCCTAACGAGACTACTACTCCTAATGGGAAGAACCGGCCACGATTGTCTCTTGATCATTTCATGCCCCCTCCTCCCCGAGAGAGTCCGTTCACCGCACCAGCTCCGCTGCCGAATCCTTCTATGCATATGCTTAACCAGCCGGCCCAGCAACCACAGCAGCCACATCCATTGTCACGTACTATGACGACATCGTCTTCTAACTCAAGTCTATCTAACGACTCTCCCGTGCATTTTCAAGTTCCGGTCGCTGAAAAGTCGAGGGCGCCTATGAACTTTTCCAAGAGCTTGCCAATTGGTACTGTTCGTCCGCAGCATTACAAGCCAAGCCATGGTATTGCAAGCATTTCTACTCCTGACTACAAGCACGAGAGGCCATATGAAGGAGCTTTCGCATCTACCGGCTTAGTATCGAAGATGGTTCGTGACCCGGAGCAAGCACCTTCTGGTAGTGCATATGGAGCTGTTCCCGACACGCCTTGTAAGAAGCCTCCTAGTGGTTTTGCCACCTATCCGCCGCTTCCTATGTCTGGCAATGTTAAAGCTAGAGGTCGACACATCAAACATACCTTCGGCCTTCCATCAAGTCCCTTTGATTCGGTAACACCGAACCGCCCTGCGAATCCCTTCAGCGAGCAGTCTCGACCCGTGCTCTTCGGCGGATTTTCTAACCATTCTCGAAAAGAAAGTTTACTCAGCTTATACAGCGATGATGGACGAAGCCCTTCTGGGAAACTTGGCGGTAGCGAGAGTCTAGTAACGATGGAGATTTACCGCCGACGCCCACGAAGCAGCAGACCGCGCCGCGAAGTTCGAGCGGATTGAGCCGGCTGTCTACCGAAAGCCCCACGGCTAGTCGCCGCCTTCCTGCGTTCGGAAACAGCGCAGCTTTGCAGCAAGACCCTGCCGCTAGCTGTAAGTATCACCTACCAAAGCGATCCTGCAATGGCGGAAAAGGCAGAGAGAATATCACCCCTATCAAAGGTGGCTTCAACCTGCCCACCCCTGCTGTTCAGGAGACGCAATCCAACATCTGTCTCCCTTTATCTTCATTTAGTCGATCTCGAGCTCAGCGTGGTTCGTTTTCTTCGCCTGCGCGGCTTGAGACCCACTCGATGATGACTCCTCTCGTGAAGTCCTCTACCCAAGTTCAATTTGCTAAGAGTAGCCCCGTGATTACAGCGAGTCCTTTGGAGCGACTAGAATTTGCGGAGAAAGCTTCCCCCCAGACCCCTCAGGGAAGCTTTGCGCCTCTTGATGCAAGTCGTCTATCGATCTCTAACGCGAACGACGGCTTCTTGTTCCCCGGAACTGGCGATAAAAACTCGCCTTTCCCGCCTGCAACTCCGACAACACGACACGATAATGTCCCGGCATTCTTTGAACGACGCGCTATTACCCCTATCAATGGTATGCCTTCTCACGACTTGGATGAAGGGCTCATGTCGCGTTTTGGAAAAGTTGAATTTATAGGCAAGGGTGAATTTTCGCAAGTGTACAAAGTCACCGAAGCCGCTCAGTCCGCAAGAACCGTTCAGCCTGGCTTCTTCAGTACCCCTACGCACCGGACAGCTTCCCCCTCGCCTACTAAGGTGTATGCAGTCAAGAAGCTCACCCTTCCGATCCAAGGTAATAAGGATCGAGCCCTTCGATTCCGCGAAGTATCTGTATTGGAAACCTTGAAAGGCTGCGACCATGTCTTGCAGCTCGTTAACAGCTGGGAAGACAGCAGCTGCCTCTATATTCAGACTGAATATTGCGAAGAGGGCAGCCTTCATGCATTCTTGTCTTTTGTCGGCTTGAAAGGACGACTTGATGATTTCAGAATCTGGAAGATTATGCTTGAGATTGGCAAGGTACGTATAGAACAGGTGGATGCATGGAATGCGACTAACATATTATAGGGTTTGAAACATATTCACGATGCTGGCTATATCCACCTGGATTTGAAACCTGCCAATATCTTTATCAACTTTGAAGGCACCTTGAAGATTGGTGATTTCGGTCTAACGACGGCTTTGCCGATAGAGAAGGGTCCCGATCTAGAGGGAGATCGCGAATACTTGGCGCCCGAGGCTCTTCGAGGAGAGATTGGCAAGCCTACCGATGTATTTTCCTTCGGTCTGATCATGCTAGAAATCGCGGCCAACGTCAAACTGCCTGAGAATGGAACAACTTGGGCTGGGTTGAGAGAGGGTGACTTCTCCGAGGTTCCCACCCTTACTCAAGACGCGGGCGCGATTGTGCGGGATGCTAATGGCATGCCGCTTGATGACAGTGATCGTAGCGTTGGTCTGTTTGGAGATGATCGTGCCACGCCTGCTGGGCGCCGCAACTACAACTTCCGAAATGTTACCCGTCAATCGGCAGACATTTTCGGCCTAGGCCGCAAGAGCGAACTACAGCATCCTCCCGATTTCATGAAGGACCCTGGTCACCCTAACTCCCTCGATATAGTTGTGAAGTTGATGCTCACGCCGGATCCCATGATGCGTCCTACAGTTTCCCAATTGCTTGATCTCGAAGCAGCAAATTGGGTCGCATCACGTCAACGAGCTGCCGCGACAGTCTTTGAAGGAAATTGGGGCCCTGCGGATGAAGTGTCGGCTCCCATCTCACTGGATACGGAGATGATTGATGTCTAAACGTCTTGCTCGAACCCTTCGACCGATTTCACAGGACTAGCCGAATCTTGCTCGACCTGGCATAGAACTGGATATGGAGTTGCATTTGCCATAGTGGTGGGCGTTGTTTTGCCTTACGTATATCGGCCGACTTGGCTGGATATGTAGAGGCTGTCATAAAGTTTCTGGCGTTTGACCCAGGGATATCCGAGCACAACTGGAGATGGATGGATGTGCCTGAGTTTTGCGTCTTGAACGATGCACAATTTGGTTCTATTTCGAGCCGCAATTGCGATACGATATTTATACTGTATTTGCTTTGGCGAATGCAGTAGTGTTTTTGACCATCGTTGGTCTTTGGTACAGGTGTTCCACGGTTGGGAGGCATGTGTCAACCTTGATATACCATCGGGGGATTTCTTTGGTCCTGGACTGTCATCCGTCGAATATTCCCCCCAACTCTTCATGTGACTAGGTCTCGAGGAGCGATATATCGTGGACATCATAGTCAGATCTTTCGGACCAAAGCTTTGGAACGGCGGCGTTTTCTTTTCGGCGGAGGCGAACAGTTTTTTCTTTCCTTTGTCATTTTTGATGAGTTGACTGTTTTCAACAAGTTATCCACTTCGACATAACGGTATGGAAAGGGAAAAAATGGACACGGCCGTAATGAACGGGCATTCGGAGGGGCGTCTTTTGCTAGACTCGGCTTCGCACCAGTGTAAATATAGAAACGGAAAAATTGTGCTTAGAGAGATCAGCTCACCCAGACTAACTGGATCGTCATCTCGAGAGGACAAGGAGGATTGGTCGGATACGTCCTCGGTTTTTACGAAACCCGTATGAATGACGATATGCTATGATTTGCTCATGAGCTTCTTGTTGATCGCGATTCGATTCTGTGGTGTGATAGTTTATGGTGGATGTGATTTGTTTCTTTTGTCGTCGGTAGTTGAAGTTAATAGGTTCGCGTAATACCTTCAATACCAATTAATACCTCGCTTGCCTTGCCAATAACTGGTCTGGGAATGGAGAGAGGAATGAGTAGAAGATGGGAGTGATGTTTATATGTTTTGATAAGTCCGAAGTAGGATGTTTGTTTGGAGCTATGAACTTCTCCGCCTGCCAGTCCATCGTAAGGTTACCAGTAGTAAGGTTACCCAGGCACACAGAAAAGTTTTTGGCACCTAGCCTACCTAGGAAGTCTCACAGTACGGGGTATATTTCTAACTGGTTGCTTCTTAGTCACTGACATCCATGCAGTCTTATTCATTGCCTAGCTACTTGTAACTATCAACTACCTATCTATAAGCATTATGCGGTAGACCCGCTTGCCAGCCGGATAAGCAATCTCTCTAGAATCATTGGGGGGAGGGGGGAGGGGAGAGGGGTCTTGTTGTTTGTCTCCCTACCATTGCAATGTCATACCCGGCCTAAGAAAATTCCCTTCTATCTTTGCGATACAGTGAATAACCTCTCGGCTGGTAGGGATATCCCTGGGACTGGCTTCGGACGCATGTGAAGTGCCCCCTGATGACACGAGAACGCACATACAACTATTTAGTAAAAGTTCTTTTTAAAGCCACGAGGTCAGACTGTTTTGCAAGGTATATAAGAGACACAGGCGCCTCATAGCTAAGTACAACATAAAATTCTTCGAGTCTCGTTACCAGACTCTAAACCCTATTCACCCCTTGGCCGCCTTCCTAGTTCCAACCCCAACTCCCATATCAACATCTTTCTCGACATCCTTCCCACCACCACCGCTGCTCTTACTCGACTGTGCCGTACCCGGAGCAGCAGGCGTGCCCTTGGGTTTGCGGCGCACGGGCTGGTAAACATCGTTGAAATTCATCGCGACACCAAGGAAGCGCAAGTCGACGTCGGCTTGATAGGCCAGGTCGCCAAGCAGGATTTGGAGCTTCGCACGGAAGCGGTCGCCTAGATGACGCAGACGTTCTCTCAGTGCCGGGAACTCGCTGTGCGGGCCCCCCGGGATGGGAGCGGATTCGTCAGGGGGGATCGTGTGCCGGAGATCGGCTTCCTGCCGTTGGGTGAAGTCTGACACGGACCACGAGTATAGCCCGTCGACACAATCACGATACGCGAGCATTGTGCGTAGCAGCTCGCCTAGCTGGATCATGTAGCTATTATCATCTTCTTCGACGGGGGCCGGGGCGGTGCCAGCCGCGGAAGTGGATGTAGAGGCGGCAGTACCGGCATTTGAACCAACGAAGCGTCGGCGACGGGCGCCTAGAAGACCTTTGTGAGTGATGGAATTAAGGTAATTAGAATGGGCGGTGATGACGTCGTCGAGGGTAGCGTCCTCCTTGTGTAGCTTATCCTGGAGCTCGGTCCAAGAGCTCTCGATAACCTCGAAGAGGATGTAGTACTGGAGCTGGCCGACGAAGTGGACCATCTCGGCGAGGAAGCCACGGGTAGTCTTCCAAGACTGGCGGACCGCTGGGTGGTCAGTCTGCAGGACGCCACGGGAGCCAGTGGTGACCTTGCGCCAGGTGGATGAGAGGGCGAACTCGACACGCTTGATACGCCATAGGAAGTTGAACACTTTGAGATATTGCCGGTTGCCCCAGTCGGACACGACCACGTCCACTGGCGCATCGATCTTGTACTCAAGCGTAAAGCAATCCCAGCCTATGTCACCATGGGAGAGCTGCAACATACGCGCGTCGAGGCGGCGCAAAACCTCAGGGGAGTCGTACTGCGCATTGGACCCGCGGATAGCGTGCTCGAGCTGTGCCGTTAGAGTGTGTCTGTATTGGGCCCCGGCTGGACGATCGAGGTTCGCAGCGAGCGATTCCATCAGCAGGGCGATAAAGTCACCCTGTCCGAGAAGAATATAGCTCTTCAGCGCTTGAAGATGCTCAAAGAGATGAAATTTGTTGGTCATGAGATGCAGTAGTCGGCGCATTGTAGTTTTGTATGCCTCATCGATCCAAGTTTCCAAGGTGGCCGTATCGCCGTATCGAAGCTCCCTAGAAGATTCCTTGGAGTATGACTCGACCCACTGGGCGTCACCGCAGCTGTTGTGGATGAAGTTAAGAGATTTGCCGATGAGAAAGACCTTCTCGGCGAACTCGCTCGTGATGATGGAAGGGACCATGTCTGCTGCTAATATGTATTTATCTTCCCAAACATTAGTAGATCCCGACTTTCCCTTGGGCATGGCCTCTACCGACTGCTCTTGCACGAAGAACTCGAGATACGGATCCGAGAGTTCTCCGTTGTATATCCATTGTCTTAATATACCATAGAAAGGACGAGTAATAGGCATTAAGAGTCGCTCGGCGAATGCGCCTACTATGGGATCGCCGTGCGATGAGGATAATGAATGGATCAGGGTGATAAGCTGACCTCCTTTTTTGCTTTTGGATTCTTCGGCAATCATACTCATAAGTCGTAGACCCATAGTTGCTTCACGAGTCCATATAACGCAACGCTTCAGTGTCACGCCGGCCTTTCCAATACCACTTCGTGGAGCATTTTCGTCAATAGTAGACAATGCACGTCGGATCTGGCCTTCCAGCGTTGCCACGAGTGTTAAGTACGAGCGCAACTCGTTGCTTATAGCTGCGCGGAGACTTTGGCCTAAGAGACCCTTTGCGGGTGTCTTGACGAATTCTTCGAGAGTGCGGTAGAGTAGTGAGGGTTCAGCGAGTGTATGAAGAAGTCCAATTAAGGGTGGTGGGAGAGTAGCAGGAAGTTTGAGGGAGTCATCTTTGCCGAATGGGAGAGTAGTCGAGGAAAGACCCTGGAGAGTATAGGGTAGATCTCGTAGGAGAGTAGGCTCTGAAGGATCGATATCGCAATAGTTATCAGCTAGTAGCTTAGATTTTATAGCAACATCTCTCTTGGCAGGGACTGGAGTCTCTTCTCTTGCACCCCTAGCACGTCTATAATCACTGGCGGTCGAGGGCCGCTGAGAATCGCTGTCGTGTGACTTCATATCTTTTGGATTCTTGAGTACGTCTCGAAGTTCGGTGGGATGGTACTCGTCCGAGCTCTGCTCGGGTCTATACAATTCAGAACTTTCTTGGTTGGAAGGGCCACCTAGACTTAATTCTTCTCTTTCCTCTCGTTTCCTCCTCCGCTTGGCTTGCTCCTGCTGAAATTCGGCAAAGGCGACGGGATCCGGTTCAGTTGGATCGGGCGAGTCAGCCAATTGATAGAGGAGATATAGTATAGCCCATTTTTGGGTTAGCACAGGCAGCGCCAGCAATCTCGAGTAAAGATTGGAGTAACGTAAAGCCTGGCTCGGGTTCGTTTGAACCAACCTTCGTCTAATAAGTTCGGATGCATGATTTTGGTCGGCTAAGGGAGGTGGTCGCGGTCTAGTTGAAGATAATGTAATTGTTTGCTCTTATAATGATTATAGGTTATTTCTTACTGATTTAATTGTTGTCTAATCTCATCGAAATATAAATCATGTCTCTGCTGTGCATCTTCGTCGCTCAAGCGTGGATCGTCTGGTATAAGTTGTGAAATTAAGCGGTTGATACTAAGATCAACACGCTTCGTCCGGTCCTGATTTGACCCGGACATTGTGTCATTTTGGAATATTGTTTGTTAAAAGAAACCGAGGTACAAGGGATACTAATTCATAAAATATTAAGTATGTTAGGTAGCTACATGTATGAGAGGTAATAAATACTAATGTATGGAAAACCTAAGATGATGTATTGTAGGATATTAATTATACTACATATGTGCATACCTCTTAAATGTCCATACGCGACGCGACGAAGACCTGATGAACTCTACCTAACATACCTAATCTAATGTACCTAAGGTATGCTACAATTAGTTGGTGGAGGGGCTTATTGAAGGTTGTGTCCTGGTAACACAGCTAAGTAACAGTTAGCTTAAACGCTAGTTATCCGCTTTCCGTTGTTTAATAAAGTTTAAGGTACTTATTCCGCACATGAATTCACGCCCAATTCTTCCCTACTACTAAGTAACTTATACGTCAAAGTTTCCCCCATGCGAATCCACCGTAACCCCGGAATCCCAATCAAAAGGCGTTCCCTCTGAGTGAGGGTAACTTAGCACCACTCGACGCTGCTTTCCAATCTAGACGACATCCCAAACCTCCCGCTTAATGGCTAACAGAAAGACGGCGCATCTTTCATCAAATACCGACGTTTCTTATACATTTTTTTATCATTTCAAAATTTGTATTCGGATCGCATTAATCTGTTGCACTCGATGAACGGGTTTTAAACCCTTTTTCGGGCTGTGCTGTGTTCATAGCTCGATCGCGACATCCCGCGCATAATCCGCCCAACATCGCGCTTTGTCGTATCACCAACTATCAACATTTCCGAATTGAGCCGTTAGAATCGATAATCATCGCGCTACCCGCACAACGCAACAACGCAACAACGCACGACGCCTAATTTCAACCCCATTCCATCCTCCCGACATCCCCGATCTCCCCGACCCTCCAATATGCCCGACATAGATCCCGCGGCTCTAAGCCGCCCATCTGTTAGCCTTTCCACCCCGACTCTTAAATCAATAACAGTTTCCGCGCCTTCTACTCAGAAAGTGACCAAAACTAGCCAAATTATCCCCGCCCGCATCGATCTCGAACCTCTATATACTGCTCTTAAGTCAGCAATTGGAAATGAACAATGGAACACCTACAAAGAATCAACCACCCAGTTTATACTAGGTAAGTCTTTGTTAGCTTTGCTTTGCCTGCATAAAATCTTACCCATATTATAGGACGCTTGAATCAGATAGAGTATTCCGAACGTATCGATCATATACTATCCAATGGCGACAAAACTCATCTCCACAACCAGCTTCTTGCTGCTATATACGGAAATCTTACAAGGGAAATGCCAGACCAAGGAGTTGCGCCCTGGGTTTCTGCAAATGACAAACCCACCGCTAATGTCGGCGCCAAGCCTGTGACCGGAGATGCTGCCGAACGAAGACTGAAAGGAGAAGTCATGCAACTTCCGAGTCGCGATCGAAGACGTATAAAGGAACTTGCTCAGAATGACGTGAGTAAAGTTGTTACGATGCGCTACAAGTTCACGTTGACTAATAAATTGCTATACAGTTTGACCCCTTCGAATCTTTGGCAGCCGTGTTTTCGGAACACCACCGAAGCAGAATAGCTCGCGTACCGGACATACCTCAAAGTGCCAATGCCAATGACTTGAACAAAATGAGTAAGCAGCACGCTTCCAATTGAAGCTGGACCCGATTTTTTTCTCATCACAAATACAGACTGGGACCTCGAGATTCGCAAACGATTTGCACAACCCTTGGCAGTGGAGTCGGGCGAATTTCCGGACATAACAAGCATTGAATCAAGGATGCTTCCTATCTGCTACGAAGCAGGACTTGTTAACGGCCATTCTTCAGATGCTACACAATTCATGACTGTTGCCGCCGAGACTTTTATCAAGGAATTTCTTTCGACAGTATTTACTAGGACGAGGAGCAATGGGCCTGGCGATTCTGGGAGTGCTGGATTCGGTTCCGGGGCCAACTGGATTCAAACACACAAGTATCGCCGCCAACTAAGACGAGAAGAAGTAGCCTTTTCTAGAGGGGAGTTGTCTAGAGATAAGAGCGGACTCCTACCCGTCGAAGCAAAAGCTGCTAGCGAACGATCCCCGCTAAGTATGGCCGATTTACGACTCGCTCTAGAAATAGGTGACTGTGGCATCAGTTCGTTTCCTATCATCAGGAAGTCAGTCATATACAACTATAGGGATGGCGAACTCGAAAATTACAACAACTATACCTGGCTCCACGACCAAAAACCCAGAGATTTTGAAGATGCAGCCATCAATGGTACCGGTCAACATGGTCCTATGAATGGCGGTGCCTACCCAGAACCAATGGACATAGACGAAGAGCCGATAGTATGGGAGGGTGCAAATAACGAGGATACGTCGATGCTAGACAATGTTTTGGATTCATGCCTCGCAGTCCCTTAGGAAGGGAGGAGGCTGCCGAAACATCGTCAGCGGAAAACATCTAGGATGCCGTTGGTCCCTTGTGTTTTCTACGTGCATCATAGGAAATACCTCATAATGGTCAGTCATATATACGGCGGCAAAAACAGCTTGTCTGCTCTCTTGGAGTTGGCACATTTACGTCACTTGAAATCATTCAACCCCTTAGGGCAAGGGGTTTTGCATCAGCATAGGGGTTAGGGGCGTTGATTTTGAATTGCATTTTCTGTTTGGCGTGTATGAACATTGAAAATGAGGGTGAGAAGCGTGGTCGGCTTTGGCGTTACTCTCTGGTGGATATGTACTCTATTGCAGCGATACCCCCTACGCCATGGCAGGAATACTGTCCGAGTTCTTGTAAGATCATTTCGCACGATGGATAGAGTCGAGAAGGTCTAATTGGAGGCAATAATGTGGCCTGTAATAATATATAGGTAGGTTAGGTAGGTAGGTACAATTGGCTCAAAACTCAGGAAGCCGAAAAAAATAAATTCAGCAATCCGAATATGTGAAAATGGTGTACCTATTAATGTTATAACTGAAGTTAAACATTTCGCGATTCGAGAGCCCCATATATGCACGGATTGTTGCACGGATTGTTGCATATGTACGTAAATGGGCCGCGAAATTCGACGCGAAAGACGCGTTTTATCAAAGCGCGTACAGGGGGGAAAGCTACAGTATGAAAGCAATTAAACTCTCCACCCCCCACTTACAACTTCCATCTAACATACAAACACAAGTTACATATTAAATTTACCATTATATTCTTAATTTTCGATATAATGTCTTCTTAAGATTGTTTTATCATCAATTGCATCTCATTGTTCAGGTATTGGTATTTCAATGGCATCTACTCGGTCACCATCGCCAGTCGAGGGCATATCTGCCCCTACGTCACCGCAATTATCACCTCGGTCTAAGATCAAGGCCTTATTAGCTACTGTGAATGATGCGGATTCAGATGACGAATCTAGCCCTACGATAGACGCAAAGACTTTATCCAAGTCTACTAATAAGGACATTATCACGAATACCGAAGTCCAAACCCTACCAGATGCGGAGGAAGATAGTGATAATGATGAAGAGGAGATCGTTCGACCCCGAGGACGCCTCGCTGCGCGGATGAGAGTGGAGGATGTAAATACAACAAAAACCACCACACTCAAGAGCTCAATTAAACCAATACTATCGCATACAGCCTCGGCGAATCCCAATGAGGAAACTAGGGAAGCGGCAAACGCAGATGATGATGACGATGAAGATGTCAGTACTCTACCGCGTAGGCGATTAGCTAGGCCCATTCGAAGCTCTACTCCAGAAGTTGCAAACAAATACCGAAATTCCTTCCTCACCAGGTCTCTTCGTTACACCAGCCCCGGAGACACCGATGGTACGCCGGCAACCTGGAGCCGGAGCAGAGTCCGACACAGACGATGAGTTGCCGGAAAACTTAGGGAAGAGCGAACGCTTCCTGGCTCTAGTAGCTAGGAAGCGGCAAGAGAGACTTGCCAGGGAGGCCGAAGAAGAGCGCAAGCGAAATGAGCGTGCCGAGCGAATAGGTCAACAAATACCTACCGAATCAGATATTGACGACGATGTATCTGATGTCACAGACGATGACGGCGGTCGCAAGCTCACTCAAGAGGTTTCCCGTCCGGCTCGCAAGGCTAGCAAGAAGGCTTTGGAAGAGATGAACCGCGAAACGCAACGATTAAGTCGAAGCATGCAACTTGCTCACGAAGCGAAGACGAAGAAAAAGATCACGAAAGCATCTCTATTCGAACGCTTCAATTTCAGGACTGAAGCAGTGTCTACTGAAACCAAGCCAGTAATCTCAAGCAGGCCAACAACACCTGGCTCGACACAACAGACGGACATTGATATGGCAGATGCTGGAACTCCACCTAGCTCTCCCCCTCTTGCTCTAAAGGTCATAGAAACCCACCTCGTCACACCTACAGCGCCGAATACTCGCAAAGATCCAGACGACGTATTCGGAGATGACGGCGAGTTGCCCAGCTTAGAAGATGCTTTAGCACAAACCAAAAAAGATAAGGGTAAAGGCAAGGCTGTTAACATCACAGACCAGCCCACTCAGATCGAGGGAGCCGTGGTGGGTAAACCAAAGCGTCAAATCCGAGTCAAGCTACCTCCAATGCAGGCAAACCTTGTCACGATAGATTCTGACGACGAGCTTGAAATTACCAAGCCGAAGAAGGGAAGAATGGATGCAATATTCGACAAGCTCCCGAGAAGAAAACCCAGGAATCTAGGTCTATGGATGTGTTGCGCCGCTTAAGCTCATCTCTCTTCTCCCCCGAAGGAAATATCAAGGGGTCGCAGGACTAAGCCTTCCATGACCCCTGCTGAACTCCAGATGTCTCTACAGCAGCGCGCTAGAGCACAAGCTAAGTTGGAACGCGAGCGACGTCTCGAGTTCCTCAAGTCCAAAGGCATCGCCGTACAAACTGAGGAAGAACGCCAAAGGGAAAGAGAGCAGGTCGAAGACATTGTTGCCCGAGCTCGACAAGAGGTCGAAGAAATCATGCAGAAAGAACGTGAGGATGCGAAGAAGGCACGTAAAGAGAGTAAGAAGAATGGTGAAAATGATCCTCTAGCTTGGGATGATAGTGACGACGATAGCTTTGAGGACAGTGGAGAGGAGGATCCTGCCGAGATTGAGCTTTCCGGATCGGAGGAAGAAAACGAAGGAGATGACGGGGGATGGACGATGACGATGATGAGAATGAGGATAAGCCCACAAATCTTATATTCGAGGATGAGGCAGAGGAGGATGGTGAGTCTGAGGTGGAGAGCACGCCAAAGCCTACTACAAATGTAGCTTCTGATGATGAAGCTGACGTCGAGCTCCCACCTGCAAGGTTCCGCCGGCCAAAGAAACATGTTCATATCGTCTCAGATGACGAAGAGGATGTTGAAGCAACTCCAAAGCCTAAGACTCGTCACCCCAAATCTCCATCAGCCACCAACTCCTCTCCTAAGATCCCTACGTCTGTCCTACGCTCAGCTAGGAAGACATTTATTCCCGGGCTCCCTGTTCCCGCGGCTGGGCCTGCAGGCCTTGGGCTTACCCAGATATTCGCAGGTACAATGGATGACAGTCAAGCCGAACCAGCCAGCGGATCTCCGCAGAAATTTATGCCCAGTCTTGATAGCTTTCCCGACTCTCAGTTTTCCGCCACAGCAGGCCAATCTCAGGATAACACAGTTCTCGACAGCCAGAAGTTACATAATATAGATACCCAAGCACGTGAAACACAGACACAAGGTGTCCAGTTACACTTCTCGCAGTCGCAAGTCCACGGCTTCGATACCTTGATGCAAATGGACGGGACGCAAATGTCGGAGCTCATTGAGCCAACCCAGGATGGGGGCTTCCAGGACTTATCTCCGCTCAAGCAGCGGTTTATTGACGCACCAGGATCTACAGTGGACACTGTATTATTAGGTGGGACCCCTGAATTCGAAAAAGTCCAAGAGTCACCTCTTGTCAGGAGGGGCAAGTTAAGACGAAGAGGCGAAAGTATAGCCTCAATCTCTACCTTGACGTCGACAATAAATATTCCTGAAAGTCCCAGCGCTGCTCCTAGCGCCCTACCTACAGACGCCAAGACAGATGCGAGTGCGTTCAGATTAATGGAAAAGGCAGCTAGGAGGAAGAGACTGCAAGAGAAATTTGATAGGAAAAAGAGCAAGGCCAACGAGATGGTTGAGGAGCAAGCTGAGGAATCTGAGGATGAGTACGCCGGACTTGGCGGAGCCGATGGTGAAGACTCGAGCGAAGAGGATGAGGAGCTCGTTAAAGAGATGATAGACGATGTTACTAGCAACGATGCTGACGCTACTAAGCTGGCTGGTTTCTTTGCGTAAGTAATGCCTTCCAATACACAATAGAAAAAATGCTAACGATACTATAGTGATCGAGAACGAGCAGCCGATGCAGCCCAAGTCGACAAACTGTTCCGGGATATCACAACTGGTATGCTACGCAAGCGGCGCCGTGGCGGTGACAATAACGACATCGATCTATCAGATTCTGATGATGGGGGCGAGGCTCGGCGTCGTATGAAGCGGCGACAGTTTGCCAAGATGCAGAAGGCCCTATTTGCAGACGAGCGTATCGGAAAGATCGCCGAAAACCCGCGCAACGCAGCGTTCCTCAAGAGTATAGAAGACAGGAACAGCGACGACGAGTGGGATTTCGCCGAGAATTTTGCAGATGGAACTCCCGACAGCGCGGACAGCGATAGTCAAAGTCAGAGCCAGGGGCAGGATATGTCAGCAGCAGAACAATCGATCCCGAACAGTCAACCTACGAACGGGGATCGCAAACGCACACACGCGGATGATCACGTAGCACGCCCGCCCCCGAACGCGCGGCGTACTAGAGGAGGCGTTCGTCCCTCATCAATCACCGATGTCCGCAGGGAATTATCTGACTTACTTGACGAACCCAACGGTTCTGCCATGTCGATCATCCCCGCCACAGAAATAGGATCTGATGGTGAGGACGAGGAGCGTCCGACCACTTCTTCATCTAACAAAGAGAACCGACGCTCAGAAGTCGCAGTCGTCGATCGCATCAAGCTCAAGCGTGATTCATCATCCCTATCTACAACTAGCAACGGTGGAGCGGGCTCATCACGGCTCGCATTCGCAGCTCCGTCAGCATCAGGTAGCAGTGGTCTATTCAAAGTGCCAGCGCTACTAAGACGAGCGACAACGAATTCGCTCATCTCAAATTCCTCGACTAGCACGACGAGCAGTAGCAGTGCCCCCACGGCTGCTGCCAGTCTAGCGGGAGGAGATGATGGTAAGCTCCTGAAGAAGACAGCAGGTAAGCGCTCTGGCATTAACTACTTTGCGCGAGAGAATGAGCGTCGGGCTGCAGTAGCAGAGGCTGAGAAGAGGCGTGAGGCGAAGAAATGGAAGGGTGTTGAGGGCAGGAGTAAAGTCGTTGGTGGATTGTTCGGTGGTGGAAAATTCGAGTAAGCAGAGTGGTTTTACATTCATGGGGCGTTACATGAGGAAGCTTTTTAGGGGATAGGGGATAGGTTGCATGGCGTTGGCGTCTAGGGTCGCTCGTTAGGTTAGGAGCGCGACCGGATTGATATGACGATGCGTACGTGCTTTCCTATATTGACTTAGGATGTCATGTTAGTGAAATATATCTAACACGATTAATCATGAGAATGTCCCTTTTTGTGCTTTATTCTTACGTCCACATTGTTCCCTATGTTTAAAACTTCTTTTAGTTACCTATACTACCTGTACTACTATACTAGGAATGAAATTATAAAAAGGGGGGAGACTTTAATATTTAGGAACCTTAGGTAAGCATAATTAGTATCGTTTGCCGAAGTTTGACCGTTACGTCATTACGGTAACCTCGCATTTCTTTACTTTATCATCGCAGTTGCCGTTGAAACAACTCTCAAGATTTCATATGAAATTCAACTGGACAATGTATAATAATATGACTTTCCCATGAATTATTTAACCTCGAATATCTAAGACAAATCTCTACCAATGATGGAAAGTCTACCGTCTAAAAATATTGAGTCCCTCATTCGTATAGAGGGGCTACGCTACGCCGATTTAATATTAATGAGGATGTCTCGAGGGTTTATCGACTAACTATTTGTCTGATTGATCATGGCACCACCGCCGGCTGTAAGTTCTGAGCTAGAAAGATGGTTATATGACAATTTACTAAAATACACTAGACCCCAACACCTCATCGATTCTTGGTGCCGAAGAGGTCGCAGCCTAGGAATGAGACACCTAAATCATATCAGAGTGGCGGACAGCAATTCCATGCCACGCCGCGGTTCTCACTTTATTCGACTCCTAGAGGACAAGGAACAGGAGGCGAAGGTTCATCGCTTCGCCCGTCTTCCAGTATTCCCACACCCGTTGCCGCTTCCGCTAGGACCGGAGCCGGGACTTATTATCGGCCTACTCCTCGCACTACTGATCCTATCAACGATATCTTTGATAGCTCACCACCTTTTCCTGGAGAGCAGCAACCAGGAGTCGGTAGTGGCGGTAATCATCGCGACCCCATTGAAGTCCTTGACGTAGACGTAGATGTAGACACAGACGTTGATGCTGTGCCGGAGTCCTCACCGGTACGAGAATTCAACGACACCCATGACGAAAGCAGTGAAGACGAGGATGATATACCAAGCCGGTCTCCCAAACGCCGGCGCATTTCCATATCCTCCAATTTCAGCAGTAATACCCACGACTCCGCACAGCACGATGACGATAATGATAACGATAGTAACTGCGACTATAATAACAACAACGACGACAACAACGAAAATGAAGACACCATCATGCTTGAGTATCCACCATCTTCTCCATCCGTTCACGACCCAGCAGATTCCGATGCTCTAGGACCCTCCCTTCCTAGACCTTCTACCTCCGCCCAACAACCCACCTTCCAGAAAGCACCACGCTTCAAACCCATCGAGGCACCGGAAGGCGGGCTCCGCTACGGGGACCCACTCCCCGATGCCTTCTCGCCGCCACGCCGCCGGGGCGCGAAGTACATACCCGGCGGCCTGGCGGCCTCGGTGCGCGACTGGTTCGTCGACGTATGGGCCGGCGCGGCGCAGAAGCGCGACGGAGAGGGAGAGTGGATTGCTCGGATCTTGGTGGATGGGGTACAGGGGTCGGCGGGCATGACGCTGGTCACCGGGCGGTATGTTGCGCGGGAAGATGGCGAGCCGAGTGTAGCTGACGAAAGGGATACGAGAAATGCGAGGGTTGTGCTGGCAGGGAGTCAGAAGCTGGTGGGGTTAGAAAGGGGGCTGGAGGCGCGGCCTGGCTCGGTGGTGGGTGTGGGAAGACCGAATTGGGAGATCGTGGTACCGGGACTGGGGCGCTGGGGTGTGGTTTGTGAATGGGCTGTTTTGAGGTGAGGTTTTGAAGACTTAGGTTAGGGCATGGCTTATGTGCTAGGGTTAGAATTTTCTGTGAACACGATCTAATGCTATTGAATCCGGCTAAGTACCATTTCATGGTGGCTGTCCTATGGTGACGGCGGGATGTTATAACTACTAAATCTACGATATAACCCCAACATATAATGAATCGGTAGGCATATTCCATCCCGTATATCGTAAAATAAGCTATTTAGAAAGGGTTAAGCTAGCACGTCTTTGTTCCACTAGAGACAATATGCCAAAGGAGAATGACTCCCTGTCGTTACACCAATAAACTACCTACTTACTCAGTGCCTGTTAGACTTGTAAAACGATGGAACACCGATAGGAGGTGGACAATTCCTTTATCAGTCAACAATATTCTATAGTATTATATAAATTAATGCATTATTCCTTTCAAGATACATTTAAATTTGATATATAAAGAGACCGTGCCATAACCTCGTTTTCAAAGGCAAAGTAATAATAGGTTGTTCATATGTTGTGGTCGAGACCATGTATTATGTGGTCAAACAATCGGATTGTTTTCAGTATAACTTTGTAGTAGCTGAATTACACATATAGTCATGATATATCATTTTGATATAAATATGCAGGTAATTATCTATGCTAAAGTATAATAGATATTTTATTTATAAATCAGCATCTCAACCGTAATTTACGTGCCTGGTCCTATCATTGCCGCATTCGCGAACACACCACTTAAGTATCAACTTGAATCTTGAACTGCTTAATTTATCACACTACGATTTATCACCGTCTCTATCGAAAATGTCTTCTCTCAGTATCCCCCAACTGCCGTATTTCGTCTCTGAGAAGCAGCTGCCTGCTCCTCTCCCCGACCCCGAATCCCTTCGGGAAGATCAACATCCACTCGATATTCTTAGAGGCGTTCGCATCGGTAATCATTACGTAGCCAGGTATGGGCTCGACCCAGTCGCCGGCCCCCTCGAGGCCATAAATATGCTCATTGTTAGCAAATATACAAAGGTCCCCATCCCGACTTTGTATGCAGCCTATTGGCACGAGCACCACGGCATCTGGAGCTTTGTTATGGTAACGGAATACGTTCCTGGACACACCATCAGGGAGCACGCCGGCAACGACGTAGACCTCCTGAAGATGCTAGTCCCTTCCATCACCGAGCAGCTTCGCCACGCCCTCTCGCAGCTGCGGGAGATCCCGCACGCGGGTTTCTTCGGCCCTGCAAGCGAAGATCCGGCGCTGCGTTCCAAGCAGTTCAAGTCTGTGATCGAGATGCGGAACTCGCGTTTCGACGAGTACATCCCGGAGTATCGTGGCGAGCCTGACGACCTGTCGAGGCAATACATGAAGACGCGGGCGGCTGCGAGAAAGCAGTTTTCCATGGGCCTGTCTACGGGCGACGAGCCGGTATTCACTCACGGTAGACTGGACATGTGGGCGATCAAGGTGCGGCCGGATGGCAACATCTGCATTACTAGGTGGGGCTCTGCTGGGTTCTATCCGCCAGAGTTTGAGTACATGCGAGCTGAGAGCATGGGCGAGGGTTGCGAGGTATGGAGAGACATCCTGGCTGCTTTCCCCGAGAACAGCTCTGACGAGCGGTACGACTTGATCGAGAATATATTCCATGAGTATGAGGAGATGATGGAGATTAAGCATGAGCTTCTGCTGGAGGATCTTGATGAAGAGGGGTTGGCTTGTTAAATTCAGCTATACCTTACGCGATGTGGTGATGATGATAACTTCGTTAACGTCTAGTGGGCGTATATATGCCACCTAGAATGCCTCCTTCGGTGGAGATAAACTTAGGGCTTCCCATAGCATAAAAAGCCCTCCGTTTCCTGCCCTCTGTCTTATTCAGGGGGACGAACGAGGCTACTCGGACGTCAGAAATTGTATGAACGCTATTAGACTAGCCTAGTGGCATTCTCTATGAACTTCGTACTGATTATTACGCGATAAATTAACCCAATATCGCAAAATAATGATGATAGGGGTGTGAGATAGATAAAAGAATATTAATAAATAGGTGGTTCATGCCCCAATCTTTTTTAATCCTCCCAACGAGATATTCTGATTTTACTTATATTCCCCCCTTTTCTTTTGCTTCCCCCCTTATCTCAGTTAACTGCCTAACCCTTTACGTGAAATTTCATGTACCTCTTTTGAATAATTAGGACTAACGAAAATATTTTAACTTTTGTTTATATCCAAACTATAATCATCTACTTCAGCGGTCAATTTATACCATCCACTTCAGGATTTATGTGAGACCCAGACAAATACTGTGTTTATAAATAAGGAAACAATTTATCGTGTCTTTTAATGCAGCTTTGATAAATTATTACATCCTGGAGGAATCAATGGTTAGGACCCTAAGATAGCTATGGTCTCAATAACTCACTCCAAAAACTGCCTAATATATGGTCTAATTACCTCTCTTAGGTATTATTGGTAGTACAACAAGGGCTTACCAAATGCTGCAAAGTTACAGCCTAGGACCGTAGCACCAAGCCCCAAACCTAATGCGTTAAACATGTATAGTGCAAATAGGGGAAGGAATGTAGCCCCCCGCTATAGTAATCCCACTAGGATAGGTCCTTCTCTTTGCGGGTGGCATTAACCTTTTGACTAATTCTTGCTTGACATAATCTGAATACTTTTAGGTAAGGACCTACCTTCCTCTGGCTATTATCTTGTACTCTTATTTCTCATGTCTTCTTGCTGAAACATCTAATTCCTTGCATACTTCCATTTCTTTCCACTTTTCGTCCGTTGAATCCGTTACAGGTATGTTGACGTTCTTTTCGACGCAGACGAATCCATTCGCTTCGTATAACGGTTGCTTATACGAAGTTGAATCTAGAAAGATGTCTACTCCCGTGTCATCTGCCTTCTTCATACTGCAATCCATAATCTGCTGCCCGATATCCTTACGACGATAGTTAGGGTGAGTGAATATTATAAAGAGATCTTATGTGAGCTATACCTGGCCAATGGCAGATATCAATACTTACAGACGTGAGATGCCTGTGCTCTCTGAGACCTAGGTCTATTATAGTTCACAAGTGCTTTCTCCGCGAAGGAACGGGTCCCGTCATTGGGGAACCAGGTGACTTCTGAAGCATCAAGACTAGCAAATGGGGTTTCCTTGTGGATATTCCAAAGAGCGCCTCCTGCTATCTTGCCAGTTTCAGCATCAACAATCCTATTCTAATAACTAGAGAGGTTATGAATATGCTAATATTTAAGTCTTGCTATAGCCTCCTCGATAACCTCCCGAGTTGCTGGTTGAAAAGGACACGGGTACTAAACTTGAAATAAAGAACAGCATGGAATGGAGAGAGGTGCAGCGAAAAATAATACGTTCATTAAAATATGGGCTCGGATTTGATACGTGGACTATGATGTGAGTTGATGATAGATATAATTGCTAACAGCTTTAATTAGGTATGGTACTTTTTGTGGTATTCCCCTATTTCTGAATAGAGATTTCCATGTGGAAAAGTACTGATACCAATCAGTCATTAGATATAAGCGCTCTGACCAGTTCATGCAGCCCAAAGCATTATATAGATATACCCAAGTACCTAGGTAGGCATATATATACCTAATATATACCTAATATATAAGGTATATAATTGCTACCCTACGAAGTCCATTGCTGCCCCTCATCGAATTCAATCGCATCTTTAAGGCCTCTACAGAACTTGGACAGAAACTTCCCCTTTCCTCTCGAACAAGCACTAAAACAACCTAAAATTTAAAGGAAATGGATCCTCTGAGCGCATTTTCTCTCGCCACCGGGGTCGTTCAATTCATCGACTTTACGAGCAGGCTTTTAGCTGATACTATCAAGGTCTACAAATCTGCAACAGGTCAATCATCGACGACTGTGGAGCTTTCACGAATCGCACAAGATTTACGGCATCACGTCAACCATATTACGAACAAAGCAAATATCCTAAGTTCTACTATCGAGGATGACACGAAAATTCGTGTAACACAGATCTGCACAGAGTGTAGTGATTTCTGCACTGAGCTTGAAAAGCTCTCGAGAAACTACGAGCTACTGGCCAGACTAGGCTAGAGATTGCCCAGTCTAGTCTCAAGGTTGTGCTAAGAGGGCTATGGACGAAGGATGAAGTTGATAACTTAATCCGCCGACTGTCATATATTCGGAGGAATATGATGGATATTATCACAATCGGTGTGTGGAAGGATGGGCAACGGGCCTCGGCTGATATCCGCCAGCTCATCGGGCAGCAAAATGAGATATTAACGATGCTCAGTCACATTGACAAGGCAACAATAGACTCCAGACAAGAGCTCATCGATATAAACGAAAGCGATAATATGGCAATGTCACAAATTAGCCATCAACAAGCCATTGCATGGGCTAAGATTTGGTTACCACGTTCGAGTTACCAAGCAGATGCTTCACTAGACAAGGAAGATGTAGACATATGTGAGAGCATACTCAACAGCCTCCTATTTAAGACTTTAACCTCCCGAGAAGGAGCGATTGTAAAGGCATATAAGAAGACATTTCGGTGGGTATTTGAGGATCCTAGAGCGGACACACAGGGCAAAGCCATGTGGTCTAACTTTAAAACTTGGCTTCAGGACGACTCTCATTCTATGTATTGGGTCGTTGGCAAGCCTGGTTCGGGGAAGTCAACACTTATGAAGTACATTCTCAACAACGGGTTGTTGAAAACGCACCTCAATACTTGGGCTGGTAAACGGAAGCTTCTGTTAGGAGGCTTTTATTTTTGGAATGCTGGAACGACGGAGCAGAAATCACACGAAGGGCTCCTTAAAACCCTCTTGTTTGAATGCTTATCGAAAAGTCCTGAACTTTTTAGTCGTGTTACCCCCAAGAGGTGGGCTTTCCAAAAAATATTCTACAACCCTCAGGAGTCTACCAACCCCCCTTGGTCCCTAGCCGAACTACAAGAAGCATTCACCATTCTCGCATCAGATGCGGGAGAATCCTACGTGGTAGCTCTATTTATTGATGGATTGGACGAATTTTCTGGAGACCACCAACAACTTCTCACCTTTCTTGATGCCATTCATCAGCATGGAAGAGGATGGGTGAAGATTTGCACCAGTGGCCGCCCTTGGAATGTCTTTCTAGACTACTTTAGGGATGCTCCTCAACTTAGGCTTCAAGATTTGACGAAAATGGATATCGAATGCTACATAAGAAGCAACTTTAAATCTCATATTGGCTTCGAAGAACTCAGAGTAGCATATGGGCTCGAATCGGAACGTCTAATGTACTCTATCGCTGAGAAGGCTCATGGTGTCTTCTTGTGGGTATCTATAGTAGTCCGATCGCTTCTCGAAACACTCACAGATGGTAGTTCTATAGCTGAGCTTCAGATAATCATCGATCAACTACCAGAAAACCTCTCTGATTTATATCTAAAAATATTTCAGAGCATCCCATCCAAGTATAAACAAGACTGTTCTTGTTTTTTGCAAATCAAAGAACGCTGTGTTGATACACTTACTGTGGATAAACTCTGGTTAGCTGACAATAAAGACGTGTTAACAAGTCAGCAAAATGAGCATATAAATCTTTTAATGCGCCGAAAAGTAAGCAGTCGAACGAAAGGCTTACTTGAGGTCTCAAGCGACGGTATTATTGATTATTTACATCGTACAACACATGACTGGGTAGTTAATAACTTAAGTGATATCACTGCTACTGGACCTGCGGATTTCGATGTCTACGCAACCCTACTCAAGGTTCAAGTTATGATGCTGAATAAGACATCCTTCGAAGGACTGGATGGTAAAATATTCAGCACTTTCTTGATTTACGGCTCTCGTATTAGCAAGTACAACCATAATCGGGAGCTTGTGCACAATGTCGTTGAGTGGCTAGTTGGTAACAAGAGGGCGATTTACCGTTTTCTAACCGATCGCTCACAGTCACCATATATGGCGATCAAAGAACATTTATATATCACTTTTTCATCGCCTAATATTGATGTTATTTTAGCAGCTCAGTTCTGCATTGTCGACTATGTACGAGAGAGGGTTGCACTAAACCCTTCAATATTGAATCATAAGAGCAAGGAGCTATCGATCCTGGAGGCTGTAATATTAGGATGTATACCTTATTTTTTGGATTTCGACATTCCTATAGCTGACTGCTGGGATGATATTGTCTTGCAACAAAGAGTGGAACTCGCCACTTTCTTCTCGATAGTGGTGCCGATCCTAAGCAACCTATGAGTATAGGCACCCGCATGATTGACGAGGTCAAGAATTTCGATATGCGGGTGGCACCCTTGGATGATGGACGGCTATATTCAGATACTATTCGAGTGCTCTTGGAGGATGTGAAATATTCTTCTCAGAAACGCAATGTATCGCAGTCGATTCAGCCTCAGCCAACCCCACCCAAAGAGGAATTGAGACATAGGTTCTTTGGGAGGATCAAAAGGCGGTTCAAGGCTCACGACTGACACAATATGGTCGCTAGGCACTGGCTAAAATACCTGTGCCACACTTGAAAGTCTCATCAATACTTCTCGACTTCGTTTTTGGTTTCAAGGACAACGCAAATAATAGAAAAGAAACATATCATCATCTCTTTGTTATACAATATAAACATTTCCAATATCTTTTCACATATATCAACATATAATTGTAGGGTTTAATTACCTACCTAGGTTTCAAAACTTACACCATAAACTCCGCTATTGCTGCTTAAGGCACACTTATTTTGGCCAGTGCTTGGTTGTGTAGCTATTGTCTTCATTCGGATTTAGAGTAGAAAACATATTTAGAGGTGATGTAGTATATTAACTCAACTCAAATTATCTATGCTGCCCAGTATCCTATACACTCAGCAGTAGTAATAGCCCATGCAGATTAATTCATAGGACAGGTAGATTACCAATGTAAATGTACTAATGCTATGCTAACTCCCAAAAAAAACCTATCAATCATAGCCCGGGCAATGAGTAATTTAACAACAGTCTAACCTAGCTAGGTGCCTGATCTCGTAGAGGTGCAACATCAATTTGGCCGACCGTCTATGATGCATTATTCGTAACATTTCCGTGCAGCATATGCGCGTAAGGAATGAGACAGAAGAAGAGGTCCGTGATATATCCGTACTCCGTGCCGAAAAAAAAAATGCTAGTTCTCAATTAACTAGAAAACCACTTATCACCGTTTGTATTTCTGTAATTTTGTTAGCATATAAAATAACGTAGGAATGACTAGGTGTTGTAGGCTTACCTCCTCTACCCTTCTCCTATTCTGAGGGTCCAATGCATTCGTAGCTCCCATAAGAGTCTGCCCGATTGCCTTACTTGAACCGATAAGGGGTCTAAAAACGATTGTTGGCGCTCGTCTGAGAATGGCCTTAGCCGCTCCTTGAGCGCTTTGGCTCTCCATCACCTCGGCGGGGACTGCTATAATTGCATCTCTCGTCATATTGAGATCGCGTCTTAGACTTGCATATGCGCCTCTCATTCCTTGGAGAACCCCTGTCGGTTGATCGGCATAGAGGCTAATCTGTTTGGGTTCTTCCGCATCTGCTTCTTCGTCATCCCATCCCGCGACTTGGTGAGGCTGTGGCTGCTTGACTAGCATACCCTCCGCACCTTGTAGAGCATACTGCGTACCAACAGCCAACTTGGCTCCGAGTTTAACTATCTCCGTACCTGTTGTCTTGGCGAATGCCATGGCCCCTTTGCTAATGCTGCGGACTATTCTGCCGTCTTTTTTGTACTCCCTGATTGGTACCTCGATGAGATCTTTAAATCCGCTCCCGACATTGACTAAAGAACGGACAGGCGCAAGTCCCGCGAGCACGCCGGGAAGCTGATTCCTTTTGACATCAGGCATCCATATGTCGTTCAGCGTCTTTCCGAGTCTATCGAACCCTAAAACGCCGTATATAATAGTATGTCTTAAGACCATCCGTGATTGATCTAAGACTAGGAAATTCATGAATTCAGTCGTATGACCCGATCGTAGGCCTGCGTAATCGACACGCTTTGGCTTAAAATCAAGATTTAACGGTATCGAGTTTATCTCGGCTCTTTGTACAAAGGGAACATCGCTAGGCGAGGCGTGAATTGGAGTAGAATCGTCCTTAAACTCGAAAAACCGTGTGATGAAATCTAAAGCATCCTGGTCAACATGGAGGCGAAGTGGTAGAACTGTAGCCTTCAACACAATCTCAGATGCCGCCAAATCCGCAACTGGTTTGACGTTCAATATTTCCAGGTGAACCATGCTAGTACCCATCTCCCGTTCTCCGGCATCTTGATCGTAAGTTGCGAACTTCTTCCAGGTAGACGTCGGCACGAGGTCAAAAACATCGAGATCTCGGATTCGAACATCAATTGAGCTCTGCGTCTCGCCAGAACTAGGGGGGAATGTGACTAGGTCTAAGTTAATACCCTTCAACTCGAAGGTGATCTTATGTCGTTTGCTGCGATTAAGTTTGAGCTTTCTTTTATTCGATAAGCGTTGCCCTGTCGGCTAGGTGTAGCAGTCATCAATGTCGTTGCAATTGACTCGGTCTCGGTGGCAGCGTCATTCAACTCTTGATTGATAGCATGCGTGAGATCCCGAGGATCTCGGTTTGCAGGAATACCTATGTATATCGAGTTGAACAGAAAGTCTCCGATCTCAGTTTCTTCTTCTATTAACTCCATATCGGTGTTCGCGCGAGCACGATCGTGACGCGATTGCCGCTCGATTGCTGTAGACTCGATATTATGCACAACCTTTGAAATGACTTCACGGGTACGGTTCCAATCATAGCCGTCAAAAAGGTTCCATATGACATGGACGTCACGTACACGGACGGATAGAGGGCTACGTTGAATCTTCTCATCGTTGGTTTCGTCGTATGCATTTTTTGCCGAGTTCCAACGATGAGCAGTACCTTGTATCACGGATCCTGAACCAAAATAGTTCTCATGTATGACCAGATCATCGTCATCATCCATCATATCTGGCTGGCTGCTGAAATTTGTGAGTAGAACACCGTCGGTTGTATCTTGTGTTCCCATCCCATCCGAGATCATGGAGCCTGTTGCCTCAAAAAGCTTGGCCTCAACTGAAGACTCATCATAAAAGCGCGAGTCGACAGCGAGAGGACTTGACTGGCCGGAATCTCCAAAGCCAAAATCGCTATCAGTTTCGTCAAGTTCTTGAGCTAATCCAAAGTCTTTGTCGAAATCATAGTCGCCTTCGGCCTTACCAAACGCATCGGCAGATATAGAAGCGAGTAAATCTTCGACGGGTACAACTTTTGTTTTATATTTCTCTTTGCTGGGGGGTGTCGGAGGGGCCAGTGCATTAGCAAGAGCAATCAGAGTTTGGGTAGAGTCTGCGCATGTCTCAAGGACAAGAAGATCATCTCGTAATTCAACGTCAACCCATTTATTTCCATCTTTCTGGTTGGCGCCGACTTGAATCGCGACCCTTGCCGAAGAAATATAGCAGATATCAACATATCCCCGTTGACATAACTCTACCACTTGCGGAGAGGGGGCGTTTGAGCTACGTCGTCGAGTAGACGATGTTGAATCCTTGGATTCCAGTATCGAAACGTCATCGATAAGAAGAATAGATGCCTTATTCAGATGGCCCAGAGCTTTTGCATCGTCCCCATTAGACAAAGCGATTTCAAAGTGAGCATCAGTTAATACAATTGTCATCTTCGACTTTAGTCCGAGCGGATTTAACCCTAGTAAACAATCTCTGAAGACAAAGTCTACTTTCGTCGGCTTTCCATCTTTACCCTTGCTCTCGCTTGAAGCTGGCAAGCGGTTTTGCGGCTTTCCGGTGATAGCTGCATGTGCGTGTTCACCTAGGTTTGCTACTGAGGCTGCTAGACTTGCCTCAAAATCCTGGGGGTGGTATCTTCAGCAAGGCCGAGGATATCCATAATGGTTGGTACACGATACTCGATATTGATATTCCGCATTCTGATCTTGACAACGGGCTCCATCTCATCCCCAATCACCCTCATGGTTAAGATAGGTCCGTGACCTACTTTGTCGAAAGAGGATGCGGTTGTGCCGACTAATTCCTCCGTGTGGTTCCGGATAATTGAAATAGAGCCTACCCCAAGAGCGATCAAAGAGGGAATAGTAATATGGCCCATTTCCGCGTCCTTTAGAGAAGCTTGTATGGAGCCGAATTTCCTATCAATATCCACTGTCACATCTAGGTTACGGACAAGAGCTAGAGTGAGTATACCTGGCCGGTCATCTTCGGGTAAGTACTTAGCGACAGTAGAGAGTCGCGCAATCTCTTCACCTAGTGTAGGTAATACTTCAAGTTGCTGGAGCTTGCTGACATTAACTTCAATGTCATCTACATTGACGCGTAATACAGCGCCTTTCCTCCTCTGTCGAAGTAGAGTGTCTACCATGATTTCATCGTCGTTTTGGTCGAATTTATACTTGGACGGTATGATGAGCTCTAAGAGTCTTTCTAGGTCATTGTCTTTTGGTGTCATGAGATACTCGAGGCGAGTATTCGTAACCACGGCATTGATAGGAGGGTCGCCCATGGAACGTCTCATGTATGGGCCTGCAAGGTGTATCTTGGAGATACCAATACCGATTCCTTCTTCTCGACTAACCAGCTTTATAGCGCTCGTGTCTAGGGCTACGCTACACTCCTTTCCGACGATATCTAAACGGAAACCGCCTAGTCTCATGTTCATTTTATTCTCGGAGCTTGCGGATATGTCGTCTGGACGTATAGGCGCATCAAATCTTACCCCGCGAGCTTTTGGTGGTGGCTTTACAGGAATCCGAGGAGTAGGAGGGGAACTTGAAGTCATCGATGAACTCATATTCAAGAAACCACTCAAGCCTCCGAACCAACTAAACGTCTCATCTAGTCGCTGAAGGTCTATTTTGACATGAAGTGGCAGGGTAGTGACCTCGCATTTTGTCGCTGTAGGCGATTGACTAAGTTTAACGGATATATCGGCACCAGCGGGAGGAAATGCATCATTCACGGAGGCCCGCATTTGTATGCGTTGATCGAAGGAGATGATATCGTCGTTTCCATATCCGAGCTTGAACTTACCTACATCTACTGAGGTCTTAACTGAGGTCGATGAGCCTGAAAGATCCACGTTCAAGTTCTCGATAGCCACAGTAAGAAGAGCGTCGGCGCTGAATGAAGCAGGGTCAGGGTTGAACAATCGATCAGGGGTATCTGTGACTCCGGCTAGATTCTCTAGGAAGTGGATAGTAATCTGTTCTGTGATAATTTTTATGTCAGGCCTGAGCGACGTCTCATTTTTGCCTTCAGCTTTTCCCTTCTGCTTAGAAGGGGGGGCTGGAGGCTGCTCTCTCAAAGCCGCAAGTATCCGCGATACTACCTTGGACAACAAGAACCCAGTTGAAAGGTCGGAACGTATGTCTAGGGATGATATTATCACCTCCAACGTTTTGTCTAAGGGTGCTTTAGGGGGCTGTACGCCAATGGTCGAGGCTATCGACGCCGTTGACTGATCACCTGAATAGATAGAGAAAGCTCCTGGGAGATTTGGAGAAATAGATCGGTCAAAGTGACGCCGGGTCGCCCCAGAAGCTAGTTCCTCGCCAGCATATGTTACCTGTACATGTTGATGACTTGAAGGAATGTAAAGTGAGATGGCACTCAATGAAACAAGCTCTTTGATTAATCTTGGCCCTTTCGGTGTTGCGACCTCCTCCGACTCTGGGTGGTGGTGTGGGTCGTCATATGATTGTTTTGCTTCCTCGAGATTGTCGACTACGGAGTTAGGATCCAGCTCAGTTTCTATAATGAATCTTTACTTGGCGGGAAAAATGCGACTGGTTGTGGGAGACTGTTGAAATGTGGGGATTGCGGGTTCTAGGGAATGTGAAGGCGGTGATCGGATCCTGCGCTTCGAGTTTGGCGAGTTTTCTACGCTTGAGGAATCCGAATCCCAACCACCAGGCATAGTCTGGACAGCCCGGCCCGGTTGAGAAGATGAAGCCTGGGAGAAGGCACTCATATACATGCTCTCAGCTTCCTCATGGCTGAATAGATGGGATTGGGCCAAGTCTTCACTTAAAGAAGCTATCCTATCGCTTTCACCTGAATAATGGGTACGGTCTTCAATGCTTCCTGACGATTCGATGGAATCTGGCCCATTTCCTGCATGCTCTAGGGCTGGTTCAGACTGTACAATGCGTGCCGAAGAAGACCAATGGTCTGGTGGCGCATTATGAGATGATCGAGCTGAATGTATAGAAGAAACCGACTTTGGCTCGTCCTCTTGTAAGATTTGGGGCGCAAGAGCTCGCGGTGTTGATGGCGCAGATGCTGATTCTTCATCATGCCCATCGTTTGATCCACTCAGGTCATACGGTATATTAAAAGCGTCTTCAGCATCCATCAGTGGATGCCGATGCCCACGTTGTTCAAGGTCGTCAGCGTCAGAGCGTAATTCCGGTGTAACCATCGGCCTCGAAATAGACTCCCCAGACACACTCTGTTGCTGAGTGACAGCCGGCGAATCAGTTGCGACAGAGGAGGGTATTGATGGTGATCGTGCCAGAGTTGAGAAGACGTTCGCTTCGGAGATCAAGCTCGCTCGAATCTTATTTAAACCCACGTATCGCTTTCCTTCCTTATAGGTAATTTTGGACTGCCCCTCCTTCGTGGTCTCATCTGCTGCTGTCGTGACCCCCTCTACATTAACTTCATCGACTGCTAGCTGGAAAGTAACTAATTCGGAAACGGGCGTATTGGGTTCAGGTGGAACTTCGATGTCTAGGTGAAAGGTGACACCTTTAATAGAGACCTGTAGCCAATCAAGTATACCTTGCAGGAAATCTGCGAGGAATGTGGGAAGGGAAAGAGGTTGACCAGTTCCGAGCGAGTAGTCCTCATCACTTCCATCCTCACTACTTAGTATGGAAGCACCAAGATCCTGAGTTTCGGCTTGGAGCGCAGCTTGAAGTTCTGCCTTATCTTTCGATGGCTGCGTCTCCAAAAACGACTGTGCAAGGTCGATAGCATGCGGGACAGGATCACCGTCCTCAGATGATGCTGAACCCTTTTTCCTATGCGCAGCACCTTTCGGCGCCTTTTTAAGGCTATCGTCTCGGGAAGTAAGCCTGAGCTTTATCTCGACACCGTCAATTTCGACAGTGATAGGATTCGCATATATAGCAGAGGTATGGTGATTCGGAGCAATAGGACCTTAGCTTTCTGTATCTCAAACGACGGTGGAAGCTGTAGTAACTGTTCTAATTTCTATATTCAGATATGTTAGCTCTACATACTAGAATATTTAAAAATGCTACGATATTGAACATTAGGACATGCCTGAAGCTTAATCTCGACATTTTGCAATGTGAAGACGTTGTTCTTCCCCATGGCAAGGTCTAAGTTGTCCATGTCCAAGGCATCGGTATCGAGGTAATCTAGCTTCGATAGCGTGTATCGGAGCAGCCGCTTGGGCATATTAGAGCTCAAGAAGGAGTTGAAGAACGCCATGTTAATAGGGTTGACGATGTCGGAACTACGAAAATTGAGCTAATACTAGAAGATGAGGCCGATGAGGCCTTCACCGACGCGTAGATCGCGTGTGGGGGTGTTGAAATGGAGTATCACGATATCCCACGACTTGGGATGCGGGGTGGTAGTTCATCGTTGGCGGGCACTGACGGCGTGGTCCAGTAACCATTAGATAGGAATATGCTTAGATAGAAGGATGAAGGTGTTGTATGTATTAGGATGAAGATGACTCTCGAGAAGCATGTCCTAACGACGATGCAGCTAAAAAGATATGCTGAGGATGTGACTGTTAATCTGGTTTGAGTCTGGGATGTAGAGTGAAAGTTGATGGGGAAGGGGGATGGGTGTATGTACTAGCAGCACTGACATAAGGTGCATGTGTTAGGTAGTGGACCTAATGTAGCAGAGGTAGGTACTAGGGGCAGTAGGTCTACTACCAGGCAGGTATGTACATGTACTACTACCTTAGGTAAGGTAATAGACTTATTTCAAGTCACTTTCAAGGATGAGGTGCAGCACGCAGCAGAGTGTGTCATTTGATCCGCTTTATTCAGTATACCTCTAATCAATTTCACTATCGATTACCACGATAACAGCACCATTGCGCTAAATCACGACGTATCAATGGCCCCCTGATATCCCCCAGCTGCAATGTGACTTACTAGAATGCTATCTAATGGATGTGGGGGTGTATTAGGCAGCTGACCCCGTCTTCAATATTCTAATACATGTCCTAAATAAATTCGTCATTTGTACCGTGCCTGTATCGTCTGTTTCGCCTCGTTTTAACTAGGATGTAGGCATCAATGACTTACACAATAGATACCGAATTATTCATTGTCCAACTATAATTCCATAAAATATTTAAAAATAGGTATACAAAATTTGTGTATTTTATTTTAATATAGGAATGAGCTATAACAATAACAGCTATGTGTATATACTTGACTAATTGCTTTGATAGCTAGGTACCTAACATTGAAGATAAGCTGAATAAAGCTGAGCCTTAAGGGTTCTCTTGGCAATTAAGTAGCTCAAGCCACCCCATTCCAATTTAAGTTGAGGAATCTACGAGTTCTAATTATTTAACGAGCACACTCCCATCAATTTAGAATGCGTAGTGGTTACGAAATTGTCTGATATTTTAGTTTGAAACGTAGCACAGTGATCGTATAAACGTTGGTTAGGTATTCATTCGTTTCATTTCTGTTCAGAACCTTTAACTTTTGATGATTCCCTATCGAATCCCATAATTTACACACACTAGGCGGGCAGATTCATAATGTATGGTAATGTTCATATCCTTTTCTGCCAGACAATCCTTGTTCATTCTTCGTAGGTATTGTTGCGTGGACCTTTACATGAATGGTGGAAGCTTGATGGGGTAACCGCCATTCTTAACCCGAAAGACAGAGAGCAGGAAGCTGTACATAAGGACCAGAATAACACCCCAGACAATAACCATAAGTTGCTGGATCTTCGGGTCTCGAGTTCTCGGTGCTTTGACAGCTAAGGAGATTGTAGCAAAAGACAATACACCATCTGGTTACGTTAGCAAGTCGACCGCAATGCCAAGTCAACATACTCCGCAATACTTACATATGAAAGCGACGATTTGTGTCTCGAGTCCAAATTGGCTTTGGAATCCAGCAGCGAAGTAGTTGATGCCACCACGTCCATCGCCGGCGACGTATGGTACTTTTCGAATCTGGTTGAACATGTGACCACTGGTGAACATAAGAATGCCAATCAAGCTTAGGCCCGCCCAGACGTTTCGATTTTGAATAACGGGTAATATATACGGCCAAGCCTTGAAAACAACGCCAATAACGCCTAGGCTACTGACGATTGTTACAATCCACCCAATGTAATTAATTGGCCGGCTCACCGGGGTGAGGGCGATCGGGGAGATGGCGGGCAAGCCATTCATGAACTTTCTCGGCAGTTTGAGGTCTATAAATATCTTAGAATGAAGTCGTCATATATTAGCGAAGTTACCTACCCAGTGAAATCGTAGCGAATAGCTTCGACAGTAGGGACAGCATGTGGACCAGTCGTAGGCTGGAAAAAGAGAAGCACAGGTGCTGATTGAAGGCCAAGCTATATTTGTGTAATGATTAGCCTCCGAAACTATATATGGTCGTTGCAAGGTCACATACAGATATAAAAGTATCCCTTCCGTTAGAGAAATCAAGAGTACCGAAAATCAGACGAGATTCGCCATCTTTATCACCCTTAGCCCAACTCTTTGCTAACACCTCCCATTCAGGTTGGAAGTCTGTGCAGAGCTGACAACCAAAGCGTGCATCTAAAGCAGTCAAAAGTACGGCAACCGAATAGTCCCGCGGAACCGATGTGAGCTTTTTGTAGGACGAGTCAGCAAGCTTCAATGGGGAGGAAGCTTGAGCTTTAGCATGAAAATCACTGAATCGATCGGCTGAGGATGATTGCTTGGCAGCAAGCGACCCGAAAGGAAGGGTGATCGAGAGGAGGAGAGATAGCCAGCGCATGTTGACGATATTCTGAAGAAGACCTCATAAAGGAGAGAGGGTCTGATTTTGAGAATGTCGTGCTCACAGACACTTAACGATAGAGAATAATGGCGACGTTATCAGATGCGCTAAGTCGCTAACAGCTTTGGAGTTCAAAAAGGTGTCCTCAATTGGAGTTTGAAGCTACTAAGATACGTACCTGATGTACATACACTCTGTTCCATCTAACAAATGCGAATCGATAAGGATGAGTTAGGTAATCAAATGCAGGGGCTGTGTATGTAAAACAGAAGCTGCATCGTTGAAGCTCAATATTGCTTTATTACGTACCTATGTACATGATTAGACGGGCTGTCAATAATTCATCCGGGCCGATGTAGACCCATACACTAAACCTATTTCAGCACTTTGTTGACTTCCGAAACTTTCCAGGTTGCCTACCAAACACGTTCGTTGCTCCTCTGCTCCTCCACTACGTAGTGCTGTCACCTCACCTCCTCTTTTGTATTCAAGATAGAACCCCCCCCTCATCAATGCTACATATATCCTCCAGGATATTAATGATTAGATCTTGCTAGGACATTGACTTAATCCTTTCTTCAAATTTGATTTTCTTTAAAGTCCAAAACGCGTCTACTTGAATGGGTAGACTCACCAAAGCTACAATGGGCCGCGAGGCAAAGTAAACATGGACGCTGACAAGGTATTCTAACACCCTAATTTCGAATATATCTCGGTCTTTGACTCTATTAATTATCCTACTTTGGTTCTAATTGTTGCTAACTTTAATTACTTCAATTAGGAGCGAGAACAACTTCACGACCTTGAGTTAAAGCACCAAATAAACAATGGCAATGCCGAACTCTTAGTCAAAGACGAGGATGTCCGTCGGTTGAGGGTCAGAATACTAATGCTACGGGACGAAAACACAACATTGCGTGATCAAATAGCCCATAACAACGATGCAAACACCAAACTCTCGGCCCAATGCAATGATCTAAGTGCTCAGATTGAAGCTAAAATGGACGTAATTCGCTCGCAGGAAAAGCAATTACGGAAACAAGAACGAGAGTACTTAAACTTGAAGGTAAAGAAATACACGAATTCCAATAATAAATTGATCCAGTACTAATCTTGCTCTGTAGGCCGAACTTCAAGCAATGAATAATGCAACACAAGATTCCGCCAATGTGCTCGCTGAGAAATTATCTCTAAGTCGCGAGTTAGCTGTTTTAAAACCCGAGATTGAACACCTCCGATCACAAGTAAATCACCAGCAAGCAACGCTGGCTGAAAAGTTGACGTTGGAGCGACAAGTTACTACTCTTGAGGTTGAACTTGCAAATGAAAAGAAGGCGACCAAGAGAGTAATGCAGAAACGCGAAAGCAACGACCGGGTTGAGGATGAGCTCCGCCAAAGGCTACGCGAAACAGAGAAAAAATTAACTGCTGAGAAGGCGGAGCGCGAGCGGCTTGAAGATCAGCTTGAGCAAGAAAAACGGACACATCAAATTTCCTTGCAGGAACAGGACAGTACTCGAGAGCTGGAAGCAGACCTTCGAAAGAAACTTCAGGAAGTCCAGAAACAACTAAGGCAAGAGAAAGATGATCGGGAAAGGCTAGAAGAAGAGCTGCAGGCTACTAAACATGCGGCAAAAAAGACACAGAAGAACAACTCAAAGAGCGATGTAGAGGATGAATTACGTTCCCGAGTTGAGGAACTTGAGGCAAATCTCGAGTCTCAACGGAAGGAGAGCGCCAGGATTCGCCGAGAGAGTCAGGAATTAGTGTCCGAAGCTAGTGCGCGAAGCGACCAGCTGGAAAAGAAGGTTGAAAAATTCAAGACGAAACTACGCGAGACTCAGGAACAACTCAAGCAATGCCAAGCGGACCTACGAAAGGCACAACAATCACGCCCTGTTCCTATAACCTCAGACGACACCACCAAAGTCAACGGGCGACCACAGGCTTTCCGTAAAAGGAAAGCCCAGGACATGGCTGCGGATGACTTCACCCAGATTGAAATTCAAACACCAGGAGCTGATGATACCACAAAAGGACGACGCGCACTCAAGAAGCGAGGCATAGAGCCAAGTCTTGTAGGCGAGAAGTCAATGTTCTCCATCACTCCCTTCTTAAACCGTACCAAGAGTATCATCGAAGATACTCCTAAAACTGACGAAGGAACGCCAAATGCTTCAGTTGCCGCCTCAACTGAACCTGAGGCTGCCGAACCTACGACAGTAGCATCTGAAGGTGCAGCGGCAGAGGAAACTCGGGAGGAGACGACCTCTCCAGCTCCTACTGAAAGCGAGAAGCCAAAACCAAGTGCTAAGTCTCGTGGTAGACCTAAAAAGGTTCTCGGTGAAGCCCCATCCGCAAAGAAAAATGCACAGCCTATTTCAAAGAGGTCTGTCAAGACCAAGAGCAGTCTTGAGAAAGTAGTGGAGGAACCTAATGAGAAGGTTCAAGAGAACCAGCGCGATGCCGTAGAGCCTGCAGAGAAGACAACAACTGCTAAGTTCAATTTTAGCTTCCCGCAGGACGAGAGCACGTCATCCAGCATGAATGGCGATCTACCGAAGAAGAAGAAGCGCAAGGTCCTGGGCTCAACCAAGACGTTATTTGATGAAGAGGAGGGAGAAGCACCACTGGCTAGGAAGCCGAGTAAAGTCCAGCTGGGTGGAAAGAGGGCACTAAACAAGGCAGTTCTCGGTGTGCAGAAAAGTGCATTTGCCAGTGCAACCTCATTCTCACCTCTGAAGAGGGATCGTAGAGGTGTCGGTGCTAGTTTCCTGGCATAACATACGGACCCCAGGTTTAGGGTAACGGAATTTCAAACTAACAACGGGAAGGAATCAAGTCTGCATTTGCCGGCGTTATAAATTGTTAGCATCATGGCTTGGTGTTTGGGAACGGTTATAGGGATAGGTTTACGGTTGCATCATTAGGTCAATATGAACATACCTGTTCTAAGAATAGATATTCTGCATTTCTCCGCGAGAAACATTATATTGAGAATAGTGACATCAATTTTCGTAAAACTCGATTACATATAGCGACATAAATCGTAGAATTAGGAAGCTACTTGATTTACAAATCCGACATCATGGTCGATATATTTTTCAGAAGACGTCAATGGATATAACCCCATATCTACGCGGCCTTTGGCTTCTTCCAAGTTCCCTGAATGCCGCTCTCGATCATGACGAGTCTATCCTCCCTCCAGTTCCAAACTGACACAATAGCAGTACCCGGGCCAGCTACAACCGTAACAAATACAATACTTAGTACTGTCTTAATTAAGTCTATCGCAGTAGGTTTCCCAAGTCATCCGCAGAACATCGTAAACGGCTAGCCAACACCAGAACAGCGTGGAACCGAATGCACCGAAGAAGTCGACCTGAAAGATGTAGTGCAGTCCCAAGCCCATGCTGTCTTTCCAGGTAGCTCTATTCGGCAGGAACACATAGCTAAGCGAAAGCCTCGGATCGTCCGATGTGAGACAGGCGTAAAGTGTGCCAACGTGCGCAACTGTCGTTACAAGCCCGGTGATCAGGTATACCCGCTTGAGGTGCTTAACATCACCATTCTTGGCGACCGAGGTTGGCGATGAAGGTACCAGGAAAGAGAAAATCGAGACTAGCACGCTGGCGAAAATAGGGGCGGGCTGCCAGAATGCCGTCAGGTACTGCGCCGTCTTGACGTCGCCCCATGGGTAGCACATTGCGATCGTTGGGATAAGGTATCCAATGATAAGAGCCGGGAGCAGCGACGCCGCATGGCCAGTGGATAACTCTCGGCCCTGGAAGTAGTATCCATCCTTCCGAGACGCCACCACGTATGCTAAGTAGTACAGGGGCGCGATTACGGCGGCGCCAATTAGCTGGTATAGAAACGCAGTAAACCCAATACTAATCCCGGCCTCTCCGTTAGTAAAGTCTAATATATCAATAAAAAAAAAAAGAAAAGAAAAAAAAAGCCATAGGTAACAACTCACAAGCTAACAGCCTTCCAAGCATTCCGTCTACGACTAGCTTCCACACCCCAGACACACACGACGGCAAACCATTCTAGCAAAATACGCCTGCTGGGCATGCACACCGACATCCCAGCCCGCGGTGCCCTCGAGGAACGCAATGACGAGGAACTTGGCGATCTCGTCGACAGCCTTGATGCCCGTGTAGCTAGTCTCGACGGGGATGCCATTGCCGAAACGGCCCTCCTCTAGGACGACGTGGAAGTCTACAGGTACGCCCTTTACGACGGTCTCCACGCGCATCAGCCACGTAGATAGGGCGAATAGGCCCGCGAAGGCGAGCACGAAGAGCCCGTTGAGCGGACGCTGGGTTTTAGGGACGACGGGCTTAGAGGGCCCGCGGGGAGGCTGTTTTGTTCGCACCATGATGAGGTTATGCTAGAGACACGAGATACGGGAACAGTATCATAAAAGGCTACCTGATGGATGTAGGCTTGCAATTATATATGAGGTATCCAGGAAGTCCGAAGTTTGAAACCTCGGTATTACCTAGAAGTAGACGACGGACAGCCAACTGCATATATTTGTGGACAACCCTGCTATATATGTATAGGAGTTCGGGTCCTTTTCGGAATCCTTCTTATTGTCCAGTGTCCGGTTTTTTTTTGTAAGCTGAAATGTTAGTGGTTCTCACCATTGGAGATTTCGGGATAGCGAGCTGAAAGCCGCGGGTTAATCTACGAATGTCCATGTATTCATTTTCCTCAGATATATATAATTCAAATCAGGTAACTTAGATTATATATGATTACCTAAGATACCTACCTCTAAGTAGAATTCGTAGAGCTTTATATATAATGAAGGGTTAAAATATCTGCTTTCAGCTCGTTCTATTATTCAATATCAATAAAAAGAAGCTTATATCTGTTAAAAGAATACATCTGTTAACTAGGTAACTGATGTCACATCAACACGTATACGCGTATTCGTTTTCGTATAATTGAATACCATAGATCGCGAATTTTCTAAATACCAAATTGACACTGTTATATCCTAGCACCAGCATCGATCCTTCGAGGTCATCCCTGACGTACGAATTAATTATCGTCGCCAACCAGACATGGGATAGCGCACTATCGCTGTTCCCTGAAACCTATAGCGTTAATGCAGGCGTTGGCAAGAATAGCGACGCCTCGCAATGGAAGGCTCCTAGCAGCCGTAGCTATTCGATCTTCTGGGGTGTCAAGTCTCCTTGCGCAATCCGTGTCTAAGTGTATACGATGGTCCTCGTCAAACTCAAGATGGTTACAGCGACAGGGGAAGGACCATTACCGACGACAAGCCCAAGTTCAGGCTTATAGGGGCCGTGCTGCGTTCAAACTACTTAGTGTGAGTTCGGGACTCAACTATCAAGGTGTATTGAACAAAACTCACATGAGTGTCCTCAGATGGACTCAAAATATAAGTTGTTCAAAAGAGGACAGACAGTAATCGACTTAGTAAGTACCTATACTCAGTTTGGTACCCGGTAGCTTATGATACTAAATAAAATAGGGATATGCACCAGGTAGCTGGTCTCAGGTATGAAAGCAATGAAATTTTATACTACTATTCGTTGCTCATTCGGTCCAGGTCGCCGTGGAACGCACAAAGCCAAAGGGGCGTGTGATTGGAATCGATATCATCCCAGCGCAGCCGCCTAAATACGTGTCAACCATACAAGGCGATTTTCTGTCTCCAAGTATTCAACAGCTTGTAAAGGACTATCTCGTCGAGTATGCACATCAGGCGAGACCATGCGATCCCGACGAGGAAGACTTCGAGGAGGAAGGTGTTTTTATAGATAGACCGAGCTATATCGATGTCGAGCGTGCCGAATCATTCGAATCGGACCACGAGCTATCCTCCGAGGATGGCGAGAGACTTGTTGATGTACGCATTGCTCCGTTTGCTCGAAGCGTACTCACTTCCGTGCATTTGAATCCTTAAGACTGACTGCAATTAATAGGTAGTTCTAAGCGACATGTCAGAACCTTGGACACAAACCACTGGATTTTCGATCAACACGTTAACCCACGCGTACAGGATGATGAACACGAGTGGTATGCGCTTCCGAGACCACGCAGGTAGCATGGTGAGTTTAGATTCTTCCCCGCGTCAGATATCACGGGCCTTTCGTGAGCGAATATTCACCGAGATCCCTAGGACCTCTGCCACGCAGCTCTACAATTCGCAAGCGATACGCTCAAGTCCGGCGGCCATTTCGTATGTAAATTCTACCAAGGTTCTGAAGACAAGGAGCTGGAGAAGAAGCTCAGGAAAATGTTCGACAAGGTCCATCGCGAGAAGCCGGATTCGTCGAGAAGTGTATGTTCTCTAAGGCTAAGATGTTCTTGCTCTCAATGCTAACAGGTTACGTAGGAATCACCTGAGATGTATTTTGTTGCCCTGCGCAGGAAAGGCGACGTTACGCTCTCTAGTATCGAAGTTCGTTAGACGGTCGAAACCGGGATCTCTATGTATAGTACATATATTATACGTGTATGCAGTTTAAGTTACTCATATACAGGCAGTATTCTAAGGACCTTCGTGTAAACACTGTTTTTCGGCGTTTATAGTTCACGGTGTTGTCTTTGAGACCTCTTATAGTGTTATCGTAAAGGGGGACTTAAATGTGGTATTTTGAATAACTAAAGAACAGTGATTCCAAGAAGACTAGAGGTCTTAATATAGGATGGCGAGTAACATTTATTGATCCCTTCACGAGAATGTCATCCTCACATTACAACACCCCTTATTCTTATTCCTCGAATCATGCTAGAGCTTACCCCTGTCTAGCAGCAGAACCCGGGGATGTTTCCCATATCCTGTCCATAAGTTACATTTCCCGGAGGCAAGCAGAGCGAAGAGCTTTCATTGGTTTGTATCACATTCACGCCGAAGAATGTCCCTTCTGACGTTAGTTAAGAAGTCAACTTCATAGTAGCTTCGAAACATACCGTTAATGCACTCGCAGACTGCCCTATCAACGCAGCAATGCGGATCTTCGAACGGAAAGCACTCAATACCGGCCGCGAAGGCGGCTGTGATATTAGGGAATGGCGACCTCGGGAATCTGACAGGTGGTCTCGCAAGCGCAACGCCAAAAGCTGAAGCTGTAACGATACTCAAAAGAGTGAATAGAACCATTTTTGATTCCTTGTGGTTTTTGAATCGGACGAATTATCGAAAAGAGGGGTTTTTTTTTTTCTTGCTGAAGTATGCGAGTGGAAGGTTCACTGATCCAAGGAATTTAGATCAACATATAACTTAGGTAGATACCTGTCTTTCTAAGTCTAGGAATATTTCTATGGGAAGCGAAAGTCTGTTAATGTCATACGTCACACAATAACATCCCCTCGATCTTTCTAGGATAAGATTGCGAAACTATAGGAAGCGGCTGTAACTAGGGAAGCTGCTTTATAACTAGCCATATCTTATCCCACCCTCGCTTACCAAAGTATTCACGGAAAGAGAGAAAGGTGAGATTACCTTACCTCTCTTGAAGTTTATCGAGGGCGGAAGTCATACCCAAGCTTCGATGTCTTACCTGCAAACATCTATTCTCATACGATTTCTTGAAGATGTCTTCTATTAATGACACTCTAACTTCATACTCCCCTGTACAATCACCCAACCTCAATTCTTTCGTTTTAAGCGTTTTCTTTCGTTGCCACTCTCTTTGGTTAAATTTCTTGCTCTCGCTGACCTTTTTGTTGGTTATACCCCCTGAAACTATTGGAAATGTCTCTCGAAAAACACTCCTGGGGGTTTGATCCCGAATCCCAGGCTGCATCCCCGATGACCTACACGAGATCTGTCTAGATGATGACAGCAAAGAAGCTCAGACCCCTTTACCGGCGGGAAGTCGGCCTGAATGTCTCAAGAATGCCGTCCACGAATGCGTGTTTGTTGCCCTTGTCGCCTTTGCTGCAGCTACACCCGTCTTCCTCCAACGGTCTGTCGTCGTTGTAGCAGGTCCTATATCCGGAGCCCTGCAAATGACACCTGCTCAGATCGCGTGGGCTACGGCAAGTTCGGGGTATTTCAATCCCTAGCCAATATTTCTTGCGGCATTTGACTTACTAGCTCGCAGTTTAACAACGGGCGCGTTCTTGCTTCCATTCGGCTACATTGCCGATACTTGCCCTATTTTACCCCGGAAGACTCTTCTAATACTCAGCTTGGTGGTGTTTTGTCTGCTTGTTTCGTGTACATCCTTCTCGCGAACAGGGGTTGTGCTTGATATCATATCTGGCTTGACTGGTATCGCTTGTGCGGCAAACGTTCCTATTGCCGTTGGCATATTAAGCCTTGTCTACCCAACGCCATCTCGCCGCAAGAATATCGTATTTTCCTCTTTCTTGATGGGCACACCTGCTGCGACGATCATCGGTGGTCTCGGCTCCGGCGCCTTAGCTCTTGAAATTAATTGGAAAGCCCCGTTCATAGCTTTGGCTGCTTTGTATGCGGTAGTCTCGGGTCTTGCTTGCGTATTCGTCCCGAATGTCTCGGAACCCGAAACCGAAAAGGAAACCGAGGTTCGTATCATTGCTGAGCCGGAAGCTTTTCCTATCTTGTCGATCGAAGCCCCTAAAGAGAAGTCCAAGCTCTTACAATTCGACTGGCTAGGGCTATTTACTACTCTTGTCACAGGTCTTCTCCTTTTCACCATCGCGTTGTCCATTGGCCCGCAAGGCCCGGAGCCATGGAAGACGCCGACAGTTATCCTACTTCTAACTTTGGGTGTACTGTCTCTTGGATGTTTCCTCCTTTGGGAAAATGTTACCAAAACACCTATGATACCCCCGTCAATTTGGGAAAACTTGACGGTAACTTTGGTAAAGTCAACTTGAATCTAGAGGTAGTTATAAGACATTACTAATGTGGTGTCAAGGTGATCATCTGCACTTTGGCTGCGGCTATGTCTTTCTACTCTCAGCTGTTTTGGGTTTCTTTATTCATGCAAGATCTCGGAGGTCTAAAGCCATTCGAGGTTGCTGTACGGTTGGTACCTCAGGCTCTTGTGGGCTTGGTACTCAGTCCTCTCGTTGGCCTGATTATGCATAAAGTTCCCGGGACAGTGTTATTGGCAATAGCCGCCACTTCACTCGTTATCAGCAATGTACTTCTCATATTTTTACGACAGGGGAGTAATTACTTGACCTGGATATTTCCGTCAGTCATGTTAAGTACTGTTGGAATGGATTGGATCATGAATGTTGGGTCGGTGAGTAGCCCCGTGTGCGGTCCCAAATCTACTAGGCGTAATATCTAACAGCATTACAGCTTTATATCTTATCGTCTCTTCCATTAAAACACCACTCTATTGGTGCTTCTCTACTCCAAACGACAAGCCGCCTCGGAGTTCCTCTTGGCATGGGAGTTACCACTGCAATATGGTCGTCGTATGATGGAGAATGGCAGGATGCCTACCCGGAACTGGCATATACCAATACTTTCATGGCCACCACGGCATTTGCGGGAATTTCTCTCGTCCTGGTACCATTTATCCGTATCGGAAGGCAGGGTCATTCAGAACACGAACCATTAGAAGATAATAATAATAATGAGCCAAAACCGAGTATCTCAATTCCTCCCCAACCACCTACTCCACCTCGAAACCCCCGAAATGAGGGCGGAAATCGTCCAAGCAAACGGTGGTCTCCTGTTGATACATTAGCTGCATCAGTCACTAGTGAAAGGCAACATACAACAGCTCCATCAGTGTCGTCGCAGTCGTCACGTAAAAGCGAGGACACCTCTAATACCAACAAAACGACCAGGACAACCATTCGACACGGGTGTAGCCCATCCGAAAGAGTTGTCTGGGTTGTCTGTGAGGAATGTGGCACTACCAAGCGCCACAACCAACCACGTACCACTGTGGGCGACCCAGCTCGTTACTTCAACGATCCTGCATTTGGCAGCACGACTAAAGATATTAATCAAACAAACCCTTACGGCGCCAATAGTAATAACAATAGCCAGACTCATCATCATCCTACCCAGCTTCAGCTTCCGAGGCCGTATGGCGGACGTCGTCGTCAACCACTCATGAACCGCCAGATCTTAACACACCAGATGCTGACTCAGGGCTTTCAGCCTTGAAAGCGTTAGAGTAGAAATGATTTAATTGTGTAGGGGCGGGTTTTGAATTTATTGCTGGAAATGGCTAAAGTGTCTACTGGGATAGAAGGGGCATTTTACTTTTCCAATTATCGAGCCGGGTGTGCTTAAGGACGATATTCATAATGGCGTTTTGGTCGGGGTTAAGGACCTCTTTGGACCTTTCTTGGGAGACATTGTTATACTCGAGGACTTATCCTTCACCTAGGTGAAGTAACTAACGCAGTATAGGAAAGAATATGAAGCACATTCTTAGATCCCTTGTATGTAAAATCAGAACATAGGTATATATGTAGTCTAGTGCCTCGCCATACTACCATAATAATTAATGTATTCTGAGGCCAGTGAGATAATATCCTAATTGTCTTGAAAATTATATTCACTAATTTAAATTTACCCTAACGCCGCGGCTTATGCTACAGCACTGTCCCATGTCTTTTCCACAGTAATATCACCTGTGTGCCCAGCTAGGTAATTATATATACAATTGTAGGATGCCGATGTCCAATGACACGGAATCAGAACTTAGATCTCCCGAACAAATCCACATATGCTCGTTAGCCTATAATTTGGCATTGGGCATTTGGCGCATAGCTTGGCGAACACCTAGGTCAGCAAGGACCTCCTCGGCGCCACCTAGAATAGCGTCGAACTTATAGGTGCGGTGGAACATCTCGACGACGCGACCCATGCCGGATTGGGTCAGACCACGACCACCGAAGATCTGGACGGACTCGTCGGCGATCTCGTGCGCGGCGCGGGTGATGCTCATCTTTAGCAGGCCGATGGGGCCGCCGAGGTGCTGCGATTGCTGCTTGTAGGGCATGTTGCACATTTGGTAGGTAATAGTTTCGAGCCAGGCCTCTGGAACGGGGTTAGTGAGGTGAGATGTGAGATGTGAGAGGGAGAGAGGGGAGAGTACGTACGGTTCGACTCGATGAGCGCAATCATCTTGGCGAGCTTTTGTCGGATCACGGGTTGCTCGATTAGTCGCTTGCCGAAGACGATGCGCTGGTGCGACCACTTGAGACATTCCTCTACGATGGTTCTGCACATTCGGATTCCGGCGCCTAGATGGGACTTGTTAGTATAGTACAGTTGGGGACGGCAGGATTTAAGGGGTGAACTCACAGGCCATGGTCCATCGCTCGTGGTTGAAGTTGCTGAGGATAACGTAGATACCCTTGTTCTCCTCGCCGAGGAGGTTCTCGGCAGGAACCTTGACGTTGTCGAAGGTGATATAGGCAGTGCCGGCAGCAGGCGAATACGAAGTCTTGATAGGCTTGGTCTCGACGCCGTCGCCGCGCTCGATCAGAAGGACGCTCAGGCCCTTGTCGGTCTTGACGCCGACGAGAAGTAGTCGCAGAAAACACCGTTGGTGATCCACTTCTTGGTGCCGTTGACGATGTAGTGCTTGCCGGGGGGTCTTGGTGGCGGTGGTGCGGAGGCCGGCGACGTCGGACCCGGCGAAGGCTTCGGTGATGGCGAGGCACATGTACTTCTTGCCGCTGAGCACCTCGTCCATGATAGCCTTGCGCCGCGGCGCGTCTCGCATGAAGTTCATGATGCAGGGGAGCCCGATGACCATGCCGGCTAGCTGTCCGTCTTGGAACCCGCGCGCGTTGGATCGCACGCCTTCTTGCGACATGATGAGGTCGTGGAAGTAGTCGAATTCTTCGCCCTTGACTGCCCCGTCCATCAGGTTTACGCCTTGCAGGTGCTTCCCCGGCCCTAGTCGCATGTGCAGGATGCCCTTCTCCGCCATGCGGTCGACTAGCTCCTGGCTGATGTACTTGCCGTCGGCCTCGCGGGCCTGAGCCTCGGGGGTGATGTAAGTGTCATTGAAGATACGCATAGCCTTGCGTAGGCGGTGTGGCTCTCGTTGTAATACGGGCTCTTAATTGGGGCGTGAGCCATAGGGGCTCGGCGTAGGGGACGGTGCTAATGTCGCCGGGCTTGGGTGTAACGACTTGGGGCTTCTCGCCCTGGATGGTGCCAATACATAGGTCTTCGTATTTGGTGAGGACCTCATGACGATGTAGGTTGTAAAAGGCAACGGTGGCGTCTTGGCCAGCAACCTGTCGGAGAACGGACTCGCCGCCGGGGTGGGCGTCGATGAAGTCGGATACGTCGTAGACTTTGCTGTCGATCACGAACCACACCGAGTCTTCGGTGTTGTGCTTAGCCACCTCATCTTTGGTGAATGTCTTGGACATGGTCGCGGTGTATATAGAAATGTCGTTTTTACGAAGGAAGGGAGAATACAACCTCAACAAGAATGAATTGGCATTTTGAAAAAAAAGGAAAAAGAAGGGCTCTTTCTCCCTTGTTTTGACGTCAACTGGGGAACGGCGCGGTGGATCCGGGGAAAGCGATGCCTCGGCTCGGACTCAGGTGAGGAACATGGGGTGCATAAGCGTATTCCTCGTAATACAGATTTAATCGCTTCTGATTGGTCATTTGGGCCGCGTCCCTACCGTTTACAGCTGCTGGACCGCGGGTAGCCTCTGATAAGGACATAGGTGTTGCATGTGCCTGAAGCGATAACGAAGTTTGTTTGAGGGGGAACTAGGGACTTCGGTTCATTGCGTGCGAATAGTAGCGATGCGATTAGTAACCATAGATAAAGAGAGTGTAGGACTTGTATTTAGAGACTTGGCTATATCATGTAAACTTTGCTATATTCCTAGTAGTTAGGTAGAGAAGGAAAAGGTAACTCATAACTGGGTTTAGGGGGAACTTTTATATATGCTCGAAAATTAAAGCTATTAAACTAGGTGAGCATTCTTACCCTAGCTTCTCATTTCCCTTTTACTTATACCTAATATATTTCCTCCTATGTAATATCTTAAAAGCTGTCAACTAGAGCAAATTATAGGTGGAAGACTCAACTCTATAAGAAAGACCCCTCTCTCCACTTAAACCAATCAGATTCTCCATAGTTAATCGAATACTTAACCGTGTCAAGTTCGCACCTCAGGAGATAGCAGAAGCCGAACCTCTATCGGCTCATTCTGAACAGGCGACATTTCGCTATATTATCGACTATAAGTGGCCATTAAGTCCGGTGTGTTGGTTTGGTTGATGCGAATATAGCCGTGCTCGGCTTTAGATAGACGTATCGTAGTTAAACCCGCCGCAGACAAGAGTTCGAAGTGACGAAACAGCTCGATGAGGCCGAATAATATTCCCACTAACTCCAGGGACCCAAATTCTCTAAAGAGAGGCACGCAGCTCTTTTACAGCAAGGGGGCGGAGATTACAACACGCGAGACGCGGAAGATGTTCAATATGTAACATATTTCATCGGATGGAAGAGGCAGTATGAAAGTCGTCGTGTATATACTCGACGTACAAAGAGAAAGATTATATTACATCTACAACTACATTGATTACATTGAAAGCACCTTTAGACACCGAGATACTAAGGCACTAAGACAATGGCGACACTAAAATTTCCTGAGCTTTCTGTATACCGCTACTCGAGCAATGATCCAAGCAGGCGCTTTACGGTTACGAATCCTGCCACAGGCAAGATACTCACCACAGTCCAAGGCGGGGACCCTGCCACCATCGACGCAGCCGTGCGCGCCTCGCAGGTAGCTTACGAAAAGCGCTGGCGGCCCTTAACTCACGCCCAGCGGTCGGTATATCTCCTCCGCTGTGCCGACGAGCTCGAGAAGCATCTCGACGAACTCTCCACTATAATATGCATGGAGAATGGGAAGCCATTCCTAGATGCCAAGCTATTCGACTGCGGCGTACTCGTACGAGCGTTCCGATTCTTCGGGAGCTTGGCAGACAAGTTGCCTTCCGCCTTCTACGATAGGGGCCCCCTATATACAACCGTAATCCATGAGCCATTCGGCGTGTGCGTTGGCATTCTGCCTTTCAATTGGCCGCCCATCTTCGCAGGCAGCAAGCCGGCTCCTGCGCTTGCGGCGGGCAATACGTTTATCCTAAAGCCAGGCGAGCAGGCGCTTGACGGTGCTTCGAATCGTTGAGATCCTAGAGCCTATCTTGCCGAAAGATGTACTGCTAGCCGTACCAGGGTTCGGGCCCGAGAATCCCGCAGGCCTTAGTGGCGCACCCACTTGTTAAAAGGGTTACCTTCACAGGGTCGACGGCCGCTGGAGCAGCGGTAGCACGAACTGCTGCTGATTCCATCACGCCAGTAGCGCTTGAGCTAGGGGGTAAGAACGCGATGACAATTTTCGAGGACGCAGATTTTGATGCTGCTGTACGCACGGCGCTTGAAGGAGCCTTCTTTAATAAGGGCGAGGCATGCACTGCCAGCTCGCGCATTCTTGTGCAGCGTGGTATCTACGACAAGTTTGTCGAGAAGTTAGCCGTCGGTGTGAAGAAGATCAAGATGGGTAATGGTCTCGATCCTACAACGCACGTTGGGCCGCAGATATCCAAGGTCGCACAGCAGCGTCTGTTAGATTATATCACCCTCGGAGTGAAAGAGGGTGCTAGGATCGCCGCACAGGCTGAGCTACCTTCTGATCCTGAGTGCAAAGACGGCTTCTTCATCCCTGCGACTCTCTTTGCAGATGTAACTGAGGATATGAGGATCGCCAACGAGGAGATGTTCGGTGCCATTGGTAAGTTAATACACAACCAGGTGCTCGGTAGGAGTTTCCTAGTTAGCTAACTAATATGCGTCAAATAGTGACCGTTACACCATTCGACACTTTCGACGATGCAGTTCGCATCGCAAACTCGGTAGAGTACGGCCTAACGGCTATCGTCTTTACCAAGGATCAGGTGAAGGCGAATCGATACGTCCGCGCGGTCGAAACCGGAATGGTAAGTTGCGGATAGCGCGATGCATTCTTAAAATATACAGCGGTGAGGACCTTAGACTAACCACTTCATAGGTTTGGGTAAACAACTATCATAGGAACGTGGTGGGCACACCGTTTGGTGGTGTGAAGCATTCCGGTTACGGCAGAGAACATTGCATAGAGACGTTGTACGAATTCACTCAACCCAAAGCCGTACATTCGCCTTCTGGTATAGTTGATATTCCGGAGTGGCGTGGTGTGGTTGACATTTTTGGACACAGTGGAAGTGAAGTTGTCTGATATTGTTTGTAAATTGAAAGATTGTTAATAAGGTGAAGTACATACCTGTTAAGGTTATCATTGGTAGAAATACTGGCTGATGTAACGAATAAAGCTGACCTATGATAATAAAAAACTTCCGATTGGCTCTTATTAACACTCCGATAAGTCCGGTCTTACTTTTATCAACTACATATATGGGATAAATACTTATCTTCATTTAGGTACCTATGAGGTAATGTCATAAGACTAATAGTTTGAATTAACCTAAACTTATATGTGCTTGCTTGCAATTAATTAATCTTACATCCCTCATTTACATCTACAAACTTGTAGAATATCACGAGCTTTAAGCATTTTTCGTTCGTCCCATATTAACCAAGCAACTGGATGATAACTACTAAGACTTCTCTTCCAATCCTATCACGGTATGTAGATTTTCATATCTCTTTCCAACAGGAGAATAACATCCTAAGGCTGTATGTAACCTCCTTCATCCCCACCCTACAAGCTTCCATTACCCATCTTTTTTTTGCTGTCCCTTTTTTCCGACAGTCCCGGCAGCGGCAGAGAAACTGTGAAGTTGGAACCTGAATGGACCCTTGATGGGAATCATATAGCCAATCAGATACACCAGTCTATCAGCGTGGCATTCTTAGCATTCTACTACGTTAAGAACATGTGCCAATCGATGATATGATATAATCTGGGCTGATACCATTAGACCGCAATACATTGTCCTACTTATATGCAATTAGTTATTACGGTCTCAACGGATGCGGCGCTAAGCTATACTTGAGCATCTATTGCATCTATTGCATCTATTGCATCTATTGCGTCTATTGCGTCTACTAACTCAAAACTGAGTGGTAGTGGCTTAGATAATCATGGTATAATCTTTGCATTCATTCCCTCCTTCCCTCCTATAGACTTTATCCTATCTTATGCCAAGCAAGTCTAGGTTTATTTAGTTTTATCGCTGTACCACCCTTATAATTTTATACAAAGATATCAAAGGCTAGGCAATTGCCGAGTCGTGCGAGGCACAGGCACCTTCCTACTACCTTAGTTATCCTCATCCAGTAATAGCCTCAGCTTTGCTTTAGTCGGAGTCACCCGCTTTCTAAACTGTTTGATTTTTGATCATTCATCATTCATGATTCACATACAGCTATCATATATACGTACCTACCTGTCTTGTATAACTTTATCCACAACTCCACTACATTCATGTTTCTGACCCATTCTTCTATATCTTAACTGGTGCTCGCTCACGTCTTTCAACCCCTTTTTTATCCTTTCATAGTAGACTTTACTCAATCACTTTACCTATATTAACTTACCCTATTTTTTTTACTTTGATACTCTATAGTGATTATCAAGCAAACAAATAAACCAAGACCTAAATAAGTATGGATGCTTACTCGATTTCTTTCACTAGCGTTTCCCAACGAAGCTTCTCACGAGTCTGGAGAGACCTCAAGTCCTGCCGCCAGTACAGCATCATGGAGATGACCGAAGATGTCTCGGAGACACCAAGCTTAGGGCAGAGGATAGGAGAGGTATAATCCGACCCTAGTGAAGCTCTTGGGTTTATCATGTGAGCGAGGCACCCATCGGTGGTAATTATGTATCAAATTGGCTAGATGCGGCCCAGTCTCCTCATAGTGCTAGTACTCAGATGAGTGTTCCCTAATCGCCTGACACTAGACTCACACGTTTAATAGCGTCGAGCGCGAAATGCCGGCCGCAAACCTCATGTCGCGGTTATTGGTGCGGGTTTGGCTGGGCTACGTTGCACTGATATCCTCCTCCAGCATGGCTTCGAAGTAACTTTGATCGAAGGCCGAAATCGACTAGGGGGTCGTGTACACCAGTCAACCTTGCCATCAGGACACAAAGTGGATGCCGGACCCAATTGGATCCATGGTAGTAATGAAAATCCCATCTTGGACCTCGCCAAAGAAACCAAGACTGTGGTTGGAAAATGGGAAGAGAAAAGCTCCGTCTTTGATGAGGATGGCAAACAGGTCCCTCTATCCGACGCCATGGTCTACTCGACGATTATGTGGGATGCCGTGGGAGATGCGTTTGCCTATAGCAATAAGAATTCTGCCACAATAAGTCCTGATGAAAGCCTCTGGGACTTCTTCCAGAGAGAGGTCCCCAAAAGGATACCAGAAAGCGATGCAAACTTCGAAAAGAAGAGAAATATTGTGTATCAGCTTGCGGGTCAGTGGGGAGCATTTGTGGGAAGCCACATTTTCACGCAGAGCTTGAAGTTCTTCTGGTTGGAAGAGTGTATAGATGGCGGTGAGCTGACAAAAGAAATATGACTTTATTACAGCGTTTCGCAAGCACTGACAAGTTGCAGAGAATCTGTTCGTCGCAGGTACCTATGAGAAGATTCTTCAGCTTGTCGCAAAGCCGGCTGTTGAAGGAGCAAAGATCAAATACGAGACGATCGTCAATAAAATACAGACTACCAACGACGACGGTGGAGTGTTAAAAGTCCACACCGAGAACGGGGAAAATCTGGAATTTGATGAAGTCGTTCTTACTGCACCACTCGGCTGGCTAAAACAGCATTCAGATGCCTTTGAGCCAGCTCTTCCGTCAAGATTGGCCAAAGCTATCAAAAGTATAGGATATGGCTGTCTTGAGAAGGTAATTCCTCATTTTAGACACAATTTATTTATCCGATTTTGACTTTTGTGCAGGCCTATATCAGCTTCCCGAAAGCATTCTGGGTTTCCGCTCAGCCTAAGGATAGTAAAGTTCAAGGGTTCTGCCAAATGCTTGCCCCAAACTATGCGACCGAGTCGAATCCGCACAAGTGGAATCAAGAATTCGTTGAATTGGCTTCTCTGGATCCCACTGCGGCCCATCCAACACTTCTTTATTATTTCTACGGTGATCAGTCAAAATTCATCACCAGCGAGCTGGCAAAACTTGCCTCAAAGGAGAAGCAGGACGCGTTCCTAATTGATTGGTTCAAGCCGTATTATTCACGTCTCCCGTATTATGACGAGAACTCTCCGGACTGCCAGCCGATAGGCTGCTACGCAACTGAGTGGCTCAACGACCACCTTGCAGGCAATGGCAGTTACAGCAACTTTCAGGTAGGTCTCGAGGAAGGTGATGCGGATATCGAAACCATGAGAAAGGGCATTCCAAGCCGAGGTCTCTGGCTGGCCGGTGAACACACGTCACCTTTTGTAGCCCTGGGAACAGCCACTGGTGCGTATTGGAGTGGCGAATCAGTTGGGAAGAGGATCGCCCAGGCTTACTCTAGAGGAGAAGGCGGCGTTACTATTTTCAACTAATCTAACAGGGGACTTCATGCCACAAGAAAAGGCAGGGGAACAGTAGAGGTATAGAAATCACCACTGGATTCAGCTTGGCGTGTTTGGCCTTTGTGGGTAGCATATAGATGCGTAGCCTAGGCAAGTAGAAGCATATTGATAGAGGGCCTAACAAATGGTGTTACTGGCAATATTATGTGACCTAGTAAATTTTGATGATATTCCGTTCGTCGCTTTTATCTGCTAGCGAATATGTAACTTAGAAACTATTAGGCAGTCTTAGGGATGATATGTAGTAGTAGTAAGGATGCTGAATGGCGTGTAGGGGATATGTTAGGGTTAGTGGTTAATTGTAGGCTTTTAAAGTACGTTGAAATTTAATTTAATTTGGGATAATCATGCTTTATAATAGTATAGTTCCCCTCCTAGAGAGATATAACAGGCGTGTAGGCAAGACAATCTATCTTCACTAACTTATTAATGATTACCTAAGCGTACTGCTTTCAGGGGATCTATCAGCATTCGTGTCGTGTTGTTATGCTTCTTTACTACTTTGCTGATAAAAAAAAATTTCGCGATAGCTAGTTGTCGCCTTTTTATATAATTCTTATCTTTTGTATAGCAAGCTTGGAGTTTATATACCCGCGTCACGTTTAAAAACTCAGCTCGAATTCATTGTATCGTATAATTATCGGTTTGAACTTGTATATATAGTCGAATAATCTTTAGTATACGAGGTAAGTATAGTCTCTGACGCCGTGCAAGTGAAATACTATTAAAACTATTCCCTCGTCCTCAGAGTTATTTATGATGTAGCCTAATCCAGATAGTTTTAACGACACAGAATAAAAAATAGCGTCGTGTAAGCATAAGATATACTTCCCAGAGGAAGTGTTTAGCATTTTTTTAAATCAGTAAAGTTCTATCTAGTTCATAAACCGAGGAAAGTGAAGATATTGGAACTCGAAGTATCGTCCACTTTGTCGGTCACACGTTGTTGGATGATACTATTTCGCCTCAATTTTTTAGGCCACGTTATCCTCTGACCCCCTTATAACTTGGCCAATCACGGCCTCTCCTTATATTGTCTTACCTGTACATAATTCCCCTTGCTCCGGCATACAAGACACTTCAAATTGCAATGTATCTAGTATATACCGATCGCCTCTTTCGACTTGGCTAGATCCCTTGATGTACCAATAGAGAACACGAAGTAGTGCGAGAGCGAACTTGGGGTACATAACCTATTTAAACTATGCATGGAAATACTATAGGCTTCAGTTTCCGTTTGTAATAAGCTGGCGGCTCAATTTCTGGGCAATATAGCTAATTCGTGCTTTTATAACTCCGGCTCAAAGTTCAATTCTAGAACTTATTGGCATTGCCTCATGACTACTGCGCCGGTATAAGAAACGGAAGAGGATTGGATAAGTATAATAAATTGATAGCATTGTTGTTGAGGAGTATATTCCAAAGACCTCGAGGAGTTCATAGTTCCGGTTGTTATTTAGGATTGCGGGGACCATGTTGGAATATTTGGATGCTGGCCGAACTATAGGTTTGAGAGCTTTTGCTGCGAGAATAACGCTTTAGATAGACAAATGGGCTCAAACCGCCTCGAATCGCGTCATATCTTAGGTCGTACTCGTGAGGACACTTAGGCATAGTATGAAGACTAACCGGCCGATGGGTTTACATATAAAACTACACTGGTGGGTTAGCCGCGAGATCGTCGTCTATCTTCAACGTATACGGGGTTTTGGATATAACAACATCTTGCGCGCGGTTGAGTGAACCGCGAGGACCGACACTCAGGGTTCTCCCATCGGGCAGATCCTACCAGGTGGCAAGCTTAATGGGTTGATTATGATATGTGCTCGACAATAAGTCTAGTCACATTTTCTGGTTACGAAATCCCATCGGAATCACGTTCCGGGACAGTTTACCAGATCAGAAATGCCCTTTCACGCGACAACACGCCGCCATCTTCGCATTTGCTAATTCCGTCGATGCAGCCAAGACCCTCGTCAATTGGGTGCCGAGATGTGACGTCTGTTCCCGGAGTTGGAGCAGGTTTGGGATGTTTAGCCGGGGCTTCTGATTCGCTGGATGGAAAACCGTTACCTCCTTTGCGGCTAAATGAGGAGGGACCCTATTCTGTTTCGCAGGGCAGACCTATCATAACGTGTGTTTCACCTAAGAAGGGCTTTAGCCAAACAGAGAGGTTTCTGCCTCTGTCGCTAGTAGGACGGTACCTTGCTTCTCTTGGCTTAACTTCCTAGGCATTGCCCGTTGCATATTATCTCCCATGGGGAAGTAATCTATCGTGCCGCAGATCGCTCCATATGGGGAAGTCTTGGCATTGTCCGTTTATACATGTCGCCGCGAACGAAGTTACTATAAGCCGCTAGGCTTGGTTCACTGTGACTTTGTGGACTACCTATCCCGGCGAGCTCTCTTGTAATGCTTGTAGTTTACCATTTTTGAGTAGCAAATGGGTCCATACACCAGCCCCCACGGATCTCGAGGTTGCCATGTAAAGTTGAATGGGCTGGAAAACAGTTGAGTAGCCAGCTGGGAACTAGCCAGGACTGCATGAACAAGAATCTATAGCATAGATTGAGGCTTCCAAGTCCCTTTCTCCACACAACCTCAATAGGCCCGAACGGGTGGTTATATAGATGATAAATTAAGATCACCGTAAGAAAAAAGATACCATAGGTATCCAGTCTGGCCATGTGGTATTCACGGTGGCCAACAGGACCCCGCAATTTTCCCCCGCGACGAAGGAGCTTACCGATAGAGTCTATATTCGGAGTAGAGATACCGAGATCTTTCGCGTTTGACGGGCCTAGTTCCTGATTGCCACTCCACGTACATTGAGTAAAGATGCATATGGATCTAAGGGCCTGGGGTAGCTACCTCCGCCACAACAGCTAGTATAAGAAGCTCGAAGTTCCCGTCCCGAATATGTTCTTAATTCCCTTCTTACCGCACTCGCTCATTACAATCCAAAAGGTTATATCCGGGTCGAATCGAATATGAAGGTCACCACTGCCAGTGTTGCGGCTTTGGCCGCCGGCGCTATTGCTGCGCCCTCAAACACCACCCCTCGCTCAGCTAACAAGGCTGCTGCTGCTTGCTCCTCAGCTGTCACCCTCGATGCGAGCACCAACGTGTTCAAGAAGTACAAGCTGCACGCTAACACCTTCTACACCGCGAGGAGGTCAAGAAGGCTGTTGAGCAGATGACCGATGCGACCTTGAAGTCTTCGGCCGAAAAGGTTGCCGACGTCGGTAGCTTCTTGTGGCTGTAAGTCTAAGAAAATGCTGGTTAGAGTAGCATTAGTAGCTAATAAGGAATATAGCGACAACATCGCCAACATTGCCAAGTTCGACCCCGCTGTCGCGGACCTTCCTTGCGAGGATATCCTTGGTCTTGTCATCTACGACTTGCCCGGCCGTGACTGTGCCGCCAAGGCCTCCAACGGTGAGCTCAAGTACAACGAGCTCGACCGATACAAGACTGAATACATCGACCGTGAGTTGATACCAACACCTATTTGAAGTGAGGACCCCAAACTAACCTTACTGTAGCCATCGTCGTCGCCAAGATCAAGGCCAACCCCAACTCGGCTTTCGCTCTTCTGATCGAGCCCGACTCTCTCCCCAATTTGGTCACCAACGCCGACCTCAGCACTTGCCAGGAGAGCAAGACCTCCTACGAGGAGGGTGTTGCTTACGCTCTTAAGAGCCTCAACCTTCCCAACGTCGTTATGTATATCGACGCTGGTCACGGTGGCTGGCTCGGCTGGGACGCCAACCTTAAGCCCGGTGCTGAGGGTCTTGCCAAGGTTTACAAGGCCGCCGGCAGCCCCAAGCAGGTTCGTGGTTACGCCACCAACATTGCTGGCTGGAACTCTTGGGACGAGGAGCCTGGTGAGTTCTCGGACGCGTCCGACGCCAAGTACAACTCGTGCCAGAACGAGAAGACATACGTCACCAAGTTCTCGGCTGCCCTTAAGACGGCTGGCTTCCCCGAGCACGCCATCGTCGACACTGGCCGTAACGCCGTTACTGGCCTCCGTGAGGAATGGGGTGACTGGTGCAACGTTAAGGGTGCCGGTTTCGGTGTCCGCCCGACTGCTGACACTGGCCTCGAGCTAGCTGATGCCTTCGTCTGGGGTAAGCCTGGTGGTGAGTCTGACGGTACTAGCGATGAGAGTGCTACCCGTTACGACTCTTTCTGCGGAAAGCCCGATGCCTACAAGCCCTCTCCCGAAGCCGGTGAGTGGAACCAGCCCTACTTCGAGGAGCTCCTTAAGAACGCCAAGCCCCAGTTCTAAGCGGTTAGCATGGAAAATCATGGCATTTGCGTCGGACTTGGTGGTGCAGCTGGTGGGACGATGTGAAGCTCAGCTCTGTTTGTTTGTCTATCTATCTAGACGGGCTAAGCGAGTTAAGTGACACTGGTCAATTGTAAATAAAGGAACCTGGCTGTTCAGACCGTAGACGCTCTTTTTTCCTCGATCAAAAACTCTTGTACTGAAGATTTAAACTGTATATAGCTTTTGGGCAGTACATACATAACTTTCCCCTATAATAAGGTCAAACTATTCGCAAGTGATGTTGATTGAATGCTGAATGATGTGATGCATTAAACCATATGCGGGTTGGTGAAGGTGTGAAGACGTTAGTACGACGGTTATACCCGTTTAGAATCCACTCGTAGGGGGACCGAAGCGAAAACCAACATTAGACCGTTACTAGCGTCTGTACCTAAATTATTAGCGCGTCGTTATTGCCCGCTCCTGCTAAACAAACGCAAATTGACAGGAAATTGCAAGTAAAAGCAACCGTTTCAGTATTATTTCTTTGAAAGATAAGGTTTGAAGAAGGAAAATAGTCTGGATCGAGACTTAACAACCAACGAATAGATTACATTATTCTTAGAGTAGGAGCGGCGAAAGCTTAAATCAAGCACATAAGGTACCTACATACCTCTAATTGGTTTTTACAAACGTGAGACCACAATGACTAATCTCACCTGTACAAACACTCCACGTATGAGAGATATGAGGTAGATATACCACCTTGTACATCGATCTGTACAATAATCTGTACATTAATCTGTACATCCTTGACCAACTTGGAAGCCCAACTTCCATTGCATACCCCCAAAATCCTGAACTCGTAAATCCAAACTTGTTCCGCATTACTTACTGACACCTACTAATCACACCACCTCACAACCTCACCGCCATACTTTGTAAAGTCCGTCGCGATAACCTCAATTCGCTCAAGGGGATATCCCTTTTAGGCGAAATGTTGGAGGAGCAGGGAAGCTCTTCATCTAGTAGCTATGAAGATGCTCAGGACAACGGAGGCTCGCGAAAGGGTCGACGTTATGGCCTTGTGAGCGATTTCCTCGCCAGGCTTGAGCACTTCACCTGGGCTAATTACACATTCCCCATGTCCACCGGAGGCCTTGCTTTACTATTAGCAGAACAAACCCAGGGTTTTACGTTCCCAGGTCTTCAGACAATCGGAAAAGTAGTTTATATATTTGACCTTATCGCTTTCACCCTTGTCACGGCCGCCATTACGTATCGCTTCGTCAAGTTCCCTGGTACTCTAAAGGCCTCAATTACCCATCCAACTGAGGCGCTGTTCCTCGGAACATCGACCCTTAGTGTAGCATCTATCATCGCCGGCATCGCTCGTTATGGAATTCCTTCCTGTGGACCGTGGCTTATCACGGCGTATAGAGTCTTATTCTGGATATACTTCTTGATCACATTTGCAATTGCGGTTGGCCAGTATTCTCTACTCTTCACCTCACCTCTCTTGAGAATTCAAGATATGACTCCGGCTTGGGATCTTCCTATATTCCCCTTTATGTTATCTGGTACCGTTGCCTCGTCAGGAGCCGCTTTGCAACCCCCAAATGAGGCCGTCCCTATGATAGTTGCCGGCCTAACTGCTCAAGGTCTTGGAATGTGCGTATCAATCATGATGTATGGTGTGTATTGTCTCCAACTTTATATTACTCACTATACGCAGATACTAATCAATTTACAGTATGTATTGACATCTCATTATTTTCATATAAGATTCTCTTCGTTCGGTTTAATTATGGAACATTCATAACAGGTTTGAGCTTCTTAGGGGAATTGCTAACGCAGAACAGGCCAGCTATGTACGACGGATGATACAGTGGGGATTTCCATCGCCTAACTCACGACCAGGCATGTTCATAGCCGTTGGACCACCTTCATTCACCGGCCTCGCTATCATCGGCCTTGCGAATGACTTCCCCCAGCACTACAATTACTTCGGCGCCGACTCTATCACTATCCAGATTCTGCGAGTGCTAGCAACTACCACGAGCATATTCCTCTGGTCACTCAGTTTATGGTTCTTCTGTATCTCCGTAGTGGCTAATCTTGCCATCAGAAAGCAGCTAACGTTCCACCTAAATTGGTACGCCTATGTATTCCCAAACGTTGGGTTTACGATTACGATTATTGCTATCGGCAAGAACCTACAAAGTCGAGGGATTATGGGAGTTGGCAGTGCAATGACTCTAATGTTAGTTGCGATGTGGATCTTCGTGTTTATCCACCACATGAAAGCTATCATCAACAAAGAAGTGATGTTTGAAGGTAAAGATGAGGACGTCTATGTTAATGAGAAGAATCACGCCCACGTCAAGCCCACGAAAAGCGGCAGCGACATAGAGAAGGAGGCATGATTGAGATTCTGGTTAGGTACCTAAGTATCCATCCTACTGAATATCGTCCTGTTCTCACAACGAGGCAGGATCCTAAGGATATTATGCTGAGGCATATATCTTACGAAACGAAACGAGCTTATGATTACTCAAACTTTGATATACTTAGAGGGATTCGACGTTACTAATGAGATATGAGTAAAATAGTTTTTTGCTAATAATAATGATAATAGACACTTTGGCAACGGATATTAGGAACTAGATGGATCCTAATGTGACATGTGTATGAGCCCCACGCTCATGGTATATACTACTAAACTACCTCCTAACTTAAAATAGCGAACTTTTTATGGCGGTATACTAAGCGTACATGGTTCGTACTACTACCTAATCCTCTAATAGTAACAACATGCGAGTATAAGCCGACGTGGGCAGCTCTCTCGTCATACTCTTCTGCGCCCCTCAACGACCAACCACACAAATACCAGAATTGAATAAGTGCGCAGAACTTTTACAATTGAATTTTAATATTTGCTTACGAAGTCCTGGAGCGCTAGGTGATTGAGTGATCAACACGAGAGCAAAAACAGCTCTAGCCTGACCCAGCTAAAGCGGCTAGGAAGCCAGGTTTGCCCCTAACGCCTTTCAAAAAACGAAATATGAGGCTGATTTAAATGATCTTCAAGCTGAAAGGTCCAGCCTAGTTGATTAGGCAAGAAGAATTGTTTCGCGACGGTCGAGCTCGTGATGCTAGGATTTAGCGTACCTACTACCTAAAATGAGACGCGGAAATATCATTATGTTACGAGGCGAACTCGTGTTAGAAATATCGTGACATGAGGGCCATAATATATAAAAAGAATCAGCGATCGATGGAAGTCGTAGATAACTCTCGTCGCTAGTATTATCTACAAGAAAGTCTCAGGGTCAACTTCTATCAGATCAGTCCTTACCTTGGCAATCGTATATATATATCATCATACACACCATTTGAAAACACCTATCTAAGATGCTATTCACCACATACCTCACCACCCTCCTCGCAGCGGCGGTAACATCCGTCTCCGGCACCTGCCTCAAGCAGCCCCCCTCCCCCATCTGGTCGCCCGGCGGGGACTATCCGATGCCGATCGCCATCACGGAGACACGGCCTAACCAGATGACATTCATCATCCCGGCCAACTCGACTGGCCCCTGCCAGCTCGTCGCCGACTTTCCCTACGGCTACCCGATGACGAGCACGGGGTCCGACCTCGTGTACGTGACCGCGCTCAACGGGCCGGCGGAGGGCTCGCTGGTCGGCGCGCTGCGGTTCCGTCCTGACTCGACTACCGTGTTTGTGAATAGCTTTGCTTGTCGCGAGATGATGGCGTATTCGCTGAGTATCGCGCAGGGCGTGGGCGAGGTCGAGTTTGAGCAGACGCGGGATGCGGGGATGTTTATGGAGGTGGGGGATTGTTATTAGGGGATTGTGCTGGTCTAGGTTTTTTGGGTTTGGGCTTGGGCTCGTATGGTGCTATGTGAATGGGTCGATTAGGCGTACTATATTGTTTGGAGTATGGTATTATGTGAGTTAGGTGATTAACTTCATATGGGGTTTTGATTATTGATGGGTTAGTTGAATGAACGGGAGCGACAAGCCCCTTGCGTATTATTTAATGAATTAGAAATTAGGGTAATCCGTACACTTAATTATGTTATACAAGAAGTTACACGGAATATAATTATAATTACTATAATTCGAGTCCAACTCATGAATGCGTAGATAGAAAGGAGTGACAGTAAAGAGGGTTGGTATCACTTAAGTTCTAATAGGTACCTCTATCGTAATATCATCCAACCTCAACTCTATATTACTGGAGGATATTTTAGTATAGTTTTAATAGTATTTGGTGGGTCTATCATTCACTGTTCCTATATATTGTGAGTTGGAGACTATCAGTTTACTACGAGTTAAGGACCTCAACCACTGTATCACTACATCAGACCAATATACCTACAAGTCATGAGAAAAATAGCAAATGATCGCTCACTCCACGGCACAATGTTCAAGTATATAACATCTCCTAGTTTTGCTCCCAGAATCCTCGGTTTCCCGTCCATCACCAAATTATCCTCCTTGCCCTCCAGAAACACCAACAAGAATAAAAGATATCTCCACATCATAGCAAAGACACAACAAACCAAAATGCCTTTGGAATCCTATGAAGATTATATCCCTACGGAGAACGACCTCTACAACAAATGGCTCGAAGTCGGGGCTCAATTTATTAACATGCTCCCTGGCTGCCACTGTACCTGCGAGCATCGCCTCATCAGTATCTGGCCCCGAGAGTACGTAGCCTACGCAGACACCCCTGAGGAATTAGACCGTCTCGAAAACCTAGACCTATTTATCACCGTTCTGAAGATCGTCGTATATACAAATCAGTTCGAGAATACCGCACGTCTCAAGGAAAGCATCAGAGCCGCTGCTCAGACATTGGGCAACTGGAGGAAATACATCCATTGCGAACTGTATTCGCAGGACGGCACCCTGATGGATAAGGCCGTCTGGAAGCCGACTATTCATCTTTCACATCCAGGCATGGTGAGCGGATCAAATATCGAGTTTCAGTTCAAGCCATTCGAAAGTTAGTTAAGATCATCGAAAGCAAGATGGAACCGTGCAGGAATCTCCGATAACTACTAGATACTTATGCATAGTGAATTTCAACTACGATAAGTCATCTACATAGCATCTATCAATACATTATCTACATTTTTATCAAACCTCACGACCCAGTTTTGCTATTCTTCGTAAATATATATGTATTAGCTATAAACGTGTCTATGCTCTCTAATATACTTTCGTATGCCAGTATTCTACCAGCCTTCAAGCTCTTTGTATCCTGATAGTTCTATATAGCAATGACTACTACTGGAAGAAAAAAAAGTTCGAAGCCTTCGAATTCTCTTTACTACAGCAGTCATACAGAGTATAGTATGACTTACTTCCGATCCAATTATGAACGGCCTGCCTTGATAGTATCAATACCGCGCCTCTCCTCTCGATTCCAGAATTGAAAATCGTTCCTACGATAAAAGGGAAAAAATCGCTTCGCTCCTATCACCCATCCTAACCCCCGCGCGCACGCTCACACCTGCATTTTGGCCCTTTCCCACGAATTCGAAAACTCTGAGGGTATAATCTAAGTAGTACAGAGTTCTCTCTCTGTCTGCTGATACGACAGAGGGTATTCTAAAACAAAAGGAAAGAGCAACGCCATCTGTTTTCAACTATCCCAACCAATATATGCTTTCATTATGCTAATCGAAGGCAGTCGTAACTCATAGCTTCCTAAACGGACCAGACTGGCTAACCGTTTTGATTTATGATAGGGTATTAGATGTCTTAATCGGCGCCGATGGTGTAGTTTCTCGGTTGCGGGCTCACCGCACCACTACCGCTCATGCTGACGCTCGTGCTACCAGAGAAGTAGCTCTGATCAATTCGAGAGATCCAGTCAAGCTTTTCGCGCTCGTTGCGAGCCGCAAACAGCCACGTGTTGTCTGTCCCATAAACAGCAAAAACGCCCGCCTGCAGACGTTCGTTCAAGCCGCCAAGACTAGGACCTGAAGACCTGGAATTCCCAGACCAAACGGTTGATACGGTCCGACCTGACGGTGTCCGATGATGGCCTGGCTGGAAGTTCTCGTGAGTATTACCATTCGTTGGAGTTAACCCATCTGGTTCGTCATCATGGCCATTGAACAGTGATAGAATCTCTGGCTGGCTATCAACCCTAGAATTGCGAAGACTGACGATTGCTACTTCGTCACCGTTACTGACGTTATGGATATGGAGATAAGGTCTTCGGAGCTCCACAAATCTCTTGACCCATTTGCTGTAATCATTGTTGGGGACTAAAAGATAGCCTCCTTTGAGGACTTTCGGGTTTTTCGGAACTCGGATGACGGTAGATATCAACCTGGGCGGTGTCACAGACTCAGGTGCGACGCCATCTGAGGGAGGTGTTGTATTTGCTGGGCCAAGGATCCGGGCTGTAGGGTCCGGATGTCGCAACCAGAGCTTTATGCATTTGTTGAGGATAAGGATTTCATGCTCGTTGTACTCTGGCTCTTGGGGCTGTACAGGTGGTTGCTCAGAAGATTGCTCGGGCTGCTCCGATGGCTGGTCTACCTTGTCGCCCTCGATCGACTCTGGCTGCTTCGGCGTGGACGGTCGCGATGTCTCTGGGGTATCGTTAAGGAGTGCGTTGATCGAATCCTGATCATCATCATGGGTCTGAAGCTCCGGGGAAATATCATCGTCGGAATTATCCTCATCTTCAGCAAGCTTTTTCTTTGGCTCAGGTAGGCCAATCTTTTTGAGGAATAACTGGGCGGCCGCGATTTCAGTAATACGTCTCTTTTTCTTCCGCGCAGTAATGTAATCGCCTATTAATGAAACTCCCCTTGGACCCCAGTTGCTCAAATTCTCTTCGCCCTTTACATAGCTATGCAAACTGTTCATCCTCCATAGATCGCCGACCCGCTTAATAGGTGCCGGTCGCATGGCTAAGGTAAAGATGGCTGTAGAGGAATGCACGATCCGAACATGCTGGAATAGAGCCGATAGCATTGACGTCTGCCGAACAAACGTCCTGCCCAAAATCTGGCAATAAACGTTCGTTGAGAACTTCATTGGCTCGGCAAGATTGTCGGCAGTTATATCCCAGGACAGGGTCATCTGCACTTTGTATTTGTCTGCTGTTGTGCGATCAAGCAAAAGAGAATTGTGTAAGCTGGAATCCCATTGCCCTGAAATAGCCATGCCTCGCGTGCCGTTTGCGTTTTGGCGGCGATAGGGTTTCGCGCTTAGTCTTAAGGGGATATCGGGCGCAGGTGATCCCATATCAGGGATTTTTGCCGGCGTGGTCGACAAGCTGGATCTTGCCAATGCGAACCGAAACGATATCCTCCCATGGCAATGTATCTCCCGAGCTATGTGTGAGGTTGATCGCCACCCGTCTTTGAAGTCCTTGGTGTAATTGAAAAGTGCCAGTGTCGAGCTCACTTGTTTGCGTGACCTCCACAGGAACATATTCTCCGTTCTCGTTAAGTTCGAGGATCTGAACCCGGGCAAGTAGATCGTGCTTCTCCTCAGTGTAGAACTGTGTTTCATTTATTCGAGCGCCCGGAGAATCATGCCCGGGGTTAGGAGTGGCATCACGCATCTCATCCCAACTCAACAATTTGTCGAGGTGCATTGTAGAAACTTTGGCGAAAATGGCAATCCTAAGGTTGACGTCTCGAGACCCAAACAACGGAACGCTCATGCTATGGACACTGTCGAATCTTATAGGGCCTTCGTCAAAATCCTTAATCATTTGAGTTGTAGTGACGCTATCTGAGACACCGGGGATGAACAACTGCGCATGTACGTCAGTTCCCTCTCGCTCAGCAAAGCCAATCATGTCGTGCATAACAACATTGTATTTTAAAGTACTCGACGGAGCTCGGGCGCTAGAAGGTTCCAAGGATACTTTGATAATACCAATAGCATGAGAAGTATGAGGCGATAGGACGTCCAAGGTGAAATCCTGGACTCTGCTATCGAAGACAGCTCGGAGAGGGACATCACCTCGCCAACGAGAGAATACTCGGGCATGCAATTCTCAACAAAGGGATTGTCTAGCTTGAAATGCTGAGAGTACTCTGGCTGGTCGAGATATATGATGCATTTGCCGCATCTGCCTCACGCGGTCATGAAGCTTTTCTAAACTCCAGAGATGGACGACGGTGTTCTTGTAGTCGACAACGCGAACTCCTACACACGGCTTTTGAGCTTCGTCAAGGGCTGGATCTTCACCCTCGCTTGGTACATCGTTCAGTACCATATCATAGGAAGAACAGCGCGCGTGACCGATATCCACGACCGTGAATTGGAAGACAACGTTCTCCCCCAGTTCCTCACTCATAATCTGTGCCTCCTTGAGGGCAGTCGCATGTTGTAGGACGGCTTCGGCCATCTGTACGTAATGCCGGCCCCTCCAGTGCGTGATGGTCTTTTTAGCCCTCTCAATCTCCTCTTCAGTTAACTTCGGCTTTGCCTTGGGTCTCTTCAGGGGGTCGAGCTTTTCAATCTTAGCCTCGAACTGCTGCTTTTGGGTTTCTAATTGCTTTTGCATGTCAGCTTTTAGCTGGACCAGAGTCTCTTCCATCCTAGCTTTCTCCTTTTTAATCTCCTCCACTTCAACGTTGGCCACGCCGGCGCTCTTGAGCTGCCCTTGGTATTCATCTTTTTGCCTCTCCAGCTGATCTTGCATACTATCTCGCATTTCTTTAAGCCGATCGTCCCCTTCGCCGGCCTTCGGAGTAGACGGCATCGTAAGCGCCGTATCCAACGAGAGGTTATCAATTGTGCCAGTCGACATATACTTCTCCCTAATAGGATAGGAAGTGTTAGATTCTGAATCGTCATCGCCTTCGCGATCATTGACGCGCTCAGCCCTAGCTCGCTGCACATCTTCGAACAGCGCATTAAGCTCCTCGTCTGTCAAACTTTGAAGGTTCTTATCTGTTCCGAGGATGGCACCCGCGGCTTCTCGTCGTGCAAAGGACCAATCTGTATCACGCTCGCTTCGATACGGAGCGGGTGAGTCTGGGCGACTGTCAGGAAGCTCGGAACCAGCTTTGCTGAATGATCGTTCGTGACCTGGCCGTGGGGATGGAGATGTACGTTCTAAATCTCGCAACTGGCTTGCAGTAACGGACTGCCGAAGTAGACTTTGCCGGTTCTCGTCCCTTTCTGCACGAGCCTCCATAGGATGATTGAATCTGAATATATGAAAGTCGCCCAAAATGACACGGAAGCCAGAATGCAATCGTGTCGTCTCTGCGATGCGCTTTCCGTTAACCATAATAGACGCACCTTCGCTTGGTGTTATTGTAACAATGCCGTCTGAAGAATTGTCAAAGCAACAATGCTCATGAAGAATTCGAGTACCGTTGAGACGGATATTTGCCTGATGCTCCGAATTCGATTCCACATTTCCTACCGTCGTCCTGCCCGGCTTGAGGTTATAGACCAGACATTCCGCGAGAAGAGGGTCATCAGACAAGTTGACCAAGTGAGGCATCTTCTTGGGAGTATGTAATCCCACGAACCCCTTTTCAATGCTGATACCGAGTTCTTCAAGAGCAGCTTCTCGCTCCTTGTGGATCTCTTCCGTCTTTAGGAGTTTCTCTTCCCAGGTTTGGTTGAGATCGGTCAACAATTTCTCACTTTGGCTTAGCTGTTCAGCAATTTCTGCCTTTGATACCTTCTTGACAGAACCATCGGACTGCGTAATGCTGACGATCTGTTTCTCTAGAGGTGTACCTTCAGCATAGACTTCTTCTGGGGGACGGCAGAGCCGCCGGAGCCACCGCCACCACCTCCTAATTTGCTTCGCAGTATTGATAATTCTTCCTTCAGTTCTCTAATCATGCGAGCATTCGCATCTTCGTTAACAACAGCATGGTTCTTAATTCGCTTAGCGGAGTCAGCATATCGTAGAGTACTTAAAGTTTCGTCGTAGTTGATATCAGCCGGACTGATTGCTGCAATCATAGCGGTCATACTGTTTCCACCGAGTGAGTCCTTTAGAAGCCACGTTAAAACACTATCTCGGTATGGAACGGTTCCTCCCGGTCCTTTCTTCTTTTTCCCCGTTGAGAGGTCGGCTAATGCTGCTATCACACGGCCAAGCGTCGAGAGGGACCTATTGATCTCAGCACCTTCCTTTAGTCGAGCACCAGTAGCACCAGTTGACGTTGCTCTCTCCGAACCAGCTAAATCGACCAAGCTAATTTTCGCTTGCTTCTCCATCTCCATTTTCGTCTCAGCATCGTACTTCTTTTGTGTAAGCATGAGCGTGAACACGGCGTGACTCCTACTGGATGTTTCATTCATATTTGTCGCAGCAACTGTTCTTGCCTTGTTGCCTTCGTCCATAAGGTGCTCGATCTCCTGAAAGCTGCTGACCACCAACTTGGCGAGATCCTCTACGTAAGGACCAGTTGAGGGATGTTCTCGGACCTTCAGGTTCCCTTTTGTAGACGGATTTAACAAATCCCGTACCCTTTCATTATAAATCTCGAGATACGACACTTCTACAGTACACCGTGTCGTCTTGTCTTTCTGCAATTCTTCGATTCTCCTAAACATATCCTGGCAGATGTGGGGTATAATACCGGCCTCTTTGCCATATCCCATCATAGAATATGACTTGCCAGAACCTGTCTGTCCGTAAGCAAAGATACAGTTGTTGTATCCTTGAAAAGCATTGTCCAAAAGTGGCTTTCCAAGATCGCCATGTAAGTTTTCTTGGCCGGCGTAGTTTGAGTCGCTTTTGTTAAAGGACCAATATGACTTATCAAAGGCGAACGACTTCAGCGAGTTGTCTTTTGATCCTTTGGGGCCATGAGCAGCTTCAGCGGGTGGTGTCAGAACCGTTTGGTTGCCTTTCATCTCAACAATACATTTTGCCCCACGGTCGATTTCTATAGTGAGTTAGCATCCAGCCAGTCCAAGCGTAAAAGCCCGACAGAGTTATCTAAGCCTTATTAACCTAGCAAATAATCATAACCGTACCTCTACTGTTAAAGGGCCGACATCTCACCACCACCTTAATATTTCCTCCACCGGCGGGCGCCATGATAGCTAGTTGAAGGAGATGCCCTCCTATCCACTACAGCTATTCACCAAGTATGAAGCAGAGTCGAGGCATCCGACAGACAGGGCGCGCAACGATAGCTTTTAGTGGGGACGTTTGGTGTAGACCTCGCGTCACAAAGACTCTTAAAGCCCCTCACTGATTTTTGAAAGATCGCAGTCGGATAACTAATTTGTCCAGCCCTATAATTTTTTGATAGATCCTAGCTTAATAACAATCCTAACTATTCATCCTCCCCTTTATTACACGGAGACGGCCGCGAAACTTAACCCGTAGCTCCCGTAAAAGCACTTAGTACCGGATGGCGACGGTGGAGTCGTGAATGCAGGGAGCAGATCGCCAAAAGCAGCCAAGCGGCTGCAGGTTGCCGTGGAATATGTATAGTGGGACGGCCAGATCGTGAGATGCAGAGGTGTGAGCGTAGTATGTAAGGCTTTCTTTTTCGCAGCAGGAGTCTATCGCAGAATGTCGGGCGTTGTCGCGGAGATGGTTATTGAATTTTGGTTGGTGGGATCAGTCAACAACTTGTTAACAAGTAAATGATTGTAAATGGTTGTAAATTGTTAATCGGGAACGCGATTCGCGACCAGGGGCTTCTCATTCGTCAAAGAAAGAGATAACTATGGGGTAAATGCCAAGAGATTCACGTGTCGGTATGATTAAACTCATTAGTTAAGATTAGGTGCTGCTGACCTAGTACAAAAGTTTGTGGTACTTGTCAGCTGCCTCGCCTTTGAACCAGTTGTGGTCAACTGATACCTGAGGATTTAAATTTAGTAATCTCCCCCCCTATTAGTCTACATTATGGCATAAAGCCACGAATAGGTATAAATGTCAATTAATACTCTATTAATAAGCCCCAATCAAGAATACGCAAATAGTGATACTGTTATACTAAACCAGACACTATAGATATAGTTGAGTCTACTATATCACCAATGTCCGAGAGAATTTTGACAATGCATACAGCTTTTTAATTATGACGCAGATGATCGGACTTCAAAGACCACATAAAACTATCGAGTTTTATCTATTTCAACCCTAAATCCTTCGCTAACTGACCCTTAGTAGTGGACGGGTAGAAGTCTTTGTTCTCCTCAAACGTCTTAACAGCCAAGTCCCTATCTAGCTCATTCAGTTTCCTATACAAAGGTCTCACGAACTTCATGCGTCCGACGGAACCGAGGAGGTCAACTATGCCAGATAATTCTTGTCTATCTCCGGCCTGGAGAGCGATTAGGTAATACGCCGATTTTAACTCGACATTCTTTGAGGAACTGATATTATAAGTAGTTCCTAAGAGATGCGACCTCTCAACAGTCAGAGGCTTCGAGAAGCTTTGTACTGCTTGCAAGAAGACAAGTGTCTGATTGGCCGTGAATGATTCGATGTCTTTACTGGTTGGTTGGTAATCCTGTAGATTGTGTGAGCTCTTAAGCAACAAAATTGTAAACCAAGTGTTAGGCAAGGCAAAGTCACTTACCTCAGTCTCCCATTTCTTAGCTAGCGCAAGGCAGCTGTCAACATAAGCCGTGTTGAAGTCAGGCTTTGGCGGCAGGCCTGGCTCGTAGAACTTCTCATCCCAAGGGATACTGGCAATCTTTTCCTTGATCTCCGAATTGCCATAACTCTCAAAGAAATCCAAGAAAGTCTTCTTGAACTCAAAAGAATCCAAGGACTTATTAGCCCACGTCTTGAAGTAATGAGGGATGAACTTGTCGAAATGTTCCCTTCCGACCAATCGGTCGAGGTAGTAGAGGAAATGAAAGCCTTTCTCGTATGGAATCGTACTGAAAGCATCCTCGGGATCCACCCCTTTATGGTTGATGATGAGTTTGGTAAACTCATGGCCAGACCCGAACAACGCGACAGAGTCCTCTATAAAATCGTTAGCGCTGAACAAAAAAAAAACATACGTCAAATTACATACCAAGTGCCTTCCAACCGATAATAGCTGAGAAGTCGAATTGAGGTTCGCCGTGAACGGCTGCGCCTATACGTCGCTCAAGGTAGGTTGTCCATCCCTCATTCAGCCAACTACAACCGTTTTAGCACCATATCACAAAATAGTCATCGACGGAGAAACATACAAGTGTTCCCAGGACGCACAGCCTACAAGGTTACCACTCCAACTATGACTCAGCTCGTGTGCGATTACATCAACATTCTGGCGGTCTCCACTGATGATAGTGGGCGTAGCAAAAGTGAAGATGGGATTCTCCATCCCTACAAGTGCATGTTAGCAGGATTCCAAGACGACCTAACCTAAGAAGTCTCTGGAAACCTTACCTCCGTAAGCGAAGCTCGGGGGCAGCACTAATACGTTATACTCTCCCCATTGGTATTCGAAGATCAGCTTCTCTGCTACTTCGAGGAACTTGTCCATATCCGCTTCGAGTTCCCATTTTGCACCCTCAAGCGCCTCGGGACCAGTCGTAACGACAGACCGTTTCCCAATGCGCGCGGTTGCGAGGTCGCCCGAGGCTAGGGCAAATAGATACGAAGGGATAGGCACCTTTTGCTCAAAGCGGAACAGCTTGTCGCCGTCTCCCTTGTTATCTGAAGGCACGGGCACCCCGCTAGCAACTACCGGTAGCGGCGAGGTGATGTTGAAAGTAAATGTTGACTTGACATCCGGAGTATCTTGACAAGGGAAAATAGATCGGGCTAGAATAGCTTGGCACTGGGAGTACACATACGGGTGCTTCTTGTTACCAGTCTGAGCTGGGGTCATCCATTGCAAACCAACGCAACTCTCAGTAGTCTCTAGGGCAATATCCAGCTTTACAACATCACCCTGAGACACACCATTTGGTACAGAGACATGAAGCGGTGCGCCATAAGGCTCGACTCGATCTTTGACAGCCCATTCTGAGTCGGCCGAGTCAAGCTTGACCGATGAAATAGATAGGTGATTTGTATCGAGAATGATCTCACGACTTGTTTTGTTGGTTAGAGACTCAAGCTCTAGGAGAACAGAGCCTTCTAGACGCTGCTTCTCAAAATTGACCTTGAAGTTTACGGTCGTGTGCTTGATACCCCATTCGCCATAATTGGCCAGAGTGTTAGGGTCACGAGGTGCCATGGTTCTTTTCGAGGCAAGGCTAAAGGATCGTAAATGGATGTGCACTGACAATTTGCTGTTTGTGAGCCGGATACTTCTCAACAGAAGACGCCCCCTCACAAAGCTATTCAGCTCTCTCATCGAACTGGAATATCAGCCACCTACCAGATTAAGCCAAGTACCTATGGGTTGGTACATGGAGTTTTTGCTTGTTGGTTCGTTCGGATAAAAGCCGTTGAACGCCAGCTTTGAGTACCTGACCTATGGAAGATACCTAAGAAAGATACTTAACCTAAGGAAGATGGCTAAGCGGGGCAATGATGCTTGTAGTTCCCGAGGTAAGCCGCCTCAAGCCTAAAAAAAAATATCTACGAAATTCATCTAAGAGAACGGAGTTAAGCCCCTCATTTATATATATATGTTTATTAACTAAATGTTTAATACTTGATAACTCCATAAAAAAAGTTATTCAACACGAAGCTTTAAAACCTCATATCTAATCGTCTTTCTTAGCCGTGATCCTTCCAAGACAACTTACATCATCATCATAGCAAATATAGAAATCAAAAATAAAGAAAAAAAAGTTGGCTTAAATATGAAAAGTTGAATAACTGGATTGGTAGGTAACCTGAAACGATGTTCCCTGATGGCTTACTTGCTAAGTTGTGACTAGCCTGTCACGAACTGTACCAGATCCTTCTACCCTGAAACAATCTTGCTTGAGAGCATCCTCGTTTTTTCTTGTTATCTATCGCCGGAAGCAGACCCGTCTCCACATCTAGGGTACTCAGTTTAAAGATGAGATGAAAATATTCCTAGAGGTCCAGAACGATTTACGTAACATGAAGAAAAACATCTAGGTTAAACGTCACTGACTTGGGTATGTGGAAATAGGTTGTCTAAACCCAACAACACCTTCTTAGGTTACGTATAAGCACTGAGGTTGTGACGGTTGGTTCAAACTTGCAGTATCAGGACTCTCTATGTAGGAAAAAGGGGGGGAGTAACAGAGCCAAGATGTTTTTGCTACTTAATCTGTCAGCTCAGGGGTAACATTCAAGTGTTTCTCACCGGCCGCTCTATTGAAGGATGACGGACAGCAAGGTTGGTGAGAATGACTACATACGGCCCTGCTTCGGCGATTGTGACTGCTTATCACTATGTAGTCGGCTGGCACTGTGACATGAGTGCTCCCATCCCGTTGGGTAAAGACTTGGTTATCCTAACGTCTTCGCGGTGCCCGTGCTCAAATCTTGGCATGCAGCTCGACTACTTAAGCACTTCTCTTCGCGATAGCTTCTTGGCAGAAGAAAACGCTGCACAGCACTGACCGTAAACAGAAAAGCGCTCCCGGACCTCATGGTGATATTTCTGCATGTCTGTAAGCTATGCCCTTTACATTTCCATATGTACATAGTTGCCGTCACTCGAAGCACGGAGATATCCAGGAAATTCGCTGTGATTATTTGAATGATAAGTATGATTTCACGCTTAATGTTGCATTAGTCTTGAGTAACTCTCCTTCCTACATTGGCAAGTTATCACTTGTAACTCGCAACTCTTCGATCACTGGGGTTCGAGAAACAGGATTCTCGAACCTGCATAATGCGAGGTTAAAAGCCTTTCCAGCATCTCAAGTGTATTATGCATTATGCATTGGGTCTAAGTACTAGTTATTTACTGCTGGTAAAGGTTGTTTCTTCCCCCAACCCAGCATGAATCCATACCGAATATTTCATTATGTACAAAATCATGTAAATACCTCTAAGGATAGGTATTTAGAATAAAAGGGGTTTGCAAACCCTTCAGATCATGGGTACGCGGGGAAGTCTAGGATCTACCCGGCACAGAGTACCAACTACGACTTAACTTAAACTTATCGTATCATTTATTATCGTCTCTGCTACTGTGACCTGTCAAAGCGAATACTTTCTCCATCGATATTTTAGTTTTCATGTGGAACTGCTAGGCTTAGCAATTGTCTTCTAGCTTCAGAAAACCTAACAAACCCGTTCTAGCCTCATTTTTGACGGCGCGGGAGCCTGGCCGTGAAGGCCAGGCACTGCTAAGTTTGGTACTGAAGTCGGAAATGAGGTCTGACTAGCAGCCCTGCCAAATTGCCATGTGCTGGGCTAGGCCGTGCAGTGGATTCATGCGTGGGGAATAAGACCACCTAAAAATTACTCTTCCTGTCTACGCGAAATTTATGAGAACCTTGTTGCTTAAAACTACTTTGATACGGATTAAGTCCTCGATTCGGCTAAGGCCGTTCTTTAATAAGCTAGTAAACTGGAAAGTTCCGTTAAACAGGTCTAGTATATGTTCAAGTAAACTGATATCGTGATATTGCGTTGGAGTTCGAAATTTGAAATGGTTTTTTGTACCGATAGAACCTGTTGGAGATGTGTTAGTGTCTAGTATTCTAGTATTATCTGAGTTAACTACCTAAGGTAGTCCAGAAGCTACATCTTCAGTATCCTTTAGAAGCCAATAAAATCCGGATTAGCATAATACTCCAACTGATTTGATATGGCTGGCGACGAAGTTCGTAATAATCCACGAGCGTCGGGTCCCATTTTTCAATAAGTGTCTACATAGCGCTCGGGCGCGTTAGATGAACCAAAGATCAGTTTTCATGCCAGTTTGGTTTCCACTATTTGACTTCACCCTTCCTACATATCTAGGTACATATGCGCTACTACCTCTGTTAAAATTAGCATTGGTTACCTATTTATGATCGTCTCAAGGGATCAAGTCACGTATTTATGTTGAGGCTTAAGCAACACGGCGCGCCAAAAGAAGAGCGTTGTCTGCGGGTGACATAATTGAGGCTGGCTAGAACTAGTTAACGGTAGTAGTTCAAGTTTTTCCCACTGTAAATCTAATATTAAATTGACTTGTAAATATTACAGTGGTCGCGGCGGATATGGAAGGCCTCCTAGAATTCCCTCGCGTTCCACAGCAGTGTGTGGACTTATGCCGATAGGTTCTGTACCTGAAAACCCCGCAGGACCCTGTCTCGTTGCCAGGAACAGGTAAGAGACTAATTCTGGGGGGCCTTGTCGATATCGTAATATTTTATCGGTTAGATTCCTTGGGGTGCTGATCTTTCTGATCCCTGACTAGGTATGTTACTCCCAGTTCCATGGCAGACGGGAAGGGTGATCATAAATTCTACGTTAAGTTCATAGAAACAAATTTGACAGTCTAACTATTGTTAAACTTCATAACCCAGACGTATCGATTGCTTACTTAAAACTGGGTAATACGAAAGATCCAATATTGGCCTTGTAATTTTATAATCAGTTGTAATAAGAATAGGTATTGTGCAATGCATTCGCGTTTCTTCATTAGTTGTATTTTGTGTTTGTGAGATTATAAGGATATGGAGGTTGTCAGGTTGTGAGGCCGTAAGATAGTGTTATTAGTTACATAACTATATCTTCCTTCTCGCGCTGTATGCTGCTTTAGGGTTGTCTACCTCATAGTAGTCCTACCATGCTTCTCTATTGCGTAAAAGCCAAGTCTTGGGGTCCTAGAGCTTCTGGTCGTTCATTGCGTTTTGTTATTCGGCAGTTGATTGTTTCGGGTTTGCCCATGACATGAGACTCCTGGTTTGAAACACCAGTAATAAATGATCATCCCGATCTTTAAACGTTCGGATGACGTTATGAATTGGTTTGAGCTGGAGCACGGGTTGTCTCAGCCTTGTCCATTCCGTAGGCGCCGACGGTCTGGTCGAAATCTACAGCATCTACGGCGTAAATCAAAAGTACAGATATCAATTTTTTTTTTTGTTTCCTTATACTAATGTCGAGCTATGCACTCTCTTAAGTTCTATCACAGATAACACTAAAAGATAATTTTCCGACCATGCAGTTGTCACCTACATGCCCAGCTCTGCCCCACGTCATTGGTGACAGCGGTATTATGTCTGAAAAGGGGGTGAAACGCAAGAGATGTACATATTATACCTGCATCCATACCTGTCTTAGTCCCACTAGCTACGATATCAGAATCTGTAAATAAGCATTAGAATTCTCACCAAGAGCAAGTCTTCTAACTTTAAGTTGACTCTACATAGATGGCTCTACCGTAGCCGCATAGGAATTAGTAGAGGCACTTCCTTAGAAAGATTGGGAATGATCAACCCTTTCAAATACCTGCTATGCAAGACAGAATACGAAAAATTTAGTCATAACCAGTTACGCCGCCACTACGCCACCGCTATGCACTAACATCTCGAGCACAGACAGTCCCGATTAGAACCTTGATATGTAAACTTACCGATCGAACATCCCGGAAGTTGAATTATTCGTATTTCGGGGGATTCTCATTTATCCAACTTTGAAGTAAAGGCATAGTTGCCCCCCTAAGATACCTGGAAACGAAGAACACAAATATTGATATCAAGAACTTTTCAATTGCTCTTTAAAAATTGACCACTATGTTAGTGATATGTAAATGCACTTCTATATTTCATAATATCTTAGGTACCTTTTAATAATCAATACATACTAGAGCATCGTTTCAACCGGACCACAAGTTGATACCAAGATTTTCATACCTCAGTTAACCTCTTGATCCGAAATGGATTTCCAACTCTATCGCTTACCCCATGAGCGAATAAGTGGAAAACTAGATATCTTGAAGGCTCATCTCCTAAAGAAAGTCACGCCATACCTTCCAAGGTTTTGGGTTCAAAGACTAACTAGCGGTTAATGAGGCAGCTTTTGTGGTCACGCATACCTCATCGGCAAAGGCGCGCGGTAACCCAGCACTTCCATCATATACAACTTCAAGATCGTGACCACCCACCTCTTCAACGACGGTGGGGCTAGCATGCACGTAGGGCGCTATAATTCCACAATTTCTGCCAGTAAAAGAGTCAAAAGATAGTAGCCCAAGATAATGTCATTACTACCTGATCCAGGTACTCGCTATGGGGTAGATAGTTTTAAATCCCGCATGGCCATCGTGATCAAATATGATTTAGGTATCTATGTTCGTCTAGATGAGGCATCCCGATGATGATCAGGGTCTGAGGGTAAGTTGGATTTTATCATGATTGGGAAGGGTATGTTGGCTAGATGAAGATCTAGTCAAGCAGGTTCATCCCATGGCGTAGTTATTTCCCGTGTTTAGATCTTTCAGTTGACGCCCGGTCCTAAGGCTTGCATCCCACTAACATTGTATTAGTATAAGATACTCGCCGAGAACTGTCATAGCGATAATAAAAGCTGCATAGGCGCCTGCACATATACCCCAGATACCCAGGTAACAGTTAAGCTAGCTAGAAAATATCAGAGCATTTCCTCCGGCTTTTGCGTTGCGATGTCACCATCTCCGCAGATCAATATCCAGACATATGCACGTACTGCCTCCGCGCGCTCGGGTATGTGATGAGAATCACGCCGGGTAACCTAAAATCAAACACTAAGGACTTAAAGTATACTAGCTGGTTATTAAAGGTAGTTATGTACTTAATGGTGTTTCTTAATGTTTTTTCTAAGCTTGTTTTGTTGCTCTTAACGTTATCCCCCTTCGGAAGTTTTTAAGAGATTAAGTTGCATGTATTTACTACCACCTATAGTATTACAACTCTTACTTATATGTATGTACGACCTAGATAAGGAGAATAGTTACAGCGATTTGAGGCTTTTTTAAGCGAATATACTTATCCTCGGTTAGTGGCTACCTGACTTATCCTTATGTAGGTATGTATGTATTCCCAGGGTCCAACCAGTCGGATCTATGTACACATCTATGTATACCAAGCGAATATGACGTCCTCTATTTCTCTCCATGATGTGGTGTATCGGTATGTAATCGGTATGTATACGCATAAACTTAGTACCCAATCCGGCAGGCAATTCAGTAATATGGTAGAAGTCGAGAACTGTTCGACGTATTCTGTAGTTCTGTAGCTCTGCAGCATGCGTCACAGAACAGTTCCCTCTGTTTCAATTAAGCAATATTGAAAAGCTTCACCTAACTTATTACAAGCATATCTATATTATAACAACCATATCCATGTTCCCGGCCCTGGGCTACCCCTGTATGTCCAGGGTCAAAGCTCTACCAACCTAGCTCTATTCAGTAACCCTGTCCAGGGCTTAAGCGGTTTCAGTACCCTGTCAAAAGGTAACATTTTTGGACCTCGACCAAACTGTTTCCCGATGTATCTAAACCCTTTTTCGTATCTTGCCCCGATCCTGAGTTCAACCAGCGTTGAAACGCAGCCTGGCCATCTTTGTTGAGGGGTGTAATCTACACTACATACAGCTACCTACATACTATGTACAGCTGCGAGTACAGTCTCATCGAAGCCGGGTCGTACATGTACCTATTATCCAACATCGGAATGCATTCGGTACGGTATCATGTCTCGCTCCTAAGTGGAGGTTGCATCCCAAGTTCCCTGATGCATTTGGCCTTACAATCCCCTTATCCGCTTCGCTATAGGATACAAATTCAGAGAGCATGGTACCAACTATAATTTGTGTATTAAGGACATGCATATCCTGTTTCCCTTGCCTCTCCGTTTTCTCCATACGCCTATTACACAACGTCTATCACCATGAAAGCTGGAGCTTGAGTGTGTGCATATTTTTGGTAATTTCATTGCTCGTTTGTCGCGCACATAATGACTTCAATCCGCCACCTTTTCCGCTTGCCGTCCGCATGAGAAAACCTTAATTCATTTCCTTGCTTATAATAATTCCTTAGTGTAATCTTCTAGGGACCCTGGTCATAGGTTCTAATGGCTCATATAGCTGCCTGTATGTTTGATAGTGATGGAGAGTTTAGTAGCCTCAGAAGTTATATAGCGAATGCTTTCTCAGCTCAAGCTTCTACTGAATCGGTATGATCCTTATCCTTATCCTTTTTTTAATTCTCGATGGCCGGTTCCAACTAATTGTCATTACCCTATAGCTATCATCTACAAGCTCGTGCGAGGAGAAGAAGCCATTTGTCTGGAGAATGCAGAACCCGGAGACTCGGAAATATCAGCTGTTCCCAAGAGAAAAACAGCTTCCATCAGCTACTAGTGGAAAGCAATTGGATCCGGAGCAGGCCTTCGCGATGGCTATGGGACAGACGGACAAGGCCTCCGTGGGCAACGGCCTCCGGATGCGTATCAAGGAACACAACTTAAATCGGAGGAGAAAGATCAGCGTACCCGAGTTAGGCCCTATGACGACGGTACAGGAGGTTGCGATGGATTCACGTAAGTAAAATAACTCTCAGGATGTACATCTAATATTAACTGGCTGGTAGCAACGATTCCGGGCCGGCCTGCGTTACATGAACGATCCATCAGTACTCCTGTCAACACTTGGCGCCAGCGTCATTTCTTTGAATTTACCACAACCTCCGTTAAAGAGTGTCCGGAGGAGAACCTAGAGGGTTTTACAGTCAGAGATGCACAGACGTCTACTTCAGTTCCAAAGCAACCGCTTTCTCCAAAGGACCTGGCGCCCTTAACGATACCAACGCAGAGCGGTCCGATTCCAAGGCTAGCCCGGCAGCTTTCGTTAAGCCGACTTAGATCTAGGGATTCACAACGGGATACGCAACAGGAGCCGACAATCCGATTAACACGGACTGAAGAATCACCCAAGATACGAACTCCATTCACACCTGCTTCGAGTTCGGTCTCAGCTACGACCCCTATGTCGGCGACTACTGCTACGACCAACTCGACGCTCCCGACACCTTTATCGGCACCTGCAGAATACCGGGGTTCTCCAAAGCCATGGGACAGGCTAGGTTCAACCACACCTGTAGCCACTATGCAGCAAACCATTGATACCATGGCGACACCAAAGGTAGAGCCCTGAAATACAATCACGAGCAAACCCAAGTCCGTCTCATAGACGTGGTCGATCCGACTCTGGGGTATTATGGATCGCGGACGTCCACGGAAGCGAAGTGATGGCACACCAATTGGTAGTATTGGTAATATTAATGGCAATGGTGGTGGTTTAAAGCGAAGCAACTCTAAGAGGAGCGTCAGCGCTGAACGCCGTGCTTTCGAGAACCTACCTCAGGGATGGAAACCCAGCGAAGCAGTCAAGAACATCGACTCATCTGAAATTGCTTATTTGCAAAAGCAAGCCCTAGGTCAAACTCTGAGGTTTGAAGTACTCAAGAAGGATGATGTCGAAAACCTCTCCAAGGTAGGCCCCAAATCTCTTAACATTACTGTCCATAATCTAATCATTCATAGGAACTACGCCACCTCGATGAGCGAACAGAGTATCTTCGTCGCACGTATACATCTCTTCGTGCCGGGCGCCGAAACCTTCACAGCCGCATTTGCCAGTACTTGAGGTCACCTCGCGTTGCTAAATTTAGCTACGAGTCCATGTTAAAGCAAGAGGAAACTCTTGCCGAGCTTGACGCTTCAATTGATGATTGGGTTACGAAACTTGAACAGGCTGAAAACAGACGAACTCGTGTTAGACAAAAACTCCTTGAGCATGTTGCCGCCGCCTCCACGCTTTCGGTAATTAAAGATATCGGCATCACAAGCGACGTTCTTCAACAGGTCATGGGTGTTCGGCTACCCAATGGCACTTCGGATATCTCAACGCCACCTCGGAGCCCAACCAAGAATAATGCTCCTATTCAGTCTCAGTCCCCGTCGCCATCTCCATCGTCATCGCCACAGCGTGTCGTCGCTCGAGTACCTTCAATGATCCCCGAGCTACCATCTGAAGAGGCTGAGGATGATGTAGCCAATGGTAACCGAAAGAGTTCGATGGAATCTACTCTACAGCGAATGGAAAGCATTCGCATTTATGCCGACAGCGATGTCTACGCTCTCCTAGCTGATGTCGAGAATGAATTCACTAAATTGAACGTCGGTATTGCAGACTCTGAACTTACTGGATCGCCGCGATCAGAAGAGCACCGTAGAATTTTACATCGCGCCCACAGCCATGATATTATCAGCAACCAGCATTCGAAATGTCTCAACAAGACGCCGCCTACTTCGCCCCCTGCACCTGCGCCACCGATGAAGAACTCCCCCACCAGGGAGCGAGCTGATGTTTTCTTATCCTCCGCCGTTTTCCAACCGGGTCGGACCCCTTCGCCCAATTAAACTATACTACTTTCTTCGATGCTTAGGCACACTTATTATTCGTATTACTTAGACTTACGAAGTTCATTCCTTGCTTTGCCTAACGACTTATTACGTTCATTTTTTTTTACATCATGACGATCGACGATTTACGGCCGGCCACAGCGCATTTGCATTCTTATATTACACTTCTAGTCATTCCTTTAGACATTAGCATTTACGACCCTAGACAACCAGGCGTTATCGCATTTTTACACACTTATTTCCTTTATTACTTATCAGGAACTTGTTCCTTCACATTCTCTCTACTATACTTTCCTTAATACTCATCTCAAGGCGTCAGGGTCATCCCCGGATTTGTTGTTACATGCCTCTGATATCGACGGACACCTCTATACCCAGTGCGTTAGGTACCGTTCAGTGCGTCATCGAGGCTGAAAAGGATTACTATTCAAGAGTCTGTATTTTACCCGTCTTATTTTGGCATAAAAGGGGTCGTTGGTTTGAGGTTGCATGGGCTAGTGTGTAGGATTCGTATGGGAAAGGAAGGGGGGAGGTATTATGGTGCTAAAAGAGTGTAACATAGTCCCAGAGACTGAAATACCAACACGATCTAGGCCGCTTAGGAGCTCGAGAGCCCAACGAGATAGATCCTCCGCCTGTAGGCGGCTCAACTTTTTAGCATAGATTTACACTATCGCTATAAGACTATTGTTAATCGAGAAGACTTCTGCCACAACCCTCATCTGCTCCATCAAGATGCATATGTCGTAACCGTCAGTGATACCTCAGTAGACTCGTCTAAGGTCGTCTCGTTTCATTTTTGCGATCTACATACTGAAGATCATCACTTATCGAACCGAGCAGCTGTCGAGATATCGTGCTAATATTCAACATCTCGTCGAGCTGAAGAAATATCGAATCCTTTCCGCCTACCGATCAAACAAAACTCCGCCGAGAACCAAGATCCTTCGAGACGACGTTAGTTAGAGTCCCATGATGCAGTGTTCCTAGGATTCGTTTCTGCTGCGCCGCCACGAGTTGCAAGCCCACTTATTACGCTTTATTACCTGCAGACGCCCCTCGGTACATCGCAGATCCTCCAGGCGTGGTATTCGTCCCATCTCAACCTATCCCCACATCGCTCGCCTGCCGTAACACGGACGCCCTCTTATGCCCCTCTGAGGGATCCTTTCGGCGATATGGGTACGCTGTGCTTAGATAGGTAGGTAGGTAGGTACTTAGACCTGAGAGCTATCGGCAATGCCATATACAGCAAGAGTCACAGGAAAGAGGAATATACAAGGTATGTAGTAAGCTACTGTTCTGGGAGATCTTTTCTATAATGACTATTCTGATGCTATCCCGCCGACGAACTGTAAGTCCGATGGCTATTTTCATACGGTATATGTAAGGGCGGCCGTGTCAGAAGTCGTCGGGCTAGACTAGCCTATTACACCTGTTCGATTTAGTAGGCTAGACGAACTCAGCTCGCACAAGAAACGCAACTTCTTTCAACGGAGCAGAGTTTGTTTGTTTGGGATGTCAGCTTGATGTGGTGCCCTGCGGAAGAGCGTAAGTTAGGCCGGATAGGTTGAAGGACGAAGAGTCCAACACCCATTTCCTAAGTAGGCAATCTATAGGAGACACGCCTCTAGTCCATCACGAGGTCTATCATTACTTCTACTAGAGCCAGAATAACTGCAAGCAATATTGTCTTCGCTAATATCATCCCCGTTGAGTGTGGGGGCTCCTACATGGGTTACACGTGCATCTATACACTACCAACACTCATATACAATGAATTACCTAGATAGTCACGCCGTAGGATATACTCAGAGCAAAGTGAACACGACATGCTAGAGACCACCCAAGATAAATAATACAGTAACTCAAATATAATCAAATCCCACCACCACCACTACATCCTCTCCCACCTCAACCCCACGCCGCCACCAATCACCGAGCCTCAACAGCTATAAGCTAACTGCGTCATTCCCCTCGAAAGGATTACTTACGGCCGCATACACCGGCCATCAGGAAGAGGCCATACCCAGATCGAGGCCGAGGTATCTTTTTTTTTTTTTTTTTCGTTTCGGCTGTGTGGCGTCATCAACGAAGAGATGCGGTCGGTTCCAACTGCGGTGCAACGTACAAAAGACCCGACATGCCTGCGGGAGGGTGCGGTGTGCCCTACATACCTACCTACCTACATAATGTCAAGCTTGGCTTGGCTCGATGTAGATGGGGATGCAGAGTTAATTTTAGCTGCTTGTGGTTACGAGATAGGCTTTCAAGTAGGGCAGGTAAAGCAAGATGCAAACTTGTGTAGGGTAGTATCATGTATGTAGGTAGGTGGGTATTGAAGATACATCTACATTTACATCTACATCTACATCTATATCTATATCTACCTATATCTTAGGTACATTCATGTGCGTAATGTAAAAGTCCCGACAGGCGTAAGGCGGTCTAAAAAGACCCCTGATGCAGGAGAGCGGCAAAGGGGGGGGAGAGGGGGGCAAACCCAACTGCAACTACTACTGGGCGCCAACGTTTTATAGTATGCATCTCGTACTTGGTGAAATATTCGTTTCGTTTCGTGTGGTGGGCCATTTCTTTCAAGGGGGGAGAATATTCATATACCCACAGATCGTTGATTTACATATCGATGTAACTTAAATATGTACCTAACCTACCCTTATCTAAGGTACATGTATCTATGCCATTTAATGTTGGTCCGGCACGTGTCGTGCACCCCCGGTCTTGGTGTTTGAATTTTGGGTTGCAGCTTTAACTTACATTGCAGAAATGCAGGCATAAAAGCAAGATATGCCGAATATCATGATCTGATTATCGTCATTGATGCATATAATATGAGGGGTTAGAATAAGAATATCTAGGTTGATATAATTGTCTATTAATTTATTATACGTAAAGAATATGTGGATATTCGCCTTAGGTATTCACGGATGGTAGCATCATAGGATTTGTTGGTCTTATTTGTTGGTCTTACAGCAGCTGGCGTAGAAACCGGCCTCGAGATACTTACTGTAACAATATTACACTGTTCTTGATACCAAACTGCGCAAGATCACGAGCCTGCAGCGTGACTAGTCACTTGACGATCACTGCAGATTTCTTTAATAAACCTGTTGGCGTTTTATCATGTACATCTGTACATCGCATGTAGGTTGGTGGAATTATACGTATGCATATGCAGATGACCGTTACCCCTAGTTCGTCTAAGACATCTGGTAATTCAGGATACTTCAGGATATATGGCGCAGGGCTTAATAGCTATGCAACAACCGAGGTCAGTTTGTATTCAGCAGAACTATCCTCAACATAATCAAGATGAGGTCTCAGCGTGTAAAGTACCAGAGTCTACTAGACTTGCCCAGTAACCACTCATCTCCTCTGCGAGCGTCTCAGCCGTTCGGCCTTGATTATCTGCAAGCGCTCGGATATCTTCCGAGGCCAACGTGCTCGGTCGCTGGATCCCCATTACTTGCGCTATTTGTACGGCCTCCCCGGGGAATGATCCTGTTGGAAGAGTTGATGCTATCCACAAAAGCAACCAGACAACTTCCTCTTGCCCCTTTTCCACCGCGATATGCAGGCCAGTCTGTGAGTCTGCTAACGGGTCTTGATAGCGAATAATGCTTGCAGCATTCATTGTAGGCTCGTCTCCTTGCGCTTGTTCCGCATCGCGGAGGAGCTCTACTATTCCGCCTACATCGCCCTCGCCGCACATGATGTGAAAGGCACGGGCAGGACGAGCCTCGGGGTTTGCCTCTAGATAAGCTTCCTCGGTGACTGCAGGGAGGATATCGTAATTCTCCTGAATGCCACCTTCGTTGGTATATCTTGTCAGGATAGCCGCGCCGGGCGCGGATTGCACTAACGAGCTACCAGAGGAAGGCCCTGCTGTGTTCGCGGCGAGCTCTGTATCACATGAAGGACACTTAAGCGATGCAGCCAACTCTGCAGCTTGGTCGAGAAGGCATTGCCAATGGTAGTGGCACCCGCAAATGAGTTCTAGATCGTCAGGCACCAACTGCGGCTCATCAGTGCCATCATCACCATCCAGTTCCAGCGTCAGGTCCTGCTCGCAAACCTTACAAGCAGCCATATTTGCAATGCGTGGTTTGATATCAATATGAATGTGGTCCAAACCCAGGTGTCTGTATCCATCACACGTGAGAGATGGTCCAGAAAAATGATTGGGTCGGAAGACATGATCCATCCATCTCTGCCATCCGAGTGAATCCACGCACTATGTTGGAAAAAGTTGCAGGATGCAAAGAAGATGGCAGCGTTGAAAAGCTGAAGACATCGCAAAAGACTTACCGTGATATTGTGTTATGTGTTATGTGTTATATGGCACAATTTACTTGCACTCTTGGTTGAAATGTGATAATGTTATTATAGAATGTAACATGTCAAAAATTGAAGATTTTCTTGCATCATTTCGAATATCAACAATGGCAAAAAAAAAAAAAGTAAATAAGGTGGGTCGCATATTTGATGGATTTATATGATCCCGGACCGAATATTAGGTGAGCTTAGAAATACATACCTAGGTAGGTACCTAACATAAGTGAATACATTTATCATTTATTTTTTTTATTTATTAATGGATCCCCCCCGTAACAAAAAAATCGGGGGCCTCGATCACATCTACGAAAACTCCGGAGCCAAGGGACTAACATCATTGGTAACTGTTATCCAATAGTTCCAAGTCAGTTCAGCTGCGCAAGGGGGTAAGAATCCATTACAAAGCAAAGCAATTGCGATCTGTGGTTTATAGGTACGATATCATGGAGCACAATAATTGCCTATTCTTCTTCAATAAGATAGATGTCCGTTCTGCCCCCCTTTAGTTACTAGGATGTTGTGTAAAAGTTTGGTTCTCCTTCGAACCGAGGATTCGGTCCAAGAACTAAACTTAGTCATGAGGGAGTACGATGTTATACCCATAGCTAGCTGAAATCTACGCTTGGATTTTTCATCTACCACGTAATAATTTGTGACTATTCTAGCTCCGAAGATAAGAAGAACCGTCGTTTAGTTTCGTGCGGGAACTTGTCGTTAAGCGGACCCCCTCTAGGAGAAATACTCCCGGGCAGTGTTAGATTTCTTCGGGTTTGTCCTCCATACGCTACATAACTAATTGCCATTGCTAATCCTTGAAGTGCCATGTGGCGGCGGATGAATCCGGTAGGTAGTAGAGTTGGCTTAAGCGCCTTTGTGGATAGTGGCTATCATCACCTTATTGATGGCGTTCAAGGCTAAAAACCCCCGACTACTAGTTAGAAGTTTTCTATTTAGACGTCTAGATTCACGATTAACACGTGTGTGCGTATGTAATCTAAGCTATTAAAGGTAGCTCGTCCGATATTTAGTATACTCGAGTCAGTCTAAGGATACGAAGCGCCGGTCTATAATGCTCCTATTTAACCCCGGAGTTGTCCTAATTCCTCGCTTAGCCTTCTTGGAACCGTTGCCGGTGTAGCCAAATAATAGTACGCAAGATAGTAAGCAGAATGCTATGGTATAGATGGAATATATTGAAACGATTGCTATTCTTGTGCCTCGGTAGCACTTTTGTTAGTCTAAGTCAACTCTATATACCGTGTCCAGTATCAGACAGTCTATCTATATTTGCCGATGCTGCGCCTGGCAGTCTCCATTCGACCTCGTTGGACCCCCCTTTTCGGAGGGCTCCTATCAACAGTTTTTTTCTTTTTTTAAAAAGTAATCCACAAGTCTATGACCCTGTATGTTTACCGTAACGACTGTGTTCCCCATGATACCCTTGTTAACGCCTTGGATGTCCTGATGTCGCCTGCTTGAGTCCTCCTCTTGGCCTTGATATTCGCAAAAAATTCTTTCATACTCTAAGAAATGATCCCATCGTACACCCTGTATCGTAGTCCCGCGTCGGAGTCGAAGCTAATAATGAGCCGCTAGCCTTCAAGTAGTACGATACGCCGTGTGCTCGTATACTTTACCTCGGTGCGGTGGTTAAGTCGTATGTGGGCGTGCCCGCACCCATCGCCGAACCGCCGATAGGCTTGGGTCTTCGCCCGTCCAATGTCCCATGCTTACGTCGCCACTCTGAAGCTGTTGATAAACGACTTCGTCTGTGACCTGTGAGAGTTCCTGAATTGTGTTGTTAGCTGAAAATATCATAGTAGTTCTCGGGGGTACGTTTATCGTAAGAGGGGGTAAATAAGGGGTTGGTGTCAGCTACTATGGAGGAAAACGCTCGTCTTACTTGTCGTAGTTGTTCGTCACAGGCTCTTAGTTGTTGTCGATTCGCAGAGGACGGCTGCTGACCTTGGAGGACTCCCTCTCTGTAGTCAATCCATCTCTGTGCCGCTGCCTGGCGGAGGTAGATCTTCTGGGCTTCGTGTCTGCGGGAGTAGGCATCTAAGAGGATCCTGTAGATGATTACTTCTGTTAGCGGCATTTCTTGGGTAATGAAATATTGATGTCGATCTCGAGGTAAAGGATTTAACGCACTGCTTCAACTCTGCCTTTCTTTGCTCCAACTCGCCGCCTCTGGCTCGGGGCACTGTTACGTCCGCCGCACAGTTGAGGATGTGTTGTCCGTCTAGAGCGCACTGGCGTAAAGCAGCCCAACCTTCGGTATGATAATCGGTTGCGTAAGGGGGGTCTACCGGAACGTTGGCGATGTAATATTGGAGAGTTCGAAACTCTTCGAGGAGTTCGGCCACCCGTGCCGTTCGGTAGTCGTTGACTAAGTTAATTATTAGGGGATGTCTTTAAGAGGCCGTCTCCTGTAATTTGACCTCGGGAGGCGTAGAATATTTTTTAGCGGCTTTTACTTACGTCCATCCATTATGCCCCTTTTAGTAAGTGTCCTCTGTAAGATGCTGCTCTTGCGATCGGATGCTCGACTTAAATACACAATGATGAATTACAATACGTAGGAGCTTAGATGATATCGTTCCGGAGACTTAATAGAAGCAACGCAATGGAAGGGGAGAATCTTGGCTTTTGGGGAGAAAAGGGAAATAGATAAGGCTGCAGGAGTGTAGAGACTGCTTTAGACTTGGTTGATGAAGAAGAAGCGGCATATTGAACATCTCAAGCAGCGACTTCCACTTGGCTTTTGTAGGATTAATCGACTTATTACGGATCAAGCAGAAAAGCATCTGAAGCGCTCACGATACAGTAGTTCCATAGGAGGAATATTTGCGCTGATACTCCCTCCCCTTTCGAAGTGTAAGTCACAGTACGCATCGTTATCAGCTCTATGTGCTCTGCTCACGTTGCCCGTTACCGAATCGGAGTTTATTATCGACTAACTAAGCGGAACATGACTGGCAGCTCAAACCTATGGCATCCTAACTGAGCTGGATATCGAAATCTCAGATCTTTTCCGTTAATCTGGTAAGAGACCCCTGATGCATCCGGGATGATACCTGCAGCCTCCTGGGCAACCGACGCCACGAACTGCCTTACCAATGCAGTAAATTCAACGCCCATCGTCACGGTAGGGCATAGAATGGATCTATTAGTGGGAAAGCTAGCCGTAAGGACAGGGAAGTTGTCTTTAGGGGAGGGGGGCTAATGCCAGGGGACATGATCGTAGGGTTAGGCGAGTAAGAGGCTCTTCATAGGGCATACGGGTTGGCTAGAGTAGGAAAGCCAGGGCAAGAATTCAGCGGCGCCACATATGACACCAAGATTCAAAAGCAGTATAGACTGTAAAGTTCTCAGGTGGAATAAAAACAAAGTAGTGGAACTATTCAGACTTAGGTGTAAGATATCCAACCAATAGAGAGTCACCGTTGACCCTCAGCCACCTTTTGGGCTGAGCTGAACGAATATTACCTACCTAAGGTAAGTATTTACCCAAAAATTTGTAGCTTAGTATTGCAGAGAGGGTTAGTAGGAAAGAGAAAAAAAAAAGAATAATTCACGACCCAGCTGCAGCGCGATGCCTACGATCTACACAGTACAGCTCCACATGTTCCATATTCTCCTATTAAATACGACAGTTGAAACAGCCAAAAACAGGGTGGAATTTAGAAAAAGAAACGTTCGTGCTCCCGGCTTCTCTACCGGTCATTGTCATCCCACGCTAGGTCATCTTATTTGGCTTCCATCCCTGAACTCCCACGAGGTACCATACCCATGGGTCGGGCATCTTGAGGTCAGTGTCACCCTGGTGGCTTACGTCTGCCACGTTCAAAGTCCCAGCCTTCCGGATGAGATAGATCAATATATGCCCGAGTTACCCGTATGTGGGTAATTGTTGATATGCTTAGTTGAGATGCTTATGGCTACTTACGCGCTGATGCGTCTATGTCGCATCCGCACTTGAAAGATGTGGTTCTTGATGACAATTATTCACCGGTATGGGTTTTATAACCCCCAGATCATCCTTCTCGCCACCACCTGAACATCCGGATCCCAAAACAAAATGCGCATCTTTGATACGCATCTTCAGCTATAACCACCCTAAGCTGGATTAAGATGGGGTTTCTGGATTTCTGGATTTCTGGATTCCCAAGACCGGTCCAGATTAGAATAATGATCAAAGGTCCTGTTGATGCAAGATCTAAACTAGTGACACACGGAGACAAGGATATAATGACGAACCCAGGCCTCCACAACATATTGTTGTAGTCAGCATACACGAATCAGCTGTGCTTAACCGAACCCAGCCTTACGCCACGACCGCCTTACCCGCTAATCTTTCTCGGCAATGGCCTGTAATCGTTCATCAATCTCGTCCTCCGTCAGGGTCCTGAAGAACGGATCTGACCCCTCCTTACCGTCCGCTCGGGGGCCTCCAACGATTCCGATCTCAATCTCACCTTCTTAAAATCCATGCTGAGGACCGTGCTTAACGTAGTAATTGCTAGCTCCACAACATCTTCCCATGTGCCATCTGCGTGATCCTTGTTCTTGAGCTTTTTCTCCAGGTGGTTAAGCGCTTCCTGCTGCTTGGGTCCCGCAGCCGTTCCTTTGTACCCCACGTAGTATCCTGCTGGATCGCACTTGTAGAGCTGCGGTCCGAATTCAGAATCGAGCGATATCAGCGTCGTCGCCACGCCGTAAGGGCGCATATAGGCCTGTCGGAAAGAGTCAGCTTCATAATGTCCCTAGCCTTACTATTGTTGATGGAGCCTTACTCTCTGTGTATACACTTGGCTGATATTGGCAAGCCTCTTGGCCAGGGCATCACATGGCATCTCGTATCCATAGTTGTACCTGAACTCGGCAGCTTCGCCCTGGGCGCGCTGTGCAAACGCCCGGGCATCCGCGATGGATCCGGTCATGACGCAACCAACGGAGGGCGAAATCTGGAAGATATGCGAGACGGAAGAAGGGTCAATTAGCTTGTCCTATTGATTATCATTAGCTTCAGCGCGGAATTCAACTATATTCACCGCAGCAAGGGTAAAGCTGAAAACACATACGGGAACTTTTTTCTGGGAAAGGACTACAGCACAATCCTTGCCTCGGACCCCAATCGACATTATATTTGCAGCGGTGATCGCTTTGAATGCATATTCTGAACGATTTATTGTCAGCTAACTTAAAGACCCCCCACATTGCACTCTCTTTAGTTTCAATATCTTTGGATCCTTTTGATACTCGTGACGGCTGAAGGTGACAAGATAACGACGTTCTTGGGACGCTTAGGACGCTAGAGACAACATACCGACTTGATAGAGTCTTCCTTGCTCAGAGAAGATTGTGATATGTCGGTCGAAACCGGCGCTGCCTATAAAAAGCGCAAATTATTAGCTCAGATAAAGTGGCTAGCTACAGAGGAGGGGAGGAGGGGAGGAGGGACGAACGCACCTCCAGACATGGTGAAGTCTTGTTAGGGATTAGAGCTGATGGTAGTAATTTTCGGTGAGTTTAGACGTAGAGTCGAAAACTGGTACTATTTATTCAAGGAGTAGAATATTGCTTTCTTTTTATTTCTTCCCTATGTGATGAGGGATGGTACGAAGAAGTGAGGTCGAATCGAGTGATGCAGCTCTATTATTAGCCCGAAGCTCTGACGCGCCAGGTTGGAGCCTTGGGATTCAATCAACGAGCTATGACCTTGTGGGAAAGCTCGTTTTAGCAGGCTTACCTAATATAAAGAAATGAAAGCTCGGACCTATTTTTTACGGAATATTATTAAGACCGGTATCCGAAAGATGACTTAAATCCACTTCCAAGGTTATCAACATTCTTATCAGATAGTTACCTCATGATAAGATATCAACCTATCCACTAAAAAGTTCCCAATAGCGATATCCATCCATCAATTCATGTTAATAACTGGATGAGTTCTCCACTGAAAAGATTCAATGTGAAGGCCTCATGAAATTTTTATTTGCAGCAATTCCACCTGTGGAATCTCATCACACATATATTCTTGACTTAGTACACATGTGTTGCTAGTCTCATACTTACGAAGGCAAATTCCTAAGTCCAGCCACACTCCGAGGCAAGACAAAAACAAGTTCAAACCCGAAGAACTGACAACGGCACGTGGATATCATACAGAAGTATATTGATTTACCTACTTCTCTCGTTCTTGCTTGGTTTCTGGTTCTCCTAGTGATAGCCGTCATACACCCGAGCAGCTAGTTACTGTATTGTTATCCCCCCACCCTTGTTGGTTACCTTTATTTATCTTGCCTTTACCTCTTCATTTCATCTCATCAATGTCTTCCGTCCCCCCAACTGGGAACGCGTCAGCCCAACGAGTTCCAGCATGGAAACGATTGGGTCTCAAGCTTAAACCTGCATCTGAAGAGAGCCATAACGCTACCCTAAATACGGATACCGTTGCTCCGCCGGTGCCCAACCATCATCGGGAAAATATTGCCGGCCCTATCAATATCAATGCAAAGAGGAAATCTTCTGGTGTTCCTGCATTAGATCATTCGGCAAAAAAGCCAAAACGAGACGCCTCTCAAAGCCAAATTGCTTCCACCCAGACACCATCAAAAAAGGCCAAATCCGTTTCGTTCGCTGCCGAGTCCACTCAACAAGCCGGGTCTGCAGCAACGGCAAGCAACATACAAATCAGAAACAAGCAAAAACAACCGTCTCCTAGGAAAGCCGTCACAGCTCCAGTCAAGAAGCAAGCTGCTGTTAATTTGGAGCCGGCACTTTCGTATTTACGTCAGTGGCACACATCCAAGGATACTTGGAAGTTTAACAAAAATCATCAGACCAAGCTACTAGAACAGGTCTTTGCTGACGAGACTACTATTCCGGCGGCTGATATTAACGTCTTTTACGAATATATCCAGGGTTTGAAGGGAGCTGTCAGAACGAGGCTCAGGGAACTCGCATCTGGCACCAAAGCACAGGACATGGAACTAGGATCACAAGGTTTCCCCACCTCGAGCAAGGAGGTGACTGAGAGGAGGCAGAGGGAATACGAGGAAGTTATTGCAGCTTTTCTACGTCAGCCAAGGATCACAGGGAAGCGACGTTTCGACGAAATAGACTACGTTCTACGGACTTCAGATATGGAGATGCAACGTCGAGTTGTTAAGCGGATGCGTTGTGAGAACGTATTGGACGAACTGTCAGGCAGCGAGACCGAAACAGTATCAACTACGACCACCGCCGAGGACTCAGAGGGCGCTACGAGCGAAGGGGCTACGGCTGCAGCTGAGGATGTTCAACGCCTAAGACTGAACGATGGCCCTCTACAAAGGGTCAAGCGAAAGAGGAAATCGCGGACTGTAGTCGTCGACGAAGATACGAGCTCAGAATCCGATTCCGGCTCCGATTCTGATTCGGACTCTAGCTCAGGTAGCAGCGACAGCAGCAGTTCTGATGGTGAATCTGATAACGAGGCAGCGCAGCCCCAATTGCGTACAGACGATGCCGATACATCATCCAGCAGCTCTTCCTCGGAGTCTGAATCCGCCTCCGATGATTCGGATGATGACGATTCCGAAAATGACAATTGATCAGTTAAATTTTTTTTACGTGTATTATCACTGATCATAATAATATATAGACCGCGCACGTTCTACGCAAAGGATACCCAACTTGTCTTACAATAGATCACCAAATTGTAATAGAACCAATTGCAAAATTTGATACGGATCAATATGTCATTTCTGCAATTACTCAGTCAACTATGCTATCCAAGCCTCCGTGATCGTGAACACTTGTTCGAGTATCAAATTCAATTTAGACAATGGCTATGCGTCTTATGCAGCCGAAACAAAACCCTTAATAAAACGCCACATGCCCTATATACTGCACGCCCGTATAATAAGAAACCTGCATTACTGTTTACTAACTGAGACCTTCACCAAGAATCGTAACCGATCTTCCGTTTTACTAATATAGGGGCTCTTATATAGAAACCCCTTAATGGAGCTCTGCTCTTGATCTTGCCATTTATAGGATATCTCGTTATATCTTAAACCGTTTTATTTTTAGGCGTCGATTGGATCCTCGAGATATTCGTAGTCGTCTTCGGGCGGCAGCAACCAAGAAGAGGCAGCCAGACTTATCGCAATCAGAACAGATACGGACCCGCTGATAGTGCACAGGATCCAAGACCAATCCAGAGACCAGCCAGGAATGATGAATTGGGAATCGGTATCGAAGAGATAGGCCTAGTTCACCATGTCAGAAATAACCCAACAATATTTAAGCATCTATGCAATAGTGCATTTAATCGAATACCTACCACGATGCCCATACTCGCGAACTCGACGGCGGCGTCAGCAAGTAAAAGGAAGCCGATCAGTTTCCAGCCCGTCTCGCGCTTGTACTTGCCGCCGGCCATCACGACGAGGAAAGTGATAAGGGTTGCGAGCTCAACGATTGTAGCAAATGAGATGAGGAATCCGCTGCTCCTCCACATGGAGCAGAAGAACTGATCGTCGCGGCAGTCATCGTCGTTAGGGAAGGGTCGACACGAGGGATCGTCGACGGAGGAGCAACTCTGATGAAGTCCAATGTATTTCTTAAACGTTGAGCCCGTGTCTGCGGTGACGGAATACGTGACCCAATGCGGCGTCAAGATAGACACTATGGTCATGACCGTTGCTGCGATAGGTAATTTGTGTCAGCCATGATGAAGCTGACGATCTCCAGAATGACCATACGATCCCCCACGGCTCAGCTATGAACAATCCACATCTTCTATCCCATTAAATTATTTTCATCAGATAGAAAATAAATTATATCCATTCTTACGATAAATACACTTCTCATAACGAAGAGTAAATGCGACAAGAATGACTCGGCCTGGGTGTTCTGAATAGATGTTTCTGCCTATGTGGGACGATAAGGAGATAATAATGACGTACTACACACAAAGACGCCGAGGGCGACGCTATAGACAATCGGGCGCGTCATGGCGATTGCTAACCCGAGGTAGAGAGGAAGAGAAAAAAGAAACAAAAAGAAGGAGAAGAAGATATTTCCAGTCCTTCAGCTATATGTATCCCTTTTAAGACGAATTCGAAGGTTCGTCTTCATATCAAGATCGTTTGAAACTGCGGTTCGGAAAGTTGCGTTGGGCTGGGGCTGGGGCTGTGGGAAAGACAGCGGATTTTGATTGTCGGAGAGTTGGTCGACCGTGGACGGCAGCTTGACGGTGCATGTTTCCACAATGCAGATCATGTGGCTGGCGTCACTGTCTAGTGGTTGCACTGGAATCCACAGAACCCACATAGCCTGTAAGATTTTAAGCTTTTGGACTATGGTCAGTGCTTCAGAGGGAGCTCTGTTAGCAGTTATTGGTAGATTTGTTTAATTTGTCGCTTATCTTATCTATTCCTTAAGTGTCCCCCCTCCTGCCCTCCAATACATTCTATGCATTCTGTTCAGCTACCTACTTGCTCTATCTTGTACTTCCAACCTTACTTTCAGCCGTCCGTTTCTTTCCCTATTCCTATTCTCATAAACCAAAAAAAATAACAAGTCGAATAAAACGCCGAATACTATAAAACCCAAAGCCTTGAGATAGTTATCTTATGATAATGGAACCATCGTGACATCTTCTACCGAGTGGTAGTATCGTGGGATGTCATCTGTTTCAAGAATAAGCTTCTGCAAAGCATTCACGAGTACGGCACACCGCGTTTTCGTGGGATCTGCATCACTCTATCTTGTCTGTGGTTGTATTTGGCTGGAGCGGTTGCTGCACATCAACATAGCATCCCACACCAACGTCAAAACTACCTACATTTTCCTCTCAAGGACTAACAGTATTACGAGATTCCACAAGCGCTTCGACGAGAATTGCTTTTCCGGGTTTGCCGCGGACACTACGTCTACTTGCGATTCCGAATAACCCCATATGTCCAGATGCAGAGATATTGCAGACGGGACTGTTCAACTCTAAAGTTACCATTTAGCGAGCTGCGCAAGTGCCACTGCTGCTGCTGCTGCTGCTGCTGCCATTTAGACATTCCGTCTTTTAAACTTGAAGCCGGGTGTTTGATTGGAGCTTTGCTTCTGATTTTACCTTTTAGGCATGGTATCAATCGTAGTCGAACAAGCAGTATCCTTCAATAGTTTAGCCCGATTCCGATTTTGAGGGCACCAATAGTGGCCCTTAAAAGGAAGACGTGGCTGGCTTGGAGATTGTAGATCTCTCCTCTTCAATTATACATCTACATATGTAGGGTTACTTTAGTTGTCTGAATCAGATATTCAACACTACCGTCCTTTTAGCTTGTGAAGAGAGTTAAAGGGCTACAAAAAAGGGGGGTCGATTCACGATGAATTCCCCATTGTCCGCACTAGAGCATCGATCGACTAACAGTTTAGTTTCGATGCTACCTACCTATCGTGGGTCGCAAGAATAGGTACTAAATATACTAAATGTGTGGCTCCTCTAGTACCCCTTGGTATACATCTAGTAAGGATCTATAAACCAAGATTAGATGAAGGAATCTTATGCGGGTCATTGCAGGAAGTGAAAATCACTGGATTTCATGCCGCTTCTATGCCGCAATCGGCATATTACCAACATACCCGTTGTATGTACTCAAGACCTCATATTGATAATCTAAATCTCAGTGCCGGAGATGTAGGTAAGGGGGTAAGAAGCACGCAAGATCCTATCCCCTACACGTCAACATTTAGCCCTCCCTTGGTGCATTATCTTGCTCCGTACCAATCCGCATTCGGTCAAATGATTCATCAGATAACTGAGACAATCGGCCCTCCTTGCAAGCGTCGGACTTTACTAAGTTCTCGGCGTTCGCGGACCGGCCGGACTATGCTATAGGTATCTTGTCTATTTGTAAATATATCCTTACCTACCTCTTTAAACTTCCATTCTTATAATGGTCTTTCAATACCTTCTTACCAGAAAATCTGGTCTACTCGAGAAACAACATTGACCCTGGAGGTCGCGGTGTCTCCTAGAGGTCATTCCAACCCGACAAATTCCACTAGTAACGCCATTCGATAATTTACCGTTCTAGATCTACCCATGTCTAGATAAGATCTAAAAGGGTCTCAAGTGTTTAAGCTATCCTCCTCAAAAATACCTGTCATATTCATTGATATGGACGGCTGAGCCTATATCCCGTGGCCATATGCTATGACCGCTCTGGAGTCATTGAACTGGGCGAATTCGTCTTGTATAGGTGTAGGGGCTAAAGTTATCATTTTCCGCGATCCCTAGCTTCTATCAGATCTACAGCTTATCAGCGTATGATATTGGTATATTACAATGGTCGAACACCAACCCGTTCACAACAGCGAAGTCTATCTGTTAGGATTAAGGCCGCGTCCTACCGTCCCCCCTCCTTCTCCGCCTTCACCTCTAACGCCGAGAGAAGCCGAGTCAAGTAGCACCGCTATCGAAGAGCTTTGCTTAGACGATACTGAGAGCTTCGAGGATATTTCAGAGACCACCTCGCTTACAAAGCAAAGGATTTCGGGTGCTGTTCATGTTTCTAAGCCGGAAGCGACCGCTCTCCGGAGTCTTACCCATTTATATAGGACTAATACGACTGCTATAGAGGGCTTCAGTGCTGCAGTAGGAGCTATAACGAAACATGAAGGCGAACGAGGAAAATTAGTCATAATAGGAGTTGGGAAGTCGGGGCATATTTCAAAAAAGCTGGTCGCAACCTTCAATAGTCTCGGAGTTCATGCAACTTTTCTTCATCCTACCGAAGCTCTTCATGGCGACCTTGGCAAGATCGGGAAGAATGATGTTGTTCTTTTCATTACATTCTCAGGGAAGACACCTGAGCTTCTAGCGTTGCTACCACACCTGGATGCGACGTTACCAGTAATCGTACTCACTTCGCATACTCGACTAGAGGAGTGCGAGCTTATCCGACAGCGGCAGGATGCAATACTTCTCCCAGCACCCATCCACGAGTCTGAGATAGTATCGTTCGGCGTTTCAGCCCCCACAACATCTACTACTGTGGCTCTCGCGCTAGGAGACGCGCTCGCGGTAGTGGCATCTCAGGAGTTACATTCAACGGTCATATCAGTTTTTGCGAAGAACCACCCTGGCGGGGCCATCGGCCAAGCGTTTAGCAGTAAACCCCATCAAATTCGCGATATTATAATCCCACTCTACGAAATACCAGAGTGGCCAAATTCAAGCGGCGAGGCTTGCGGCGCGGATATACTAAAGCTAGGCTATGATTCAAAATCTGGATGGGCTCGCGTTAATGACGTGATCGCCTCCCCGAGGCGTATTAGACGGCTCGAAACGGCACATATGGCATGGCGGATATCTGATATTCCCAACTTGGTAGTTGATAGGAGCGAGTGGATCAGCATCCGTGCTAGTACAAGGATATCGCAGGCCGCAGAATGGCTTAGAGAGCCCCTAATGTCGCCTGATTGTAGCGAGGCGGTTTTTAGCGAAGATTCTATTTTGGCGGCCGTGGAAAACGGAGAGATAATTGGTGTTCTGGCTGGAAGTCGGCCATCTTTTAAGCTTGCAGGAGTAAAGAGCGGAATATGTTTAGTACGAATATTCGTCAGGTATAAACCAGCAGACGATATGATATTTAGGTAATCCTAGGAAAGGCCCCCGTATACCATAGTCAGGATTGCTTCTTGAATAAGGTTATGAACGGGACGGATAAAGGACCTTCATTTTGGGCCTCCAGATACCAGCCATCTGATGGCCAGCTTATTTTTTTTGACCACTCAGTTTCTATCACTGCTTTATTCATAAGTGAATACTACGATATGCTGACTTCAAGGACATGGTAAGTCATCTTAGTACATACCAGTACTCGACTAGTTATTGTTTTAGTAATCATTCGAATATCTGAGTTCTAACCGGAAGTTAAAAGGGTGAGTAAGTACTTTATCTATAGGTTATATTTAAGAGGCAAGGGTTATTACTGCGTATATACTGACAGTTTCGCCTATGCCATCTAAACGACAAGTTGAGCAGGGATAATTTAAATCACGGAAGAATTCAATTTCCTTAAAGAACATCAAGTAACAGACCTCTCTGACTATCTAAATCGACATGTGAAGGTATCTAGTGCTAGAGAATAAGTATTTCGGAGTGCCTTGAAAGCTACACTACCGGAACTAATATTAATATAATGGGGCGGAAATTTTGGGGTGTCGACTGTAAAACTGAAAAGCGTCTACGAAGAAGGTACACAATCCGGTCTGTAACATCGCGAATACCCCGATATTGTAAGCGTTGTATCCTTGCCGAAGATGAATGAGAAAGCTATGAGAAAAATAACAGATCGTGCCTCAAACTCCATAGTAATAAATCATATTCCACTAAGAACACTGATAGGTAACATGATCTAGGTAAATTTCATGTAAAGCGTATAATAGCCGTAGTGCAAACTGGAGGAGAACCAATTTCCATTTCTAGATGACGACGCTATACGTTCGTATCCCAGATCTATAATCGGGCCTCTAAAAGGTTGGCGTCGATTCGGAGCTATACTAAAATAGTTGGTTAACATTGAAGACGGCAGGAAAAGGGGAATGCCTAGGGTAAAGATCTCCACATCATCTAGCCAAAATGGCCGCCTCCCTCTGCCTCTACCTAAGCGGTAACATCGGATCATTGGATGGGAATATCCTGTAGGCTCGATCTTGGTCCGTGGCTTATCTACTACGGGCATCGTGACTAGGAAGCCGCTAGCGGACCTAGCTAGTGGTGAGTTGGATAGCGGGTAGCTCGCTGGTCTATGTCACGGTGTATGGGATGAGTCACTCTGGACCGTCGTCGTCTGGGCTGTTAGGTTTTCGTATGGGGACCGGGGGTGGATGCTGGATATACTTGTTTTTACGGCAGAAGTGGTAAAAGTAGAAGTGGAGAGGGAGGAGGTGACGCTTCTGAGGCTCTTCCTGGAAGAGGATATGGTCGGGGGATCTGGTGGGAGTGGTTAGTGTGAGGAAGGCTGAGGCTGTTTAGGCGGCAGAGAGACAGGCTAGTAACATTGTGGGCGATGATGTGAGGGTTGAGTTATACTTGGTAAGTGGGTATGGAGCGGAGAGTAGCTGGAATTTATTTTCTATTCGGGGGGTTGGGGGTGACAATTGTATTTGTATCCCTCCAGGCTTTTCTTTGAGACAGTTATAGATGTAGATGTCGTGAAGACTTAGAAATAGATCTTGAGTGCCCATTCCAATCAGTTAATAGATAGGCAACTACCTGACATAAGATCTTGTGGCTGTAAGGGAGAAATTACATCGTAAGGATAGTAGCAAAATAAAAGGGCAAATTCTCACCGTTATATTTCGGCTCAGATGTAACAGCGCAATATGCTAATAAGAGCTGGATTCCAAGATGAACTTTTGGGATAGTCGTTGAGCATGTCGTTTGTGGAAAGTATGGTTTGATTCCACTAAACTGTCCTACATGTTTCCAAGTATGTAAGATGGCGCATTCGTTTGAGATGATGTAAACTCCCAGTGAAGGGGGAAACACTGTGAAGTAGGGAACATGGCTTGGACAGAATAGGGTCGATAGTGGTAAAATGTGTAATTTCGGAAGATATGATTTGTATACACTCCAGGTAGTACTCATGGCTCTGGATTCTACCGAATTATACCGCTCCTCTGATCTCAATAACTGGTGGTCTACTGAATTGGTTGTGAGTAAATGAAAATCACAGATAATATTTTGAGCTATATCGAGTATTGTTTTTAATCGATCGTTGTCGTGTAATCTTGTTCTTTATGCATTATTAGTCCTAGGAAAAGACTACTATGGATTACTTCAGTCACATTATGTTCTCTCAATTGCCATTTTCTTTCTTTTACGCCCTTCTACAGTGGTGATAGATAGCCCCTTATTTACTGATGATACTGGTTTGGTGTTTCTGGTAGACAGATATTTAGGTACACTTGATCTTGTCCTAATGGTTCATTAGAAGAAGTATTACTTAATGTACCTATACATATAAAGTATGTACAATGAATTTTTGAACAATGCAGCCTCCCATACCTGTGTATGCGTTTCCCTCTGTATGCTCCTTTATATGACAGTATAAACACGGCTGATATTCTTTGTGATATCAACTAAAATACAGTGTACACTTGAATTCCAGGTATAACGCTTATAATAACGATGAATACATTTCGAACAGACCCTATACAACTCCAGGGCCATAGCGTATGTGATAGTATGTCGACATTACTATCTGCTTTCCAAATTAGATTAGTGGGGAGGGGGATAATGCGATGATGAAGACGACGATGGCGGTACGGCCCTGGCTGCTGCTAGCCATGGTGTTGATAAGGATACTTTTACGTTCCGATCGAATTCCCCTTCTAATTCCATCCGTCTCCTCATGTCCTCTTCTGAATCGTGGTGGGGTGGCCCCATGAACCCTGTTCCTACCATACTGTCTATTTCTTGATATGGCATTTCTCCTATTTCTGTTATTGTCCTTTCGTTTATACGTTCGTACGGTGAGCCCTCCATCTCCCCGTGGGGTACTGTCCTGGCATGGTGTGTGTACTTGATGTTTGTGGCGGTGGCAAGCATGGCGTCGAGGCATCCCAAGCGTCTCTTTCGTATGGTGGGTATTGATATCCCTCGGATAGGCTGGGTGTTTCTCGATGGTCGGACGGATACGTTGGTATGATATGCGCGTTAGCTTCTGTACCCTTTCCACCACCGTTCGCGAATCGCGCGATATCGGTTGTCGAGGGTTTCCTTCGGGCTGCTTTCCGCGTTCTGTACATCATGAATAGACCGGCACCTAATGCTGCTAGTCCGGTAACACCTAAAGATACACCGATGCCGATTCCAGCTGCGGCACCTCCTGAAATCCCGCTTCCACCGGACGCCGAACAGCTAGAATTCCCTGTTGCTACATGGTTCGCTAATGCATCTGCCACGGAGGCATCGCAGTTGTTCGCACTATTTGTTGCAGATCCAGTTGGGGTGGCAAATATCCAGCCGTTTACAGGAATCCCCGATACTGCTGTATCTGCTGTGACGCTGGAGCTGGTAATTTTCCAATCGGGGTTCCTCTGAGCATAGGTAACTACAGCTCCCTTTTTAATCTCCGACGTACACTCGCCCGTATCTCCTGGGCCCTTGAATTTTGCGAAATCATATTCTCTACGGATAATTAATTAATACACCATTCCAAAATCGCGTATCGTTAAACGTACAATGGGCAACATGCCACATAAGTACTTGAAGCATCTTTAGCAGACACTGTGGCAGTATAGTAATCGCTCGGGCACGTAATCGGTCCTAGACTAAATATCGTCTCTCGAATGGGACCAAGTCGCTCTTGTAACCACCAGGTCGTCACTGGCTGGGGATGGCATGTGGTTACACCTCCAACTGATAGTCCATAGCCCGGGTCCCATGCAGCAAGAATGCTAGGTACAAATTTCCAAAGGGAGTTCTCGCAGCCGGGTTGATGAGGATGCGCCGTCGGAATAGGGATCCAGGAAGTTACAATACCTGTATTCGTCTCTGGGAGCCGATTCATTGTCGATCATGAAGCACAGAACAAGAACACCATAGAAGACTAACTAACTATGGAGGGGAAGAAAGAGAAAATGAACACGGTCCAGCTCTGAAAATATGCCGGCATGGGTGGGCCATCTCACTATTTTATGAGGATTCCCTGGAAGCTGACCCCTACAAGGTAGATTCAATATATGCTAGACATAGTAGTAGCGAAATTTAATTGGTGGCTTCTATTTCTGTCGAATTCTAGTACCATATTCGACAAGCCTGGCTAGCAATGGGTTTTGCATCACATAGTCTACCTATCGGGAATAGCGCTGGGGTTGCTGAGGCGCGAAGGATCCGAGCCCGAAGAATATATGGGATAGATAGGACTAGGCGTCTTTCTAGGATACCACGCGACGCGGAACTCATCAATAGTAAGAACCCGGCATGAGGAGAGGATAATAAAGTACGCCTTTTCCCTCTTAGGACATTGAGTGCTTGGAAGCAATGACTGGGGCGCATAGTCTCTTGTGTTTTGAGAGCCCCGTAAGCCCAACCACTTTTCTAGAGTTCAACCACAGATGATGTTCTTTGGGTTAGGTACCTTACTATAGTTATTTTCACCTTAGCATCTCGACCGTCTTTAGATTTATCCTAGTTTAGGTAGTGATCAAGAATTGCCTGTCTTGATCCCAAAACATATTATTCTCATAGATTAAGGATTGGTAGGACACTGTGTACTGGCAGTAAGATCAGCCAAGACTCTAAAACTGCAAAGGCAAATTAGTTTTGATTCAGCTCGAAAACTGCAGTCAGCAATTATGGGGCTGCCAGGGTGTCCCGCCAAGATCCAGCGCGGTAACGGTAGTGGAAGCGAAGTTGTGACTGGTAGAAACGCGATAGGGCTGAATCTGAGTCAGTCTTGCTTCAGTTGGACGAGAAGATATCTATAAGCTGTAGGTTACCGTCTTATAGCCATCTACGTATTATACCCCTTTTCCACCACATGTGCATATCTGCATATTATATAGCCTAATTTTATACTGCTAATAATTCTGCCATCATGTCAACATAAGCCTCCTTCATAGACCTCTTCTCTTCGATAAGTTTCA